TCCTCTTTGCCCCAACGCCATGGGTCATTCCCTGTGAGTCGGTCGAGTGGTTGCAAGATCTTAGCGAAGTCCTTAATGAAGCGGCGGTAAAAGTTGGAGAACCCCTGGAACTTCTGAACATTTTTTTGTTTCGGGGTACCGGCCACTCATTGATTTCTTTTAGCTTCACGGGGTCCATCGCCACCTCATCGCCACTGAACACATAGCCAACGTAGTCGACCTTGGGAACATCCCATTTGCACTTTTCAGGCTTCAGGAACAAATCATTGTCCTGAAGGCGACGAAGAACCTCGTGTGTGACTTTTTCATGCTCCTCCTTGTTGGTAGAGAAGATGAGTATGTCATCAAGGTATACGAGGATCTTGCCACCGACAATGAGATCGTGGAAGATCTCGTTCATCATCGCCTGGAAGGTCGCGGGGGAATTGGTGAGGCCGAAGAACATCACCAAGGGCTCGTACAACCCTCGGTTAGTCACAAAAGCCGCCTTCCATTCATCACCGGCTTTGATCCGGACGTTGTTGTATCCTCATCGGACATTGAACTTCGTGAAGAGCGTAGCACCGCGGACTTATCCACCATTTCGGCGATCAACGGCAAGGGGTAACAATTTTTGACCGTGATCGCGTTTAATCGGCGGTAGTCCTGCATGGGTCAAAGCGTCCCTTCCTTCTTTTTGATGAAGAAGAAGGGGGACGAAATGGGCAACTTCGATTCCCGTATGTAGCCCTTTGCTAGTTGCTCCTTTAGGAACTTGTCCAGTTCCTCCTGCTCGTTGTTTGACAAGGGATACACCTTCGAGTGGAACATCGAGTAGCTGGGCACGAGTTCGATCGCATGATCATAAGGCTTCCTTTCAGGTAGCCGTTCTGATGCTTCCTTGGAGAAGACATTCAGGAACTCGTGGTACTGTTTAGGTACCGACTCCTCGGCGGTCCTGACGACCTTCTTTCTGATCTCTTCCTCAGCGAACAGCTGGGAGTACGTATGCCCAGCTGCAACAAACAGCTGAGGGGCTCCAGGAAGCATGATACCTTGCTCCCAGGCTTCGATCAAGTTGACCTCATCCCACTCTATTTCCGCCGGATCTTCTTCGGGTTCGAAGTCCGGGAGTACCTTACTCTGGCAGGCACCTATGACCGACTGTTTGGACTTTGGCGAATGCCTGCGTGCCGTGGGCCCAACCCCCATATCACATGCAGTCGCTGCTTGCTTCACCTGGCCGGTCCTCCTGGCACTGCACGTTTCAGGGCATCGTGACAATTTGAGGGAGCCTTTCTCCCAATTGATTTCAGGGTTGTGCTCGTGTAGCCAATCCAACCCAACAATCACATCCTCCGGATCGATGTCCGTGACCATAAACACTGTCTTCTTGACGTGTCCTCCTATATGCATCTGTAGCACCGCTACTTCTGAGATGCTTCCGTCTTTATTCAGGGTGCTGTCGATATTGTAGAGCGGAATTGGCTCTTTTAGCTTCTGCGTCTGCACCTTATTCTCTTCAATGAATCACTTGTTGATAAACTTCATGGTGGCTCCGCTATCCACCATAGTGATTATGTCTTTGTGCTGTCTTTTTCCTTGAAGTCGAACTGGAATGTGAAAATGTTGGGACCCCTGGTCTAATTTCTACACCATCGCAGTTGACAATACGTTATACTTATTACAAGATGTACTCGGTAATAGGCGCCAAGCCCCGCTGGGCCCCGATACACCTCTTTTCGGCAGTCGCATCCCGTCCGGCACTTCGACTCAGTCTCCCAACAGTTCGATTTTGCCTTTGACGCTCTTCGACATCTTCGACGGTGCACGATGCTTACTTGAAGCTCGGCACGGTCGTCCCGATGCCTTGCGCATAGATCCCGGGACATCTTCCGCATTCGGCGAACAATAGGGCCACTTGACGCCGCTCAGCCAAGCGCGCGCTTCGCTCCAAGCCACACCGAAGTAGCCGGTCTTTCCCGATTAGGTATCGAACCTCGCGGCATGCCTTCACGACGGCTACTGGTCCGAAGTGGCCATATGTTGCTCTTCATCTCCGCGTTCGGCATGACGTCACTCTACCGATGGACTTGGTATGTGCCCCTCGGTGAGGCAGCTTCTTGAGGAACAATGCAAAGCCCCTTGTACCAGTGTGCCACTTTTATAGTCGTAGCATCCTGTGTAGTATAAAATCCGTCGTACTTCTCTCTAAAAATACAAGATCTGGTTCCCCCCCCCTCGAGTTCAGAGCTCATAAGTTGAGTTCGCCCTGCGTCTAAGCCCTCAACTGCGTCACTTCGTTCCTCACTGCGTAACCTTGAAACCTCGTCTACTGTGTTTACTCGTTGATACTGTCTCGACGAACCTTTCGACTTCGGCTATTGTCAAAGAACTGCGTTGCACCTCGAACCGTGTACTAAGCTAAGTCCCCCCCCATCGAATCGTGTCTCTTCTCTCTACGATACATCGAAGAGCTCTATCGAGCTTCAATCGTCTCCGCTAACCACCCACAGCCTCCGAGTAGCTTCGACAACGTGTCGAAGCCACCTTGTACCCTCCCCATTGTTCGTAGCCTCTTCCAAGGGCGTTTCTCGTGTTCACTTGAACCGCGGGACACCTTGCTGCTAACTCCCCTCTCTTTAGATTATAATCCGTCTCTCTAGTCCCTTTAGGTCGCACCCAGGTTAGGGGTTAGGGTTTTGTAGGTCGTATCATCGGCCCGACGTGTGCGGCATGAAGCACAGACCAGATCAAAAACCCTCTTCCTTCATCACCCAATAGTGCTCAAGCTCCTTGCGCATCGACTTCATCTGTGCTACCAAGTCCGCCAGCTCGGAACTATCCGATTTCGCTAAAGCGGCGCTTGTACTCGCCGAGGATGAAGCGATGGGGGTGCTTGTCACCACCTGGGTGGAACCCGAGGCAACCGTAGCCCGTGCGTCGGCGCATTTTGTGTAAGGCTTGTCCTTACAGTTGGGGCACTCGAAGCGTCAGTACCCTTGCTTCCCACAGCCGTAACAACTGCCGGGGAAGTTTCCTTTTCCGACGGCCGCATTGATGCTGGCTGAAGCTGCGTGTGATTGGGGTGCACCACCACGTGCTCCACCGCGCCCTCGACCTCAGGCCGAAAAGAAGTTGTTTAGCTCAGGCCGACGGGCCCGGCTGACATCGAGGATTTGTTTGACCGCGGTGGCGCGCGTGTCGGCTTCTCGCCACATGGCGAACGTCTCGAGCTCGATCTTCCAGTAGACTCGGGAGGGGATGCCGCTCAGGTACTTGTTGCGGAGCTCCAGGTTACCATACCCAGAGTGGTCTGCCGGACCCTTGAATAACGCAGAGAATTCGGCGGTGGTGCGTTTCTCGTGCATGGTCTTGTCCGCGCAGAGCTTGGTGAGCTCTACTTGTGCGGCGGCGGCGTCGTCAAGATTGCCGAAGCAGGCCTTGAATGCCTTAAGGAAGGCGGCTTTGTCGGCGAAGGGGGTCGTCGCTCCCTGGATCCCAATTTGGACAAAGGCAAGCTGGGACAAGATGGGGGTGGCCTAAGCTCGCGCATCACCATCGAGGAGACTGAGGGCAACCTGGATTTTCAGCTCGAGGAAAGAGAGGGCCGTGTTGATTGTCCAGTAGATGAGCAACTGCGAGATAAAGTGGTTGCATTCGACCACCGACTTTCCGTCATATTGGAGCGGGAGGAGGAGCTTCAGCGTCTTCTTATTAGGGACGGCAGCAGGAGAGGACATTATCGGCGACGAGGGGGACGGAGGACTACCCGCGGATGAAGGTGACTGTTGTGACTGTCCGCTGGGCAAACTTCACGAGGAACAAGTGCTTGAGCGGCCTCGCGGCGACGACAGCAGTGAAGACGATCGAGGAAGCCCGGAGGCGGGGTGACATAGAACAGGGACTGAAGTCGAGGTGGTGACTGCTAATGACGAGCCGGCCCAAGAATGCGGTGGAGTGTCGCGGGGCTCGGTCTTGGGAGGCCTTTCCAACTGCGGCCCCAAGGAGGGCTGGGGGATCGCTTGAGGGGTCGCTGTAGGCTGTGTGACTGCCTCAGTTCCTCGAGAGAGATGGGGATCTCCTCGCGCTTGACCTGTACTGGCGACAGGTTGGGGGATGCGGGTGCCCGGGGAGGCAGGTCGAGACAGGGCAGGAGTGACGTGGCAAGATGTGGATCTCGAGGTGCCAGCGTACCGGAGTGCAGGGCCGCTGGGGTGCTGGACTCGTCGGATTGGCACGTAGCGCCCTTCGTCGGCAGTGATGGACCGTGGAGTGCGATTAGGGCATGGTTGCCAATCACAGATGAAGAAAGGGGCTCTGTCTCCGTTGCTTTCTGGGTTGTTGCGAGAGACGTCGACCTGCTCCTGGGTGTCGAAGGCATGCTCAAGTTGAGAGCAGTCGAAGAATTCGTCAGCCACAGTGATGGGGGGAGGAAGGGGAGGTACGCGTGCTATGAAAGGCCGTGCTAGCTAGCTTACACCTACGGTGCCCAAGAAGACACTAAGGTTCACAGTTCACGTGGGGCCCAGTACTGCTTTTGGCTAGTATACAGCAGGAACCTAAGCCATGCGTCCGTGAGGACAAGTATCACTCACTGAAGTGCAGATACCAAAGAGTTCGTCCCTTGAGTGGTGGTGATGAATCGTAGGCTATCTATGTATCGTAGGGTATAGTAGGGGTGCGCACCACCCGACCTATGGGAGAGGAAAAGTGAGTGTTTGGTTTTGGAACGCCAGCAGCATTGGGGAGTTTCGACCTAATGTTGTGACTTAGGGTCGAGCGACAGGGAAAAACCAAATGCTAGGGGTGTTCGACTGATCTTACCGAAGCGATGGTGAGCTAGGCTCAAACCTAAGGCTAGGGACAAGTGAATATATTAGTCAAGGTAAGAAAGAATACAGGAGAGGCTTACTGACCTAGGGACAAGAGGTTGAAACTGAGGTCCCTAGGGCAGCAGAGGCCGGCTTATATACATGAGAAGATAAGGGCAGGCTGTGCGCATTGGTCCATGCGCAGCTGGTCCGTGCGCAGCATGCTGACGTGGCCCCGGGGGCCGGTGAGTCAGAGCGGCTGTGTCAGCGGAGCCCGAGCTGTGCCGTGCACTGCCGTCACATCTAATCTAATCGTACAGTAGATAATGACGCGTCCATATCGGGCATGTAGTACAGAGGTTGCGGGTTTGAGCCCGCAAAAAGGAAAAAATTAAAAAACGGCTAGACGCCATGCCAACTCGTGACAACTAATGTGCCAGTAAAGTGTAGAAAAGTGCAGTATTGTGTTTCTCTTGTATCTGATCTGGGATTGGTCAGTTGAATGCAGGTAAAACTGTGAAAGCTACAAGTACAAATTAGTTGCTTGGACATGGTGATGCAGTAAACTGCAATAAATCACAGGTACACATGATGCTCACAATATCTTACAAGATTTCATGGTGAACTGTGTGGATCACATGCATGAGTCATTTATGTCTGATAAAGCCCTTCATACTTACAGGCATTGCTACACCCGTGGACAAATGTGCCCTGCACCGTTCACACCATTGTTCCAACGAGTTTTGTCTTCACTCAAAACAGTGAACTCGATCCCACAACCAAGTTACATAATGCCATATAGCCCAGTTCTATAGCACTTGTCCAATTTCCTGATGCATAGACCAGTAGTTCACATTCTAGGTGGAAGCCAGTCTCCACTCTGCAGTTCTTGACACCAATTTGTTCATCATGTAGGAGCACTAGCCCTCTGGGCCACAGAAAGGCCAGTGTGGATTTGTCTGCCCAGCTATAGGAGCTGGGTATTTGTTATGTTGTATGCTAAAGCAGGTAACAGCTTGGTTTTCTCCAGACATTTGGGACCACAAATTGAAGCATTTCACCAGCCTGATATGCCAAATTCTGCAAATTCCGACCAAGGGTTCCCATCCGATTTTCGTACATCCTTCCCTGGGCTGAATTTGCAAGATGACTCATCATAATGCGTTCAGCAGCTTGTACAGTTATACTGTCGGCCAACTCCATTAAGCCACACAGCAATGTGCAGTCTACTGTACATTTCATGAAATAAATACGCATAATTGCAAATACAAGCCCTGCTAGTGCGTGTACTCCGAGCCCAGTGACATTCTGCAGCACGCAATCAGCCTCTCATGCACACCGCGTAGCGACAGCTAAACATAAGTACTCACGGCTTCAGTCGCGCCGTCTCCTCGTCTTCCCACGCGTCCGTCTGCAGGCCGCGCGCGTAGTCCGTGTCCTGCTGCAGCGGGATGCGCGTGCCGACGACGAGGTACACGAGCACGGTGAGGAACTCGGGCAGGACGCTCATGCACAGGTACACGACCCAGCTGCCCTGCGTGCTGTTGAATTTCACGAGCGGCGAGCTGCTGGTGACGAGCGTCGACTGGCCGGAGGGCGAGATGCTGCGCGTCGCGGGCGCGAAGGCGGAGAGCACGGTGTAGGCCACGCGCACGGCGAGGAAGGGGAGCGCGCCGGAGATGCCGGCGAGCAGCTGTGGGTGGGCAGGACATGTCAGCGTCCATTGGGTTCAGCTCGAAGGAAAGGGAAGGGGACGTACCGTGCGACGGTAGCGCATCAGGCGCTCCCGGTTCGACCAGCAGAAGAGGTGCATGAGGAAGACGAGGCCGAAGAGGACTGCGAAGAGGATGACGCCGATGTGGCGGAGGTTCGTGCCAGAGTTCATGTTGGCCTCGGTCGTTGCGGTGCCGGCCTTGACGCCGCCCGCGATGGTGAGCGCGAGCGCGACAATGCCAAGGAGACCCATGAGGCGGAGGCCGCGGGTCATAAGAGGGTGATCGTCGAGAGAGCCTTGACAGCTGGGGGAGGCGCGGGCGTCAGATGGGACCATGAGAAGAGGAAGGGGCCGGGGGCTTACACTGTCTGAAGGAAACCAAGCGTGGCGAGGAGGAGGGGCGAGACGCCGGCGCCCTCGAGGGTGGCAAACACGATTTGCAAGGTGACGTTGCTGGGATTTTGCTCTGACACGATATGCGTGATGCCTCCGACAATACGGACTAGCGGGAAAGACACTGTCAGTAGAGCCAGAGATCCGTGATAGAAATGTGCACTGACTGATTGAAAGTATACATAAGAAAATCCACCCTGCTCTTCGCGTGAAGCCATGCCGCAGTACGAGCATGACAGAGACGATGAGCACGGGAACGTAAACAACAATCTCCGCGATGGAGATGTCGCCTCGGCGGTCAAGGTGGACCATGATGCACAGAAAAACGGAGGAAAGTTAGAAAGAAAGCAAAGGAGAAGGGGGACAGTGTTGCATGGCAGACATGACCGCTATGACTTATATCGGCGGGCGCGAAGGGCATCACTGCAATATTGCACGCGACAGTTGATGGCTGTACATCAGCGCTCTCGGAAGCGACGCCAGAGCGAAACGAGGTGCGAGACAGTGATGCCGACAACAAAGTCGGCTGTCTGAAAGGTCGTATATGGGGTCGATGGCTGCTAGCTTCGATGCAATGCAGTGCTAAGGGCAAGGGGGAAGAGCTGCCGAGAGTCCTCCATCAACGATCACTGCCGATCGCTGCACCGGCGCCTATCAGTGTACCGGAAAACATTCGTCCTGTGCGACACACTTCAACAGCCACAACATATCCATGAGACTCCCCAGGCGCGTCCCCTGGGCAAACATCGGCGAGCTCGACCAGCTGTGCGCCTGGATATACGACGACGAGCATGACCTTGAAGCAAAAGTCCATGCCGTCAACCGGGTGCGCATTCATAACATCTCCCTCTCTTCCCCGCTCACGTCAGTAGCTCGCAGCATGGAGCGCAATCACTTCTCTTCCACATGCGCTCGAGTCCACACACGCCCTCCTCTGCGTTGTTCTGCAGGACCGCTCGCAACCACCCTCGTCCTCCTACCTCGCCCTCCGCCATGCCTACGCCACCGCTCTCATCCGTCTCGTAAACGGCCTCGTCGACCCCCTCCAGCTCGGCACATACGCCCGCTCCATCTCCAGCATCGCCGCACAGCTCGGCCTCCCCGCCTGGCTCGTCGAGCTCCGCCATGCGGCCACCCACGAGGACCTCCCCAGCGTCCATGTCCTCCGCGACGCCGCCAGAGAGGTACCTGCCCCTTCCGCTGCCTCCCTATGTCTACCGCTCACTCAGTCCACAGGCACTCACCTGGCTCCTCCACAACTACTTCCTCCCCACCCTCAACCCCGCCGCGCCCCCACCCGCCTCCGCCCCGCGCGCACCCCTCCGCCCGCTCGCGCCCCTCCTCAAGCGCTACAAGGCCCTCCAGAAGGCCGCCGCCCGTGACGTCTCCCTCGCGCCCCAGCTCGCCCCCGAGATCACGCGCGTCCTGCGCGACGCTGAGCGCTGGGTCGCCGACGCCCGCCTCGCTGCCCCCGGCGCAGGCTGGGACGACGGCGACGCCGCCGACACGCGCGAGCGCTGGGCCCTCGACCGTCTCTGCGACGAGCTGCTTGCGCGCGGCGCGCTCGTGCCCGTCTCGAAAAAGTGTGTCCCTTCGTTCTCTCCCTTCCCTGCATCCTGCATGCTTTCCCGGCGCATCGCTGAACGCGGTGTCTCGCAGAAAACGCGCTCCCGCGCGAGGCGTGCTTGTCCCCGCCCCCGCTCTGCTTTCCCTGTGGACGCCGCTCCTCACGCAGCTGCGCGCACTGCACACCGGGCTCCCCGCCGCGCTCGTCGCGCGCATCACCACACACCTGCTCGCGCCCGCCACACCCGCGGACGCCACCGCGGAGCACATCGCCGTCGGCGACGCGGCCGTGGGGCGGGACGTCTCGTACGACCGGTGCGTCGCCGCCTGGGCCAGCTGGCTCGTGAATATGTGGGGCACGGACACGGGCGCGGACGCGGCAGACGAGGACGGCGATGCTGCGGACCTAAGGAGGGCAGACGTCGTCGTCGGCCTTGCGACCGCGCTGGGGCCCACAAGCGACGCATCTAGCGACGAGTTCAAAGTGTATGTACCGCACGCTTCGTTCTCCCTCCTGTCATTGTCAGCATGCTTACTCTTCACACTGGACCAGCGCACACGACCTGCTCAAGGCACTCTGCAAGGACCACCCACCGCTACAGCGCGCCTCTGCGCTCGTCACCGGCCTACCCGCAGCTTCCGTGCACGACGTACGTCTGTTCTCACCCCCACCCACGCACTGTTCTCACAGCGCCTCCCTGGTTGTGGAATCTGTTTCTCAGGCCTGGCAGGATAATGACATTGCGCGCATGCGCGAGCGTCTCGCCGCGCTCCGCGCCCTAGCTACGCCATCGCCATCGCTGGACGCCCCCCATGCCAGTGCTGGAAGTCCTACATCGTCGGTCGGCGTAATGACAGCCCTGCCGCGGGGTTGGCGCAGGGTCAGCGAGCATGACGGCTGGCGACCGTCACCGATCGGCGTTTTCATTCCGTGTGCAACATCTGCGTAATTTAGTCTGAACCATTCAATTGCGTCGCCAGACACACAATCAGTTGCCTGCAGGCTACTTCTGGCGAGTGAGACAATGGGGTAGATCCTGATATATTCAGGTATATAGGACCTTACATTGTGATAGTGTACTAATGGTGAGAACGCGCATAGCAAGTCGACAGCACGGCTGTGGAAATGCTATCAATACAGGAGAGCGACATCTAACACATTATGACGGGTCGCTCCTATGGGGTCTTCTAGGCCGAGACCGCCGCGGTTTTCCTCTTCCAGAAGGCGCACCCGAGTGCTCGCCGACACCACCCGACGAGGTATTTGGTACCGGCGTAGCGTGAGTGTGCATGTTAGCCGCAGGATGCGTTGGCTGCGGCTTCATCCCAAAGCCGGGAGGTACAAATACAGGGGGCTCCCTATATCCAAGCGACTGTCCCCTCGCGCGCGGTGGCTGCCTTGATGGAGGTCGGAACTGCAGGCTTGGGCCCGCACGGTCCTGCCTGGGCGATGGGGGCGATGGGAATACTCGACCCACCTGCCTAGGCGATGGAGGTGATGCGGGTGCTCGACCCACCTGCACGTCCGACGCGCGGGGATGGTCGCCGAAGCGGACGGCACGCGGAAGCGCCCTCTCGCCCTCGCGCTGCACTGCCTTCTTCTTGTCCTTGGGCGGCCTCGGAGGTGGAGGCGGGGGCGGAGGCCCAGGGTCGTAGTATGGGTTATCAGGCGACCAGCGCACGCCGATGAAGGGGTCGCACAGGCGTCCGTCGAGGTAGTCGAACGTGTAGTACACCAGACGCGGGACGGGGTTCATCGCGGACGCCATCTGTGCGAACTTGCAGTAGAGCCAGTAGCCAACATGGCCGTCGTTGGCCGCGTCTATCGGAGGAGTGGCGCACGGTGCGTGTGAGACGCCACACAGCGGAACATAAAGAACGACGTACATTGCTGCTGCACTTCTGTGAGGACCTGTTCCCAGTTGCTGCGTGTTGCTTTGCCTTTGGCTAGTGTCAGTTCTTCATAGGCTTCGCATAGCCGAGCCAGGCCGATGGGGGCCACGTATCTGCCCTTCCAACGTTCGTTGTCGACCGTGCGCGCAAGAAGAGATAGGTCCACGCAATTACGCATCGGCACGCCCCAATCCGAGAACAGCTTTTTGCAATCGCCTGCCATAACAATCAATACGTACACGCACGACCAGTAAAAATCGGGCAGACCCTGTATCCCCACACCCGCCTTCACTACCCTGGGGTCAGACAGAAGCTCCTTCAGCCCCTCTGGAAATCCTAGAGCACCCACAATCTTCGGTGTTTAATATGCACTGCGCTGCAAAAGGACTCACTTGGCATGGCACTGATCTGAATCAGTAGTATGGTCTCGGAATTGGCGAGCTGGATCAAAGAGACAGGGTTCTCAGCCTGCCCTTTATTATAGATTGGCTTCCACTCCATATCAAAGCCAAGCGGACCGTGTGCCAGCCGGGCCACCTCAACGTTCGCCGTGTGGACATTCCGGATGTACACAAGGCGAGCATTGGGTGATTTAGAGCGCCAGGAGTACAGCTCGTAGACGGGTGCGGGTGGCTTCTCGGCGGCAGTGTCCGCGTTGTTTTTGGGATCCGTGACATCGATCCTAGAGCTAGTAGCCACAGAGACACCCAAAAACGTTTCAATGCGGGACATGATAGAGGTATTCGGGAGGTGTGGTGGGGGATGCTTTGACTTTGAGGGCGAGGGAAGGAAACTGCGGACACGGAGTGGCCCGTGGACTGAGTCTGCGAGGGTGCTGAGGGAGCGTGTAGCTGAAGCGACTTTCGACACGAGGTTGACGCTGCGCAAGAAAGCATTCCTCGTCATTCGACGCAGTGCTCGCTCCCAGAAGTATCTGTGACTCGGCCTAGCGACTCCCAAGGAAAAGGGTGGGTCGCAGGCGACGTAGAAAGCGGTTTGCTGGTCAATGTAGAGCTGAACAAAGGACTGCCGCTGTGGCCTTGCTCGAAGGGCCACTCGGCAAGTTCCGGGAAGTAGGTGTCAGTGGGCGCTGGTGCATGATGCCGGAACTGATACTGCCCCTCAGACTTCATTATATATCCCTAGCTGAGTCCCAATCTCAGTATTCTTACTATATTAGACCTCGGGCACTTCAGCGCGCCTGGCCATTGCAGTGCCGCCTAAACGCGGCGTATGATGTGGGACCCGGACGACCACGAGTGTTGCATGCATCCGAGCAACTTGTTTACTTGAAGTGGCTGTCTCCCCCTGACGCTGCTCCCGATATGGGCACCTTGCTTGAAGTATGGTATTGGTGTCTCCACATCTGGCGATATCTCTTCCCGACGGGCCACTTCAACGCGAATGAAATACCGAACTTGACAGGGCGGGTAATGCTCGTCACAGGTACGTCTTGCAGTACTCATCTGACTTCGAACAACTCATGGTGATGTATCATCGACAGGAGGCAATGCTGGTATTGGCAGGGAGATAGTCAAGGCATGTTCAGCCGTTTTAGTATATTCTCATCATATTCTCATTTGAATACACATACGCAGGTGTTGCTGGAGCATAACGCGAAGGTCTATATGGCATCGCGTAGCGAAGAGAAAGCACAGCTTGCAATCAATGAACTGAGGGAAGAGACTGGCAAAGATGCCATCTTCTTGCAACTAGATCTCAGCAGCTTGGCTTCGGTCCGCCGTGCCGCGGAAACATTCATGAGGTACATCCATTTCTCTCTCCGGAAGCTCAAGTACAGATCCTTGACGCGTTGCAGCAAAGAGACGGAGCTGCACGTTCTGATAAATAATGCGTACGTCCCTAGCTCACAAGCGTGGTCACGAAACCGTTGGCGAATTGAAGTAGTGGTGTGATGGGTAGTCCGTTGGATCTCCTTACGGAGGACGGTCATGATTTTGTTTTTGGTACAAACGTTATCGGTATGTTTCGTCGTCCCGCCGCTCGCTTCCAATTTAATCGCAGACGCAGGCCACCATCTCCTGACGAAGCTGCTGCTGCCTGCCCTTCTTGCGGGAAAGGAGACAGCTCCAGATCATCATGCCCGCGTGATTACTGTTGCTTCCTCGGCGGCGCTTCTGCATGCGATCAATTGGGATGCCCTCAGAGATGGCCCTGCCCGAAGGGGGACGTGTGTCGAACATCTCTATTATCAGAGCAAGTTTGTGCGTCTGTTCTAATGCGCGAGGTTCAGATGTGCTGACGCTGCTTTATTTTCAGGCGAACGTCGTGTTAGCTCGGCAGTTGGCAAAGCGCTATGGCTGCGATGATATACTATCCATTCCGGTGGATCCAGGTCTGGAGACACCGCCTGGCATCCCACTTGATTAACACTGATGCCACCATAAACGTAGGGATCATACGCACCGATATCATGAGAAACCTACCGGCTATCCAGCGAGCATTCCTTGTTCGTGAAACACCGGCAGGTCTTTGCTTATAGTGATGCTCACACGAATTATCATTCAGAGACGTGTATCATACCCCGCCTCTTTCGGCGCTTTGAATCCGCTCTGGGCTGGCACCATGCCGGAAGCACTGAACTGTAACGGGCAGGTCCGCTAGTCTGACATCATTTAGCGCCGCTGCTTCACTCACTGACAATCTCAAAGTTCGTGATTCCTTTGGCAACTGTGGCACCATGTCGGCAGGAAGCTTACGACGATGAAGTTGGCAGTCGGTTATGGGACTGGTTAGAAGAGCAAGTGAAACAATGACTCCATTGCTGGATGCCAGCCTCAATTAGTATTTATGGGTAAATATCTTCAATTACGAACCCATGAGTCTGCATGCGCTATCTAACACCAAGTAAGAAAGTGGCGAGCTCACTAGCAACGCCCACCATTCACGAATTTCAGCGTCTGCAAATTCCTACACTCGATTGTCGATGGCATCGTTGCAGTCCCTAATCATGCTTTGACCATGACATCGGAGCTGATGCATATTTTGCTCTGCGTTCCGTATGCGGGGCAACGGAATCGTTCCTGCACAGTAACTATCCAGATATAGAGCATGTCCTTGTTTCGATCTACGCAAGAAAACCTATGTTACGGTATAAACACACGAGGGAAAGTAGTCAATACATCATGCGGACGCGATTGAACCTTCGGCCATAGCATACAACGTCTCCCTATCGCCGCTTTCGTCTACAAGGCTGCGTAACCTGCCCTGGTCAATTTTGAGCAGCTCACTCGGCTTTCCAAATTCAACCTGTTTGAATTACGTCAAATATGAGAACAAACGGCTACGGGTTGAGACTCACAATGCGACCTGCATCTAGAACCATCTGCATGGGACCAATGACTCTGTGAGCAAAATGTGCATATGGCGATAATAGGCTGCTTACAATTTTGTCTGCATCCATGATCGTCTGTAGTCTGTGTGCTACGGTCAATAAGGTAACATCTTTGTTTAGCTCCCTGCGTAGTGATGTCTGAATGACTGTGTCTGTGGCATAGTCTGGAGCAAACAGTCAACATTGGGCATCCCAGTAAACACGCTGTAGGTGTTACCTATTGCGGAAGTAGCTGCGATGGCAGAGCGTCAGTCGGGATCACGCGTAATGCTATCAGCCACAAACCTTCGTCAAGAATGAGTAGCTTGCTCTGTCGCACAATAGCTCTCGCTAATGCCAAGATCTGCCGCTGTCCAACGGACAGGTTGCTACCTCCACTTGATATCTGGCTGTCGAGAGTTATGCGGCCCTCGTCGGTATCATTTTGCACAGAGAAGAGCCCGGCTGCTCGCAACGCATCATTCAACACCGCATCGTCGTGCTGCTCGAAGGGGTCCAGGTTTTGTCGCAATGTTCCACTGAGAAGTTCAGGCTATAGTCAGGGAGTGAGATAAATCAAGCCCGATGTAAGTCATCCTGGTCACGTACTATTTGCGGAATGATAGTGATACTAGATCGCAATGCGTCCAGATTCAAGGTGTCTGTTGGTAGTCCATCGTAATAGACCTTTCCCTCGGTGAGGATACAACGCAGAAGAGACAGCGTCAAAGAACTCTGTGGAGGATTAGACACCAGCTCGTTGACAACGCTATTGAGGTCACAAACCTTCCCACTACCCGTGCGCCCCACTATGATTAGAAAATCAATGATTGGTAGAGACGTAACATTAATGACATTGTTCACATACCAATGCCAACACGCTCTCCAGATTTCACCTCAAATGAGATCTCTTGCAGTACCCGCGGACCGTCCTAGCTCCCGAGGTAAGCATGGTTATAAATTCGACAAACTTAATTGCGACTCTACCTGTGAATAGCGAGCAGACAGCTTCTCTACTTTCAACCCGCCGCTTGCAGGCCAATACGCTGGCGGGACGCCATCCGCTGTGGGCTTCGGTTCTTGTTCAATTTGGACATATTGCTCGATACGTTCCAAGCTGGAGTATTGTTAGATGATACATAATCCTCTTCGTGCCAAGACTTGCCTGTTGCCTGTAAATTTAAATGAGCAATAAATCAAGGGAGAGGAAGATCACGCGCACCGGAGACCTCGAATTCGTTGAAAATCCGCACCCACCACAAAATCATGCCGCTGAATCCGACTGCGCCATTCAGACGTATGAGCGGTATAAGAGGGTAAGAAAACAATGTAAACACACCTGCCATATTCAACGAGAAACCAGTATTGGAAGCATTGAATCTGCCTCCGTACACGAGGTATGCGGCAAGACCAGAAGAGAACAGAGAGCTCAGGACGTCGATGCGAACACAAACCCATCTGATACTATCTGAGCGCGATTCTCGTCAGTGCAGAACAGACATCCTTACCTGTTGAGGTTATAGAAGGTCCGTGCGGATGTCGTCCAACGATCAATTCGCTTATATGCTTCCTTCCTAAACATCTTTTGAGCACTATACGCGCGGATTGATGCTTCTCTTGGTATTAGTACAGTTCGCATGCTCAACTAGTCGGACTCACTTAGTCCTGCAATAGCAGCGCCAAAGTGGCCAAGTACGGGAGCCCGTGCATTGCTCATCTCGCGCTTCACGGACAACTGAGCCTTCATATAGATTTGGCCACACCAGCCACCCAACACGGCGACGAGGACGCCAGGGATAAGAAACACGGGTGACATGATCACTACGGCGGCAAGCTTGACCACCATCGACATGGACAATTCAAGAAGACCGCGGAAATAATCAGTGATGGGACCATCGACTGCGGTATATCAGCATCCGATCACGTTGTTTCCTCAGTATCACAGCGTACCTGCTTGTATATCCTGAGTACAACGAGTGATGATGCGGGAGGTGGGAGTCATATCTAGCCACCTAGGAAAACGTCAACGGTATGCAAAAATAGCGTATGCCGAGTCTTTACCTCAAAGTGGTACTAAATACGGACGTGACCAAGGTTTTGTGAATGTCCCGTGAAGCCCTCAAAGCGCCATATACGTAGAAGACATAACCAATGCAGTAGAATACGCTGGATACAACCAGCAGCATAGCATAGCCTGTGAGGTAGCTAACTCGTTCTCAAATCAGAGAAGGCGTACAACAACGATGGCGGACATTTCACTCACAAAGGTACTTTCACCTCCGATGGGTCATGGTCTTCGTACTGTCGCGCCCAGAAACCAAGGAACCAGGTCTGTATGGTGTCCGCCAACTCGGAGAGAGCAAGGGTCCCGACACATAGCATCCAGAACAAGAATGGATGCCCACCACCAAGACTGGAGAAGAACATTCTCACTATAATAACGATTAGCATGTGTGGTATTGCTGATATCAGCACATTGGTCTCACAGGCTGCCCAGCTGACATGTCCAACAGATACTTCCTCTGCAACTATGAGTTTACCGTCGGACTTCTTGGCCTCGACATTGGGCTCTTCGTGGTCGACCTCATTCTCTGCTTTCTTTATCTCCTGGTTCTCCTCCGCGACCTCCTCGCTCAGCTTTTTGTCCTTTGCAAGCGCCTTGGACAGAGAGCCCTGGCTGACGATCCGTCCGTCCGTACCTAATGACACCACAAATTCTGCAATCGGCGTTGCCATTGCTACATTGTGCGTCTTTGATGCTTCAAATTAGACAGCAAACGCAACCTGCAGGGAACCTTACGCACCACAAGAAGAATAGTGCGCCCTCGAACAAGATCACCCTTGAAGCACTTGTCTATGATCCATTTTGACGTGTGTACATCAAGGGCCGCCAGTACCTGTGTTCCATGAGCGAACGATATGACCACCAAATTCGGTAAACGGGCTTACATCATCGAGCAGGATAATCTCCGCACTGGAATACACTGCGCGTGCTAGAGTAATCCGAGCCTAAGACTGGTCAGCACCTTGTTCTGTCTTCAGTTGACTTCTTAACAGTACCTTCTGGCCTCCACTGTCATGCACAATGAGGGTCGCGTCACATGGGTCATTTTGATATGCCATTACACATACCTTAGTGTGAGCCCCTTTTCGCCAACCTCAGTCTGATCGCCCGCGTCGAAAAGACTCAGGTCGCGTCGCAGTCCACATTGATCGATCACTGTAGCGAGCTGTAAGCAATGAAGTGATGAGCAGACGTTGTACATACCCTTATTGTATCGGACTTCATCATATGGAGCACCAAACAGAATATTTTCCTGAGTCGCGTATCAGTACGTACTCGTGTACTGATGAAAGGTAACTTGCAACGTACACGAATGGTTTCATTCTGCACCCATGATTCTTGCGCGGCATACGCAACGCCGCCCTCGCGAGGCAAGTTGTAGAAGGAGTCAGGGCCTGAGGGAATGTAGTGCATTTCACCTATGCATGTTCGACATCAAGCCCTGAAGGAAAGACCAAAAGCACAGAGCCTACCCAATAACGCCATGAGGAGCGAAGTCTTTCCTGACCCGGTGGGGCCGACTAAAAGGTTTATATGACCAGGCTGGAAGAACACTTCGTCGTCGACCCGTAGCGTGAAGTTGCGTCTTGAGGTACCGGGAGTGGACAGCCCATCATTGTCGCTCGACCACGTGAAGGAGGCATTTCGAATCCCAAGAAGATGCGTGCTTGCATCCTTCGTCGGCGGTATATATTCCGAGCGGTCCGGCTCTTCGGTGTATTGATCTAGAAGTTCGGTCTGCAGCACGAAGAAAGTTCAGGAACGTATTGACGCAAAGCAGAATAAGCGCTGACCTTGTGAAGGAACTCGTTCACACGATCGAGCGATACCTTCGCTGGAATCGAAAATGATCGTGATAAGATTTGAAGGTGTACACATTCTAGATCGTACCTCGGATGATCGCGGGCAACATGCCAAACACTCCGTGCAATGACTGACGAAGCAGTTCAAACACTAAATGGAGTGTAAGCGAAGATATAATCCGACAATTGCTTAATCATACCAGACATAGATGAGAAGACGGCAGATGCTGCATTCACATGAATACCCTGCCACATGGACAAATCTGTCGCAGCGCACCTGTAAGCTGTTTCTTCATGATCACAGTCTGGTTGCAAGTACATCAGCGCGAGTGGAGGAATCGACGTCCATAATACTCACATAACACACAAAGGTGACGATCATGGTGATAAATGGGATCACATGGCTGTAAAACAAGTCGGACACAAAACCTCACGATGTAATACAGTTCACTCACTTCAGGATCGCATTGATCAGTCCCAGTATGCGGTATTGCCACTGGTACTTCAGCTCGGCCTCGCGCTTTTCGGACAGTTGCTCCGCTACTCGAGGTTCCCAGCCAAACAGCTTGATCATGCGTATGACGTTCATGGCTATACAAAATACGTCTCGGTGAGCAGGTACTTCGGAAACAAGAAGATCTACTCACTTTCAGTCACATTCTGGACGCGGGCATCGGTCTTTCAAAGCCGTGTTAACGAAACATGCTAGAGCAGGTCTCGCAATATACGCACCATCTTCATCTTTTCGACCTGCACGGTCTGGGTCCTGCTCGCTACATAGCCTGGTAATGGGAACAGAACCACCATCATGCCCATGCCAGCAAAGGCACTGCAATTCTTCCATGTCAAGATTGGTTCATGAGAGAATCAGTGCACATGCCTCCAGCCGAGAATGTTATACAGGAACCACACGCAGAAACAGACTTGCAGCGGGACCATGATCACTGAAGAGATCTCAGCTTATGCTCTCAAGACAACCTAGACTCCGACACGTACCAATAAACAAAAAGTCACGACCGTTGATCAGGTTGTCTAGATCGGTCGTAACAAGATTGTTGATCTTCCCAACTAAGTTGCCGCTTTTTTCGCCTTCCGCAGAAGTGGCATTTGACACGCTCTTCCTGCTCTCACCGCTAATCGACCCTGCCTTCTGCTTGCCTTTCGCCGTCGCACCCATTGTAACGCTGACAGTACTCGCGCGCATAGTGTCGCCATCGCTGTTACTATTGGTCGGACTCCCATTATCGTTCTCCTGACCATCACTGCCTTCGCCATCCGCAAGCGACGCGGTATCCGGCGTGCCCACGGCCGTGTTCGCGACGCTATTAGCGGGCGTGTCCGCGATCTCAGCCTTGATGCGGATGCGCAACGAGTGCTCGAAGATAAGTTGCGTAACAATGCCTGTGGTGCGGACCAACATCCGAGTCTAGTCGATGTACACGAATGCAGTGAGCCGCGAAATGTAGAATATATGTGTGTTCGACGTACTGTCGTGAAGATGTACCATTGGCCCGCGATAGAGCTGAAAAGGCCGCCAAAGAAGAGCCAAGCAATCCAGACCCAAGGCCGAATAGTAGCACCTTCGCCATCTGTCTCTAAGTAACTACAGGCAAAGTCAATATGTGCAATTGGTGTGTTATCAAAGATTTGAACTCACCGGAGAAGTTCCCTGATTCCAATGGGACTCGCAAATTGCGTGAGCACCTGCAGAACGAGCATGATCGCAAGAACAACATATTCCGTGCCTAAAGGCTTTCTTTAGAAGCTGTGACTATCTTTCGAGACATAAAACTTACGGAATACCCGCATAAGACCAAAGAAGAGATGTTCATCCTTCCTCTTGACTTCGAACGGATCGAGGTGCTGTGCCGTGCCGGAGGATAAATTTCGGAAAATGCGCCAAGAAGGATTTTCCGTACCTTGAAACTCCTCTTCACCAAGTACTTCGCGCTGTCATAGTCAGCTAGTGGCGGAAGCCTTTCGAGCGGAAGATGAGGCATGCGGTACGCCTCGACGACGGTCTTCTCAAGCCAGTAGTAAAGCATCATAGACAGAAGAGAAGCTGTCTGCTCCGGGATAGGCTTCCAGGGATCCTGTATGGAAAGTCAGATAGCATGCATAGGATAGTTGTAACGACACTGACCTTGGGGTCAACAGGGACATACTTCCGCGGCACGAGTAATGGGACTGCCACTGCAGCGACCGTCAGAACACCAAGCTTAGCCCACAGCAATCCGCCCTCCATGTCATCTACCGGCATCAGGTTGAATGTCGCGAGCGGCCAGATATCACGGTACACGAAGATGCCCCAGACGAACGCGAGCGTCAGCGCCAGGTGACGCGTAGCCAGGTCGGCTAGGTCAGCACTCGCGACTACCGACAACAGCGCCAGCAAGGATGCGTAGCCCTATGCAAACCGTCTTGAATCCTCCTCCGGGCTGTGAATGAGTGGACTTACGTATACACCGCATGCAGCAACCTGCAGCCATACCGACGGAGATAACCCGCCCAGTGCTCCTCTTGCAGCAGTAAAAGCGGACATGCCCAGTAAAGCCAGACAGCAGAGGAGACGTGCGAGCCTGAAGCCGAAAATGATGGGTCCTCCCAACTGTCCGACATGACGGTCGACGACTGAAGATGGCTCGCTTGTATTCTGAGCTGAGTTCTCTACCTCGTCCTCGTCCGTTAGAGTAGCGTGAGGACCAGAAAACCGAGCATGCAGTTTCTTGACTGGGGTCGACCGCAGGATGAGCTGAACGAGCAGGACCGAGAGTGACAGTCCGGCCGCATATGCAGGAAAGATCAGAGTATCGCTGCATATTGACCTGGTGTATGTCAGCAAAAGTGAGGCTCAGTGGGCGAATTGGTGCACGCACTCGTTGTCATCCTTGACGGCGGCAGCGATCGAAGAGAATGCTCCGAACTGAGCTGCTTGAGTGAAGACGACCTGAGGGGCATTCCACCACCCTGCGAGGAAGCCGCCTGGGCGGACGTCCATGCTGGCCTAGAAGGAGACAAGACGGCGGCGATGAGAGGGATGCAACGCAGCAGTTGCCGACGCCCGAGTATTTAACGAGAGCGGTGACTTGAAATGACGGGGCCGCCATCAAGAGCCGGTTCCTGATCAATAAAGGAAAGATCATTTACCCCGCAGGATAACACGCGGACGGTCTGATAAGCATCTCAGATCGCCATTATTAGGTAGTCGCCCAACTGTGAAAATGGCATATACGGTAGCAGTTAATTGAGCTCTATCAAAGTATGATGCTATGCAATGCTGCAGATGTGATCATGAATTGCCGAAGGGGCGTGTTTCACCGTCAGAGGCGACGGCCCTACATGAGAGCTGCAATTCCGCGGAACCCTGTAATGGCACGTGATGTACGAGTATGGTCGCCGTGCTTGCTTCTGCTCCGGTTCAACTGCAGTACTCCTTCTCCTTCTCCTCGCTCCTGCAATGTCGTCCACGCACGACAGCCCCCCTTCCTCCAGACCGTCCCTCTCAGATCCCCCACAACAAGATGCCATTGGCCTCTTTGACCTGCATCTTAAGTTTCTTACAGACTCATACCTCAACTTCTTCCAGGAACGGTGCGTAGCCACCCGCTACTCATATTGGCCCTGGCTTCTCATCATGCCTTCCCAATAGGAAGAGGATAGAGGAAGCATAGTAAGCATCACACTACACGCTTCTATGCGCGCCCTAATTCCATTGCCGCAGTGTGGATGCTCTCCTCAGACTCCATCGCAAGGTCAAAACCGTTGACATCATACTCGATGACCCTATTCGGGGAGACCTCAGTACGACTCGATCCGCGTGGCAAGAGATCAGAGATAATATTGCGAGAGGCAAGTCCCTTCCACATTGTGCACACGCGCCGCTCACCCGCGGTCGTGAATACCAGAGGCAGACACGCGTGTAGCATTTCTCAGTACACTCGCCTCCGACGTGATCATCCCGCTCATGTCCTTGAGGGTGCGTGTTGCGTTACACGTGGTATATGAACAGTTTGTGACGGTCCGCTCAGGAGACTCAAGATCGCATCCGCAAGCGCATCAAGGAGGACCTCAAGGATGCCGTCGGCGCACATTCCGACTATGCAGAGAACGTTCTCCCGCGACTCAAACGCAACTATCTCAAGAAATGCCAAGATGTCGAGGTATGTCATATGGTTCTCTACTCGCGTGTTGCGCTCTCCAACCTGGGTCGGGGCGTAAGGACTACAAAGCGGCAGCGGCAGCAGTTCCAGTGCCGCTCATGTCTCCTACCATCTCCAACGATTCTCACGGCTCGCATCACGCCTCCAAGCCAATCACAAACATCGCGGCACGGCCAGTGGTCACTGCACCTCAGCCTTTGCGGCCTCTCGATCGCAGACCGTCGCTTGGAGCGCCCGCGACCCATGCGCGCTCTCCTTCTGCAGGAACTGGTCTGCAGGACCAAGCACAAGGCGCCGTTAAGAAGGGTCTCAACCAGCTCATGACGTTGCTCGACAAGGGCGGGAACATGAAAGACTTTGCGGGACGATCTGACAACGCGTTACGATCTGTGCGTGCAAAGAGAGAAGCTGATGAGGCCAGTACGTGTCTCCTGCTTCCGCGTCGAATATGGACAAGCTCTGAAACTGCATGTGTGCGAAGACAAGGAGTACAGAAAAGGCGTACACTGGCTTGAAACGCTTCGGTTACGAAGGGTCAAGATGCTGGAGTCCGGCTATAATGTAAGTGTGCATAATTCAAGAGCGGGATTTATGTGGTAACTGACGTTGCGCAAAAGAGCGTGGAGTCATTTGTGCGCGAATCGGCAGAGACTGTCAAGACTGTTCTAAGACAGTATACAGATAACTTGATGTATGCTACTCAGCTGCACACCACAAGGCGGAAGCCTAGTATTTACTAACCCAATCTGATGTAGTGCCACGGCCACCACACAAAATCAAATCTCCGAGCATGGCAGACGCTCGATCGAGAAGATTTCGTCGGAGAGGGACACTGTCATACTCGGTGCCAGCATTCAACGGATGCTCGCGATTGCGACCCCTCCGCCCGTGTATTACTACAATTACAATGTGGGGGAATGCAAGGATCTGATATTCGGCGTGACATTGGTGGACTACGCGACGGCGCGAAACCTGCCCGAGGGCGAGGTCCCGAAGATCGTCAGGATCAGTATCCGGGAGATTGAGCGGCGAGGATTGGATGCGGAAGGCATTTATAGGGTATGTGATGGCAGTGATGGCATCATGAGGGTCGATCTCAAGTAGCCCCTGTGTCTCTACAGGTGTCGGGCCGACATGCTGCTGTCCAGGATGTAAGACGGTGTCCTTGTCCTCACGCTGATGTCCAATCTGATTCGTCGTTTCCAGCTTCAACACAAAATAGAGCGCAACGAGGCTGCGTTTGGGTTCAATCCAGCGGTTGACGATGTATATGCGATTGCTTCGCTCCTCAAGGTGCGAATTGCTCATTCTTGTCGCAGCCGAGGACTTATGCGCCTGTGTAGATGTACTTGCGCGAACTTCCGGAACCGTTGTTCAAGTTCTCGCTTCACGACCGTATTCAGCATAGCGAAGATCTTGGTACGAACATATACCTTACACTAATATTCCTCTAATCCTCATATTCTCCCTTTCAGATGAGCACCGGAAGAACGATTTCCAGGTACTGAGAGGGAAGATACGGAGACTGCCTCCAATTCATCAAGCTACCCTTAAGATGACGGTTGAGCACCTGGCCCATGTCGCTGCGCACCATGAACGGAATAAGATGGATGCAAAGAACTTGGCCATTGTTTTTGGTGCCGTGATCTTTGGCGAAGACGAGATGCCGAAAGGTGGTGATTTGCTGAGCGTACAGTCATGGAAGGCACGCAATATCTTCGACAAACCTGCATGTGCTGAAAGCTGACGATGTGGTGTCAGGACACGCTTGCTGAGGATCTGATTGAGAATGCCCAAATTTTGTTCCAATTCAACGGCTCTCCTCAGCTACCCATGACTCCGCTGGGCGAAACAGTTCCGCCCGTGTCTTACGGCTCATCACATACGAAAGTCTCTAAAATGGGACCTCCCTTATCCCCTAACCGAAATATCCAGATGCCCCCGCCACCTTCCCCTAACAGTCGCAATACAAGGTTGGCACGCTCCCCTTCACTTCCTCCACGACCCCCTCCCGCTTTGCATACTGTCCGCCCGCCGCCCCCAGACGACTTCACTCCGCAATTACCCCCACATCCACCCAGTAGCATCCACCCCTCACTCCGCGCTGGCCCTATGTCTGCACTTCCTGCACGGCAGTCGCTACCGGCCCAGCCGAGGTTTGCCCCACCACCCGATGCACTGTTGTATATCAACCTTGATGCACCACCTGCAAGGCGATCGTTGAGTCGAGATAGTAGAAGCACGCCTCGGACCCCCGTGCTTGAGTCGGCGCCGGAGGAGCCGCCCATGTTGCGTAGGGAGGGTCGGGCGACGCCAAGGATTACCCCTCACTTACCCCCGCGGCCTCTTGTGGCCGACGTGACCGAGGACCAACTGTCGCTAGCAATGGGCAGCTCTACAGCAGCGGAACCGTCTGACGACCTGACGCCTCACCCGTCGCAAGCTGAGGAGATACCGGAACGCAGGGGGGAAGACGACGCTCTAACATCAGCGTCTTCGGTAGTGACGTTCGCGAGTGCAGAATCGGCCTCATCTAGAGGATCCGCATCTACACTCGCATCTACCATTCAGCTCGAGTCTCTGACAAGGTCTCAAGGTGCAGTACCAGAGCCTTCGAGCGTGAAGATCGTGGATAATGCTATTCCCTGATGTCCGATATTGGACGTGACTGAAGTGTATTTTCACAGTGTGTAATAGTCAATCAGCTGTGACGATATTGTATCCCAGTATCTCTTGTGTAATACGCGCTGGCATGTTGTCATCATTATTGGCTATCCAAACTTGTGACATTTAATCTGAGGTATAGGATACTGTGGAATTGGTAGAGTAGTAACAGAGATGTGGATATAGATAGTATGCAATATATGTCGTGTCAGATACGGTAAGTGTGCAGTATAAATTATCAGTTCATGTGGTCAACAACATCCCAGTATTCCACCTGATCAATCTCGGATTGTGTTCTGTCATCTTTACTTATTTCTTCCACCCAATCTAGAACACGCTGGTCAGCTTGGACTCTGTTCTCCGTTCCTCATCAGCAAACGCAGCCGTCACAACAATGGACACCTACTTGGCAGAGTCGAAGTTTCGGATCTCGAGACCTTCTATGCCAGTCGCGCGGGATACGGCGACATACGCTGTTACAAACACATCACATCTCCAGAGTTTGGTACTAAAGCGAAATCTGGCTTACCTTGACCTTTTTCGAACGTATGTTGCAGATCCACCCGTACCCGTTCTAAGGTCTGTCCCTGCGACTTATGTATGCTCAGGGCCCAGGCCAGAATTAAAGGGACCTGGGGACTGTAAGAGTCACGCGGTAAGAAAACATACAGAAGGCAAACCTGTTCCCGTGTTGCCTCGATCCGTCCGTCGATGTTGATGGCCTCAAATATAGCTGGGATGCACAGCACGCACTCATACGCGAACTGCACGATTGGCCAGGCTTGATGACTGTCCAAAATCCTCTGCGGGATCTTGTCTTCCTCACTCACCCGTTGCCATCTCCTGCGCTTCGCTGCTTTGGCGGCTTCTTCATCATCGTCGTCATCGTCGTTACAGCTAGCTACTATCTGTGTGTGAGCAATTTGTATTCCTCGGGCCAATCCTTCCCGTGTGGTGCAGAAGCCTATGACACAACCCAGGGATCCGTTGACGAGTTCTCCCTGTTCGAGATTCTGAAGAGTACTTTGTAAGATGAACTAGTATATGGCAATAGGTCAGCTTAGAATACCTTGATCAACATAACCTGTGCTCCCTCCTGTTGACAGACATCAGTGACCAACGAGGCTCAAGCAATCGTTAGGCTCACCTTCAAGGTCACAGAGCGCAATGCTACCAGTCGATCTAGACATGCGATCATTCTCTTGTGGGAGATCACGCGGCCATCTTCGTCACGGCCGGGGAGGTCTATAGCACAAAATGGTACAGGTTCGCTGCCAAGTTCATTGAGGCGTGACATATTGGCGATTTCAACCTCATTCTTGGTAGGATATCTCGACAATGACATAGATATCAGCACGGCACTCGCGAACATTGTCATTCGAGAGCACAAGCATAGATCATGATGGACTTACAGTTCTGCTGGTTCAATTCCATCAACATAAACAATTGGACGTCCCAGCTTTTGAAACGCAGTGATGGTCTCAAAGCTCATAGAGCCCATTCTCATCTCGTTGAGCATTCCGACAAATGCTGCGCAAACTCGATTAGACTGGTATGAAGCCCTGTTCGAGTGATGGACTTGTACCCTCGTCTTTCTGTCTGAAGACGTGACGTAGGACCACAGGTCGACCCATGCAGCGTTGCCACGTGTCGGCCTCAAACGCGAACTTGACTGGCACGGGTCTGCCATTCCAACTATCAGGCACAGGTGGCAGTTGGCAAAAATCACCCGAGATGACGAGCTGATGCCAGCTAAGTGTGGCTTATAATCTCCCAAATTTAGCACACACCTGGATTCCGCCAAATGGCTTATTGTTACCTCTCAGTATACGGGCAATGAATTCCTAGTCACGAGACATACTCCGGTCAGATATCCAAGTGTCAACGAGACAATACACTTGCCAGCTTATCAAATAGATCGCCGTCAATCATAGATACTGCAACCAGATGCTGTGAGCCAGATTGCATACCCATAGAGGCGAAGCTTAATGAGAACATACCCTCATCTATGACAAGTGTCCGAACCCTTCGCCACCGTCGGACGGCATGAGGCACCTCCTTCCAATCTTCCTGTATTGACGCACTCTTTGCTCTGAGCCAGCGCTCCATTCTTTGACTAAATGTGCCGCTGTTAGGATGAGCTGTTCCCGATTTATACTCCATTTTTATCCTCTCCTCAAATGCCAATCTTTTCCACTCTACACCAAGAAGTCGACCGACCAGTTTATATGTACTACCCTTTCCAAGACGTATGCCAGCCCATGAATGTATGGTCGATCCGCCGATGTTCAGCGATGCGATGCCTGTGGCAGCAGTGACCGCCACATAACCGTCGCGCCGACTGCGTTGTATTATCTCCCGTAGGAGGACAGATTTCCCCGTACCTGATCCCGAGCCATATCAAGTAATGTGAGAAAAGCGTGTAAGGACGTGCGTACCAGCAGAGCCAGTGAAGAAGACATTGCTGCCTCGGGCTACTATCCGTATGACGTGACGTTGTTCTGGAGACAGGATTATCGACACGGCCCTTGTTGGAATATAGGGTATTTCTTGAACGCCCATGACATTGTCTTCAACCAATGAGGAACTGGACGGTGTGTTATCCTCTGCTTTTTGACAGAATGGCGTGCCTCCAGGATCTTCATTCGGTAGGCCCGCGGCCGGTTCACTACACAAGCATTCGTCGTAGTCTTACAACCGCCTCAGAATAGGTTGAGCAGTAAGGATTACCAACACGTACCATCATCAGCAAACTCAAGTTTCACATTTGTAAGCTCATGCTTCATACGCTTGCGTTCTGGGCTTCGAGACGATCTGTCGCGCAGTGAGCGATTTAAACCGTTCTATTCTGTCACAGTCGTACATTCTCTCTATACTATGTCTCCTTCAGCCAAAACGTTCTCAGAATGTAAACAATGCTACCTTTGTCGTTTGATCCCAGTGCAATGAGTTGAACCGCCGGTGCATACGTGGCCTGTGTAACCATAAGCCGCTGGGACCGAAAGCAGCATGCACAAAGGGCAGAGTTTCGGAATATGCGGGTAACACAGCAATAGACACTGAAAATATTCACGTCAGGCCGTTCAAAAGTATAATACCCAGTCGACTGGAACACAGGTCGAGCATGCATCAGAGCGCCCAGGAGCGCGTTATGACCGCGACTGGCCCGGATCAAAAGCACAAGACAGTACCTTTGATCCTTGACACTTGATTCCATATTGTTAGACGTAAGTACTCGGGAATATATTTGAACACCCCCGCAAGTCCGCTTACACACGCATCGATTTCAATAGGTCCAATGGTATGGAATCAGCTAAAAGCAGGTCCAAAGTCTAGATTAACCACATTCTGTGAATGTTAGCAGATCTTTCGCCGGCGCACTAAAATTAGTCATCCTGCAGAATACGGGCATTAAAACTAGCTAAGCGATCGAACTACGAATATGACATAAATAAAGAACATCGATACATGAGTTGTAGAGATGAGGTAAATGATATTTAAGGTACGGACATCTAAGAAACAAGAAATAGACGCAGTAGCTGACAGGAGTGTAGATCACTCATCATCATTCCTTCCAGTACTCCGCGTCCTCGTCATCCTCATCATCGTAAAGTCCTACCTGCATCTGTGCCGGCCCGTTGTGGCCTTCGATTCGATTCATCCAGTTGAGCACACGCTCGTGGGCCATGACTCTGTACAACAACGGGGATTGAGCCACGGCGAGAGAGGAGATATGAAAGTAATACTTCGTTTGATCAAAGTTCAAAACCTGCAGAGTGTCCATACTCGTGGCGCGGGATAGTGCGACATATGCTATGTACGGGTTAAAAGCATCACTTGCTGAACCCCTCGACACGAACTGTATACGAAAGCTTACCTTGACCCTTCTCAAATATGCGACTTAGATTCACTCGCACTCGCTGGAGAGTCTGCCCTTGAGACTTGTGGATACTGAGTGCCCAAGCTAAGATCAGAGGAATCTGAATTGAGGAATGAGTTTTGGCCTCTACAGGGGTCCTAAAAAAGCACACCTGCTCCCGTCGGGCCTCCATCTGTCCATCCGCATTGTTGACATCAAACGTGCTGGGAATGCAAAGCAGCGTACGACCGCCCTCAAACTGCACAACAGGCCAGACATGTGTACTCCTGTAGGTCTCTTCAGGTACTATCGGTTTATCCCGACCGGCATCGTTCTGACTCTCCGTCTGGGCAATCGCCATGCCTTTCTTGAGTGCATCCCTCGACGTGCTGAAGCCCACTATGCGGCCTACTGAACCGTTGACTAGCTCGCCTTGTACGAGATTCTGCAGGTTGTGGTCTCATGAGTCATCAGCAAATGTACTCAGCGAGTCCCATTACCTTGATTAACATTACTTGGGCGCCGACCTGGGATATATCAAGCATGACGCGGCATTCAACAGGACAAGGTGCTCATACGGTACCTTCAACGCTATGGTTCTCGGTGCGATTAATCTGTCCAAAAGAGCTTCAACTTTGCTTGTGGGCAACGGCATACCCGCCAGGTCAATGCCCCCCGTGTCCGTTGCAGGGTATGTATGGCAAGGACCTGGCAACCGGTTCAAGCGAGACGCATTTGCATTGTCTACTTCCCGCCGAGTAGGAAACCTTCCACCAAACAATGTCATTTACGATCAAAAGGCATGACGAGAAACACGGAGATACGAACAGGTCTGTGGGTTCAATGCCGTCCTCGTAGATGACAGGTCTCGATAACGCCCTAAACTTGACTGCTGCGTCTTCACTGAGCTGCCCCAATCGCATGGCGTTCAGCATGTCAACAAATGCTAGCGCAGGAGAGTGAGATGGTTCAGGAAGTCTAATCGTAGACTAACCTTTCTCCTTTTGCCTAAAAACATGTCGGAGGACGATCGGTCGTTCAATGCATTTTGACCAACTATTTGCTTCGAAAGCGAATGTCGCTGGTAGCGGAGCGCCTTTTGCATCGCGACCGGGCACAGGAGGAAGCTGGCAGAAGTCACCGGAGAGTACCAGCTGGTATATTCGTCGTCATGATAATCGCCATATCAATATCCGTGATAAATACCTGAATACCACCGAATGGCTTGCCATTTCCGCGCAGAACCCGAGCGATGAATTCCTGCAGTGAGGTTGTGTAAGGTGAAATGAAGAACACGATCTGTGGACGAGTTATCGCAACAAACTCACGAGCTTGTCGAAGAGGATGCCATCCATCATGGAAACTAGTGGAGCGGAAATAGGACCTGTCAGACACTGATACCTCAGCCAAGAATAGTACGCGGCTAACTTTCATCTACAATCAAGGTGCGGACCTTACGCCATCGTTCTACGACGCGAGGCACATCTTGAGACCGGGCAGTAAGTAAGCCTGCTTCCTGGCGGTCTTGCTCTACTAGTGTCTGGATCCTCTCGTCCTCCGTTTGGTTTGACATTGCCAGCCCGCTCCTTTTCATCTCTTCCTCTAGCTGTCTTTGACGACGGTCCAACCCGAGCAGCTTGCCCACCAGTTTCTCTGCAGACTCTTTGCCCAGCCCAATGCCAGCCCAAGAGTGTATAGTCGACCCACCGATATTGACCGAGGCGATCCCAGTTGACGCTGTGACAGCTAACATGGGACTTGGACCACCGCAGTATTTGATGATTTCGCGCAACAGAACAGATTTTCCAGTACCTATAATGGTATCATTCCCATGTGTTATACCCGATGAGGCTGAAGCTAACCTGCGGAACCGGTGAAGAATACATTCTTCCCCGCTTTGACCTTGTCTAGCACTTGAATTTGTTCGGCGGATAAGTTAATTTTGGCATCAGGAGCGCGTGAAGATTCGACTTCAGCGGGGGTTAAGGAGCTCGATGGAGTCACCTCTGGTGATCTGGATTTGTTGCCCTTTCGCCAGGGTCGATTGGGATCAGGGGCGGACATAGGCAGTGAGCTCTCAGGGGGTTTAATATCTATAGCTATCATTATGCATGAGTTCTCCTTGAAGAATGAGGTCCCAAATTTACCAGTCATCGGAGTCATATCCAGTGCTGTAGCCAACCAATCTTCCGCCTGAGATATAGTTTTGAAGCTCTTATGCACTGCCCCAGGGTATCGAGAGACCTGGGAGCAATCGGTCAGTCCGCTCGTTGAAGGCAACACGGTGTGCACCAACGTTTTCATTTGTCTGTAAATAGTTAGTGTGGGCTAAGCACAACACTGAGGTGCACTCACCTCATTCCAGCTGGTGTAGATACGCGCACCTTGTCTCCCATTGCGCACCGCATAATACTTCATTTTAGGAGCTTTCGGCATGGAACTTCGCTCAGAGCCTTCTCTATCTCTTATCAATTAAACCTTCTGGAAGGCTGGAACTTGCGTAGCGCGCTCAAATAGGAGAATCGGACCCAATACTTGAGAAATTGAACTCCCAAATGCGTGCCACATAGTACGCGTTCGCGTTTGTCACATGACTGGTGTCTGCCGCAGAGCGAATGGAAATTCATGATCCATTGCACGGAATCAGTCCTACTCCTGGGTACCCGCCTGGTCTCCTGAGAGCAGGAGACAATCCCTTCAACCTGCGCCGGCTCCGGATATCCATGTCTTCTCGCTTTCAAATAGTACCTTTCCACGTTAGCTATACCCACTTATGTTCTGATCACACAATCTGTGTACAACCGGCAAACTTCACAACTGGTTCTACAATTTATGCCATGATCAGTGTCACCGTCTCCGGAAGCTGGTGCTGGGCGGATGGCGAGGAATGTACCAGTCATGACGACTTGTATAAGGTAGACGGCCGCTCTAACTACAACAGTAAACAATATATCATATAACAAACTAAGCACACCCTGAGCTGTTCGACCCTTGTGGAAAACGGTTCTGACCCCCCCCCCCCCCTACCCCTATTAATCATACTGAGGAACGAAGAGGCGACACGATTCGTACCTATAGGTCACTCCTTTTGAGGCATCATCATAAGCTTGCTGTCCATCATGAACCTGCCCCCTTTAATGCCCTTCACTATCTCTTCTTCACTCTGTAGTACTCCCTGCAAGGCCAGATCCCTCTCCTTCGACAACGAAGAATTCTCCCAAATCTTTTTCATCTCGGGAATGGTCAGTCGTATCCGCTTCATGACTGGGAGAAGTCCCTTAGCCGAAATGTCGCTGCAATGAAGCGCTTCAAGGCCGCACTTGAGGTTTCCTACGTACCGGGACAAAAGCTATCAGATCAGATCAGAAGACAGATTACAACGAGGGCATACAGGCATGCAGTTCGTCATCTGGAGGATAGACATCCGCCGCGTCAAAATATCCCTTCGCTGCCCTTCGCGAGTGTTCTTCGAAAGCGTTGGGATCATCCCCAAAGCGGGGCCATCCCCAAGCCAAGTGATCATGATAGTATCCAATTGCCCTGTAAGATCACATGGGCAACAACAACTCACGACAATGCGACACCTTTCGGATAGATGAAGAATGATGATACAAAGCCGGGGTCTCACTCAGGAGGGAAGCCTGTCCATTTCCTTGGATAAATCCTGAGCTTTCTCGTGAATTTCGTCTAAGAAGGATTTTGAACGGCGTCCCTCCGTACATTTCTAGAAAACACGTTCGGCCACGATTGTAAGAGTTGGGAGGGGTGAGTGTGAACATCGCATCTTACTAACCGACATCATAGCTTCCAAGCTCAAGCGTTCGACGCCTATCCTAAATGCAGGTAGGAATATTGAACCCTTGTCTTCTGTTGACACATTCCGACATGTCTGCTCCCCCCATTCGAGCACAGTGAGAACATAAGCGTAATACTCCAATGCGACATCAGACTTGTTCGTCGCGTGGGCCATGTAGAAACCGCGCATCAACCACGCGCTATGTGTGTTATGTCACCCTGTGAGACTGGAATGTATCACCACTCAAATAGTAATCACTTACTGTACTGTAACCGCAAGGGCCAGGCGCACACTGGCCCATCCTTCGGCGCACTGCCGCTTCTGAGCTTATTCGATGACCATTTGCGCGTCTCGCGTTTTCCAGCCCTTCAATGATATACACTCGACATCATCGCAGATTGAGATCAGACCGTTGGCGTGTAAACGCTGCTGTTGAGCTATATATCATGCTCATTCCACATTCTCCGCCAGTTCTCATCAATGTTGTGGAAGATCCTGGTATCTCACAGGATAGCGTTTGCCAATTTATCTAGAGCCTGATCATTGTGCGTTCAGTTGTGCACGTCTGTGACAGCGTAGGATAGACATACTCCAGTGGGCCCATCATATATGACATGTCCGCCCACTAGTCTTCTTTGTAGCTGTTTCATCAACTCCATGCCACCCTTCCACTCCTACAATGAATTGCATCAATATGCGACACATAATAGAGGATGGCAGAGATCGATACCTCTAAGGCGCCATAGATTACCCACGCCTACGTGATAGATGTTCTCAGTGACATAATAAGCTCACTTCTAGTCTGGACAACGTACACTGCTTGGCTTGAGGGCTGGGCTAGATTGTAGCTCCTGCTTCATGGCCTCCGCACGTGTCCATGGAAGCTTGCTCGATGTCACGGTAACTTGTAATTCAGCAGTATATTGTTGCTTCTGCTTTATCGCATTCTCCGTGGGATTCACGGTTGGCAGAGCATCGAGCGCTTTCTTCCAGGAGTCGAAGCTTTGTTGAATACTCCCGAGAGCCTGCAGGAGTTGGACTTCAAATATATAAAGGCGGCTGAGGCTACGATGGGACTTATACGCTGTGCCGTGGCGAGACGTGCCCAAGCTTTCGGGTATCCGGGATCGACTTTCGTGGCCTGGACCACAGTTCAGTTAAACAGCGACAGACAGTAGAATTTGCTGCGAACCTTCGAGGCATCGGATACAGCATCCGCGAAACTTCTCAGGGTCAGAACATGTGAGAGTAGCTGTCAAGGTTGTATGAGCTCACCGTGCCATATTTTGAGAACATGCGGCGCGATTCGCATAGGGCACGGCGTTCTTGTCGTCATACTGGATAGCATTCGTGTATTTCTTGTAGGCTGCTGGATAATTTCTGTTGGAAGACAGGGCGCTACCTTCTTCCTCAAGGCGAAGCGCTTCTGCTGAGTCGCGGGCCATGGTGAATGTATATGACAAAACGCGAAAAGATGAAGTTGTGGCTTCATACGTACGTCAAAGCCTTGAGGCACACAAGGCCCACTTCTGATGGCTCGCTTTCATATATACAATCGAGGGTAAACGCCGTATCTGTCACAAAGTGCAAATTGCTGCTTGTATATCGATGGTTCTAAGACACCAAGATGTTTTCAGAAAAAGAAAAAAAGGGTCACTTAGGACTGAGTGTGACCTTTCATAACCTAATCGCGTCCCTGTAGATGTGAGGCCGCAGGCGCTTGCGACAAGTAGTCGCTCATTGTAGCTGTTCGAAGGGAGATGAGATCACCCTGTTTCCTGGTCGCTTGTTTCCCGCTTTGTTTCCAGCGAGGTTTGAGTGGCAGCCTTGAACGCACTCAATGTCGGCATTGCCCGGGAGTCACCCGTGCATCTCGATTTAACAGATGAATCGAGACTAGTATTGCCTTTAATATGGACGACCAAGCTGCTCATTTAGCTTCTATTCTTGTGCAACGATTGCGCTCGTAAGTCTCAAACTATGTAAGGAACAAACACTGCCTCATGCAATCCTCCCGTATGATGTGGTACACAGAACGTCGCCTACATCGCGCATTATCGTCGGTCTATCGGGTGTGCCGGCGTCTGGCAAGTCAACTCTTGCACAGATCATCGTAGATCGGGTGAACGAGACCTTCCGCGCCGACTCGTCTGTCGAAACGGTGGATGGAGAGACCAAGCATAATAATGTGGCGGTCCTGATCGGCCTCGATGGGTGGCATATGACGCGCGCGCAGCTTGATGCGTTCCCCGACCCCAGACTCGCGCATGATCGGCGAGGAGCTCACTGGACGTTCGACGGAGAGTCATATGTCCACTTTATGCGCGCACTTCGTCACCCATTGCGAACCGCAGATACAAGCAGCGAGGAGGCGGATGTGGTCTACGCGCCGTCTTTTGACCACGCCATCAAGGACCCCACTCCCCGTGCAGTACCAGTCCACCCATACCATCGCCTCGTTCTCATAGAAGGGCTTTACACATTTCTCGGTATCCCGCCCTGGCGAGAGGCCGCTGAGATGCTGGACGAAAGGTGGTGGCTAGATGTGGGCGAAGCCGAAGCCGAAGAGCGACTGGTTGCACGCCATGTGAGGAGTGGGATCGCGAAGGATCTCGACGAAGCCAAGTGGAGATCGCGCGAAAATGATGCTCCTAGTCAGGTTCCTTTGTCCTGCATATATGCTCCTTACTGACATCGGTTGCATAGACGGTCAATTCATCAGGGAAAACATGCTCAAGCCCACAAGGGTGATCAAAAGTCTCACGGATTTAACGCTGATCACCTCATGACTCGGGAACGATTGTCAATAACGGGTTACATGTAAAGACTGATGCACCAGCAACGTGTCGATCCAAAAGATCTCGAACAGAGTATTTGGACCTGTATTGAATGGATAGCATGTTGATAGCACTATTCAAGAAGCGATTACTCACTATCCACCATCAGAGTAGTGAACCCAACAACAGAGCTGACTGCAAGTTTTCAGCATATGCAATCCCCTCAAGGCCGTATTGATTTACAAAATGTTGTACAAAGATCCAGATATGAATAAATCATGTCGTAAAGTCCGTAAAGGGCGACGCGGATCATCGTCCTTGCTTGGCAACCTTCCGCTCAGCCGTCACTGGAAGGAGCGCGTCAGACCCACTTATAGCGCCTCAATGAGCATATAACTCACCCCACGGCCTTCGATCCATCGGACACTGCTGCTTGGACGCTGCCGTCCCTATCCACTGCAACAGACAATGCATATGGAATACGTGACTGCACTCTCCCCAGACTAGTGGCGCTATCAGCACGACGACAACGCGTTCCCCGTCAGTACTCACTCAATGGACAATCGTCTCCGGGCATCTTGCAAGATGGGCAACAGCCTTCGTATGGGACACGGCATATACCACAGACATCGCCCTCGCCGTCGTCGTCCGCGTCGGAGGCGCCTGTGTCCCAACGCCACTGTGCGATAGCATGCCAGTTTTTCACGTGTACCTTCATGGAGCGGGAGTATATGGTGGTGGAATTGCGACCTTGTGAGAAAGTTGTGCGCGTCAGCGCGCGGTGCAGAGTGTATGTGGCTGAGTGATAAGTTGCCTCAATCACCGTTCTGTTTGTCCGTATGTACGCGTTTCTGTGTTCGCGTCAATCACGTGCTGACCTCAAAGCGCCCGTGAAAGACAACCGCCGCCACATCCTAGCAATGATGAGTTAGATAAACAGGGCGTACAATTAATGATGAAGCCCCAATCGATATCGAGGCTGGATACAAGGGTACAGAAGCATTAACATGCAGATATGGTAAACTAACGAGCAGTACAGTCCGCATCCGATAAGTACATGTGCTATACAAAACTACAATGGGTATCATCTCGCCTGCTTAGGGCCTGTGAACATGTATGTGTCAGTAACTGTACATCTGCCCACTGTAAGGGATTGCTCACCAGCCCCGACAGGCGTCACAATCTGCGTGTTCACGCTCCGACTGAGAATCGCAAACTTCTTCCGCACAACACCGACACCTGGTGTCGCATGAGCCTCCTCGACACTCTTCCGGCTGTCATGGCGCTGCAACGTAGACCCCCGCGACGTATCCTCTGCCACCCCAACCCCCTTCTCGCTATCAAACTTGCCGGTGAGTTTCCGCCACAGGCGCGCCGGAGTCGCGACTGGAGCAGACGGCGGAGGCGGCATAGGGTAGGGTGGCGTGGCGTCTACAAACCCTCTTACGGACGTGGATGCTGAGGCGTTCGAAGATATACACGACGACCCTGAGGGCGACGACGATAGCTCGGGCGCTGGCGGTATCTCGAGCGCCGCTTTCAGCGGGGACGAGTGCCCCGAGCTCGACTCGGAGTCCGACGCTGACGCGTCGTTCGCCGCGGGCAGCTCCACCTCTGCGATCGGCGCGGGATGGTGTGTGTGTGCATGCTCTGACGCGCTCTCCATGAAGTCGCCCTCAGCATGCGACACGCTATGCGATCGCGAATGCGGCCGGACGTGCCGCCCGCGTATCCGCAGCGCGTATACCTCCGCGCTGCTCCGTCGCTCATCGCGCCCCGGCGCATCGTCGCCCGCGCCCACTGCCTCGGCATCCGGGTCCTCGTGCACGCCCTCGGCGAACGGCGAGCCGAGCATGCGCGGGCTGTACACACTCGCATTCGGGCTCGCCGCGGCGCTCGCGTCAAAGTCCCAGCTGTCCATCGTGCCGTGCGTCATCACGGACGGTTGCCGGCGGCGCTCCATACGCGATTCGAGCGGCGGGAGGCCCTGCAACACAGCGCCGACGAGAAAGCTCTTCTTCTTGGCGCCGCGGAAGAGCGGCATCTCAAGGAGTGTCTGTGCGGTCGGCCGTTTCGCGGGGTCTTTCTCGAGACATGCCGCGACAGCTTCCTGCAGCGCGCGCGAATACGAGTGGGGTCCGCCTGAGCGCTCGAGCGTGGGCGCGGCGTCGCGCACGGTCTGCAGGAGCGCTGTCTGCGGGGACACCAGGGAGCGCGGTGCGCGACCCTGGGTGAGCGCGAGTGCCGTGATGCCGAACGACCAAATGTCTGCCGAGGCGTCGTACGCGCGGCCGTTAATGACTTCAGGCGCCATGTAGCATGGCGTGCCGACAAAGGACTTGCGCTTAGAGAGTGTGGGCGGGTGTGGTGGATGCATCAGACCGGCGTGTGGGTGGTGATGGTGTTGGGGAGTGTGATGGTGACCGTGAGGGTGCGTATGTGCATGGCTATGCGGGTGATTGTGCGGGTGCGGGTGTGGATGTGGATGTGAGAGGCGCGCAGGCAGGGCGCTGCGCTTATGAATCTGTACAGCCGGGAACGCCGGCGGCGGGGGAGTGTCCTCAACGTCTGTGAGGAAGGCTGCGACGCCCAGGTCGCCAAGAAGGACGGTGCCGTCGTCGTCAATGAGCAAATTCGCGGGCTTTACATCGCGATGCATAAGCCCGTTAGTGTGAAGATAGCTGCGCCAAGAGAATGACGTCGGTGGACTGCGCGCGCACCATGGGGGGACGACTTACTTTAAGCCTTCTAGTGCCTGCTTGAGTATGCACCTGACGACATCCTCTTCCATGCCGCCAGGCCATGCATAGTGCATGACATCGACGACGCTGCCGGCGTTCATGAGACGCATGGCGATGTAGAGCTTGTGTCCATTTGTCCAGGTGCCGCGCACACGGAGGACGTTGGGATGCTTGGAGAGGGACATGAGCTGTGTCTCACGCTGGAGGAGGCGCAGGGCAGACGGAGGCAGGCGGTCGAGGTCGAGGACCTTGAGGGCGACGGGAATGGAATCGGGTGCATCTTGTGGCTGGTACTGGGCAGCATAGACGGTGGATGACGCCCCAAAGCCAATTGGGGGGCCAATGGTATAATCTGCGGAGTCGTTACTGGCAAGGTTGCATGTGAGGATGAGACCGTATGAGAGGATGGAGGTGGGCGTACCTGTATAACTGCCACTCGTCCTTGACCTCGCCAATGAATGTCCTGGCTATGCGGTCTGTGGCCGCGTTCATTACGGGCGGGAATTAGCCGCAATTGCGAAACGGGGGAAAGCAGCGGTGGGTAAAGGAGGGCGAGTGATGGGCTGATAGAGCCGCCTTGTGTTTTTGCAGTCATGGTCGGTGGCGGGGACTTGCGATCGGGAATCTGCGATCTCGGATCTCGTGATCTGAGCAACCCCAGATTAGCTTCTGGTAGGTTGCTTCTGCAGACCGTGCCTGGCCCTTCGTCTTCCATCGTGCATATTTACTCACACATCGCCTCTGCTCATACTCATAGTCAGCTTTCAATCCACCACATGCGACCTGGTTCATGCCTGATACGCTCTAGCCTGATCTGCAATCCCGCTTATGTCGCCTAGGGGCCACCCTGACTCAGCGCCCCCTCCTCTTTGGGTAGGCCAACAGCGCTCTCTGGTCTTTCGAAGCACACCTTTGGCCAGAAAGCCTCATTCGATACCCTGCAATTCCGCGCTAGCCCATGCGTTCCACGTGGTACACAGAATCGTTTGATATAAGCACCGATCGTGCTTCCAGCGCGCATCAAACTGTTGTTGACACACTCATGCCGTTAGCCCGTCCCGCACACACACTCAGTACTCAAAGATGATGAACCCTGGAACAAGAGCAACGTGCGAACACAAATGACCGATAGCTACATGTATATTCGAACTACGTTCGTCCACATAACCCTATAAGCATTACGATTCGCTACAAGGTTAGCTTGTCAGATGGTCATTTCACAGGTTCAGGGCTTCACGTCATCGCGCAATGGTCAACGGCAACCACTTCCCACCGCTTTACCGAAGCCATCCCAGAAAGTGCACCTCAGGTTCTCTAACATCAACCTCATGCCCCCCAGCATGTTTCTAGCCTCAGCGAGAACTCGGCAGTTCGCATACACCATGATCATGTGGCATTATAGTACTGTCATACAGATACGCAAGATGTCGCTACGATATTCAGGCATAACAAGATCCAGCCGATCAGCCGATGAATTATATCAGCTGCACAGCGAAGAAGAAACAAGAAACTGAGCCGTGATGAGTAACGTGCAAAGAAGCAGAACAGGCAGTAAAGGAACGCAAAGCCAGATGTGACGCGGGACGAGCGAGCCCTCCCAACGCCCTGTGCAGCTGATGACGCAGACACACGCCAGCTCCGATAGTTTTTATAACAGCATTGCTTCACGGCCGCCTGTAGCTAGCACTAGGTTCGACGTCGCGAGAGCTGCGTGCCGGGTAGTCCCTGCCAGAGCCAGAACCCCTAGGAGGAGCTGCAGAGCTGCCATTGGTGTAGCCACCACCCGCGCCCGCGTAGCCGCCAGAAGAGTTGCCATTATAGGGAGCGCCGCCAGAACCCGAGTAGCCTGCTTCGTAAGCGCCAGTAGATGAGCGAGGGGGAGGACTTTGCGAGCGACGGCTGCGCGAAATGTGAGCGTACCGTTACATCGCACACGCAAGCACACGGCTCACCGGTATCGAGTAGGTGCCTCAGAGCTGCCCGCCCTGGCAGGGTACTCTGCATAACGCGAAGAGGTAGGAGGGGGAGGTGATGCCGGTCGGCCGCGCACATCTGCAGCGGGAGCAACGTAGTCGCTGTACAGGCTTGGTGAATAGACACTCAATAGGCTGAGCAAACAACATACCGAGGAGGCCGTTCGTAATCATCACGAGAACGAGCCGAAGGTCCACCAGGCGGAGTTCTAGGTCTCGCAGCAGGGGGCGGAGGATAAGAGGCATAGCGATCAGCAGGCGGAGCCGCACGCCGCTCGTAGCGGTCGTAGTAATCGCGCGGGGGCGGAGGAGGATAGCCACGGGGAGGATAGCCAGGCGGCGGAACGTCGGCATCAGGAGCGTAATAACCTGGACGAGATTCATAGCGAGCTGGTGGCGGCAAAGGAGGAGGCGGTGGGCCTCTCATTCTGTAATCATCATAGTCACGCGCAGACCTAGCAGGCGGCGGAGGATAGTCGCGATACTCTCTAGGAGGCGTAGGCGGCCGCCGGTAGTCACGTCCAGGAGGCGGGGGCGGAGGATAGTCGTACCCGTAGCGAGCATCTCTGGGAGGTGCAGGGGGATAGCGGTACTCATCACGGTAAGGAGGATAGTCTCTAGGAGGTGCCGGATAGTCACGGGGTGGCTGGATTCGGTCAATGAGAGGAGCATCACTAGGATGGTGACTAGAGCGGCGGCTGTATACGGAGATAAGCAGTGTGAGTTGATACATCTAAACTACCACGGACCTAGTCGACAGATGGTTCGGGCATTCTCTGCGGTCGGCACAAGTAAGTTATGTCATAGACGCGTCATGGAAGGTAGAAGTATACCTGGCCCAATGGCCCAGCTGGCCGCACTTGAAGCAAGCTCCCGGGTCGCCGCTGTACTTGGCCGTTCTACCACCACCATGAGAAAGTTCAACACGAATCTTGTTACCCATGAAATAGCCTTCGTGGTACTTCGCAACGCTCTCCTCCGCTGCCTCACGAGTCTCAAATTCCTGTCAAATAACAGGTCTTTGTGAGCACGAAATCAGGATACAGGCGCTGGAACACACCACAAAGCCATATCCGACTCTGAAAAAAAGTGATGTAATTGCTGGCATCAGCAGTGCCCATCTCGAGAAATAGATGCAACTCACTTCAATTCAATGTTCACGATGCTTCCAATTTTGCCGAAGCAGCTTTCAAGATCTTCTCTTCGAGTATGTTCAGGCAGGCCGCCAATGTAGACCTTGTTCGGCTGCACGGGTCGAGTGGGTGGTGGAGCAGTAGTAACAGGAGCCATGAGAGCAGAAGCCGTCAGTGAATGTGTCACAAAAGCAAGCCTCCGAGCGAGCAGCTAGGAAAGCACGATACAAGCAAGACGAGGAAAGGCACACAGCACGTATAGTACGCGTGGAAGCAGCCCGAAGAGACGGCGGGCATCTCGCTCGTTCGCCGCAGCTTATCAAGCAAAAACACGGTTTGATAGGTGGTCTCCAAGCTTACCGCCACGTGCGGGACACCTACGAGAGCCTAGCGAGCCGGCAGCCCGAGTACACACGCAGCGCAGAACAGCGGGTTCGTGGCGAACACAGACGGGCGAGAGCGCGTTCCGTTCCCGGCAGCAGAAAGGGGGATCACGATGCGAAAACAAGAGACCAGATAAGCACCTTGACTTGCTTTTCGCCGCGGTAGCCAACGTCGGATTTTGAGCTGAGCGCAGCGTCTGCCACGTCGCCCGCCGCAGACCCGCCACGCGCATAGTCCGCGTTGTCGGCGGCCTGCGATGCAGCGCGGTCCTTGCTGGGGTGGTGACCGCCGTTCGCGTCGGCATCGGCGGGAGCAGCCATGGCCACGTCGTGAGATTGCTCATCCATAGCGTTCCACTTTTCTTGTGGGTGTGCGTCACCGCTGTCTGCGAGAGGGGAGGCAGCCATAGCGACTGTTCGAGTGCGACTCGCTGAGCGCCCGTAGGCCTGCGAAATTTAACCAGTCAAACTCCGCCCGGCGGACGCCGAATCCAGCAAAGCAGACGCCCGGCGCACAGACCAAACAGGCGCTCATACCAAAGATCTACGTACATCCCAAACAAGCACTCGAGATGAGCTTACCTAGTATGCAACCATAGACATAGCACGAATTCGGATGACAATAGAATGGATTCACGATAGCTAGACCAAAGCGACGACGATATTTAACGGGATAAAGTACGCATACTATGCACCAGCGGGCCCCTTAATCAACGTGCATGGAGGTTTAGTGGCTGCGGATATGCATGTAGTGTAGGGGAACGATGAAGGACGACAGAGAGTACCTTCTAAGAGTCTAAGATCGTGAATCATCATTAGAAAAACATGATGCAGGAGTCAAGATGACGAGGATGGGGATGGGGTGGCCGGGGTGCGGGCTGGCATGTGACGAGAGGACAGGGAGAATTGCAGATGGAAACGCAGAAAAGATTACACGGCACAGGGCGCGACATACCGTACGCTGATTACCAAATGAAACAAATTATCGCTTGAGGAAAGAGCGCATTCAGCCTTCGAAACGCGGTGGCGGCATCACCACTTCCATAGCTCCTCACTGTCCATATCGACCGCGAGCCACGGGTGGTCCTTCATGTCCCGAGCATGCTTCCGCTTGCGGTGGTCGACGACAAGCATCGGCTCGAGGAACTCACACAGCGCGGCCGCGTCCTCCTCCGCCCACGCGTACTTCTCGACCATGACGCGCTTCAGCGGCCACGGCTTCAAGCTCCGGATGTACCGCAAGGCGCCTAGCAAGCGTGAAACACCCCGTTAGCACAACACTCCACACGCAGCGAGGTCAGGCTGCGGGCCGCACACACCAGCACCAGCGCCAGTGCCGCGGCGGCCCACCCGCCTCAAAAAGGACACCACTCACCCGAGCTATCGAAAATATCGCGGCTGAACCGCCCCCCAAACTTCACCTCCGCATCAAAGTCGCCCAGCAGCTCAATCACCTGCGCCATGTGGTCGTCGTCCTTCCCGAACACCCCGCCCTGGCTCTGCGGGTCGAACAGGTACTCCGCCGCCAGCAGCTCGAATATCACGCACGCCGCGCTCCACACGTCCGCCGTCGGGCCCCAGTCCGTCCGCCCCACGATCACCTCCGGCGACCGGTACTGCCGCGTCTGGATGTCCTCCGTATAATGCTTGTGCGTCGGCGTCGCGTTCCCCAGATCCGCGATCTTGATCGTCATTGGCGGCGCCACGGGCGACGGCGTGGGCGTGGGCGGGGGCGGCGACGGCGCGCGGTACGTCGACTGCGACGACGACTGCCGTGTGTGCGACGCCCGTGGCGAGCGCGACCCGGAACCATGTGGCGATGCGCTCCGGTGCGCAACGTTGTGCGGCGCCGTCTGCGTCAACAGCGACGGCCCTAACGGCGGCCTGTTCGGCGCCGCCGCCGTCTGCACCTCCTTCTCCGCGCCCGCCTCCTGGCACACGCACGTGCACAGGCAGTCCGCGCACGGCCGCGTCACGATCGACAGCTTGCTGACCTCGCTCGTCACGCTCCCCATCGACGTCGCCGCCGTCTCCTGGCTGTACGACGTGCCCGCGCTCGCGCTGGACCCGCTGTCCGACAGCTCCGACCTCGAGCCCGAGCCCTGCTTGCCCTTGCCCTTCTTGTCCAGCAGGCTATGGACGCTCTGCGCGCTCACCATCCGCGACATCTGCAGCCCGGGCCGCACCATCGGGCTCGACGCCGCGCTGCTCGCGGGCGACGGGCTCGCCAGCGGCTGCGAGTCGAAGATCTGCACGTGCCGATCCCGCCCCGTCGCCAGCCGCGGGATCGCCATCCCGGAGCGCGTCAGGTTCTTCGGCGGCACGCCGACCTTGCGCGACCGCGGCGACGGCGATATCGACAGTTCCGCCTGGATGTGCGCCTCGACGTCGGGAATGGAGATCACTGTGCGCGGTCAGTCCCGGTCTCGCTGCGTGTGGACAAGCACTCACTGATGTTCTCCGGCTTGATGTCGGTGTGCACGAGATCGCACTCGTCGTGCAGGTACTCGAGCCCGAGCAGGATCTGCCGTGCGATCAGCTTTACGAGCGCAGGCGGCACGCCCGCCTTCTTGTGCCGCTCGATGAGCGCGAGCAGGTTCTCGCCCAGCGGCTCGCAGACGATGCACACGTGCACGCCCTCTGGCCCGACGTGCTGGAATGAGTCGAGGAACGCCACGACGTGATCCCGCCCAGGATGGCCCGGGCTCTCGTCCCGCACCTGGCTCAGCAGCTTGATCTCGTCCCGCGCGGTCTCGGCATACCGCCCGGCTGATTTGACCACCTTGAGCGCGGAGTGGCGACTAGTGCTGCAAACGGCAGGTCAGCGGGGTCATGTGGGTGCCAGTACACAGAACCCAAGGCGGGATCAATTCCAATCGGTGCATCGGCAGCGTGGGCGGCGGCGTCTACGCCCGATCACGGCCCCGTCAACGTTCGTGTTTGTATGCCTTGTATGGTGCCATCGCACGAATGCCCACGGCGCGTGGTCACGATGTATTGCGAATAGATGACATGGTGTTCTGTAACTAGTGGCGACGTCTCCAGCTATATAGTCACCGCAGCACCGGCCACAGGCAGGCCACACTCCCCTCGATCGCGAATCGTTGCTAGTCCCGCGCACAGCATAGGACAATGGCACAAGAAGCCAGAGCCCGCTGCTGTGCACAGTGCTGTTGTCAAACCTGCGCCCAATCGCCGCGCCTGGCGCGGCGATTGGCGCAGCGATAGCGATTGGCGATTGCTGGTGCAACTCGGAAGGGTCAGGCATAGTCCCGACTCTGAGCAAAATATCTGAGGTAAAATCTCTCACGCAACCTGACATTTGTTGCCTCCCCCATGCCCAAGCCATCAACAAACTTGAGTACGCAGGTGAACATGACCTATATTCTCTGATCGACGAAAATTCAGGGCTATGACCTGAATTAACATAACAATGTTATACCCTCAGCGACACGGAGGATGCTGGGATACACAAAGACAAGGAGAAAACTCCGAGGTAGGGGGATCTGAAGCCACTGCTATCGTCCCTCGGTTCGTAGTTGCACTGTGGTACTTTCTCGCCTCCGAGCGTGAAGAAATACTATTCGCTAGTTGCGCCACCCTTGCCAGACCCGCGCCGGGCCGGCAATTGGCGAATGTCTGAGCGAGTTCTGCCCACGACACTAACCACCCCACGGCAATATTGCGGTGGCATCCACTTTCGCAGGCGTGAATTCCTGCGCTGCTACATTTTACAGTATAGTCGTCGCTCATATGGTATCCAGCGCCGCCTCACTGGCGGAAAAGAAATTGCGGCGAGACGCAGAATGCAACCACACGACCGTCATTGGTGGGAAAATGAGCGCGAAAAGGCGGCAGTGACCCAAATAGATGTCGCGTGATTGCGACGTTGAGCGCGGGATGTAGTAGGAAGGTGCGCACGTTGCCCGAAGCAGACGGGAGGAATGATGAAAAATGAAAGAAGAAGACGACGTACTGGGTGTCTTTCACAAGCCATACGGTGGAGAAGTGACCCCATCTGATCGCACGGTCGCGGTGTCAGCGTGACGCAAGACAGGACACGGCTGCGAGAGGCCGCGCAGACGAGTGGCGGAAGGGACGCACCCAAGCTTGCGGACGACGAGATATCGACCGTCCTTGAACGAGTGATGCAGGTTGATTTGTAGGTAGCCGCCGGCGTTGTAGTCTGCGGGAGACTCCTCGTCCTTGGGGGGTGCATCAGGGACTGGAAGGATCTTGGGACCGGCGGAGGTGAGGACGTATTGGTACTTTGCGCAAGGCTGGGTAGGTGCCATGTACAGAGAGATGATGAAGAGAGATGGAGGAGGGGGCCCTCGCCTCGCCGCCTGCCACCTTATCGCTCGCCCGGCTGCTCTGTCCACCCCCGTCACGCCTGCCTCCTCTGGTGCACCGTCACGCCTGTAACACTCACCGCGGCCCGCCTTCCTCGGTCCCCGGCTATCTCCCCGCGCGCCTCCCCGCGCTCCCCGTTCGCTCGCGATGACTCGATCCCGCCCGGAGCGCTCTCCGGCGTCGTCGACTTGCCTCGCATCGTCGGCTCCCCTGTGTTCCGATCCCATCGTGCGCCGCTGCTTGACAGGACGTCGCTCGCCGCACCTACGTTGTACCTGCGCCACACAACCACCAGCAGTGTAAGTCACCGCTCCAACGGCAGCCTAGATCGGGCCACGCGATTCCACAATGTTCATGACGTTTCCCAATACAAACGAACTTCGTATCCTGACTCTGGCTCGCCTTCGAAGTGTCTCCAGAAGTGACTGCCATGTCCTTGCATAGTCCTAGCGTGCCTTGATTGTGGCACACCTACTATCACAAGCCCGGCACTCAGCCAACGTTTCAGACGAGCCAGCTGCTGCGATGAGTAGCAGTACATCCATGGAGCTGTATTAATGACATTCACCTACCGCGAAATATCCGCGAGGGCGATCTTCCGGCGTCGATCGACTCAACCCATCGTGCTGTGGATGGTCGCGATTGTAGTCGAGTACTCAAACGGGACAAGAGTTTGTATAATATGCACCCGCTGCACGGGGAGTGGCTCACGAAGCATTCAATTCTCTGACCGAGGCTGCATAACCACAACCTCACTAGACTCCGAGTTTGTCCTGGTCAGAACCGAAGCACTTCGCTTCATTCGCAGTGCGTGATATATGTAACTTAATTTGTATGCCATAAAGGATACTGCTCAAGACAATTACTTGCTGCACGACTGCTATCCTCGCCACCAAGACAGTGCCACAGAACCATCGAAACTCACCGACATTGATACACAGAGACATAGAGGACGGAATTTGGATCCATTTGAGACTCAAATGATGAGAATTGGCGCACTGTTGAACAACTTACAGCCTACTTAATTAATGCTGCAAGTGCGAAAAATACTCGGGCGCTTGTAGTGAACTCTCTGGCTTTGTTTGTCCCCGGCGAAAGCAAGGGCTCACCCTCATGTCGATATGCTCGCTTCGCTCGCAATGATATAGAAACCCATAAAGACTAGCAATGGTATCCGCTATACCTACATTGCCTACCATAATTGGACCCGCCCAAGTCCTGTGTATAGCCCTTCACAGTTGAATCGCGGCGCGAGAGAAACAGGTCTTACACGTACACGAGACAAGGCAGGGTCATGTAAGAAGACCTCAGTAAATGCAATTACAAACGGCCTCTCCTGCAAGTGCGTTCGGGCGCACGCGTAGTAGCTTCTTCACCGCTTGCGTCCACGGCCTCCGCGTACATGGTACGAGCGAAGCTATCACCGAAGCAGGGAGATCCGAAGGGACGATACCACACACGGATCTCAATGCGACAAGTACCGTGGAGTGTTCGCGAGGATCGCAATCGCCGATCGACTCAATCTGGCAAACAGGTCAGCTGGGACCCGGGCCACGGCCAAGCTCGAGAATCAGGCTACCCCGGACCACCAGGGTGAGAACGAGTAGAGCTCGAAGGCCAGAAGCCAGCGAATGTGTGAATCACGGACCTTACGCATACATGATGTCATGCATACGGGTACTCGACTCACCGTCAAGACCCGACCGCTCGAGACACAGCCGGAGTTTGTGCGGCCATACATCGTGCATTGACGAGGATCATGTCCGCCGACGATAGCAATCCATTATATGCAGTGTACGCTGAGTTTCTATGGATGCAACATCTATCAACCAATGACCAGCAGCCCGTTCGCGTCGTCGAAATCGTGCTGAGGGACCTCAAGGTTTGTCTAGCAAGACCAGTCAGAAGCAAGCCCAGAAACAATGCATACGGACTCACAGGAGCGGGACCCTTGCGAACACGTCCGGCTGTTGAATACGCAGGTCAGCCCACTGAATGGAGAAAAACAAGAGGCAAACCGTACAGATATCGTAGTGGGAACCGTGGCACGGGCAGAACCTGCATAAGGGCGTCGTGAGCTGGCATATTCGCCCCAGAACGGACCGCAAACGCACCATCCACCATAGTCACCAGCCTCGCCGATCGGCACGCACCCCAAGTGAGTGCAGACACCCACCATGACGAGCCACTCGGGCTTCTTCGTCCGCGCCTCGTCCGACTGCGGGTCGCGCAGCGCCTTCCAGTTCGTGCTCCGCGCCTCCTGCACCTCGTCCTGCGTGCGGTGGCGGATGAACACGGGCTTGCCGCGCCACTTGATGATCACGTTCTTGCCCTCGGGGATCGTCCCGAGCTCGATCTCGACCTTCGCCATCGCGAGCACGTCCGCGGACGCCGCCATCGTCGTCAGGAACTCCGTCACCGTCGACTTGGCGACCGACGCGGAGAGCAGCCCCAGCGAGCCGATCATGAAGTACGACACGCCGCGGTTCGTCGCGTCCGACTTCGCCTCGTAGTGCGAGAAGTCCGGCACCTGCGGCTCGATCTGCGCGGGCAGGGTCGAGTGCAGGAGGCGCTTCTGGAAGACGCCGGTCGTGCGGGCTGCGTTTTTCGCGGGCGTGCTGTCAGTGGGGTGTCCCGCACACCTAGGGGCGGGTGCAGGGGTTGGGGAGGATGCTCACCATTTGCAAAGCTCTTGGAGACCAGGCCGCTAGTGGAGCTCGCCGTCACGCTGCTCACCCACTGAGGGGGGATATCTGAACGAGGGCCAACAGCACCGTGCCCGTGTGCGTGACCGTGCCCGACCAGCTCGCGGACGGACAAGTTAACAAGGGGTGCACTGGGCACACCGGACGCGAGGGTGCGAACGGTGGGAGGGAGGGAAACAGCTTTTTTGGCGAGCTGGATGGCAGCCATGGCGGGGAGAGGATGTGCTCAACGTTGGACGTGACGATGAGGAAACCAGTTGCGGAGTTTGAGGCAGGCGCCGGAGAGGTAATACCCGATCCTCCCCGACGAGGCGGCGCTTAGGAGCGGCTAGCGCCGCCGACCAATCGCCTTCGGGCCATTCTGTGAACAAGTTCGCGGACCAGTCTATTTGGTGTATAGCATGTCTAAAGAAGATTACAGGATTGTAGGCGCAGTCATACACATGACGCAGTGTTCGTCATGAAAACATTAAAGTACGTGTAATTAAGAGGTCGTTTAGAACCGCTGCCTCGCGAGATGCTCGTCAAGGCAAGCGAAAACTCGCTGCTTAGGGTATTTCGGCGCAACTGGAAGACCATGTTGTTTGGCAATGCGGCGCAGCACACTGGGATCTGTAGCAAGGCGTCGTGAGATCTCTAGGCACAGGTACAGTAAATGAAGAGCATACAATCGGTAATGATACCGTCCACCTGGTAGTCAAACATCTTCTCCGCTTCGTTAAGCCGATTCACCTAAACGTAATTCGCTCAATGCCGATAGCCCTTGCTGCACTTGAAACGAATGCTTACAGTCCACACCTTCACAGACATGTCCAGCCTGTGACCCTCGTCCACCATCTCCTTCGTGGTGAAGGCCACATAGCTTTCCATCAATGGGTCGGGGGCCGGTGTGAAGTAAGAACTAGCAGAAGAAGAAAGTATGTCTGCACCAATAGCGTGTGCTGCTTGCGCGACCTGATGCCCGAGCGTGGGTCCAGGAAAGGAGTCAAGTCGCAATCCGGCTAACCACGGCGTAGTAGTGTTATCTGGCATGAACCCCGTGTCGCTGATCATCATCAGTGGTGTACTATAATGGAGTAACAGATCGCGACCCACTCGTCAATAAGCGCCGAGATGGGCATAGATGGATCTAGGTCCTAATTACTCGATGTTGAGTGATGCGCCATTGCTCAATTATTTACTGCATACCTTCATGGCCACCAAGGTTCTCCAATCGAAACTTTGGTACTAGAGATAGAAATAAGACGGGCTGCAATTGTGTGCCGTTCTGGTCTTACCGTAATAGACGAGTAGTAGGGACTGGCTCGGAAAACTGCACTTTGCCTCCGAACAAAATCTTGCACTCCCCTAGTCCGCTCCGGGTACTGTGCATTGATCTTGGATTCGATGTTCCAGCGGATCTGGTGTCCAGGGTCCGCACACTCCACGAATTCAAAGACCTCTTGCATGGTTGATATCCGTGTTCCGGGGTACGTCAGCTGCATCGCTGTACAGCACGCTCGACTCTTCGTTCAACATGCAGACATAGGGCGTGAGCCTTACGATAGTCGGCTTGCCTCTTCGACCCGCAATCCAACGTCCGCAATTGCGCAAACGTGAGATTCGCGACGTACTTCCCGACGTATGGGAAGTCCGGATCGCCGGAGAACTTGAGCGCTCGTGAGTGCGAGGGACACGGGATGCCTGATGGAGACTCACAGCCGGTGAGGTATCAATACATTTCTCTGGGGCGATGCTATTGTCGTGCCAAACCACTACAACGCCATCCTAACCACGGTGTCAGCCCAGCTTGCCCTCAAACATGCACTCCGACGACTCACTTTGGTGATTCCGTTGTCGAGCTCTAGTGTCGTCGCCCCATCGATCAGGCCCCTTGATCAGATGTATGAGGCGCCATTTCTCGACGTCTTTGTGGAACATACCAGGCGAAGCTGGGGAGTGTGTTCTCTATAGTATTTCCTCTGCCGCCTCGATGAGCCTGCGATACGCGGCGTGAGTACGTAAAACAGTCTCGGCAATGGCACACTCACTTGTACGTCAAATAACTGTCGGGGTGGTGGTCGTGGTGATGGCTCGAGGGGTTTCTGCGCAGGCGAGGCGAGGATCACCAACACCTGGTTGGCGATGTGCGTCAACACCGAGAGAGGGGGGAACATGGGAGACAAGTGTTGAGTTACGAGGGGTGAGGTCCGCACCGCATACCCAGGAGCATCGGTAATAACATCGGAGGCATCGCCCACTGTCACATTTAGACGATGCACGTTGTATGCAGAGCATGTGAGATGGCGCCAAATGCGGCTCTGCAATGACGAACGTTCCTCCGCCGGAACCGGCGTAAAAAGGGGATCGGCCTGAAACGGCAGCAGACGTACCCAATGTGGAAGGTGATGCAGCCGCGGATAGCCGGAATAGACGGCTTCTTCCCATCGGAGGGAGGTGTGTCAATTGTCGCCGCGAACGTGCATCACACGCCATAGGCTGACCACAATAAGTACCGCGCAGTCTGAGATGCAAGCTGACATCATCGGCTTCTCTGAAGTAAGGATCGGCCACAGCTAAAGGAAGACAGAAGACATAAGATTAAGCTATAACATGGCGGGTGAAAGGGCGGAGACCTTTGGCGTTGCCATTATATTGGCATGTCCTCACTGGACAGAATCTAATCACGCCACACCTTGAATATCACGGGCGCCAACACGAACTCTAGTTAGTCTACTAGCACTAAGATAGAAAAAAGCCCACCATTTCCTGAAAGGCTATTTTCGCATACGAACGGACACACTGAGGAAACAGGAGGACGACGGGACGTACTGCACATTCCAACGTCGTATATGGGATCTCATGCCAGGACGAGCAGAGTAATACATTCTGCGGTCGACTGGACCGCAGAGCAGATAGTCAACGTACATGGAGCACAAGGGTACTAGCTCGATCTTGGCGAGGCTGTAGTCTGAGCAGTATCGTGAGGATCATCCTTTGCGCTAGACTTTTCGACTCCTGCAAGTCCAAGATTTCGCCATTGGTCACGCTCCATCAGACCCCTGAGTAGACCGTGTGAGCGTCATCTGTGCGCGAGAGCCGCGGCACACACACACCTGCTCATTCGGCATTCAAGATATTCGCGGTTGAGAAGACGACAAGGCGTCGAATTACTTGAGTTCTTGCGTAGACAGTCAAGATAGACTTTCATGTAGTCTTTGCACTCGCCTATGAGGTTATCTATGAAAAAGCCAGCAACTTCGTGAATGTCCCTGCATACCATAGTGGTCAAGTGGGAACGATCCCCTGTCCTGTGTGGAGGGTAATTTCGTAAACGAGTACAGCATAGAGCATGGTTGCACTAACAGGAGGATTCGGCGAAAAACCTGCAGATATTGAAGGTGGTCGTCCGAAAGACATGACGGCACGCAATGACTGACGACGACGTGATCGGGTCGCACGTCGGACGCGGCCTTCCATATATAGTAAATTCCGAATTCTGAGATTCATGTGGCCGGAGAACTGGGTATTCGGAATTCGTTAGATACAGGCGCTATATAAAAGCCGCAAGCTAGGCATCATGTCGATTGTTTCTCTTTGCCCTTGCCTTCCCCAGATCCTCCACCCGAGGGTGGACTTTGTTGACCGCTCTCCTCGTTCTGTAGAGTCGATCCACCGGATGTATCTCCAAGATCGGGCACAACGCCCTGCAGCCGTTTACTCTTCAGCATGACAATCTCCTTTAACCACCCATTCTCTCGCCTCAGCTCAGATGCCTCGCCCTCTAGCTCCTGCACACGACCGGAAAGGTCGGAAATTGTCCGCTCTAAGTTCAGCGTCCACTGTTTTTTCTTGATCCTGAATCGTGCTGCAGCCCTCGGGCATTCAGCATAATTCAAATGCAATAGGTGAGTGCTCTGACCTGATGCGGCCGTGTTTCGTCTCCTCTTATCCTCAACGATTGCAACCGTATCACCCTCTGAGGGTTCCTGTCCCGCCTCAGGTGACGGTGTGTTGTCTACGGGTGACTGCGGCTGTGGCGGAGGTGGCGGGGTCACTTGCTGCGCATGCGAATGTGACGCTTCAGGCTCGTGGTGCCCGAACATATGCATCTGGTTGCCGCTCGTACTGAACGGGAAGTTTGGTTGCGCGTGGGCTGGAGGCGGCATATACTGATATTGTTGCAGCTGTGGGGGGAGGTGGCCGTACTGACTTTGCATTTGCAGGTATTGCAGCCATGGAAGAGCCGCAAGTAGAGCCTGTGTAGGGTTCGGAATGTTCTGCGCCTGCATGTTAGGCGGCGGCGGCGGCGGCGGCATGGCCTGCTGCAAAGGAACGGTATTTGGAACGGGTGGCCCGCCTTGCAGAGCAAGTAGCGCCCTTGTGAACGCGGCTTCGTCGTAATTCAAAGGGTACGTCGGCGCGGTACTAGAACCCGCTGCGTACTGACTGAACTGATTAAAGTCGAATGTGTCTGAGCCCTGTCCAACCTATTATTCGCCCGTCGCAGTTGTGAGAAGTTCATCAAACATACCCGGTTGCTGGGCCCTGGAATTGGATGCGCTGGAACCGGCTGGCTCGCAGATCGCGCTCGACGGCTGCCTGTGGAGCTACCGCTGGTCGCGTCGCTCGGTGGAATGTTGTGTTGGTCCATGAAGCGGGCTGCGGCTAGGATGTCTTGAATGGCTGTGGACGTTCCCATGTTTTCGTGTAGAAGCATGGACTTGTGATAGCGACACACATCGCCATCCTGAAATGTTCTTCGAATTTGATAAATCTAATGCGCATGTCGACAGTTGACGCTGGCAGCAACTGCTTGCTCGAAGGCTCGCCATACGCGCCGGGGATTGCGCCAGACTGAGAGAGCGCTTCTTCCACGACGCGTCTCACATGATCCGCCTATCACGTCTCTGGATTACGTAACACATCTCCTGCACGTGAGGATGACGTCCGCGTGTACGCGTCTCAATGGAGAGAGGCCTGTGTTTCGCCTGCCACAATCTCTACCGCAACCACCACGTCCCGTAAATATGGTGAGCCACTCATTTTTATTTCGCCAGACAAACCCGCCTTACACCCTTTTAGTTGATTCGAATTAGATCAAAGGACGGGAATTCTCGATTCGAGTTCCCGCCGACAGCTGATATATCAGAGCTCGCGGCGAAGGTGTGTAGTCGGTCACCTGCTCTCATCTGAGCGTTTGCGAACCACTACAGGAACTAGATACTTGAGACGGCGACCAACGCCGATCCTGAGACGCTGACCATTTCCGATCGCCCACGCGGTAACGAGACACTTGTGTCGACCTTGCGGGGGAACAATCTCCAGACCCTTGGTCTCAGGTATTTATGTTTGAGCTCTGAATAGCCCTCGCTCAACTGACAGGCCCATACAGTCATGGCGCACTGTTATTTGTATCCTACAAGGAACGCGCAGAGGAACAACGTACAACTGCCGCGACAGCCGAGGCCACAGTACTTGCGCCAGCGTCTGGTAGTGCGGCTCATCGCCCTTGGGAGTCCGTGAAGGAGGATCCTGTGGACGCCTTCTGGCGCTCCAAAGACGGCAAAATCCCTCGCGGACGTGATGCTAAATTTTGCAAGCATGGTGCGAATGCCATGTGCGACTATTGCATGCCTCTTGAGCCATACGATGCTGCTTACCACACCGAGCACAACATCAAGCACTTGTCATATCATGCGTATCTTCAGAAAGTCACCCCCAAGGTGTCAGCCGCCACGTCGTCGACTGCGCTGCTTCCTCCACTATCCCAATTGTCCTACAAGGTCAAGACTCCGTGTCCCAGTGGGGGTCATCCGCCATGGCCCGCTGGTATCTGTACGGCTTGCCAACCTTCCGCTATAACCTTACAGAGTCAGCCCTTCCGTATGGTCGACCACCTTGAAATCGCTTCCGCGGACATCATTGACCGATTCCTGCAAGCATGGCGGATGACCGGGTCTCAACGGTTTGGATGGCTCATCGGCCGTTATGAGCCGTATGATAAAGTTCCCATGGGTGTCAAGGCGGTGGTAGAGGCCATCCATGAACCCTCACAAGAAGGCGAAACCGATGGCCTGACACTGGGCTTGCCATGGGAAGATGAGCCTCGTATCCGTGTCTTGGCGGCCGCTGCAAATCCACCACTGCAAATAGTGGGTTACATTTTTACAGATCTAGAGCCGTTACCAGAAGACAGGACCAAAAACAAGTACAAGCGCCATCCACAATCATTCTATCTGTCATCGCTCGAGGCTATCTTCACCGCTCATGTACAGAACACCAACCCAACTCCTTCAAAGTCCTCCACAACTGGTCTCTTTGCGTCCCGTATGGTGACGGCTATATTGACCGGCACGGAGGACGGTGGCGTAGATGTTTCTGCGTACCAAGTCTCAGAACAGGCTTGTGCTATGGTGGAGGCAGACATGATCGAGGCTAGTGTTGATCCTGGTATTGTCCGAATCAAGGAGGAGGATCGTAATCACGATACAGCACGATATGTGCCGGACGTATTCTTCCGGTATAAGAACGAGTACGGTTTGGACGTACAGAAAAGTGCAAAGCCTTCTTTCCCGGTGGAATATCTCATGGTCAATGTATGTGAAGCATTTTTTCTCGCTGGCCTCCCTGTCTGACTCAGTGATCTTTTGCAGGTGTCCCATGGCTTCCCCCAAAACCCATCACCGACATTCCACTCTACAGCATTCTCCATTGAGAATCGTCCTGGTGTGGAGAGTCAGAGTACCGACAGCGTGATTCGCGAACTTTCTCGTCTTCGAGCGCCGGACATACCTGAGAGCACTTTTGGTGGTGACCCGCACCTCCGTAGTGCCTTAGCCAAGTGGTTGAGCGACTGGCATCTTATATCATTTCTGGGAACAACACAGCTGCTATCACAGGTTTGTGTCGTTTGTTACTTCCAAGATCGCCCTCATCTGTATTCATAACCTCGTGCAGGATGATATGAAGGTTCTCTTGAACGTTGCTACATCATCCAATGTCGACGACCCGGGAGTTCTTGATCCTCTGATTCGGACGGAAGGGTGGCAAACATTGATGACCTTCACGCGTGAAATGGCTCGTGAGTACTCCTATGTCGTGTCCACCCTTGTCCGGCTCACTGATCGATTTTGTCGTCGCGCAGCCGCTCGTCCGGACACATCGGCACCCTCGGCGCCTTCGCACACGGCGATGAACGAAGACATCCCGCAGGAGATCTACGACCAGATAGCAAGAGAGGAAGCTGGCTATGGGAGCGGCGGCGGCGGCGGTTCTAGTGCCGCCGGCAACGTGCGTATCTGCCCTCACTGCACTTTTGAGAACACGCATGGTGGCAATGATTGCGAAATTTGCGGGCTGCCATTGTAACGCTTGCTTGTTGGACAATGATTGAGCAGCGGTACATCAAAGATTGTACAGTTTAGAACGACTAATCGATATCGATTACTCCGTCCAGATGACGGTCCTTGTGCAGAAGTCCTGTATCTGTTGTGAACTCGATCACGATCGCCACATTGTTGTTATTCGCTCTTTCTAACCGAGACGTCGGTGGGGTCGCTCGCCGTCGGCCCGTCACTATCCACAGCTGTATGCGCAAGCCGGCAATGTCATTTAGCATCAATTCCTCGCAATGATCCAACACACGGTTTCTCGGTGTGTAGTATTCGTGCAGATGTCAAAGACAGTACTAACGAGCACAACTGTTGCATGAAGATGGCAGACGATCCAACTACTTGTTCCTCTCGGTTAAGATGTCGGCGAGAGTTGAAGATGTAGGTGTAATCGGTCTTTGAAGCTCAGTAGTGTGAGGTCATGTGTCCTTATTGCCGAAGCAAGTGTGAGTGCAGAGATTTTGGACCTATACGCGATGTCCGCGCTACTTCACCGATCCGTGCAGCAATAGGCGGACGTTGGGGCGAATTGGTGGGAAATGCAGCGGTGACTGTACGATGCTCTCTACCAATAGCATTTTATGGTCTATAAGCGGGACCGGCAAATGTGATGCATTGGCCATCAATTACATATAGTCAAGCGAGGCACGAGAAGGCGACCTCCGGGCCTTGAGGCATTAGAGTTTAAATACGGAGGTCGCCGTTCTTCACTCCTGACCGTCGAGTATGTCAGCAGAGGTGCTTCGCTTGAAGGAGGAGGGCAATGCGCTGTTCTGCAAACACGAGTACGCAGCGGCCCACCAGAAGTATTCGGATGCTCTTGCACACGATGACAAGAACGCCGTACTGTATTCGAATCGTGCAGCTTGCTCATTAGGCTTATCAAGGTGAGTTTGGTTTAGCATCAGCCCTTTGTGAGCGTCATAGCACTGACTACGAGGAGATTCACGGATGCAGAGACTGATGCCCTGAAGGTGAGCCAAGCATATAAAACTATGTCTGCGCTTATGAACGATTGTTTCAGGCGACGCAGATCGATCCGAAATATGCCAAGGCATGGGCGCGTCTTGCTTCTGCACAACGCGTAAGCTCGCCTTCTAGCACAAACTGGAGTAGTCTGAAGTTTACTCACACTCGACATTTGTAGTCTCTTTGCGAGCATGAAAAAAGCCGAGAATCTTGGGCGAAAGCTCTTGGTGCCCTTCCGGCTGTGGGTCTCACAGCAGCAGAAGAGAGGCAGAAGAAGCAATACACAGACGAACTAAAGAATACCGTTGAGGCACTCAGCAACCGTCCAGGGCAGGTACCGTATGTCACTGTCAAAGCGGCGGACGCGCCATGGGTAAGAGCCGAGGCCATGAGTGCACGGCTACGAACCGATCCCACACTTATGCAAAGCAGTGTATGTTGCATAGCCAGAGCTGAGTCCAATGTGTCTTACAGAATATGCATATTTAGGCATGGGTGATTTTTGGTGCTTCTCAAGTATGCACTGATGTGTTTTCATCCTCGAGTACTCCAACTCAGGACACGCTCCCAGGATTGGAAGGAGGGTCTGAGGATGATGAAGCAGCTAAAGACGACCAAAATCAGAGGGACAATCGCGCTATCAGGATATACCGGAGTACGTCCTTTCCCAATGTTACTCGAGTTCACTACATTGAGGGAAATTAGGCTATTACTGAGATCTCCAATGCCATTATTCGCGATCCTAGAATCTTTCATTTCGCTGACAACAAGTGGCAGAAGATGTACAATGATCAAGGTGCGTAGATTGGTGGTAGACCCGAAGATGTTCACATACGAGCGCTGAATCCCTAACACGAACTTGCAGTCACGTTCGAAAGCCAAAAGACAGGGGCATGGACCTCGGGGAACGCTCAGTTCATTATAGAGGAGGTGCAGAAACGGCAGCGCATTGATGGGTGGGATGGTGTACGCCCAGCCTTGGCAGTCACACTTCGGTATGCCAATCTCAAGTACCCCGCTGTGAGGTTTCTCACATAGACTGTATCATCGGCCAGTGGGTGGTTGATGCGAGGCTTCGAGGCCTTGCAAATTTCAAACAAAGGCGACGTGGCGCTGGAATTCTACACGCGCGTTCTGGCTGTGCTGGACTGGGGACGGCACGCTTGGCGGAACGTCTCGATAAAAGACAAAGGTGCCATTTTCATGCCCACTATTGCTCGAGGCATAAAGTGCTTGCGTCTAGACGCTATGATGGTGGTATGGATAAACTAGGTGAACTTGGCTGCATTCTGGCTGACCAGTATTTTCGGTATATCAAAAGATATGTCGCACAGAGCAGGATCCTCAGCGCGCCTTGACGGATCTATACGAGGAGTCCAATCAATTACTGGCAGAGATGGAAACGGCCCCTGCCGTCTCCCCACCCGGTCCGATCGACCCTGGATTCTTTCTGTCGTTCTATCTCTATCCAAAGGGCGAGGCACATTCGTAAGTCAGCACCACTAATCGCATAAAAATGTTCGCAATACGGTTGACAGGATGATCGGCTTCTATCATAATCAAATGGCCAGCGCATGTGCGCGGCGTAATGAAGAACCTGAGACCGTGAAGGACCACTATCGCAAAGCGGCAGAGGCATATCTCAGAGCTGCCGATGTTTTCCCTCAGGATGACGAGAAACACGCCTGTACGCCACTGGTCCCTGCACTCTGTCACACTGCTCTCCCTGATGCCGTTCCGCGTATGTCATCATAGCATTTCTTCAGTGCGCCACGGATGCGCTGCTCGCATGCAGCACGATCAAGGAGCTACTTCCTGTGATGAAACGGTTACGGTTAGCTATCCCAGAAATGAAGAAGATCTGGGAGCATTCGTCAATGGCAAGGGAGAGAGACATGGCTCTGCAGCATACTCTGCGATGTGAGGAACAAATCTTGGAGGGTCTCAAGAAGGGAAACTTCAAGCTGGACGACCAAATCTCGCGTCAGCTGGGATAATTACTCGTCTCAGATATACGCTTTCCTTACTGAAAAGCCAAGCCGACTAATATTCTGTTACCTCGGACACCAGTCATGGGAGTCGGCAAAGAGCACGAGAAAGCACTCGTGAATTCTCCTCGACCTCGGCGGAATAGTAGAGTTTGATCACACGCTGTTTCGTGATTCCCCATGCCATTCGCTTGCTCTCGAATAGTGTACAGTACATTGGCATGATCAACTACCCAGTACACCGTTCTCCAGGTGCTCTCTCCACAGACTACCGATGCCGCTATTTCCTGAATCAATATCACTCTCTGCGACCTTGCGTTGTACAATGAGGCTGGGCACAGCGGAGAATGCCCGCAGTCGCCCACTCTGTATGAGCCAGGACATCGCCTGATCTATGGCGCGCGAGTACGCAAAGGGCGGGTGACGCAGATGCAGGAGCAGCCGGCGAGCGCCCGCGCGCGTGAGCGCGTAGGCGTGTGTGCATTTTGGAGCGAAGGACGGGTGGAGGTTGGTGCTTGTTTTCTTAAAAGTTGCTGAGGGCGAAGGTGGAAGAGCAGGGTAGTAGCTCTCGTCTGACCAACAATGTCCTATTTCCCAATAAGTTTGACATAAGATACCAGGATCGCGCATCATGGACACACCGAGGAAGACGACATCCCATTCAGACGGCAGGGCAGTCCAGACATCTTGAAGTCTCGCTTGTATGTCGCGTTCCATATCTATGTCGTCTTCTAGCACGATGCCAACGCCGCGCGACAGAGGATTGTATGAAGTAACCACGGCATTTCCACTCGGGGCAGAGGCGAGCGTGTCCGGAGCAACACTATTGGCGATACGCCGTATGACTTCCAAGTGGGACATCCAGCAAGCTACTTTGGCTGGGGTCAAAATCATATAAGGAGGAAGCGACGGTGTGAATTCAGGCCCAGTGATGTTATTCCTTGTCGCACATGTCAGAGGAGCGATATCAGGACCAAAAGCCGTCTCTGGGAGATGAGCTTCCAGGATGCCGTCGAGATCATCAAGAGATTGTTCAAGACCTCGCTTGTTAGGCGGCCAGACAGAGGAGTCAGAGAAAAAATTGGTGTCGTCGGGTGATTTGGCCCAGATATCAGATCCTGCTAGGTCCAGTGGCATTGAGGAGTGTACAAGCGCGTCAATCTCCAAGATGTCGGGCCAAGCGAATTGTTGCGGGAGGTCGTCCTGGAGTTCGCCAGGAGGGAACCGTGTCCTACGGACACGTTCCAAAACGTCCACGATGGACGGGTCGCCAGATGGCACCGCGTCGACGTAGGTCCAATCTAATTCCAGAGCCTGTTTCAACCGCTCCATAGCAGCTCTTCTGTCTGTCCTATGTGGAAGCGAGACAACGTATATATTTGAGGCTACGCCTAGCATATGGTCGTCTTGTACATTCGCGACGTTATGCTGTAGGAGTGGTCGCTTTAGGGTTCCAGGAACTGGGAGGTTCTGAGACGCAAAATTAGGTAGAATACTGAGGAGAGGCGAATGAATCAGAGCCGACGGTCGATGGCTCCAGAGAACATCAGATGCAGAAAGACCCAAGCTGAGAGCACCCGAGCCAAAGAACATCCAGCCTGACGAAAATACACTGATAGCAACGGCGCAAAACATGAGCAGCACACGCCGAGAGAGGAACGACATGGCGGGAGGGAAGGAGGTGCGTGAACGCTCAAACACGCCGGGATCAATAGCAGCAAACATCCCTTCCGCATTTGGCCTGCACACCTTGCAGTGAGCGACACCGACCATGCCGCGGAAAGCCAAAGCACTCCTCGGGCCCTCAAAGCTGTCCAAGGTCCTCGAGAATCTAAACAAGGCACCCCGCCCACAGCTCGAGGCCATCAAGAGTCTGAAGCTCACGTATGCACAGCGGAATGACCACTTCGGGGCGAGGTGCGCTCATGTGTTTCTGCGGCACGAGGTGGACATCCTCATGTCTTGTGGGTGTGTTATGTCTACAGGCATTTTGTAAAGGAAGACCTTCCGCGGATACGCTTCGCCAACCCTGACATGGAGATTCGAGTGAATAAGCTGCCGAGGGCCCCGGAGCACAAGTGGCAGCCAGAGATGGTGGTCGAGTTCCGTACGTTCATAACCCTTGTCCACAGTTTGTCTACTGATTCTCGGTATACGCGGCATGTGCATTGCAGGCGACGGCACATCACGGATCCTCAACATGGACCAGAAATGGTCGTCTGCCATCTTCCAGGAACTCATGGACCTTGGCGGTGGGTCCCCGTGGCTGCGATGGAAGAAAGAACGTGCAGCAGCCGGACTTCCTGTTGTTGACCCGCCCACACCAAAGGCCTTCAAAAATACAACGTTTGACGATCCATTCTTTGGCAAGGACCGACCAAAGACTGGTGCCGCAGCCGTTTTACCGTAAATTGTCTCTGCCATACACTGGTTACACATATCATCGCATTGCCGGGGCAGCCGTCACATATCATAATACACATTAGCTTGCAAACCAACTTGCAATCCATACAAGTAGCCCGATGCCGACCAGAAGGCCTGCAATGTCATCTAGGAAGACGCTTCCAATCTTCAGATACGCTAGGCCATTCGTAACCAATGAAGGTAATGGCGGAGGAAGGTGCGGAAGCGCCAGCGCTAGCAGCATTGGTGGTTGTGGGACATCCTGGAACGCGGTTGGAATATTTGCCGAGATCAGAACAGAAGAGACTTACAAGCTTCGAGAATATGCGCCATGAGTGTAAGATTAATGCTAGAGTCGTAAATGCCCAGAAGAACGGCTTCGGGGAATGTCAGAGATCTATTAGCGAGGAGATCAGGCACTTACTACAGGCTGCACACCCCAATCCTCAGGGCCCCTCCATCCGAGCTCTGCCCAGCGTCTCCAGAACCTGTCAGAGCCAGAGCCATGCGTCTGCGCTTCATAAGCTTGGGGCTCTTGCCATAGTATGAAGTATGCGAGCAACGCCCATCCAGCGATGAGATGCAGGAACGGCAGCAGCTTTTGGAGACGTGTCTTTGGTTTTGTCATGACGGCCTTTTCAGAAGTCATACCTGGCATGTTGCCAGCCTGCGCGAAATTAGCCATCATGGCCGCTAGCGGGTCGCCTTCTGAGGACGCGCCAGGTAAGGATGGTAGCGGGCCAGCGGCGGCGAGTGCCTCGCGGAGTTGTCTCATCGTTTCGTCGGGGGAGGACGTCTCCGGTACGCCACCATTGGGAGGACGTGCTGGCGGTGGGCGCACCTGCTGGGGACGCGTTCGCTGGCGCGAATCCCTGGGTGCAGCGGCCGTCGCGGTGGGCGTGGGGAGGTCCGTCTGCTCGCCGACGAGCCGTTCGAGCGTGGGCCGGTCGGGCAATGGTGCGAGCGGGGGGTCTGAAATGCAGATGTCAGCGTCACATAGACGTGCAGCAGACGTGCGCACATACCGTCATGCATGTACGCCGACGCATCCTCGCCCCTTGCGGAGGATGTGAGCCTTGCGAGGCGGTCGCCGCCACGGCTAAGGATGGCCTTTCTGCGAGCCTCTGCGCGTGCTGCCGCGGACATGGTGGTTTCGTACTGGCTTCGTGTATGGGACGTGCCACCGGTCAACAGCGTCAAACACAGGCGCTACTCTTCGTCGATCATCGTGCACCGCGTCCAGCGTGCTCCTGCACTGCTCCAACGTGTCTCTTTCCTGCTCACCCTCACCAGCATGTCGCGACAGGACAAGGCCACCACAGAAAAGCATGCAAAGACACTCAGGGAGCTGCTCAAGAGGCCCGAGAACAAGGTCTGCGCAGACTGCAAGCGGAACGGTGCGTCAGATCTACTTTAGGGTTGCTGACGGAATGTTGAGACATCGCCGCCACCGTAGACCCCCGATGGGCATCATGGAACATGTAGGGTACCCGCTTAATTTCTGGAATGCGCCTAATAAGGCATTGCTGCTAGTGGTGTATTCCTATGCATTCGCTGTTCGGGAATCCACCGATCTATGGGTACTCATATAAGCAAAGTCAAGTCCGTGGACCTTGACGTATGGACACCCGAACAGATGGCCGTAAGTACCTTATGGCGGTTTCTTGGTGCCGAGGCCTCACCGTACCTCGCAACAGTCCATACAAAAATGGGGAAACCGCCTAGCGAACCTGTACTGGGAAGCGCATCTCAGGTCAGGTCATATCCCGGCTGATCAGTACGTGACTTCAGCAGTCTGCGTAACTAGCCCCAGTTCTGACCATCTCTGTAGCAAGATGGATTCATTCATCCGTTCCAAGTATGAATCCAAACGATGGGCAATGGAAGGCCCTCCGCCTGCTGACCCCTCCACCCTCGATACCCAGTCTGCAGCTGCGCCAGTGCCAGCAGCCACAATACCCGCACAGACGACGCAGGCAACCTCACGATCGCAAACACCCGTAGAATCACTCGTCACCGTCTCCGCATCCCGTGCATCCATCACGAACCGACAACCACAACCACATCAGCTGCTCTCCACGAGCATTGCGAACCGGAATCAGCAGGGTGCGGCTGCATCCACGATATCCGCGCCACAGGCCCAGCAACATACCCCCCAGCTCCAGGCTACACCCACGCCCTCAAACGATCTGTTCTCGCTCGATTTCAACGCGCCCGCGAGCACGCCATCCGCCCCAGCCGCGTCCGCGCCGAGGAAAGACGTCAAGCAGGACATTCTCTCGCTCTTCTCGACGCCTGCTGCTCAACTTGCTGCCCCGCAGACGGCCCCTGCACCCATGGCGTTCGGTCAGTTCGGTCAGCTCACGCAAGCGCAGACCGCATGGAGCCCATGGGACTCGCAGGCGACGCAGCCTGCAGCTCAGTCAACGAACGTGGTCGGGCACGCCGCCAGCGGCTCTATGGGCTGGGGGACGACACCACAGGCTCCGGCACAGCCCAACATATGGGGCGCGCCGGCCGCACAGCCAGCCGTTCAGCAGCAGTCTCTCTTCACCACCAGCGATGTGTGGGGGTCGTCCGGAGGTGCGAGCACGGGCGGGAACGAGATATTTGGCTCGCCGCTGCCTGGTATGCAAAAGAAGGACGATGCCTTTGGGGACATCTGGGGCGGCTTCAAGTAGCTCACGGCATATTAGACGCACGCGGATTGTTCGTACATAGTTGCACTATCGTATTCACTTATGGTACACGCTTCTTGACTGCGAGACACGGGGTAACCCAGCTGCCTTCACCCCGTTCATTCGTTGATTCGGCACCATGCATCTCCGGCTACGCCAGTCCGAGATCCTGGAAGGCACCGTCAGCTCGTCGTTCTAGCAGATGCCGGACGAACAGACCTTTTCGATGAGCCGGCGGGCAATAGGATGGAACTCGTCCTTAGCCGATGTGAACACCTGCACGGCAAGTGCGTGGTCGACCTTGTTCACGTCCCTGAACACGGGCCGGCAGAACTTCATGCGGCCCTTCACGACGCCGGTGCTGTCCTTCCCAACGACCCACTTCACCGCCGCGGGCGCGAGCGCAGTCGCAGCGGAAGACGTGGGGTCAAGGAAGACGACCTCGTAGAAGCGCAGGCGGATCTCAGGGTTCGTGGTCTCGGCGAGCTGGTACAGGTTGCCGAGGAGGGTGACGTGGGACCCGGGAAGAGCTGGGTAGGACTGCAGGCGTTCCAGAAAGGCGACTGGGGGAAGAGAAACAACGCGTGGGCCAATGGCATCCTACGCACAAGCATTCGCAGTGAGACAGACGTACCCTTTTGGTTCGAATCGAAGGCATCGAGGTCGGAAGAGGCGAAGGGAAGCTTGGTGGCGTCGGCGGTAGACCGGGACGCATCCCACTTGGCCGCGAGCTCGTACGCCTGTTCGGCGAGCTGCAAGTCATACTCCATCTTGACCGGAAGCTCGGTGCCTTCGCCGCTGAGCCATGCCTGGTACATCCGTCTGAGCGATCTGCGGATCCGCCGACATGATAGATGACACCCACATTCCAGTCGATGCTGTTCAGCGCCGTGATCTTCTTCTGGCCCCCGTGCTTCTCGAAATAGGCGTACAGGTGGGCCTTCCATTGCTCGGTAGTAATGCTCCTGCCCATGAAAGTAGAGACGTAGTCATACGCGTACGGAAGGAAGACTTCCAGCCCGCCGACGGTCCGCTCTGTGCGCCGTGGCTATGAGACAGCCATGGCAGGATGAAACCGCGGCACGACTGACCGAGGTGGAGCAGGAGGTTGGCCCCCTTCTCGTACGGGATCTTGCTGTACGCGTCGTCCGGGTCCTCGCCCTTCTCGAACGGGATGACCAGGCGCTGGTACTTCGGCTGCGCCACGTAGCGCTGGAGGTCGTCGTACATGGACTTTGCGCCGATGACGAAGCTGAATCCGCGCTCCTCCGGGGTGTGCACGAGCTGCAGGATGAGGCGCTCCATGTAGGTCGTCCAGCCCTCGTTGAGCCAGAAGTGGGACGAGTTGGCTTGCCTGCGGGGGCAATTGGGTGTCGGAGAACGCGGGCATGAGTGAAAGAAGCGAACGTACGTGACACCGTTGCCGAACCAGGAATGCGAAAGCTCGTGGATCACGACGTCGACCTTGGAAAGGGGAGTCTCATTCCCACGTATGCGGACAGATGCACGGAGGAGCGTACCAAGGACCTGTCCCCGACAAGAAGCGCTGTTCGCACGACGCGTCAAACAGCATGAACGAGGATGGCCATGGCAAACGGGCAACGTACTGGGCGTCAGGAACGTCAGACAGGCGTTCTCCATGCCGCCATAGGGGAAAGACGGCGGGAGGACCAGCACGTCGTATACACCGAACCTATACGGCGGCAGAATCGTCTCTGCCGTCACGACGAACCTGGGGGAGACCGCGTATCAGCGGATGCGCGCGCGCGTAAGGCGAGACAGTTGCCCCACTTGTTGATGGCTTGCCCGAATTCCCAGTATGCGGCTTCGATCGTTTCTGGTTCCGCCCATACGCCGGCGGACCACTGCTTCCCGTCGACCTTGGGGCACGGGAGATAGCGCACGTTGCCTGCCGCGATGGCGATCAGGTATGAAGGGATCGGTACGGGCTAAGTTACCGGGAAGTCAGGGCGTTAGCGTCGCCGTCGCAAAGCGGGCGGAATGAGATAAATGCCACACCTGTTTGTACGTGTACGTAACAGTCTCCTTGCCAATGATCTTCCCATCGTGAGCAGGGCCGTCAGACGGGGGAGAGACGCGGATGGCGGACAGGAGAACCGGCAACACAGAGGATACCTTCGCCCCGTATGTCTACGCAAAGTCATCAAGTAGTGCCGTGGATGATATCAAACGCTGAACCCATACAATCTTGACTGCCGGCGTGTCCTGCAATGGCGCGAGACTGCGCGCATATATCGGCTGGCATTGGCTGAACAGATACGGGAATGTTTTGCCCTGCGTCTGCCTGAGGACAGACAAATTAATCGTAAGTGAGCTCGCGCGGCACGGAGAACGCTTACTCCTTCTCGAGCCACTGAAGCGCCATGCAGTCCTTCGTCGTCTTATAGAAGACAATGACCTTTATTTTTGCGCCCTCTTGCAGAGTGGCAGGGAGAGGGATCTGCAATGCAGAGCCCATGACTGGATGTGCAGCTCCCAGGCTGTACTGTTGGCGTAGACAGTCACGATGAACGGCAGCACGCAGAAAAGGCAGCCGAAATGAACCGTACTTCAGCAGGCCGGCCCTCTACCAGCGCCTTCTCGACATCGAGGCCGATTGTGTCGAATCTGCGGGCTGTGCGTAGGTGCTACAAGATAAACGCAGTGCGTCGAGTGAGCTTACATGACGTGTTTTACGCCCTGCTTCCTGACGACAAGCGTGTGCGTGGCAGAACCAGAGATGATTCGCTGCGTAAAGTCGACCGCCCAGTCGAGGTCGACATGCTCCGAGGCGATCTCCTCGTAGTTTGCTTGAGTGGTCAGGTCCTGATCGAGAGACATTCTGGTAGGATATACAACTGGAGACGTCAGGTAACAATCAGCCCGTCTCTGAGGCTATCTTCACTTCGGTTCGTTGGAGGATGTGGTGAGGAGAGCGAGAGGCGGAAGTAGTAGCACTTAGCAGGTACGGTATGTATGCTTGTGGAATCGATCGCGATCACATGGCACGCGTCCGAAAATCGTCGATCACCCCCGTCGCTTGTTTCCCCGTGCCTTTCCTCAGCCACAGCGCCTGGCTGCCCTCGCTATGCCCAGACACGCCGACAAAATAGGTCAGTCGAATGCCAGCCCGTCGTAGGCAGACCAGCATTGCTAAACATCCTATGATCCCAGGTTCTCTCTTGTTCTGCCCGGATTGCGGAACTCTGCTCAACCTTCCCCAGGATGGCGAAGACGAGGTGACATGCGAACAATGCGGCCACCAAGAGCCTGCCAGCTGTGCGTACAGCCTGTTCACTCCCTCGGTAGATGGGCTAGCGAACGCGTCTCACAGCGTACGAAAATATTGAAATTGTGACACGATCCCACCCGGACGCATTCCCGTCGCCACTACGGCAGAAGGGGAAGACGCAGACGAAGGTGCACGAAGCCAACGAAGCGCTGCTCAAGGTCTGCGGCATTCGTGCTCTAGACTGGCACGGCCTTGACACGGTTCTGATCGCAGGTGACCGAGAAATGCCCGGAATGCGGACACATGGAAGCGTACTCGCAAGAAGCTCAGGTGAGAGAATATGTGCATCAGACCATTGGCATGCATTGATCTGGGGGTGTACAGCTGAGAAGCGCGGACGAGGGATCTACGATATTCTATACCGTGCGTGCGCGCGGGACCCAAGCTTTTGGCGACTGGCTAACAGGCATGCTATTGGCAGTGTGTCAAGTGCAAATTTGGCTGGCGCGTCAACAACTAAGTGTATTCCAAGGGGGCGCCTCCGTGTGCGAGGTGGAGCATGGTTGGATACCTCCGGGTTGCGGCTATACGTACACACCGACGGTGCAGAACATGGCGACGACGCCGAAACCGGCGAGGATGCTGGCGAGGGAGGCGACGGCGACTTCACGGATAGGGACCTTGTCTGTCGGGAGTCTACAATGTACAGGTCCACATCAGCTGTGTAGCGCAGGAAGCAGAATGTGTGCTTACGTGGAAAAGTAGAACGCGAGGACGAATGTTGCGGCGAGGAGGAGGAAGGCGAGGTAAGGCAGGAGCCCCACGGGGACTGAGGGTGAAAACGAGGGAAGCGTGCGGTGGAGAGCCTGGCCGAGGGCGGTGGGTAAGCAGCAGGCAGAGAAAGCAGAATAAAACGAAAACATACGTGAACGGCCTGGTAGTCTGCCATGGAGGGCCGATTCTGGCTGGAGCGGGTGGCTGCGGCGGCGAGGGGAGGGTCGCTGACGTACGTGGCAGGCAAACACGCGTCATCAAAGCCTATACAACCCCAAGCACGCCCTCGCTGTTCTTCAGCTTCCACCACCACCTCCTCCTTCTCTCCTCCCTCCTATTCCTTTTTCTATTCTTCCCAAGGTCAGTGCACTGCATCAGACAAACATTCCGTTGCTCATTTTTCGTGTCTATCATCCGCTGCGTCGTGCACGTCACACCCCAGATGTCTGCCACGCAGAAGCTCCAGCAGCACCCCGCTGTCCAGCAGGCTCAGGTCAAGGCTACCTACTACATCAACCAACTCGACAAAGAGGTGCGTTCCGTCCGCCGCCGCTCTTGCCAGCGGGTCTAAAATTGACACTTGCGCCATCACGCGACCTTTAGTTGTCAAAATACTCCGTCTTCAACGCCTTTGAGCAGCGAACCCAGGTGCCGAAGAGCTATGCCTTCCTCGGCGCCGTCTTCGTCCTCGCCGTCTTCCACTCGATCAACGCGTTCGCGGCTCCCGTCTCCAACCTCATTGGCTGGGGCCTCCCCGCGTATCTCTCCGTCAAGGCGCTCGAGACTCCTGGCCATCAGGATGACATCCAGTGGCTCACGTACTGGGTCGTCTTTGGCTTCTTCAACTTTACGGAAAGCTTCGCGCTGCGCGTTGTGCTCTACTACTTCCCGTGGTACTTCGCCTTCAAGACCCTCTTCATCCTCTGGCTCCAGCTCCCCGCATTCCGCGTACGTTCCTGACGTCATCACTCCTTCAAGATTCTTTGCTCACTTGACTTGATGCTGTAGGGCGCTCAAGCTCTGTATGGAACCGTCGTGAAGCCCGTGTTTGTGAACGTGCACCAGAAGGCGAGCTCGGGCACCACGACTTCAGCCGAGGCGACCGTGACGGCTGATGGCCTGCGTGACCGTGTCGCCACGGCGACGGAATGAGCGGGCGTGTCGCTTGCATATGCATCTCTATTCTGGATCGTTCGCTACGTAGACCGATGTTCGCCTTTCTCGCGCTAGCTGAATCTTGATCGTGCATCGTATGGGGGAGCCCATCTACCGGGTGTACCAAGATTTTGCGGTGTATTCTAACAAACACTCTCGCCATACAATGATGGTGTATATGATTCGCGATGAATTTCATGACTATAATGACGACTGCCAACGGAAGGATCCCGACGCAGCAAACCCGCTCACATCAGCCAACTCATTCAGGACGCGTGAAAATGCGCGTCCGCTGTCGCATTCAGGCACGATATAACACGGTTCGACGTTTCATGGTATAACTACGTATCTCATATCAATGGAATACCTGACTAACTAATTATGGCCGCTTGAATGTCAGCTCAAGGCGCATACCTGTTTTCCATCAATTACAGGCGCGCAGAAGAAAAGTCGAAGACGGTATAGAACGCGTCGGTCATATCGCAGGGTGCGTCTATGTAGCCAGGGTGACAGGGCCTTGTTTTGAGCTCGTTGCCCACATGATCATGAGCAACATCATGAGCAACAATTGCGCCCGACGGTTCGGTCGGGACCGATCGATGCCCATATTGTGCCTTGCCGTACCCTTGGCCGAAGATTGCTGCACTTTAGCTCGACGCTAGAGACGCACGCACGGCAATCCTTATGGCTCCCAAAGCTCGCAGGGCGGCGAAGTGAAACGGCGCATGGACGGGGGGCTTTGTGCGATAGAGCTCAACGGAAGCTCGGTGCTAATGCTCGGTTATGTACGATAACGCTGGACTCGAACCTTGCTGGACGTAATTGCAATGATGCAGCGGTGAATGGAGCCTGCAAGACGATACTTCGGACCAGACACGTCTGGATGAGCATCACCGGGCGGGAGCGTTTGTTGCGGTCCCACGGAGATGGCTTGGCGGCCGAATGGGCTGTGCGCAGGGACGCATCAAGGACGGGGCTGCACTCTCCGCTGGGGCGGAGGGCGACTAGAATATATGCAATGCAGAGAAGAAGCGCACCAAGTTGGCGGAGAGATTCAGACGGCCACATGGAGGGCTCATCTGCCCTGCTGATAGCCTGCCGCCGGACCTTCTACCGCCAGAGATACCGTATATTACAAGCCATGCGCGCTGCCTCCGCGCTCCGCCTCTCTCCCTTCCCTCGTCCCCGTCCCTCAGGCAGACATGTCGATGTCCGACTACTCCCTCGAGAAGGACAATGCCAGCGGGAGCGGCATCGACGTCGAGTCCCCCGCCGCCGCCGCTGCCCCCGCAGAGTTCCAGCGCCCGACCGGGCTCAAGGGCTTCTACTACAACCCCGTCGTTCAGGTGTTCATGCTCGGCTTCGTCTGCTTCATGGGCCCCGGGCTGTTCAACGCGCTGAACGGCCTCGGCGGCGGCGGGCAGCTGAGCACGACGACGAGCGCGAACGCGAACGTCGCGCTGTATGCGACCTTTGCGTTCACCGCATTCTTTGCCGGGTGCGTCGTGTGCCCCGCTGCTGCCTGTCCCCGTGCGCCGTATTGACGTGATGATCACCCAGCTCGATCAACAATGTGCTCGGCCCCCGCCTCACCCTCCTCCTCGGCAGCAGCGGCTACGCCCTCTACATCGGCTCCTACCTGTGCGTGTGCACCCTCCCCGTAGTGTTGTTGGCAGAAATCTGCCACTCTGCCAGGTATTTCTGCCCGCCAGGCAACTGCCATGGCAGATGGCAGAACGGATTTCGCAAAAGTCGGCCTCTAGCATTTCCGCCCACAACACTACCTCCCCGTATGTTCTGTGCGCCGTCTGAGCGCTTGTGCTTTGTAGAACCGTCAACATCCACCCGAAGGCGGGTGCCTTCGTCATCGCCGCCGGCGCCGTCCTGGGCATCTGCGCCGGGCTGCTGTGGACGGCCCAGGGCTGCCTCATGCTGGCGTACCCCATCGAGAGCCAGAAGGGCGCGTTCATCGGCATCTTCTGGACCATCTTCAACCTCGGCGGCGTCGTCGGCGCGTCCGTCTCGCTCGGCCAGAATTTCCACTCGACTGTGAGCACCTCAGCGCGTCTGGCACTTACCCGTCGAGCTCACCATGCTTGCTAGGCAAATGCAGGTATGTTGCAAAGCGACTGCAGCGCGCCAGGATGCTGACTGTGCCTCGTGCTCCTAGTCGGGAACGGTACCTACGTAAGTACAGGTTCTGGCAGCCGGGTTCGACAGCGACCTAATATTCGCACAGATCGGTTTCCTCGTCCTCACCTGCATTGGCGTGCTTATCCCAATGCTGATGGCCAACCCCGACAAGATGCGCCGGTCGGACGGCACCAAGGTGATGACGCTCCGCCACCCCTCCTGGAAGACCGAGTTCTACGGCCTCTGGATCACCCTCCGCACGGACCCCACCATCATTCTTTTGTTCCCGATGTTCTTCGCCAGCAACTGGTTCTACACCTGGCGTGGGTATCTTCACCTGGCTCCCCGTGCTCGTGCGCGACGCTCAGCGCATCGTCTACAGAATTCAACGACTACAACGCCGCGCTCTTTACGATCCGTGCGCGCGCGCTCAACAACCTCGTGTACTGGCTAGCGCAGATCGTGGGCTCCGTCAGCATCGGCTTCCTCCTGGACCAGAGGGCGCTGACCCGCCGCTTCCGCGCGTTCGCGGGGTGGACCGCGCTTTTCCTCATGGTCTTTGTCGTCCACATTTGGGCATACTTCTACCAAAAGTGTGTTGTCTCATCCGCCGGTCGCGCCGTTTCCTGCAGACTCATGCGCGCTGTTCAGGAACTACACCCGCGCTACCATCGCGCTGGAGGCACAGGACGACGACAAGATCGACATCTACGACAAGCCGTATGTCGGCCGGGTGTTCCTGTACATCATCTGCGGCATGCTCGATGCGATGTGGCAGACGACCGCGTACTGGATCATGGGCGCCATGTCGAACGACCCCGCGAAGCTCGCCAACTTGACTGGATTCTGTGAGTCGCTTGCGTGCGTGTCGGGGGTCGCGTGCTCATTCCCCTCCCCCTCAAGACAAGTCTCTCCAGTCTGCCGGCGCGGCGGGCATCTGGCGTGGAGACGCCGTGAGTCTCCCGTGAGTGTTTTCATCAGGCCATGGCAGCGCAAAAAATGATCGACGGGCTTTCCGGGGCAGGTACATGAACATCTTTGTCTCCACATGGGCGCTCCTCGTCGGAGGTCTTGTCTTCGCGCTCCCGATGATCTTCATGCGTGTCAGAGACCACACCGAGCCATCAGACGAGATCGACAACATCCTGTAAGCCGCTCTATTGTCGAATGCGTACCGGCCGTCGACTCATGTTCTGCTAGTGCAAACCTAGAAACGCCGGCAGCGCCCAACGCAGGACCTGAACGAAAGACGAACTCGACCTGAAAGCGGCGATATACCTGGCTGTTGGAGAGCTCACCTTGGATCCCGATACCCTGTTGTTGTTGTTGTTGTTGTTGTTGTTGCACTACACCACCCTTCTGTAGCTCTTGTTATACAGCAAAACCAATATTGATAGACCTCCCCTTGCGAAGTATACACTTTGGCAAAGTGGGACAGAAGCTCGCGGCAGGAGTTGGCAGTGGTGCAGAGACGGTGACGAGCGGCCGATCAGAGACGGGCTACTGAGAGCCTGCAGCTGAGTGAGGATCGCAACGCGCGTATGATACTATGAACGAACGAAGCACTTACTATGTACGCGTGACACTCGGGTCACTCGTCTGTACCAGCGCGGAAAGAGTAGAGGAGATAATGGTAACTCGAGGGAGAGAGGAAAGATGGGATTCCAGGATGTCGATCCGGGTTTATATATTTACAAAGTAGACAGGATGGATGATGTCACGACCAGCTTGAGAGAAGAGAAATGACGTACACGAAAGACAGAGCTTCAACTTGTCCGATCGATCGACACATGTCCGAATCCGGCAAGCCATTATCCGAAACGAGCGGGAAGCCTTTTCCTGCACACGAGCAAGCTAGGCCCGACGCTTCAAGTTTGAATGCGCAACCGCCAATGTCTCAGCCTATCGAGGATGATGCCTCCGTCGCACCATATTTACGTGCGCGTCCTGCCGCCCTCAGGAGCGTGGTGACGATGGCACCCTACGGCGATCACACCATCTCTCCGTCCGCGCCGTCTCCGCAAGCCATAGAGTCGAGAGGAAACGTTCGTACGTACTTTTCACTTTCGTTCGATAGCAGTCAAGAAAAGAAACTGAAGAAAAGAGAAGAAAACAAAAGAAATAGAACATATCCGCTGATGTTTTTCCTCAGGATCCTCCCGCCGACATCGCTTCGGCTTCAACGCGTTTTCCTCCACCACACCTGTGGTACCTCTATTTGATTACATAACACTACACACTGATTCCATCCCCCGAATGAACGACGACGACAACATGACAAAGCGACGGGATGCGGCTGGTATCGAATGCGACTGGAGAAGGCGACTGTGGGGGTATACGTACGACGCCTACTTTAAAAGATAGTAGCCATCATCTCGTGGCCGTCAGATCCCCCACCGATGGCATTGAAGGCTTTCACGTTTGGCCCATTCTTCCCGAACGTGAAGCCGACCCACACACCGCGTGCGAACGGCTCGTCCTTCTCTCTGACCCGATCGACGTTCTTCTGCTTCTCCCTGACCTCGGCGTACTTGGCCATGTCTTCTGGCGAGGTGAAGTCGTCATAGTACCCGGTATCGATTTCCGAATCGAGGGCGGGCACGAACGGGGCCTTGGTGGAACGTAGGTTGTCCCATTTGACGCCGTCGAAGAAGGGATGGCTTGCAATTTGCGACAACGTCGCGTACCGCGAGCTGGCATGGGCAATCAACCTGGTTTGCGTGAGTCGAAATGACATCATTCCGCTAATGGACGCGATCTGACCGTGTCACGGCGTCCCATGCAGTGTCGGAGAGGTTGAAGATCAGATCTTCAGGCTTGTCATATTCGGGCCGTCGGAGAACCTTCGTCCAATTCTTGAGGTTGGTCCATGTCTCCTCCGGTGTGCTGCCACTAAATGGAGGGAAACCGGCCAGGAATTCGAAGAGAATACAACCCAGGGACCAATAGTCGACGGAGAATGTGTACGGTTTACCGCGGAGAACCTCCGGTGCCATGTAGTCCGGCGAACCGACAATCGAGTCAGCGTACCGAGGGTCTGAGTTCCGGATAGATCGGTAAATGGACCGTCTTTCTAGGGTGGACCGATGAATGATTTGATTGTCTTTCACTTTATCGAGCTTGGAGGTGCTTGAGTGCTTCAGATCGCCAGGTAAAACCGAAATTACACACCTTTACTTTGAGGGATTCGATACGCTGAGGATTAAGCGCTCCCGTTGCGAGACCGAAGTCTGTCAATTTCACATGGCCAGTGCCGTCAACCAAAAAGTTCTACCGCACCGATACAATGACATCAGCCTTTTATTGATCCAAGCTTGTGTCACAGCACTAACCTCTGGTTTCAGATCACGGTGGATGTAGCCTAGCTTATGCAACTCATTCACCCCTGCAAACATTTCTGTTATATAAAACCGCGCATGCTCCTCCTTGAGTACGCCTGAGTTGTTGAGTAAAGTTCTGAAGTCTCCGCCTGGAACGTATTCCATCGCGAGGTAGACGTACGAAGGGTCCTGGAAAGCGTATAGCAGCCGCACAAGCCAAGGTGTTTTTGTCGCCGTTAGGATATCGCGTTCAACCAGAACATGTCTGATCTATGGATGAAGTGTGTAGTAATAACCTCGTCAGATGTCGATAGAACGCACCTCGTCCATCTTGAACAATGTGCGTTTGCGCATCTTCTTCAATGCGCACACTTCTCCAGTTTCTTGCTTTCGTGCCAAGTAGACCTCGCCATAGCCGCCCTGTCCGACTTGTGCAATAATATGGAACTGATCGACTTTCAGTTTTGTGCGCCGCTTCCTCAGGACAACGCGCTCTCGTCCACAGTACGACTTGTACTCCTTAGCATACTCGGCGGCAGACAGTTTACGAGCCGCGGTGTCTGCGTCGAATTTGGCACGCCGGTCCTTACGTGCGGCAAGATAGCCCAGTGCCTGGAAGTAGTAATCGAGAAAGTCTAAATCAAATAATGAGCAGTCAGCGTCATAGTCTTACTAGCCTGAAAGGCATTGTTTCCGGCAGGGAAATGATCTTTTGACCATGCTAGCAGATACTCACAGAGCTGAGCGACTGTGGACTTTCGCCTGACTTCTGGACTTTCCAAGAGCTCTCTTTCCCACAATTGAAAACCGCCTTGTTTGAGTGTAGTGCCCGCCCGCGCCGTCTCCATCCTGACATCGTGTTCCATGGTCAAGCCTTTCGCTGTGGCCATGTGAATATCTGGGGTCCCCACTGTCATTCCCTTTGCAGTATTCATACGAATATCAGGGAGGCCATCATAGTGGTTCTCTTTGTGTGAGGCCATGAGGTTTGAAGCAGCGGAACCGGATGAAAGTGCGTCTTGCAGGTCGATCATCTTTAGATCTGAACACACTCATACACGGTCACATGACTAGACTCTCTTGCTTCGCGCCACCACCTTCAGCGATGGCTCGAGTCGCCCGTGCTCCAAAGCTTGATCTTGCTTCTGTCTTAAACTCCCAGAATCCACAAATTGATCTGAGACTGGATGCTTTTGAAGTCTCTACTCAAAACTTCCTGAGGGCTGTCTCGAACTATACACAGCGCGCTCTGACGGAGATTGCCAATCGTAAGAATGTGCATTTGACCACTCGAAAGAAGTTAGCGGAGAAGGCGCAAGCTGTGGAGGTGGAGACAAACCAGTGTAAGCTGAAAGAGATAGAGCTCATCAAAGGTGCGTTCAACATAACTCTCAATATGCTGACTGATTGACGAGCTGCGACAGTCATTGATAGCGAACTAGAAGAGCGCAAGGAGGCGGAGACGCTAGTGGCAACATTTAGGAGGCAGCTTTCGGCTGCAAGGGACCGCTGTGCCGCACTGGAAGGCGAAGTGGAGCAGCATCGAACCCTGGCCGCAGATATGAGCCGAGGTGCGTTCTCAATGAAATAACGTTCTGCGCGCTAACGCGTTTGGTGGATTCAGAAAGAGAACGCGAGCGACTGTTGCTCGAGTCACACGCTGCCAAAATTGCCCCAGAGGTCGTCCACTGCGCCGATCGCTTGCAATGTCAGATTGAAGGTGTCGACAAGGACAAGATTTTGATTCGGTTCCTGCAACTCGATACTCATAACTCTAATCGAGAATTCAGTCTGGTGCTAGATGTCTCAAGTCGCTCTTATAAAGGTATATCCTGTTTTTCTGCTCAGTGTCGAGTGGTGCTCATGTAACCTAGTGTCTACTATGACTCCCATTTTGCCCAACCTTCCCATCATGCTGGATGACCTCAACAAGAACCGCGATATTTATGCCTTCATCAAGAGGATCAGAGTTGCATATCTTGTTTTGATCGGATAGACTACCTCGCGCCGGCATGTGGTGATAATCACAGCACATTTATTGGATCACATCGTTGTAGTAATTGTGTACTTCTAGAATGTAGATTGGACCGAATTACCGTATCTACGGTTGGAACTCTCTTGTACTCGTGTATGATTCGCCGCGAGGGCGAGGTCCTATATTGTCTGTAATACGAGCATACTGATTAGTATGATTATCTACGCTTCGAGACCAGCTGGCCGTGAGGTCACATACCACAATAAGAAACTGGGTGAGTACAGTACGAAGTGTTGGTTTCGCAGACTAGTGTTGGACCCCTTGAGAACTGAAATTTTCTCTAACTTGACCTACAGTGACCCTCTCGCTCACGTCCTCGCTGCAAAAACCCTTAGATCAAGATCAAGTAGCACAAATCGTCATTTATATAGTATTGTACACGTGTGTTCCGGTTCATATATCAGGAAGTCAGGCTTGTACGCAGGGAATGTTAAGTCTCAGAAGATATCAACAACCACAGATATCTGTGAATATACAAGTCAATCTCCGTTCGTCGTGCCCAAGCATCGAGCATCACGATGGCCTTCTACACTAGACACGGATCCCATCATTCCGACTAAAGACTACAATTTAAGGGATAAGGGACATTTACTGGCGTGGGCGGTGGAACAGCAGCGTACCTGTTCAATGCAAGCCCGCGGGACCGACTCTCAGTGGAACCTGGCCCTCCATGATCGACTTCTTCATCTTCTCGACGAAGTCGGGCTGCTTCGCCTTCTCAAAGAGGAGTTTGTAGCGGACGTCGCGAGGGTCATATGCTCCTATCGGCTCATCGCTGTCGTACGCCGGCATCCATCCAATTTGATGCCCGAGAGGGAACCTTACGAATTGCGCTAGCTGATCGCTGAATGCGTCTTTGATGATCTCTCCGACGACGCGGCGGGCGGAATCGAGTGCCCCGGCGATCCATGTGTGGTGGCGGCTGAGGTGCTCTCCAGCGAAGAAGATGTTCCCCTCGCGGCTCTTGGCAATTTCGAAGTAGTCGGAGAACTGCCCAGGCAAGAACGCACAGTCGCCCGTAGGGTTGCGGTTGGACCACAAGACGTCCGACGCTTCGATGAACTCGTCTTTCACCTTGACCAGGGGATACGTTCGCTGGAGGTCGAACAGTGCGATCTGGAGCCGCTCCTCGAAAGGAACGGAAGCCCAAGCAGTCGCGTCCGACAGCCAGCTGTAAATCAGAAGGACCCCCATACCGCTGTCACCGATGCCATACGAAGGATAGACGATCCAGCGGATGCGGAGGTCGGTCGTGGACTGACCGCCCAAAGATGCAGACCCCCCTCTCTCCCAGAAGCGCGTCTTGAAACGCAGACCCATCTTGAAGAGAGGTTCGTAATGCATGGCTCTGATAGCCTGTTCCTTCAAGGAACCCCAGCGGGGGCGATCGAGGATCATGTTGACGGCAACAGGGGGGATAGCCAGGATGACCTTGGGTCGGGATTCAGGCACTGGGCGACAGAGCCATCAAAGCCCAAGGCGCTCACCTTGTCATAAAGACCCCCCACGACACGGTCACTGTTGCCGACCCGTGCACGGAGACGTATCTTCAGCTTGAGTTTCCCATCTCTTGCGATGAATTTCTCTTCCGAGAGCTGAGTGACACGAGCATTGAGAGTAATATTCTTCCAACGGACCCTCTCAGCCATAGCATTGGGGAGCCGGTCCATGCCATCAGGTATAGTGACCCACTCCGTGTTCCCAAAATCGATATTTTGCATCACTAATTCGGGAACGCTGAGGGCATACTGATTGGTTTGCGAGCAAAGGGTTTCGATGAAGTCGATGACAGAGCTCGGGTACGCGGCCACGTCGAAGAGATATTGCCGGAATGACACCCTATCCCAGCGCAAGAGGTTACCCCACCATGTGTCAAAATCCTCATGCAAACCCTCCAGAAGCGGCTCCAAGGCTTTATGGAGCAAAAATGGGGCCGTCTGGTCCCTGTAAGGCTCCGGGAGATCGAAACCAAGTGCGTTAGCCGTGACGTCCTCGCCCGTTCGCCCATTGACGTAGACGAAGTTTCCCTCGTGAGACAACTTGTAGGGGATCGTTTCGATCCCGAGGCACTTGATTAGCGATAGCACCGGCAGATGCATCTCAGTCTTGGGGATGCGCATCGCACCTGCCTCGAAGTATTGATTGGGAGCATGTTTGTCGAATCTCCACGTGAAGATGCGTCCTCCCACTCTATCCTCAAGCTCGAAGACATGGACCTTGAAACGGATGCGCTACCGAGAAAAGACCCCCCAATTAAAGTGTTGCAGATAAAGTGCTGCATATAGGCCAGCGGCTCCGCCCCCTACGATCCCGATACTGCAAGGGTATATGATTAGGAGCAATATACGTGTATTAGAAGGCAAGGCTAACGTGACTTCGGTCCTAAGTGAAGAGTCAGCTGGAAGTCTTTCAAGCTGGCCAGAGAGCTACTCACGGTTCTTTGAATGTGAGATCCGAGTCCATCGGAGAAATGATCTGAGGCACGTACGCCACGGTATAGGAACACTAAAGAGATAGTGAAGACAAGTCGCTCAACTGACCGTATTCTGGCAGGGAAACGTCGGATGTAGAGCCTGAGGTTCGAGCAACCATGGTGAGGATTTTTGAATGTACGAAGCTCAGGCGAGCGCTATCCATTCATCAGTCAGCGTTGCATTACGATTCAATGTGTGGTCATGATCCAGCTCATACAAACCACAGAAGCTGAGGAACGAAGGGTCTTGTGGCACTCCAGTCATCCCGTACATTGCAGGGGTTTCTCAGCGACAGGGTTGCATACACCCTGACTCTCCAATAGAATCAGCCAGAGGTGCGGTGTCCACCGTGCATGCGAACCCATGATTCGTAGACGCATGCATATGAGGCCACGACATCTAACTTCGATGAACACAATCGATGCTTCCATCTCAGGCTGAATTGGGGTCATAGCGTATCTGTATTCATCTGATATAGATCCTGGGCGGGAATGGTCCACGAAGCGTAGATTGTTGCGAGAGGTGGTGAGTGAGAACCATAACAGGGACAGTCATCTGTTCACTAATAATACCAGTGATCGATGCTTCTGATCACCCTTCATCAGTGTGGTCACTTCCGAGCTGGTAGCGGTATGGGAAGCTCTTCTTCCTCCTTGCAAATGGCCATCAAGCATCTTCTGCGAGGGAGTATGAAATCATGTGCGAGAGCTGGCGAGCCGCATTATACGGGTTTTGTTGTCCCCCAATCGTGATGTGTAAATGCAACAATGTGCTAGTTCAGTGCCCCCACTGAGTACTGAGCGCTGAGCGTTGGGCATTGTTCATAGAATCAAATAGCTATCGGGCACGTTATAAACACGCCGCTTCTATCTTGGGACTGAGGTTATGGTATCCCGAAGTCGTCCGATATCGTACTGATCGACCCCTACAATGGCATCGTGAAGCTGGAAATACAGCGCATCCTTGCGATCAATTCGCACTATGCCCTCCATAATAGACAATTGAATGAAATGTGGGCAGCGACCACTTCAAAAGCCAAGCGCTGGCTCCCAGCTGCCGTTACATACAGCCACAGGCTACGAGTGGACCCCGAGGCGGTCGTGCCACCGCACAGAAGCACACCTGCGCCTGGTGTGGTACCCTGGAGCGCCGTCCAATGCTACACGTGCGTTGTCGACGCCGGACGTCTCTGCTGCTCTCCATGAGAAGGCCATGCACCGCGAGGCAAGGCAGAGTACGAACGCGGCCATTACGACGCTGCCAAGGCCCAGTTCGAGGAGTACAAGCTCACGCATCCCAAAGATGTGGAAGATTGGATTGCTTGTTGTCGAAAATGCAGGCTGAACGCGATACCGGAAAGTATGATTGGGCTGACTTGTTCCAGCAGGCGGGACGCGACCCGCGCCTCGACGTTACTGATTTCAAGGGACCAATACAAGTGCAGCCTATGAGCGACCACGGCGGGGCCGCTGGATCATCGCGCCAGAAGATATTGATATAGGCCAGCTCACTGGCATGGACCCAATCCTGATGCATAGTAGATGTTGATGTGGAGAAGTATCCTTGCCGCGTACGGGAGATGAACGTTCCATTTTGGGAAATTCGGCGATGGCCGCCGCTCATGGAAACAACTTGTGTTGTACTTATAAAATCGCATTGCGCGGCAAGTTTCATAACCGTCTTGTAGCCAACCATCTATTCTGAGTCAACACGATGGGCGTACACCTCTACGACTCCAGTACGTACACCACGGCGGAAGAGCTTGCCCGGCTCAGGCCTGCTCTCGCTGTCGCAAACGCCAATATTCCGTGCCTCGTCTGGGGAGAAGACGCACTGGCTTTTGTTCATTGCGTTCCGACCGTTCTGTTTCAGTTTCACCTCATTGTTCCAGACGATGCCCTCGAAGCTGCTTGCAAAGCTATCATGGATAGCTTGCCATACAAGAAGCTCGATGCGCCACACCCCACCTGGCAAGAGTATGGCATGGTGGACCCCAGTCTCCCGAGTTGTTATCCCTCATCAGTCTGTCTCGAGTGTACCGGGGACACGGAGAAGCCTATCCCCTTCTGTGCGGATACCTCCATTGCGGTACATCCTCAGTCATTCTGGTCTGTCGACGTGCGTGATACCAGCCGCTCGGTATCGCTCGAGCCTGCACCTCCGCACGACGAACGCATTCGCTTACCCACGATCACGGCGTTCTTGGATTCTATTATTACTACCGTTCTGGAGCCACCCAACGGGTCGCAACACCTCCAGTTCGGGATCAATATGCGCTCTTGGATTTCATATTTCCTGATCTACACTCCACAATTTCGAGCGTATCCTCGCGAATTGCCTGATGGCTCCTTGGAGCCAGGACATGCGTCTATTTTGGACACACTTTCCGAAGAGAACAAACCCTACTTCGAAAACATCATCCGAGGAAAGCATGATGGTGGTTGGATGTTCCAAGTCCGACGACGCCGAGACATCTTAGAACGCATGGGGTACGCATATTTCCAAATTCATGGAGTTTAGTAGACATTATTTCTACCTAGTCGGTTGGCAGAGGCTCGACGGCCTATACCTGAGAGTATATTACCTCGCCTCCGCAAGTAAGTCAACGAAGTCAGCTAATGATCCATACTTTCTTATGAAGCACAGACAGAAACAAGCTTTGCGGCACTACTCCTGCAGCCCGGACGTGATTCAGGGTTTCCTTCGTATGCCTATGCCAAAGTAAGCCTATCTACATAGAAATGATCAGGTCCATATTGAGCCACCCTGTCTGTTTAGACCAATTGTGCGGTGTCGGTACATGCCAGTGCTTCAATTATTACTCAGGAGGCTCATGTGAGGACAGTTATGGCCCTATGCTGAGGTGTCACGGGCTTGCAACATCCAGTCTCTTGTGTTGTGTTCACGAGCAGGAAGGGCTCTACTTCAGAGGGAGTGCCGAAGTTGTCGGAATTTCAATGTCGGAATTCCACGATGCTTTTAGTATCAGGACGTGTGCAACGACGAAACGAGTCTAGCGGAGCAGAAATGAAAAATATACTCTCAGTATTTGTCGAAATATCCGTGTTCTCAGTGGGAGGTCGCTCAGCGAGAATTTGTTTGTGTTTGACGCGCGCGACACTTCGTGAAAACGGCAATATCTTTCGTGAAAACAGCTATAACTATACCCAGTTTCGACTTCCTTGAATGCTCATTCCTGAATGCTGTCCCTCGACTGCGATTCATATACTTTGGATATGGCTTCAGATCTATGCAGCGAGCTCGATCCATGTACTACAATTAAGTATTGCCGCCACCCTCTATCGTATGAGTCACAAAGCCAGTGTGCAGCATCCCGTCTACTCTTCGCCGCCAGGACGTCTTCCGTGGACATAAACCATCTCCATCAACAATACAGATAGATGTCGAGATCCTTCACCATCCGCGTCCCAGCGACGTCTGCAAACATTGGGCCCGGATTCGACGTCGTCGGCCTCTCGCTCTCGCTCTATCTCACCCTCTCAGTGACCGTCTCGTCGCCCTCCGCTCCGTCTGCCGAAGAGCCCCCGCTCATCCGCTACTCCGGCGAGGGTGCGGACGAGGTCCCGCTCGACGCATACAAGAACCTCACCACCCGCGTCGCGCTCTACGTCCTCCGCTGCCACGGCGTCCCCGCCTTCCCCGCCAACCTCACCATCCACGCCGCCAACGAGATCCCCTTCGGGCGCGGGCTCGGGTCGTCCGGCGCGGCCGTCATCGCGGGCGTGCTCCTCGGCAACGAGCTCGGCGCGCTGCGCCTCTCGCGCGCGCGCATGCTCGACTTTGCGCTCATGGTCGAGCGCCACCCGGACAACGTCACCGCGGCGCTCGTCGGCGGCTTCGTGGGCTCGTACCTGCGCGAGCTCGACCCCGCCGCGACGGAGGCCGCAAGCGTGCCCCTGAGCGAGGTGCTTCCGGAGTACCCGCCGGACGCGGGGGCGGACTGGGGCGTGCATCCCCCGCAGCCTCCGCTGGGCATCGGGCACTACGTGCGGTTCGGCTGGTCGGAGAGCATCAAGGCAGTCGCGATCATCCCGCGGTTTGAGCTGAGCACAGCCAAGGCGCGGGAGGTGCTGCCCTCCAGCTACTCGAGAAAAGACCTGGTCTTCAATCTGCAGCGGTTGGCTGTGCTGACCACGGCACTCGCACAAAATCCCCCTGATCCAGAGCTGATATACGAGGCAATGAAGGACAGAGTACACCAGCCATACCGGAAAACACTGGTAGATTCCGTTTGTACATCTGTGGGGATCGGCTCTACTGACTCGTGATTGCAGATCCCCGGCCTGCCAGAGGTCACGTCTCGCATAACGCCTTCAAGCCATCCTGGTCTCCTAGGCATCTGTCTCTCTGGTGCCGGACCTACCATTCTTGCCCTTGCCACCAGCGGATTCGAAGCGATCGCCGAGGATGCACGAGCGATCTTCCGCGAAAAGAATGTCGAGGTAGACTGGAAGCTGCTCACCGTCGTCGGAGGCAGCACCGTAGAGCCGTAGACTACACGGCACGCTCAAGCCTGCATGGACCGTCGCAATGAGATAGAACCTCCAAGATCATGCATTTCATTAGCCATTAGAAATCTATGTGACAGCATCAGGTATCGTATAAGTAGTCTGCGGGTATCATCCGGAAGCATCGTGCCACGTCGTCTAGCCTCCTGCCGTCAGACAGACCGCCCTGGTTGCAACTAGCGCACCCGCCGCGCTGTCGAAGGGAAGGTCGACGGTGAAGAGGACATGACTGCGATCGCTGTTTAGGTATACGGGCAAGTTGACCGTGCCTGGAGATGAGGAGTCGTCTGCCTGGACCCAGCGAATCTGCGACGGGTTAAGCCTGACTGTCTCCCCCTCGTTCAAAATGAGTTTGTCCGACTCCCACGCAGCACCCTCGAGAACGAGGCCTATCCCAATTGTCAGCAGTGTATAGCTATCCGACTGAAAGCGAGCCTACCATCTACGATGAAGGCCCCAGGATCGTTAACTTTGTCGATGTCCAGTTTGAGGTGCAGCGTCTCGAGACTCCACTTTTTACGATGAGCAACAGCTTGGCGCGTCGCCGTAACGTATGCTTCAGGGAAGAAGAGACCGCCGAGCCAGACTTCCACGTTGTTCAAGTTGTCGAGCCCAGCAATGTTATTCAACTGCGCCAGGCGACGAGAGAAGTCTGAGATCCAGCCTGATACCGCCAGGGTCTTGTGCACTTTGTACCGTCGCCAGTGATCAGGAATGGTACCTGCGCATGATGGTCAGCCAACAGATAATACAGATGTCGGAGTGACGAACCTTTGGTCAGTGCGCTCATGAGATTACGAAGATGGTTCGTCTGCTTGAGAGCGCCCTCGCAGACCTTGGTGACATCCGCCAAGTCTCGGCGCACTTGCGTGAGGAGTCTGCTGCCAATACTACCTTCCCTGGAGAATAAGCGATGCAGCGGGTCCTGGTTGTCCCCACCCTGCTTCTGCAACGTGTTGAAGTTCTACATTGCATGCGTTATGACATTATGCATGACCACGTTGTGCGTAGTAAACTCACCGAAGGCAACTGCTCAAGCCACTCCCGGCATCGTTCGAGAAGCTGCCGCATCCAGGCAGGTTGCTGCGAAGCCTGCCCCTTTGCTGAGCTTGCTGCTGCCACATCATCGTCATCGTCGCTGAGCATCCGCATCTTGCGCAGTTTCCCGAGGAGCTCGTTCCCTGAGACCATATGAGCCATCTGCGACGCAGTGAAGTGACCAAAGCTTACCTTGAGCAATCGCGATAACTCTTTCCGCGGTGGGGGGAAGGCTTAGCCACGCAGGAGGCTCTCGTTCAGGAAGACCTGCGACCCAAGAGAGGAAGTGGTCCAACTTCGTACCATCTGGGACGCCTAGCACTTTAGACCCAGAGGCGCTCGGAACGAGATCGAAATCAACATTGTAGGCAGATGGCGTGAACAGCCCGTCCACGAAGGCGTCCAAGATCTTCTGGTCAAAGTCACTGTCGACTCGGCCACCATACACACACTGTTTGACCAACGTCCTGATCGCATCCCAAGGGATTATGGCAGGATCGACATTGGCCCGACCTTTCGCCACCGCATTGATCCAAGCATCGATCGTGTTGAATGCAGAAGCCATATCTGAGTCATTGAAGTCGTATTTCTTGCTCCAGCCGAGGGGAACGTATCGCAAGCGCTCTTGGACCACGGCGTGGAACCATGCAAGCAAGAAGTACAGTCGGGACTTCTCCGCTGGGCCTTGCGACAATCGGGAGGCCGAGATACTGCGCAAGGAGTCCGTCAGATTGGCCTTGATACCCGGAGGAGGCTCGTTCATGAGGATTCTCGACTGCCGGAGGATATTTACGGGGATACTTGGATTGGCTTCCATGGTGAGGAACAATCGGAAGTTGCGATGCGGATTTAAGGTCTGTAGCTTTTTCTCAAGCTGTCCAAGCCATGACGGCGCGAGATGGACGTTTTTGAGCAACACCCAAGAACCCTGACGAGCAGCAAATGCAATGGCCTGGTCTGCGAGGGTGAATCCCTCTTGTGAGCCCATGGCGACCTGCGAGCATCGAGCACCGGTGTTCTGAATTAGATTTTCCACTCTGTAGCTCGCATCGTAGCCTGGGACTGAAACCAAAGAAAGTGGTGTGGCAGGAAGAACCTCGTCGGCTACCATGGTCGAAAGGTCGTAGCTAGATTCCGCATTCAGATCGGCCTGGAAAACATCGCGCACAAACGCCGCTGTGGCCTGCAGCAGTCGGTCTGGACGCAGGCACTTGACGATTATGATGCGACGGATTGCTTCCACAGCGGCTGTCAAGGCGATTCAGGTTAGCAGTCGTAATGATCTAAGCTGGCCTACTCACGAGTGCTAGGAGGCCAGGGAGAAGGCACGGAATTTTCCGGAGTGTTGGAATGAAGGAATTGGAGCCACTCGTCTTCATGTTGCAGCACGTGAGTCACAACGGGTTGGAACAGAGGTTGCTTCCCATAGCTTTCTAATCGCTGTTTCTGTTCTATGGAGAGGTATGGGCAACTTTGCAAGTCGGGATTGCTTGCATTGGCAGCCACCGCGCCATCACCGCTCTCCATAAGGAACTCCATTTCGTCAGCGATTTCCTCAATGCCACGGAGCTTCACTTGAGCCAACAGAACTGCCAGCATAACATGGTCCCGATGGAGCAGAGCCCGCGAGGTTCTCTTGTAGACCATGAGGAAGAGGTCGTTCGTCAGGATCTCTCTACGACGATGATAATCGCTGACGTTCTTGAGGTTTGGATTGTGGAGAAGCACATAATCGAAGATATCGAGGAAGAATCGCAGAGAGAACTGGTAGAAATGGTCAACCAGATTCAGCTGTTCCAGAATGAAGAAGACGGCACTGCAAGCTTGAGCTAAAGGAAGATATTCGGCGGTGACTTGTTCGACTTCCTTCATGACGAGGTCTGTCTCTTCGACTTTGCGGGTGATCTCGGCAGCTTCGCGCTTCAGGGTCTCCAAAGTATCAATAACCTTGTCATCGTCCAGGATATTACCAGTGGACTCGTTGAGGGCTTGCAAAAGCAATTTTTCCAATGTCCGCAGACGGAGACGGAATTCGCCTTGCATTTTCATCAAATCCGTCCGTTTTCTCTCCGTGTCCGAACGTTCAACTTTGAGTACCTGATCGAGCGACTGGCTCTGCAGACTGCTCCTGGTCATGGTGAAATTGACGAACGTGACTCGACTGCAGATATCCGGAGAAAACTCGACAGATGGGTCGCGAGTCGATAGGAACATAGTGAAGGATGGAGAAAAATCGATATCTTGACTTCCAAGGCGGATCAACACACGCCCTCCTGTTCTGCGAATCTCCTTATTCAAGACGGGATTGAGGATTGGATCAAGGTGTTCTACGTCTTGGATTAGGAGGGTGTTTCCAAAGCGCAGCGCGCTTTCCAAGACCTTGAGGAAGGCCTCATCCAGGAAACTCGTGACAGTAATCTTCCGATCTTTGTATTCGTTGAGAAGGAAATTAGTAGCCTGACCAGTAGGATCAATGATGAGCGGGTAGCGACTGAAGCGTTTGATCATGATGGCATTTTCGGTGCAGAGGTTGTCGGAAGGCAATCCCTTTGACTGCCAACTCAAGCGATCGTCAGCGGTGGACAGGTAATCGGGCAAAGACAACTCGGTCTTGAACTTGATGTTTGCCTCGGCTAGATGTGTCGACCAGTCCTGCCACATCATTTCTCGATACTGTTGGTCAAAGAAGCCGCCATACGCCAGGAATGCAGCAGAGAGCAAGACGTCACCGACGATCGTGCTCATCTCGGTGTCGAACGTACGGCTACCCAGCTCCCAGCGAGACTTCTCAGAAGAAAGACTTTCGAGAAGTTTCATGCTGCGGTTGACCTTGCTTTCCACGCGCTCCATTTCGGTCTTGATCGCCTGAGTCTCCCGGATCAGTGCCGCGTACTCTTCCTTGTACTGCTCAATGCTTGCTTCCAGCTCGGAAATCATAGTGACCATTGTCTTGGCTTGCTCCTTCGTATGCGCGGCTTGCTCCTCTAATGACTGCACCTCGTTGCGAAGGGGCTCGACCTTGTCCAAAATCTCGGAGAAACGGACTTGAGCAATGGCCCACTTGACGAGAGGGCCACAAGCCTTACTGGCGCGCTGAACGGTTTCGAAGGTATAGGATGGCCGGCTCACGAAGTCTCGCTTCATGACATCTCGCAGCTGCTTCGTCATCTGATTGGTCGTGTCGAAGTTGACGATACGCTGAATGAAATCGTCGCGCCTGATTATACCTTGAACAGTACGCCAACTGTCGATCTTGTGGCCTAGGAGTGTGCATACGGACTCCATCGCAAGCTTCACAGCCTCTGGTGGATTAGCCATTGTACGGACTTCCTGCAGGTGCTGGCGTTTGATATTACTGACTGCTGCTTGAGCATCGAGAACCGCAGGCTCGGCGTCGGCAAGATCAGTCATGACAACGGCGCGGCGCTGTGCAATATGCTTGTCCTGCTCCACCAGAGCAGCCTGAATCTCGATGGACGCTGCTTTCTTCTGCTCAGCCTCTTGCTGATCAGCGACCATGCGTTTCAACTTCTCATTCGCCTCTGCATTCTTTGCTTCAAGCTGGGAGCGCTTAATCGCCAGGCTCTTGCGTAGCTCCTCTACCTGCGTCACAGTGTCCCGAAGTTTGTCCAGCCCAACATGCAAGTGGCGTTGCTGCTCCTCTAGTTCATCCCGCTTCTCGTTGTGCAAACGGACATAATGGTTGATGCTGACATGGTAAGGTTAGCTACAATCCAGGGAACGAAGACTACGACTCACAAGTCAAGGTAATGCCTAGGCGTGACATAGTTGTACCGGCCTTGACGACGACTCAAGCGCTGATTGATTTGATGCAGTGACTGGTGGACAAAGACCAACGCGTTCACGACAGCAGTGCGATGGACGGGCGGCATAGAAAGCTCGCGGTATGCGATAGGGAACATAGTCGGAGGATTGTACGAAGGTAAATCGAGGTCCAGTGTACTTGTGAATTCCATGCCAACTTGATAGAACGCTTGGTCAGACCAGTCCCCGAACCAGTCAAGGACGCAACGGTTGAACAGCGCAGGAGATGTAGCCGCACGAGAAGCCAGACCATTGGCCGGGGGATTCATGGTGAAGACGACGTGTAGGTTCTTGGCGACCTGTTGAGTGAACCATTTATACAACTCTTCATGAGAGTCTAGCATCAAGCCATCGCGCTGAGAACCCTCTTTGCAAGCTGTCATGAGTGCGGAATGCTCATCGCCCTCGAAAAGACCAGGAACCTCAGCATTCGCCAGAAGTGTGTTCATCCTCTCAAGGAAGCCAGAATCGAGGACATTTGATTCGTCCATGATGAAACATATCTTTTCCCCCTTACAACCTGCACGGCGTAAGACGGTCCGTAGATCTTCATCGAAGTCTTCCCCAGTATATTTGTTAGAGACTTTGATCTGGAAGATATTCAAGCCGTTCATCCAGGCAACAAACCGCGACAAGGTGGTCTTCGCTTATTTGTCAGTAGGGTGCGGTTCAACCGAAACATCAATCACGACATACCTTGCCACTCCCACTGACACCGATCAACAAAAGATGACCTTGCACTTGTCGGAAAACACGATCGATCCGGAGGACATGATCCAGGACGTCATTGAAGAGGACTAGGGGAACGTCAAGCTCCTCTTCATAGAACACACGGAGCCGCGCCTTAGTATACTCCCGGAGAACTCCCCGATCTACAGGAATGTAGTTCTTGGAAGTCCAATTCGAGAACAAAATTGGACGCGTCAACGCCTCGTCCTTGTTGATCGTCGGGAAATGCTCCATCGCGGCTGTGTCGATGTTTTCGTCCGTCCACTGTTTCTCTTCCTCTGTAACAAGTCGATCCTGGAAGAGACGCAAGGCTTCGTGTGCCCACACTCGTACAAGCCCCTCCACAGAGAGAACCTCCAACGGCCGGATCGCTTCATATATACCGCGGACCCAACGTGTCAGTTCACGTGGACTGTACACATAGTGGGCCTGTATGTCGGTAGTGAAGCGCTTCTGCGACGCAAGATAAAGCGTGACCATGGCGTCCGTAAGTGGTTCGGCATACGTGCGCAGGTTGGGCACCACTTTGAGGAGTGCTCGATTGTAGGTCCCGTAGATCTGCTTGAGCGACAGTTCGCCCGGGTAGTCCACCATGACCAAAGGTGCATGGCGGAGGAATCGATGGCTAAGCGGAACTCGTCCAGGATCTGTAGGAGGGTTGCAAGCGCCCACAAACTGGATTCTCTCCAACTTCACCCAAGCCATGTCGGATGCCCTCCAATATCCGCCCGCTTCGACAAGCTGGCGAATAAAAGAGATAACGCGCTGGGTACCGTATTTATCCGTCGCGGGCAGATTGATCTCGTCACAAAACACCACAAGCCAGCGACCAATCTGCACAGGCGCAAGAATAACACCATTCGGGGTCTTCCTATATTCACAATATTGCTCGAATGTCTTCAGGATTAATTCCGGTGTTGTTGCACTGGAGAAGTTGAGGCCGACGACTTCCATATCGGGAAGCTTGCGAAGGGCGCTGAAAAGTGTCATGGTCTTGCCAGACCCTGGTGGGCCGCACAACATGAGAGGTTTATGCTCTGAGAGCCACGAGTACAAAACCTCTTCGTGACGGACAGTGTCAATTGTCGGCACGACCACGTCTGAAGCGGTGACCGCATGCGCCTCTATCTCTATCACAGGAACTCGCGACTGCCAGCCGAACCACTCTCCGCTGTTGACCAAGACATCGTAGTCGAGGAGCGAACCACCGGGGCCCATGAGAGGAAGATCGACACCTGTCTGCTTGCGCAAGAATTCACCCATTTCGGAGCGCAGCTCCAGGCGAGCGTCGCCAGAGAACGCCCAGATGATGTTGACAAGAAGGCGCTTCGTGACGTATTGCTCGACGCGTTCAGGGGACAGAGGGAAATCGGAATGCTGCAGGTTGTACTCGATCACGTTGCGAACGGTCTTGTTGATCAGCGAGAAAAGAGTGTTGAGAGCACGAGTGGTGGTGAAGTCCATGATGTGTTCAATTGATTCAGCGAACACGAGAGCAGCCGTCACCAGGCTGTCATCAGCGAAATATGGCTCGAGTATGGTTGCAACCTGCTTCTGAGTGATCAGATTAGCAGACGAAGCCGAATCAGACGCGAGAGTGTCGTTGCGACGTCCTCCTAGATCGATCTCCTCGTCTTCAGCATCAAGAGGGACAGAAGAAAGGGTGTCGAGATAGTAGCGGTACACCATGGCCGGTTCTACGATGTCCTCGCTGAACCAGATCATACCGCATCGACTGACCGTGGCGAGCGTCGCATATCTCAAATGTTCCACTTCGAACATTATACGAACGTTCGGTGGTAAGTTCAGACGCTCTCCGTTCGGTAGGGTTAGAAGCTTGTTGTCATCAAGCACACTACATTGCACCCGTGAGCCACGCTGAGAGTTATGAATCACTAGGACGAAACACACCTGTTGAGGTTCTCCACCCACTCTGGGTCTACATCGCCATCGAAGATGATCCAGTGTCGCTTTCCACTCTCGCCGCGGACATCGTCGACTATTTTACGAAGGGTGTGGGTAAACAGGCCGTCATTCCATTCGCGAGTGGTGGGATCCAGGGTTCCGTACAAGGCGTCCTTGTGCATGGCCTTGGGGTCAATGACATATGCTATGCCTTCGACGCCATCGAGACGTTCAAGAGCCGCCAGGAGCACCTGCCACGCGTTACTCTTGCCGCTGCCGGATGATCCAACCATCATCAGACCATGCTGGATCTTTTGGATCTGGTAGAGTTGAAGGATCTTGGAAATCCATCGCTCGCCTTCAACAAGGCGACGCTCCTGGCAAACCTTGCTGATCTCCTCGCGCAGTGCATCCAGATTGACAGGAATGTAATCAGTACCAGGGAACACGTCCGCCAGCAAACTGTTCTCAGCCATCATTACCGGCACATAGCGTAGATATGGGTCACGAAACGCACCTCGTCAACAGGGGAACATCGTCAGCGACGAGTTTGGGTACGATAGTCTCGGTGACACTTTGAATCAGAATCACTTGTTCCGAGACGGCGTCGGACAGTGCTCCAGCATCTTCCTCGTCTGTCCGAATAGCCTGAAGACGTTCACGTTTGAGAATACCCGCGCTGGCCAACACCGCCTTCAATGCTCGAAGACCGAAGTCGTAGTGAGGCTGTGGCGATAGCTGCTCATCGCAAAGATTGAAGAATGGTACAATCTTTGAGGCCAGCGACTCTGCAGTCCGGAAGCCTTGCGAGAAGAGCATCACTTGGGCGATCAACTCCCGATCGGGACGTGTCATAGCCATCCTGAGAGTCACTTAGTAAAATTACACGGCCGTGAACCTCGGAACTCACGGTCTGAACAATTTGGTCAGGTTGGGTGGAAGAGTCGATCGACCAGCATAGTTCGGGTTCGTGGTAATGAAAACACCTTAGAACACACTGTGAGATTGAACTCTGCTAGATATCGACGCAGGGAGAACACACCCATGTTCTTGTTGATCTTTACACTCTTGCCAACCAGCTCGATCTCAGTATTGGGGTTCTTCACAAGAGAGGCAAGACCCTGCTGGATGCTCTGCACTTGCTGAGAGACTGCACTGAGGATGCGCTCCTCTAGACGGTTGAATTCGTCGAAACATCCCCACGCTCCCACTTGACACAATCCGACGAAGATACGACCCATCGCCTGGAAGTCGAACGTCTCGTCGCAGCAGAAAACTAGCACGAAGCGACCAAGTTGCACGCCCAATGCCTTGACAGATTCTGTTTTACCTGGATCGAGTGGCTATCAGCAGAGTTCTTGATATGTGAACATGTGAAAACTGACCTGTCCCAGCAGGCCCGAAAGGAGCGCCTCCAAGCTGGTTGTCCAACGCTTGCGTTAGCGTTAGATAACATCTATCAGTTAGAGGCGTTTGGACGAGACGATCGGGTACACCCAGGTACTCCCATCCGTACGGGAACGTTGCATCCGCAACTCGGATAGCAAGCCTATCCAGAGGATTCTCTATGCTCTGGTCCAAGTAGTACCGCATCTGGTATAGCCATGAGAAAGCTCTGTTGTCCGATATTCTCTGCTGAGCAAGATTACGCAGAACGTCACGCTGGTGGACAAGCTCGGTGATCAGATGCTCGCATTTCCGTCGAGTAACAGGGCTGAGCTCGGTCAAGACGACGTCGGCCAGAAGGTCAAGACCTTGCCGCACGACGTCCAACGGTCCATCCAGACTGCTAGAATTCTCGAGCGCAGACTCGACGGAAGCCGTCCAAGCGACCTGAATTGCCAAGGTGACAAGCTGAGCAGGATACCTCTCCAGCCAGACCATGAATTGATCCTGGGGCAACGGCGTGATGGCGCCATAGAACGTTTGCAGCTCGGACACCGCGTCACATAATAGCTGCGCAAGGGAAATTCTCATTTCAGATTCCAGCTTGCTCAGCCAGTCATTGATCTTCGGAAAGTCCTTGAGCAGGATGGCATCCTTGAACTGTACCTCCTCTCCCTCTCGAGAGGCCATGCCCTGTATTTGCGTCAAGTCATCATCGAGCATGATGGTCGAGATGCCGGCGAACATCTTCTTGAGATGCTTCATGATACGCAGGATCTCTTTGCTGTTGCCGATGATTTCGAGCAGGTCCTCGTCACCAACGAAGTAGAACCGCGGGAAAGACGCTCGCTCGCGCTCGAGGTACTCTCCAAGAGCCTTCTGGATCTTGTTCAGCAAGTCAGCGAGGCGTTCAAGACTCTTCTGAATTCCGGGAATGTTCATGACATCGATGACGAACGGCGACTTGTAGACCTTCTTCATCACTGCCAAGAATTCGGTGTTAATGTTGGCGAAGCGAGCGGTCTCGACGGGCAGAAGATGCTTGATGTCAGCGCTGCCCGAGAAAATACCCTCCAGATACACCCACTGCCGTTGTACATCGATCCAGACATCTGGGAAAACGTCAGAATCTGGCTCTGCAGAGATGGGGCTGAACCCACCGAACAAGACGTGGATTCGATTCAGCTTTTCCTCCCAAGATCCAGCCTGATTGGAAGTGAGCAAGCACTCTTCGATTAGGCCAATTGATAGATTACCTCTTCCTCGAACACTAGGAGAAGAATGAACACTTGTAAATGCCTGTTGCTAAAAAGTTAAAGAGCTGAGCATACCTTTGTAGTAAGGTGATAGCTTCATAGCGACGAGTGAATTTAGATTCTCGCTGCACTTGTTGAAGAGATCGTCCCATCCACTGCACCGACGTCAGGATCATTGTGCTAGAATTTTGGCTTCCCTACGTACCGAATGAGACGACACCTGTTCTGGTAATTGACGAGGTCCAGAGTATAGTTAGACCATGTCTCTTTAACTTGTCTAATATACTCTTCCAAAGCCATCTGTAGATGAAGTGAGCATCACGAGGGCAACGAGGAGCTGACTGGCGACATACCTCTCCTTGCGCCTGAATGATGACTTCCTTGATAACGTTCTCGTTCTTCCGTAGGTCCATATCATAGACATGTCCTAAGGTCATCCTAGTGCCATACAGTCAACATGCTGCCACTTAGCCGAGAACTGATACGAACAATGGCAGGCTGACTTGAGTCGGCACACGCAGGACCTTGAACAGCTGCTTCCAGTGCCTATCCTTGAGAGCCTCTGATTTCAATTCTGAGATGAGGGTGTTGGACTTCAAGAGTCCTCGGAGAATCTCTTGCACATATTCAAACGCGGCATACTGCCTCATTCGTGTCGGCATGTCCTTTGTTGACGAAAGCAGCCCGTCAATGTGCTGCCTCAGCTTCCTCGGCTGAACTGTTGCCCAAGCCATTTCGCGTAGCTCGCCAATTTGGTTCCATATTCCGGAGAGTGCTGTCCAGACGGCCTTCAGGTCCCGGAGTTCCTCGAATATGGGCTCAAGACGCGTGTGGCGGATGAGCTCGAGGTCAAGGGCCTCCTTCGCGCGACACACGAGATCGTACTCTTCTTGAATGCGGTTGAGTCTGCCCTCAAACACGTTGATGGTATTGAGAGCTGTGTCGGCGCGCATGCTGCCTTGGACTGGACGCGTCTGCTCCCATTCTTGTAGAATGTCATTGATCTTGTTCTCGACTATTTTGTCCTCCGCGACAATCTTCAGCTGCAACCCAGCTACGTTGCATAGGATGAATAATTGCGATGCAACCTCGCATAGAACACGCACCGAGCTGTTCCTGAATGGAGTCGTTCTTCCTCTTCAAGATCTCATTAAAAGCACTCCACTCTCCCTGCAGCTGGTCACTGTACAGCCAGTCATCTGGAAATTGATAGCGAAAGCGTTCGAGTGTCTTCTCGCCACTGGCGCATAGCTCGATCATAGGACCCCATTGCTTCGTCTTGCGTTTCAAGTCTTGCACGAAGGTGATGAACGTGACCGCCGCCGCGGTCGATGTGTTTGACGATGTCAGCAGCTTCGAGCGTAATCTATAAGCCGTAGTATAACAGGAGTGAAAACCGAAACATACCTCCATGTCTGCTGTTGCAAACCGAGCTGCTTGGATGAAGTTGTGAACGACGCGTCGCGCAGTACTTACTCGGTGAGCCACGGCAATTACCGAGATCTCAACGATTTCGCGCGTTCTGACTTACCGCCGGCGCCAAGTACTAGCCACCGACGTCCTGCAGCGACCACACGTCCTTCGCGTCCCTTCGTCTCAGCTCTCAGCTACCTGTCCAACATGTCGAACCGCCAGCAGCGTGTGATGGTACAGCCCATCGTGAGCCTGAACCATTATATATCTATATACCCTCATACTGACACAAACCAGAATGTGATCTTCAAAAACCTGCAACAAGTATGTTGGTTGATCATGCAGGTTTATTTCATAGACCTTACCACTCTGATTCACAGAGAACCAAAGTCTCTATCTGGCTGTACGACAACATTGAGATGCGTATCGAAGGGCGAATCATTGTACGTATTCCTGTCCACATTCCTGCCCGACGGCACTCGCCAGCCCTCATCGAGGCGCCCAGTGCAGGACTTTTCATTCATGCTACGCCTTCATGATCACCGTTGCTACGTTTTTGCTGTTTGATAGACCGTCGATGATTTTCTGTGACTTACGCAACTTACGTACACAGGGTTTCGACGAGTTCATGAACGTTGTGGTAGACGAGGCTGCTGAAGTCTATGTGAAGGACGCTAAGCCGCGCAGAGATCTCGGTACGTTTTCTTCCATCGAGATGCCTATGATCACTCATCCGTCTGCAGGGCGGATACTGCTAAAGGGCGACAACATCACACTGATCGAGCAAGTTTCATGATTGTCTGTACGCGGACTGGACACTGCACAAAATAGCAAATGGGACGGGTCGCTGTTGTCCTGTCCACGCTTTCTTGTATGTGCTGTAACACTAATAACTACAAGTTGTACACGGGCAGCAGGGCAGCCAGACTTAGTGCTTGTCGACAGAGCGGACATTCCGCCTGTACGCGCGTTTCACCATCAGCACAATTCACGCACCTTTCGAAATACGCTTACCTTCTCTCTACCCCAACCGACAATGCAATCCCAACAGAAAAGGTGACCACATTCGGTAGCGGTCGTGGCAGTACGCTCCTCCAAGCATAATGTGCAGTTTCGATTTGCTCTGGCGGCGGCAGGTATCAGTGTGAAATCGAGTGTTGTATGCTCATCCTGCTCCGCGGCTAACGGCGGGCGATCATCTGGTCTTTCAGGACCTAGCATGGACGAGACACGCCGATCATCGATGTATGTCTCCTGGTTATCATCCGTCGTTCTCTTCCCCTGTGAAGATGCTGAGCCTTGTTCATCTCCATGAGTGTGACTTCGGATGAATTTCACTAAGCGATATGTTAGTCTGATTGTGAGAAGAATGCCTAGAAGGGAATATGAGGGTGGTCGTGTATTTGGGTCTTGTGGAAGAGAAGAAATCTGCGGAGTAAGCTGTGAATTCACGGCTCTGGAACCGTACGCAAGAGCACGCACATATCGAGCTCCCAGAACCCTTTTGACTATATCATAATATACCCCACGGAAATAGAACACAGCCAGGTTCATCTCAGAGATAATCTCCAAGAGTGTCGGTAGTCTCCGCAATACAGAGCCGAGTCTAGAAGAGGGAGAAAGACGTGATCCCCATCTCGCTAATAGGTAGGACGGCAGGGTGGGTAGTAGCAGGAGAGCTAGCCTAGTGCGTCGCGATGGAGGTCTACTGGCATTTGCTGAGTGTAGCCAGATGTCTGTATACTCCTCCCCCAATGTCTGGGCTGCTGTTGGCGACCTGAGCATAAGTCTTGAGCGATACACAACAATGCTCACCTTGCCCAACCGTCAGGCCATAATATAGGAGTTTCGTGGCTAGCTCAATCTCCTTATCCCACCGTGTCATCCATCGTGTCCCTTGGGCAGCTTAATTACACTGAAACGCATCCCGACTCGACTACACACCTAGCCACGACCGGAGCACTCCTTCAGTCTGCTCACGCAATGCAGAGACATGAAAGAGGTCGCGTTGATGTGAGCGGACTGCGGTGATGGAACGACGAGACGTTAATGCCTGTTCATTTATGCCATTCAGGACCACACACTGATTTGAGCCTGCTGAGCTGGAGGAAAGGACGGCAGCTCGAATGTCCCCGGCATGACTGCAGTGGCTTGACCGATCGGGCGCCTCTGCGAGTCCTCACCTCGTTGGTGACAACTCCCACCTTGTTCACATCCGCTGGCTCGTATTACTTCTAGTGTATAAAATGGCAGCCATGCATGGACAGCCTCAGGGCCCAACAACATGGCAAAAGTGTGAGTAGTTCTACTCTTAGCTGAGCGTCCATGCAAAGAATTCACCTCTGCGTACAGTGAAGTAAGCCAAACCGTTCTGGACTTAAGGGCCATTCTGTGATACCGTGGCCTGCTCTTACAGAATGGGTGCTGCCATGGGCGCTGGCGTTGGTCTTACCATTGGCTTTTTGTTTGGAGGATTCAGTATTCTGAGGTCCGTCTCTGCACGACTTAAGCAAGACGTCTGATGCTGACATGTTCGTTGGACGCCAGGGGAGGAGCTGGTCCTCGCGGTGTGTTGCCGACGCTCTCCCAGTACATGCTGAGCAGCGCAGCCACTTTCTCGTTCTTCCTCGCCATCGGATCGGTGAGTTGCTGTCTGGCCGCAAATTGATATCCCCTCACAAAAGTATGCAGGTCATCCGCAATGATGCGCAGCTCCCACCACACTTCGAAGCCGCTAGGTTACAATTGACATCACCTATGATGCAGTCAAGAGCGGAGGGGCTTACGCTCATGAAAAGGCGCTGGGATGCCGAACGAAAGAATGAGCATAACTGATGTCCAGGAGAATGAGGCGTAATGGCATTGCTTGAACCGTGCTATCGGTAGATCAATGACCGCATATCAAATCATAGGCAAGTACATGGGTGGTACTAGGGTCCATATCTGCCGCACGGCGACTAACCGCTGCGGCACAGTATAAGTATCCCTGAATGTCCTGGTCCGGTCGTGTTACTATCGTGTTCTACAACACCGTGCTACCCTAATCCTAATGAATGCTCAACCTGCGATATCAAACCCGAGAGCGTCAGGAGGGTAGCAGTAACGTAAGGACTGGGTGCCAAGCCTGGCTGGTGTGGGTAAAAAGGCAAGTGGGACACCTAACGACACGCCAGGTGTACGAGACGAAGGGGCGAGAGTCTACTTTCCATGTCAGCTGACAGCCCAGATAAGCCCAGACAAGCTGGAACTTACTGTCAGCCACGAAGCTTGTTCATGGGTCCTTCCGAGTGACTTTGTTCCAGTATGTCTGCAGCCTGCTGCTACACGATCGCACGGACCGGAGGCTATCCTTCGACCTCATCGAACGCAGACTCGCCGCGCTGACAGGTACCGGGCGTGGAGGCGTCTCCCACAGTGGGAACGGGCCGGATATTGTCGGGCGATCTGGAACCGCCTGCGACTTCCTCCCCGCCGCTCCCAAAAACCACCTCAGCAGGCTTGGCTTCCGCTTCTCTGAAGGGGCGGCCGGCGAGCATGGCGGTAATGGGGGATCGTACTCGTCTTCGTAGTGGATCGTGGGCATATCAAGAAACTTGACAGATGGCGCCGCTCTCAATGTCCTCGTCCGGATGGATGAGCTTGACGACAAAATTGACTTGGCCGGTGCCGGCCGCGTGCGCGATGACGCCGTCATCGTCGACGAGACGGACGGAGCGCGCTGCCGTTTGGGCGGCACGAGACGCTCATTGAACTGCCCAAGAACAGGCAGGCTCTTATCCGATGAATGTGACGCGCTTGGACGAATGACCGACGCCCAGAACGACCGCTCACAGCTATCGTCGCTCTCGTCCCGACAGTGACCGCCAGTGTGATTCCAGCCGTTCCGATACGGGATGGACGCCGATGAGATGACTGGAATCTCTGGCAACTCGTCATAGTCTGAAGTCGAGTCAATCGATGACTGCGACAACGACGTCGATGCGGCGCTCAGCGGTGAATCTGGCGCTCGAGGCATCTGCGGATGTGATTAGGCGTCGTGTGTGTCGTGAGGATTGTATAGACTCACAAACGAGTAGCCCAGGGGAAATTCGTCATTCTCATTGATGTCTTGAGGAACGGGAAAGTCCTGTTGCTTTGTTGTTAGAAGAATTGACCAGCAAAACCAGGTGCGAGAATACTGACGGAGTCATCAACAAGGGTCGAGGAGGGCGAGCTGTCCCAAAAAGACTACATATTCTACCGTCAGCAACTTCAATACTCCTAGATTGATCCACGCACACTGACGGCTTGTTCAGAATGCAGCCAGTCGGCCCAGATCTGGCTGTCACGTCTTGGGGCGGGATAGTAGCTGGTGGGACGAGGCATCGTCTGGAAACCAAAACAGGAGCAAGACACAAAAGTCAGCTTACGGCGGGAAAGGACAAACTTCTGTGCCACTCACTGATGAAGGGATGGGTCTCGCGGAACGGAGGGGGAAAGAGGAGGGCGAAGAATCCCACTCCAAGCATAAGCATACCTTTTTCTACACGTGCGGGCCGTCTGCGCCTGCCTTGCGTCACTGTAGGGTAATGAGATAGTCGCACGAGCGACCGCAGGGCGTCCCGATTGACACACAGCACGATCTTCAGGACGGCACGGCGAAGGCGTGTATCATCTGGATATCATCAGACATGAGGCACTTTTCCCGAAATAAGGTTACCCTATATGGCACTTCCGCATCCTTGCGGCAGAACAAAGGACGTTGCAGCTGGAAATTATGCGATTGCCTCATGAACAAAATGGCTGAGTGTGAGTATAGGGGGATTGCATTTGGATTGTGCCCGAAGTAACGAAGCCGGGCACGGTTGCGGCAGAATAGCGCTCCGGGATTCGGACTCGACAAACCCACGTCGAGGGTCCACAGCGTTTGCGGAATTTCGGGGACTCTGACTGTTCCATACAGACTGTGGCGATAGCGCGCAGTATCGTTGTATGGCAATATTTGCATTACAGATTTTACGGCAGGACTTCACGAGCAGAACTGACTACAATGCGAGAACTCGGCACGCTGGGTGTACATGAGAGCTGGGTTTCTGCAGAGACGAAGGTGAGAACGAATAATGCACGGATTGAAACAGAGAGGAGGTCACCAATAGTCTTCTCTTTGTTCTGCTCGGAGGGTCTTCCAGACACGTTCGTGTATACAGCTCTAAAGGCTCCTTCGCTCGCAGAACAGAGCCGAAGTGGCTGCACGGCATTGCCATGTGTATATTGGAACCAGCAGGAATAGAGTGACACTACCGATGACACCCAACTGCACGATCTAAATGATCTCCGTCTAACCTTTTGTATGGAATCGACTCTGCATCACAGGATTTGATCGAGGTCATTAACGCGGCATCAGCAAAATCCCCACCGTTATGAAGGTACTTGCCTGCCTATTACATGGCGTCAGCTCAGACAGCCCGATGCCAGGTTCGGCCAGCATTATGACCAATGCCCAAGGCATGAGTGATGATCGCGTTTCACTTACGTCATACATTGTTTTGTTTTCGCCGCTCATAAGGATTCTGGCGCCTCTATATGCTGGGTTACTCCTTGCCGCCACGCTGCATTAACGAGTGTCCACGATCGCATTGTTGGACAACTTCACATCGACCCTGAGAGGTCCGTGGTTACTCATGTGAACTGATCCCCAATGATTATGACGGCAAATTGGTCCTGTGACGGACACGAGCGATTGAGCGGCAATGGAACCGGGGCAACCCACCTGTTGACTCCAAGCATATGCATATGTACTCACCGATACCAAGTGAAACTTGATATTTGAGAGTCAAACGTCGTGATTCTATGATGTATCAAGAGTCTCGCGAGTTGGAAGAGTGGACACCTCTCAAAACCCCGCAGTGGGATACGTGATCCAAAAAGTGGTGCATTAAGGAGAGCAAAAACTAGAACTATCGTGTCCAAGATATTGCCGGCATTACTTTTTAGACCCTGTCCTTCCGTCAGCACCGCGTTTATTGTGGTCGCTGCAACCAAGGCATATCACACACCATATACGCTACGACGTCCGCTCGCCGTTGAACCCTAGGCCCAGTGGCTTGTCTGCTGTGCCCACATGCGCATCGAGCGCTATATTTTGAATGGCTGGTCGACATGTAGACCACTCCAGATGCCTCTCGCAGCTTCTGTTGTACTCTCCACAGTCCGACGCTTCAAAGGCTTGATTTTGGCACCAGAAGCATCAAGGAGCAGTTGGACCTTCTGCTGGATTCCGGTCACCTCGAAGCCGTTGAGCGGGATCACCTTATCCCTGTCATTCACTACGCAGATCTGCTCCAGCATTAATCTGGCTGCATACAACGGGTATCACGCACAGTAGAAACCACGAATTATTGGTTCACGCTGATTCCGCTGCTTGACCACAATTTCAACATGTGGGTTGGTGCGGGCAAGGTCCTCGAGGTGGTCATGTATGTATCTGCGGGCATTTGCGGATGATGGCCATTTGTCGCAGTACTCGAAGACGAGTTTCCTTATTTGCGGAATGAACGCAACATGCCCGTTGGCCGGCCTTGACGTTAACTGAGCTCGGAGAAGAGGTTTCGTAGTAGGGGCAAGCTTCATGGCTCGAGCTAAGGACGGCGAGCAGCGGCAGCCGTTCTATAACTTCTATTACAACCAGATTGTAAACCCACTATAAGCGGAGTTTGAACATTTGTATGGGGGAGTAAACAAAGCAGGTGGCTGATGGCAATTGTTTGACTGCGACGCACTCACCGTCGACGACACGGTTTCTAAAGTCACGGTAATCTCACCACGGGACGCGTCGACAGAGACGCGCCTCTCAATTCGTCTGCAGCCACAGTCGCGTCTCATCATTCGTGAAAGCGTCTACTCCACGAATGGCTCGTGCAACTCGCTCGTCTGCTCAAGCAGACAAGGACAAACCACAGGGCTCTACTCCCGCGCCTCGCAAACCAAACGCCAAAAAGCGTAAGCGCACTTCAAACGCAGACGCAGACACAGACGCGAACGGGGAGCAGCCTTCGGCAAAGCAGCCTCGCACTGAGGATAGTCTGGAACCAGAAGAACAGCAGTCAGCGGACGTGAAAGAACCTGGTTCACAAGGTAGTGGTGATGTGCCAATTGAGCCATCTGACGCGCAGAAGATCTTGGATGTACTCGAAGTGTGCGTCGCAATGCCTTACTATGTCTAGCAGGGTTGTCAGCCTGATACGCTTTCAGTGTGGACACACAAGGTCTTCTAGACCGGGTGTTCCCATTGCCAACAGATCCCCAAGAATCGACCTTACAAGAGACGATGTCCACTCCGTCTGCACCTACACAGACATATTCACTTCGCGCATTGCTCAAGGACTCTTCCCACCATCCCTTGCGGGTGCTTAGAGTATGTCTTGTTCCGACTGTTTAGCGCGTTGCAAGACGTAACATATTCTTATTGTCTGCCGCAGTCTGCCATCCAGCACCTGTTTCCAATATCCTCACATCCGAGATCGCGACCGTCCGCTCCTGCGGCACAGCAACTGCGTTTCTGCGACCTCGCGTTGTCCCTTCTGGACCTCGCGTCCTTCCATTCAGTCCCAACGCCCCTCGAAGCGGAAAGCATATTCCCCGCCCTTTTCCCTTCTCTGTCCTCAATAGAGCAAGACTCGAAACCCGACCAGCCCCCACCAAGCCCCATACGACATCGCAAATACGCCCTCGTACAGCGATTGCCCACTGGCGACTGGTGGACATCACTGAACTCCGAACACACCCAGCCCTCTGCAGATGGCAAGGAGCTGAAGGATCTGCCAACTGCGCATGCCGACCTCGCGGCCATCCTCCCGGCGGCCTCCACCTCAAACCAGTTCACTGACAAGACCCTTGAGGCATATGTGACTAGGAAGCCTAGGGTAGCCGTACAGCTCCCGGGCCCGCGGCGTCTCAGCTGCGGGAGATTCTTAGACTATGGTCCGTATGCTAGCTTCGCGCCGACCTTTGACCAGGAGGGCGTTGAGGTTGGTCAAGTCACGCTTGGCGAGGTCATATGGTATCAGAGAGAAAAGACACGCCTTAGGGAGAGAATAAAGGGCAAACAAAGGGCCCCTCCGGCACCGGCGGCAGCCGCACAAGAAGACGTCATCATGCTGGATGATACGGACAAGGACGGGAAGACCGCGCAGATCGCTGCGGGAGACGATGCAGACCTTGATAGTACGTTGGGGGCGTTGTTACCTCCCGATGAGGTCGAGCGCATCAAGTCCGCGTTGGGAAGCCTGGAGATGGAGCAGGCTGTGCAGGAACTGCTCGACAGAAACACCAGGGCGCTACTGCGACTGCAGAGACTGCAACGCGAACGGCTGGGGACTGTCAGTGGCGGATTAAGCAAAGTGGAGGAAGGATCAGACGAGTGGGACACCGGTAAGCGTGTGCTAACTTGCTGTCTAGTCGACTCACTGACCTCGTGGCTCCAGCACAAGCTATCATTGACTCGTTAACTCTGCTTGCGTCACTTCGGCCACGATCTTCAAAGGACGACCACACGACGCTACCGCCGCTGATCCCTTCCGCATCCGTGTTGCGTACCCTCCAGCGCACTCTACCCGCAAGTGCTACAGAAGGCTGGTACGGCACCCTTCCAGCAAGCCGTACTACTGCCCTGCGGGACGACACAACGATACATGTGAAGACTGGTGCGCCGGTCGCGCCTCCTGCCACAGCAACGGCCGCCGCTGCCGTCACCACCACCGCCACAGTCACTCCGCAAAAGCCCACTGCCCCAGCGACATCGTATACGCCGTACTCTTACTCGAACTACACGCCGACCCATACTCAGTATCGAGGCGGATACGGCGCTTATACACCCCAGCAGGGCAACAACTACTATTCGAATTATGCCACGACTGCACAGGGACAGACAGCGGGGACGACGCAATATCCTAACACGCAGTATAATACCGGGAGTCAATATCCTTACCAGTCGTGGTATGGCTACCAGCACGGTTCACAAGCACAAACGGCAAATAATGCGGCCGCAGCGTCGGGTGGCGCGACACCTCAACCGGCAACAACGCCTTCAACGATGCCAACCAGCTATGCTGGCTTCTTTGCGTCTACGTCGCAGCAACAGCAGCAACCACAACAACCACAGCGCGCCGTAGCAAACACCGTGATGACGCCCAATGCTGCAAAGGGTTACCAATCCGGCGCATGGTCTGGCGCACAGTCGACACCTGAATATGTTGCACCAACGCTTCCCCCGCACATCCGTCCCGCTGTCGGTGCTAGCACACTAGGGACTGCGCAACTCGCAACGTCCGGGGCTGCGTATTCCACAACCGCCGGCTATTACGGCCATTATCCTCCCGCGCAGTCTCCCGCCCCGACAGCACGATGAATGCAGCTTTCATGTTACCTTGGCCAGTATTGTAATGAGTCGAAGGTATTTCGGTAATGTCATTCGGGCATCTTGTTTGTGATTAGTATTTTTTGCAGTTGGCACTGGGCACACCATATCATTATCCTTCTGCGTGCGATCAAGTTTCGGACAGCTATATGACCAGTACAGTACGCATCGAATGTAAATTGGTTTTGAGCATACTTATAAATCGCCGAAGCAAAAAATCCACGGCGTGATGTCTGGTGCCGTCTAGACTCTACAAGCTCAGGTAAAGGAACTAGAGAGTTGACAACCCAACACCAGAACTTTACTCTCACGCGCAAAACCACCCCGTCGTTGCCTCGAGTACCATAAACTGGCACTCTTATCGAGGGGAAAGTATCCGGTCGCAGACCTCGACCGCCATAGTTTAGGATAGAGACCAGCGAGGCAGAACAGAAGAGCGCGTTGTGCATGAAAATGCGGCGGAAAGCGTTTTCTATGTTGGCCGGCAAAAGCCGAAGACCGCTCACCTGACATGGGCGCGTCGACGCGCTCAAATTCTCCATTGATCCCAACTCCTCACTGCACCTCGTCGTGTGACCAAGTCGTACAAGTCTGCAACACAATATTCTTTGTGTATCATCGTCTCAATGTTATGTTTGCAAGCTCTACTCATTGCGCCGGACAAGTACTGCTTACGCCGCAGCAATCTTATACCCGCCGCCGAGTGGGTTGAATGGTGGCTCCGCTGGCGGGAGAAGAACCTAATCCGATAATCCTTCAGGGGAGTCGAGAGCCGCCGAATGACGGAGGAATGTCCGAGCAACGCTCCGCAGGCCCACCGAATCGCCTGACGCATATTAGTTTCTCCTCTTGGAGCTCTCTGATTATTTGTACTGCATGCCTAGCCGACCGTTGAATGCCTTCCTCGATCGATCATTACACCTTCAATGAATTACGATGCAGTCCAGGTGTCAAGGCGAGGAAGAGGCCAGGTAACTGAAATGATACCCCGTGAGTCATATGCCCTTTGAAAAATGACTCGACGACTCATCTCGCGAGGGGTAGGGAGCCAGTCAGGACAGTACGTTTCTCGCCCCCCATCCCGTCATGTCGAGTACTCACCCGACGGCATGGAGGTATGATGGTGGCGACATCGCGTTCATTGCCATATGTGGCATTCTCGTATCTTTCATGGTACCTGGCGTGGGTCAGTGCGAATCTGCTATCTGCGACTCACACAAGCTAAAACAAGGACCTATAATGCCCCCCTGATAGCGTTCCTATATTCTGGCTTATCTAGGCGGAAAAGTGCCCTGTCCTTGATCTGGGCCGTCGCCGCAAGCAACGCAGTTGTCATCTTCCAATGGTTCTTCTGGGGATACTCCCTTGCGTTCTCGCCGACGGCTACGAATGGCTACATTGGTGACTTGCGGAGTTTTGCTCTGCGCAAGGTGCTCAGTAATCCCAGCCCTGGGTCCCCCCTTATTCCGGAGCTGCTGTACAGCTTCTATCAAATGGAGTTCGCGTGCGTCACAGTCGCCATCCTTATGGGAGCACTTGCCGAGCGCGGTCGCGTGGTCCCTGCCATGATTTTCGCATTCATCTGGATGACTATTGTGTACTGTCCTCTGGCTTGCTGGGCGTGGGCGGAAAATGGCTGGGGTTATAAATGGGGGGTTCTTGACTATGCTGGTAGGTCCCCTGCATCGGACATCGATAGTGTCTAATATATGTTTGTATTCTACTAGGCGGCGGCCCCGTAGAAATTGGCAGCGGAGTGTCCGGACTCGCCTACTCCTGGGTTCTTGGCAGGCGGAGCGAGCGTGAGCTGCTCAACTTCCGTCCGCATAACGTCTCCCAAGTGTGCATGGGAACGTTCATGCTCTGGTTTGGCTGGCTAGGGTTCAACGGTGGGAGTGCATTTGGCGCGAACATGCGCGCAGTGCTCGCGATATGGAACTCTATGATCGCCGCGGCAATGGCAGGGCTCGTCTGGTGCTTGCTCGACTACCGGCTCGAGCGCAAGGTCTCAATGGTCGGCTTCTGCTCGGGAACAATTGCCGGATTGGTGGCGGCTACTCCCGCTTCGGGTTATATCCCGCAATGGGCATCCCTCATCATGGGCATTGTAGTGGGGGTGGTTGCAAACTACGCAACAAAACGTGGGTTCCTAAGCACCCGGCGATATATCAGCTAATCAGGGCCTCGTAGTGAAGTTCCTTTTACGAATTGATGACGCACTAGGTGCGGGATAGTATTTCTCTCGATGTTTGCCATAAGCTAATGTGTCGGTGTATTTTATAGATCTTTACGCGGAACATGCTATCGGAGGCATCGTCGGCTTATTATTTAACGCCCTGTTCGCAGATAGCGAGCTCATTGCGTTGGACGGGGTCAATACCTCTGTCCCTGGTGGCTGGCTAAACCGCAACTGGAAGCAGCTTTACATTCAGTTCGCATATATATGCGCTGTCGTCGGCTACTCTTTCGTCATGACAGCCCTGCTTGCGAAAGCGCTTGACTTCATTCCGTGCCTCAGCTTACGGGCGTCGCCGGCGGAGGAGGCACTCGGTATGGACGATGCTCAGGTATGTATTACTTCTGCCGGGAAGCTGAACTGGACACTGATTATTTGTGTATGTAGATTGGGGAATTTGCAAACGACTATATCGAAGTCCGGAGAGATTATACCGACTGGACGCCCGCGCACAAACACAAAGGTTCGGACACCGGCCAGGTGCCCATCGCTGCTGGAGACCGCCACGCTCGACCAGATGTGCAGGTTTGGGATTCCCAGGACGGCGAACGACCTATTAGCACCAGCCCGAACGATACGCGGGGTGCGAACGGCCTTTTAACGATCTCAGAGAAGGTGGATGATAACAGCGACGTTGAGTCTCACTCTTGACGAATTCGTCGTGTGAGAGAAAAGTATCGATTGGGTGGAAATGCGGGGAATAACTGCTTCTCAGGAATCGGGGTACGCTTTAGCAATCTAATCCTATAGCCTGCGTAATATATACGACTACGGCCCCTTTCTCTCCTTCCTGGTAGTGTAGCGGTAGTTGTGACTTCGCGATACTTTTTTTGCAGCTTGTCCTCTAAGAAGACATTCCTCGTTCCTGGATGGTGCAGGTATCATCTGCAGAGAAATGCCTCTGGGTTTGCACGCACATGCTGACTGACTTACTATATTCCTTATCCAGTCATAGAGCAAGGCCGACGCTGTGCCTGCGAGTGTCTTTCCCCTCTCAACCCGTTGTGTTGGTTGCAGTAAGTCTCCCACATCGATAGTTGTCAGCGCTTCGGGGCCTTCGTGGCGTCAGGGTATCATGTCTGCCACCAAAACCTCTTTATATTGGTTGCGCGCTATACGACTTTGTGCGTTCTCGATAAGTCGACGCTATATGCATATCAACAGTCTGCCGAACCATCATACCCTGATTCCTCATGACGGCGAAGCACATCGCAAACGGGTCCTGGCAGATACCAGGACGAACTTCAAGAGTGTTGGTTTCGTGCGATGTACCGACTTCAGGCGTGTACGCCTCCCCAGTGCGAGTTTAATATTTTTATGGCTAGTAATAGTATGCCCATGGTCGATTGGGCAATGCCGAGATAATGACGCACTAGGACGGTCGTCCGAGCCGCCTCCTGACCCGGACGTACATCCGAGATAAAACCATGCCCGCGAGATCATCTGCTCCCTGCTCTCTCCCACTGTCCAGGATCAACAACCATGTCGGTCTCCATTCTCTCCCTCCCGCCAGAGCTTGTCGAGCGCATCCTTCTGTTCTGCCATCCTTGCGATGTCGCGGTACGATCCCGGCTGTCTAGCACTATCTTTGCGCTCATAGATCCTTTCAGAAATTTACAGAGACATGTAAGGTCGCATACAGCCTGGTCTACAAGGCTGAAGACCAGTACCTCTGGCGAGAGCTATTCCTCGCCTGGCCCTTCGATGATCTCCGCAAGGCGCCCCAGCCACTGCTCGCCCGAAAACCTGTCACCGAGCACGATTGGCGCACCGCTCTACAGCGTCGGGTTGAAGCGGGCGATCTGATCCTGCGCAAGGATGTATTCTCAGGCCCGCAACTCCTGCGCGCCCTCGAGGCGTTGGTGTCCGTCGTCGAAACTGCACTCCCGCTGAGCGATAGTCCCGACTCAGACGAGTCTGCCAACCTCCAATGGTTGGAAACGCTCCTGCATCATATCGCATTCGACCCGGCGGCGCTCGTACCCACGGAGCGCCAACTATACGCTCGCCTTATGACGTACCACGCGTTATCGTATGAACCGGATGTTCGCAGCCCTATCCTGCGCAAGCGTCTCAACGAGCGCCGTCGGCAGAGCCGGTGCTTCGTGTACGATCTGCGGAAATACCGCGAAGAGACCCTCTGGGGCCCGTACAGGCGCAACGAGAAAGGCGAGCTCGTCGCCGATTGGGAGCACGTCCAGCATGTCGTGACTCTCGTTGCGCTCAAGCTGTGCGAGCTGCCAGGGATGGCGCTCAGACTCTACTGCAAGCCGCGTTCCGGCCCCGCCGCAACACAAGCTTTCTCTGCTCCGTTTGCACACGATCGCGAATCGCATGACTGGGCGGGAGTCGCGGGGACTTGGCGGCGCTTCGTGTGCTTTATGGATTATCGGTGCGTGGACTAGGTGGCTCATCGATTTCTCTAGACTGAATGGTAAATCTTGCTCTAGTGATCTGTACAGTACGCAGACCCGTTCCCTAGTGTATGTATGCTAACCGTATGTGACACTCTCCTAGAATTCAACGTGAGTACGAATTCCTCCTAGACAGCTTATCGTAACGCATACATGTCCCCAGTACCCCATGAACGCACCGCGCAGGCCGGAATTCTTCGACGACGACTACCAAGAAGCAATTCGCCCCGTCGAGCTGCACCTCAAGGTGCTCGATCCCGCCCCCGCGGGACCTGCTACGGTCGCGGGCGTTGTCAACCCGGCGTATCCGCCGCTCTTCTTCAAGGGCTTCTCGCGCGGCGCGCACGGCAGCGACGCGGTCGTCGAGGGCGAAGTGCGCCTCCTGTCGGACGGCAGCGTCCGGTGGAGCTTCGTGAGTCCGCATGGGCCTGTTGCGGTTCGTCGCCTCCTTTCACTCACACGTGTGCGCGAAGGTCACGAAATATGACGGGCTCACGCAGTGGAGGTACTGTAATCGTTCTGCCCGTCTGCAAGTGGGCACCCAGCGCTGATTATCGCGCGTCGCTCTGATGTGCTGTAGTGCGGAAGCTGTACAGATCGGGAACGTGTGCAGCGCGGCGGGCATTGCGGGAATTTGGACCGGTGCGTTTCACGAGGAAGGTTGGTCCGCACCTCACAATTTGAGATGTTCTTTTGGCTCACAGAGCTGCCATCGTTCTTAGGGGATCCTGCGGGTAGAGCTTTCCGCTTGTAACACATATGGCCTCTACTGATTGTCTACAGGTCCCTTCTGGATGTGGAAGGTTCCCGCGGCCCTGCCTGTAGGATTCAACGTCTAATGGGATAGAGAGAGACCCATTAACGAAATATGTATACTTGGTGTCATCCTGACTGTCTTCCAAATAGGTGAGGCACGAGGCATATTTGTTGCAATTCTCAAAGCACACTATCGTACAATTGGTTCTTCGCTGTCCCAGCTGTTGTACAACGCTTGTTACTTTTCCTTCATCTTCGAATGATACCGCAGATCTCTCAGTGAGTGTGTGTGCCGCTCGCGTTCCCATAGAACTTGATCAAGGTGGCATACAAATCCTCGAAGCTGGCAACGTTGAACGGTCAGTCGTAATCTAAAGAGGATTTTGATTGCCACGACATACTCTGCCTTATTCTTGGGGTCATCGAGGTTAGCACGGGCAGCAGCGAAACCATGGAATCTATGGCAATCTTTTCAGCATGCAGCCCGGAAGTCATGCCAGACGCAGGCGACGTACGTATCGTAGAACTTGTGATCGTTCTTCGCTGCCCATGGCTTCTTCGACACGATCTCGACGATCTTCTTGTACTGAATGACATTCAGTCAGATAGCGCCATGCAACGTCACTTGGGATGGTTACGTACTTCCTCCTGGGGCTCGTCTTGGCTCGGGTACAGTCCGAGAGGCACCTTGAGCTCAGTGGCATCAGCAGATGAGAGCATGCTGATAAGAAAGCGTGAACAAGCTGGTCGAGAAGAGGCCAGCAGTGTGATCGCCTACGCAGGGTGGGTAGCAGAGATGGCATCGAGGGGCGTGGACTCCGCCGAACCCGCCAGAATCGTAACCTTACCGCCTGCAAGTCGAATCGCGTCAGTCGCGTCTTCACCCAATCCATACAGACGCTACCGACCCCAGCAGAAGCCGAACGCGCCTACGAACTTCGCGCCATCGGCCTTGAGGGCCTTCGCGACGTTGAGGAGCTTGGAGACGGCGTTTTGCGGGTTAGCAGCACCGCCAAAGAATGCCTGGAGCTTGGCCTTTTCCTCATCGGTCTTGGGCGGGAACTTATCAGCAGGCCAGGGCGCATCGGGCTCGAAGAAGTCGGGCATGACGACATGGGCGTTGAGCTGATCGGCGAGGATATCGGCGCCTTGCTGAGTCTGCGGCTTGAAGCTATGGGGCACGCTTTAGCATAACGCGGGGGGGAGACATCATGATGGGCGGAGGACACACCCGAAGATGTCGTAGACGCAGATAAGTGCGACATTGCCTGGAGTGGTTGGACCGGTGACATAGACCTACCAGTGCAGATATTCGTCAGTAAATACTCTGATATCAGATATATGCCGCCCACCTTTGTGAACCCGGGATACGACTTGTAGGAACCCTTGGGGGTGTAGTCGGACCTGACGGGTGGAATGCTGCAGCAAGCAGCGTTGTCGTTGTGGATGGTGGTGGACATTCTGGCTGCACTGTGTGAGGGGGCAAGGTGGTGGGCGACTGCTCGTAGACGGGCGAGCATGGGCGGTCTGTGGACGAGCGACTATAGGCTTGTAAGCACGCATGCTCTCGCTCATCGACGTCATAATCTAGAGGCGCGGGAACGGTCTGCCATATGTGGGTGTACATATAAAGCCATCCAAAGCGCTTGATTGCGCAAAATTGAACCCTCACCACGGCCTGCGTTCATTCTCGCGGGCAACTCTCCGTCGCACCCATGGCCTGGGGTATGCTGGAGAGGGAAGACGAACATCAGGGCTCAATTAAGCCGGAGCGCTTCCCAGCTGTGCGACCGTCCGTTCCTTAGGGAGGCCGGAGTGGGAAGTGCTTGACTATGCAGCTCGCACACTTCATTAAGTTATATTCTATGATCACTTTGCGTTTGTCGTTATTCGTGCTGCGAAATACATCTGTGCTGGGTCAAAACATAATACGCTTGCCAGTAAGTCCATCGCAGAACCTGAAAAATTTGCTGTGGTCAAAGGTACTTTCTACGCGCCTGCGTGGTGGATTGGTTATGATACTGCATGTTCTCCGAGAGCAGTATCATAAATAGCAGTGTATATTGGTATCTCATTCGTACAATGTACACGATGTCTCATACCCGTTTTGCCCGACGCCTACAACGACTTCTCCGCCAACTTCTTCAGCTTGAGGGCATCTAGTACGGGCTCAAACATCTGTATGAAGAGAGACTTGCCTCCTCCGAGCATCCTGTTCGTAACTAACTCACGTATCGTCAGATATATGCGCAACTCATAATGATTGACCGATCACTCACTCCACAATGCTGCCATCAACCACCTCTTCGCATCCGCGCTGTCACGGGAGCCCAACGTCGACGCTATCTGCAACATATCGATCACAGGCTCGCGGAAACGAACCGTTGTAGGTATAATGGCTATTTCAATGGGCAGGGTCGCCGCCGCCTTCGCCGACTGCACGGCGGTTGCCTTCTTGTCAAGCAACACGAACCCATAGCACTCGAGCGCCTTCATAAAACATTCGCCCGCTTCCTTGACCAGCGCAGGCGTCTTCTTGGACTTCAAAACTTCACCCAACGTCTCGTATGCCAGCCCCAAATCCCGACGGACCCACCCGCACGACGGTGCGAAGGTCGCCGCCAGTTCGTCCGTCCACCTGCGCAGTTGCGGGACCGGCATGTCATACGCACGACCCCATTCGCCCCCAATACACTCCATGAGCCGCGCTCTGGCCTGCTTCTGCTCCGGGTCCTCGCCGCGCTCGTCCTCACACAGCTCGCAGCGGCACTCTTCTGTCATGATCCGTGTGAGTATCTCGTGCCGGGCCTTTTGAGAGCCCCCAACATAGGGTATGGTGATCTCTTCGCCTGCAGCGATTTGCATGACCGCGCGGACGATCATAACGTCCCCGATGGTGTGCCACACTGCGTTGGCCAGGCAGGCGTGGTTAAACATCGCCGCCATGGGATAGAGGCCTAGCGGAGAGCCGCGCTTCGATGGCTGCTGGGCCGGCAGGTACTGGGGGCCGAGCTGTGTGATGGAGAAGTCATTGAGAATGAGGATGGCTTCCAGGCGCGGCAGGTCGATGTCGAGTGCAGGCACGAGGGCGTCCACGAACACCGGGTCTGTAGAGACCGGCGGAGGGTACGCGAGGGGTGGATCCGGGTACTCATGGCTGGCGAACAGATCGAAGACGATATTGTGCAGCTCGGGATTTCCGTAGAGCTTATGAATTACTTTCGACCCCAGCGCGCTCTGTTCTCGCGAGAGCTCTATGCCGGAGCGCACGTCTGCGTGTTGAAGTACCTCTTGTGTGTTGAAGTCCTGCTCGAAAACCGATGCGAACGGCTTGCTGACGAGCTGCGCATGAAGCCCCAATGAATATATACAAGGTGTGCGAGGGTAAACAGTCACGTACGAGTAGCTCGCCCACTTTGATGTCCCGTGTCGCGGCGATCCCCCGGCCTCCGCCACGGTGCGTCATGGGCTGCACCTGTATCGAACCCTTGAACGCGGCAACGTCAAGACGCGGGTCACGCTGCGCGTGCCGGAACAAGTAGGCCCAATCATACTTCCCGGTATCGCGTTCAGCCTGGCGTTTCCGACAGCGGGCGACCCAATCTGCGATTTCCACATCTTTTGGATGCGTGAGCTTGTACTCCTCGAACTGGGCCTTGGCAGCGTCGTAGTGGCCGCGTCCGTATTCAGCCTTCGCTTCGCGAAGAACAGCTTTGTCGCGGAGAGCAGCAGGAACGCCCGGCGTCGCCTGCACGCGTCGGGCGTCGGCGGACGCCCCGGAATACCACTCGAGGCGCAAGTACGCTTCTACACGGTTGCAGCGAAGGTCGGCCGCCTCGGGGTCCGCTCGTAGCCCGTGACTGTATGCAATGGCAGCCGGGAGCCACCGCTCAGCCTTGAAGTGCTCGTTGCCCACATTCTTCCACCCCATTCCTGAGAAGGGCATAAGGGGTGCATACTGCAAGGACCTACCGGAACTCCATGTAATGTCTTTGAGAATGTCGTTAAACCGGTCGATCAGTATGATGTCTGATGGTGAGTCGATGCCAATTGTCGAGCATCTTCCTTGTGCAGGTGCGTTGAGAGTGGGCTCGCGAATCGCCAGGATTGTTCCCATGGGGAAGAGCGCGTCCAGGTACTCCTGCTTGCAGTCGTACGTGGTGGGGAAGTGGTATAACCACAGCCCACGGGCGTCGCCATCAGGATCTTCTACGATCGTTTCTATCGTACAGATGCGCACTATATTACAGAGGTAAGTAGAGAACACCGATGTAGGGAGGTAGGCACCGACCGCATGGTGTTATGACGCGACATAGTACATACTCGCCCTAGAGTCAGTCATCAACTGTTGTGTCCGGGGCAAAGATTGAAATGCGTTACAGTATGTGTCTTTCGCACGAGCATCTGCGAGAGGGAGATTATATGGTGTATTCAAGTGGTGAATGTCAGCTCCCGCTTCGCATACTGGGTATCAAAGAACGCACTGCGCCGAAGTTGGCTGAGAGGTGAGGCACTAAATGGTCTCTGAAAACCTGCGAAGATCATGTATGCGGGCACCATTTTGCTGTAACCCATGTTCTGCTCTTTCTCTATGCTGTGGCGCAGACCCAGTTGGTTTAAGACGAGGATCTCGCGAGGTGCTTCGCTTTGAGGCAATGGCATGGGTTCGAACGATTTATCTTCCTTGAGCCACTCCTTGTAGCGAGCGACAGCATCTCTCGTTTCTTTGGGAGGTCGACCGGGGTGGACGTCGGGAGGACGGCTCCCTCCTAAATCATGGATACCCACGTTGGCCTCTTCCTGCAACTCGGATACTTTCTCATATGTGATACCCAGCCGCGCCACCAATGAGTCTGCAGCGGCTTGATACATGGCTTGATGCATGTCAGATGTCTGCATTATACCGGAGCAGGCAAGGGCAAGATGGGGACAAAGGGCAAAGAGATGAAAGTCTCAACATGCGCGTGTCACTGGCACCTGTATATTAACGTCAACATGCGGCTGCAGCTGCCGCACGAGGCCAAGTGGCCTTCTGTCCAAGATAGAAATGCCTTGACTCTAGTCGAACAATGAATCTTATCCTGTGAGCAACGTCAGCGGGAGCACTGGCTTGCTATATACACTTGCAGCTGCTTTCTGGGAGGCCTTGTTGCGTACTGGGACTAGACACTCGCCGCAGTCAAATATGCTGGTGATACCGCAAGCTTCAGACGATGTGTATGTTCACTGTCGAATATTATCAGATATGTCTTGTTGAACATGTCTGATAGCTAGTAATAGATGATATGCTGCAGTGAATAAAATCGTCGTTGTGCCGTGATGACGGACATTCTTGATGGGTCCTGATGTGAGAAGAGAGAGATAGTGGGCGATCGTTCGCTGGCGGGAGCATCAGAGGCCTCTGGATGGCGACGGTATAGCACTCAAGACATCGATAACCTATAGAGTGACCATACTTTGGCCATCAAAATGAGCGATCTATTAATATTGTAGACTGCCTAGGGGAGACTAATCGATCACTACGCATTCGAGTCTCTTGGTTTCTGGAGCTGTGTGTGACATGACCTGTGTAATATCTCAATAACGCCAAACAAAATGTTTGTCGCATTCATGGTCCGGGGGGATTTGTAGAGAAAGCGTAAGTATACTGGTATGGATCCCAATCCTGATGCATAGCGATGGTATGAAGAAAGGCTCGATGTACTTAAGTACTGCCTATGGGAGATCAAATTCCCATTTTGGGAAATTGGCGATGGCCGTCGCTTATGGAACAACTTGTCTTGTACTTATAACGTCGTATGCACGGCAAATTGTGACTGTATTACAGCTCATTATTCCCTCTCAGTCAACACGATGGGCGTACACCTCTACGACTCCAGTACATACTCCACGGAGGATGAGCTCACCCGACTCAGGCCTGCTCTCGCTGTCGCAAACGCCAATATCCCGTGCCTCGTCTGGGGAGAAGATGCACTGGCTTTTGTTCATTGTGTTCCGACCGTTCTGTTTCAGTTTCACCTTATTGTCCCAGACGATGCCCTCGAGGCTGCATGCAGAGCTATCATGGAGAGCTTGCCATACAAGAAGCTCGATGCGCCACACCCCACCTGGCAAGAGTACGGCATGGTGGACCCCAGTCGCCCGAGTTGCTACCCCTCATCAATCACCCTCGAGTGTACCGGGGACATGGAGGAACTTGCTTCTTTATCTGCGGATACCTCTATTGCGGTACATCCTCAGTCATTCTGGTCTGTCGACGTGCGTGATACCAGCCGCTCGGTATCGCTCGAGCCTGCACCTCCGCACGACGAACGCATTCGCTTACCCACTATTACGGCGTTCTTGGATTCGATCATCACTACCATTTTGGAACCACCTAATGGGTCCCAACACCTTCAGTTCGGGATCAAGATGCGCTCTTGGATGGGATATTTCCTAACCTACACTCCACAATTCCGGGCGTACCCTCGCGTATTGCCTGATGGCTCTTTGGAGCCAGGACATGCGTCTATTCTGGACACGCTTTCCGAAGAGAACAAACCATTCTTCGAAAACTTCATTCGAGGAAAACATGACGGTGATTGGATGTTCCAAGTCCGACGACGCCGAGACATCTTAGAACGCATGGGGTACGCATATTTCCAAATTCATGGAGTTCAATAGACATAATTTCTACCTAGTCGGTTCGCGGAGGCTCGACGACCTATGCCTGAGAGTGTATTACCTCGCCTCCGGAAGTAAGTCAACAAATACAGCTAATAATCCATGGTCTCTCATGAAGTGAAGGCAGAAACAAGCCTTGCGGCACTACTCCTGCTACCCGGACGTGATTCGGGGTTTCCCTCGTATGTCTACGCCAAAGTGAGCCTATCTGCATAGGAAAAATATGGGGTCATTCTGAGCCATCCTGTTTATTTAGACCCATTGTGTCGTGCCGGTACATGCCAGTGTTTCGATTCTTACTCAGGAGACTCGTTTGAGAGCAATTATGATAATGAGGTGTCAGGGGCTTGCGACCCTTGGTGCTCACTCACGTCAATCAATATTTTGTACTTGCAGTGAGCGCGTCGTTTCAATCAACTTAGGATGTTGTCGGGACTGCCTATTCATACAAGTCAACTAAGATTACAAGAGATACGAGCAGGGTTGTTATCGATCAACAGCAAAGTCGGTGGTCTGTAACAAGATTTATTTGATGTGAGTATGCGTATGAGTATGAATTGTTCCGCCGTCGTCACTCACCACTGCTCCACATCTAGCCCCAGCTGAGGGAAAAAAGCTTCCGCGGCCTCTCTAGCATCGTTATTCCCCTCCTCTGCAAGGCTGGTGAAGAAAACACGAAGTGTCTCGTCCTTCAGCAAGAGTTTCCTCAGTTCTTGAGAGACGGATTCCTTGTTATCGACCATCTTGTTGGCGAGGAACAAGATGTCCGTCAAATCGTTGGTACGCTTTTTCTCTTTGTTGACTCCCCTCTCTGTGTAAGCTAGTAGCTTGTCCACGATCAGAAGAGGAGCAGAGGCGTAACGTATCCCCTGAAATTCGTGCGTGTACTGCAGCAGTATCGGGATATGTTGCGCGTGGTCGCTGGCGATATCGCAGGAGACTGCCCTTGTAGGACCCATATATGTCACTTTTAAGCGGCTGGCTGAGCTTCCCTCACGGATCTGAACGGGTTTCGCTGCAAGTATATCCCGAAAATTGAAGGAGTTGGTATTTATGTCTAAGTCCTACTCACTGCCATCAGTATCCTTGACGTAACAATGATGCGGAGTTGCTCACCCTCGTCTCACGGTCGCTTCCGTGAATCATCGTGGCCGCCCCACCGATAAGTATTCCGTCGGTTCTTGACGATTTCATGGCGTCAAAAATCTCTCGAGCCGCGAGAACCAGGTGTGGTGGCAGTTTCGACATCAGGCAAGTTTCGACGGCTAGCCAGCCTGCAGACCGGAGATATGCGTCCTCTTTATACGCGCCCCTAGGCAGGAGGGAATCTAATCACGTACATTTGCTTCTATCGGCGGAACTGCTGGACACCCGAGGTAAGACCCTGGAGCAGACCCTAATAACCTAGAAGCAGGTCGGGCGAAGTTGTCGGAGTGGTATGCGTTGATCTGCCCCACGTATCACCCGATGCTCCGCTCTCCCGTCCAATCCGGCTGTTGAATGGACAAGCACAAGTCCGACTTCATAATAATTTGCGTAACTAGATTCATGATGTTTCATAATGTACACAATACAGTCATATATCTCCTGATTGTCCCCACCGACATTGACTCCGGCGCAGCGCACGCGCCTGTCGCTCCTCTTGGTAGATGTCCTTGACGTACAGTGTCCCATGTTGGATGGAAACCGAATCAGGACTTATGCCGCCACATTTCAGGATAGGGTAGGATGTTTTTCTCCACTAAGAATATCATTGACTTCCGGGGTCGGTTATTAGATCCAACACTCACCGGAAGAACATATCATGATCGTCCCATATTAACAAGAGGGGTCGACATGACTCAAATGGATGAATCAGTAGGTCGAACCGGCGTCCGCGAGGCTAGAAGACAAGGATGCACCTATTCAATTGCTAGGTATCAGAACCATGAGGCTAGCTACGATCTGCGAGCACTCAGCATCAAATCTTCGCGTTATCTGTGTCAGTGATCAATGTGGTGGCAGTCGACTCAGGTGGGTGTCGAGTTATCAAGTGCCCCTTGAGGTCTGCGTGTAGAATGTAATTCTTTGACGGCGAAGTTGCAACCCTGAGACTCATGTCAAGCCGCGCTACTTGGTGGCCTTCAGCATGAGTAACGGGCGCCAGGCTCGTGTGAGCTACCGTGGCGAGAAGAAATTCGTAAGTCCGCGACATTGACTACGTTAGGACATTAACTACGCCGTTTGCCAGTCCCCCCCATGAGACCTTGTCGGTAGACATTCTAGGGCATTCATCTTTTAAAAAACAGCCCACAGAAACATATAATCCCTAGCCGCGATGCGAATACAGGTATACAGGTATACAGTCATACTTCGTAACCACCCGGATTTGGTCTCCTCTGAGTGCCGCGAGAGGTGAGGACTCTGTCAGTGGTGGTGACTTACCTGGATCCGATGAGCCGGTACAACTGTCCTTGCTGATTCTCAGGGCTCTTCGTACGTCCATGAGGTTCGGTACTTCTCAGGGTCTTCGCACGAGCACCCAATGAGGGTACCAGCTTGTCAGTGGGTGCGTGTCTGCGCAAATGGCCGATCGACCTATAACAAGTATGTACACTATCGCGATGGAACCGCCCCTTGGTGCATGCTCTTATTGCCATATGCAGAGGACAAGGTGCCTGATGCTTTTGGCCCAGAACACAGAGATGCCAAGCGTACCGTAAAGGGAGGCGATGACTCGTCTTGAGAAATAATTAATTGAGTACGGCATACCAATCGAGGCCATGACCATCGATTGGTCTGAGGCCTATGGACGGTGAAAATCGCCGCGGCCGGCTGGGCGTTCAGACTGTGCGGATGATCAATATGATTCGAGGCAAAGGACGAGTCTGTATTAGGGAGCGTGATGTGCAGTGCAGACTAACGATACAGGATTGATGACCCGAAATAATGTTACAGCTATACCAGAGCCGGAAACTAAAACTCATACATATCGTTGTCAACAACGAATAAACGTGGATGAAGTGCATCAGGTCATGAGGCGATGACTCTCATTCGGCCATGAAGCTGTAGGAGACAAACAGTTAGACTAAGTATGTACGGACATTCGAATGAGGACTCACTAGACCATGTCATCGATCGCGCCGTGCTGTGCGACGGAGGCGAGGATGGGCTGGTGGTTCGCCGCAGCGTTAATGGACGCGAGACGGTACACACCCGCAGGCACCCCTCCCGTGACGACGGTGGACAGCGTGCCATTCACCGCGACGTCATTGAGGCCCTTGAAAAACGAGAACTTGGTGGGGTTCGTCGGCGTCGTCTGGTTGAGCGCGGTGAGCCTCTCGATCACGACGTGCGAGTGGCCCATGACGTTGCCCGTGGTCTCGTTGACCATCTGCGGCGCGGCGAAGTAGTTCGTGGCCGGGTTGACGAAGAAGCCCGTGTCGAGGTGGTCAATTGCCAACACAACGGTGAAGGTCGTGTTCGCCTTGACCGTGTCGAGGTTCGCCGGGTAGACGAACTTGGCCGTGGGGGTGTTGTTCACGTTCGGCATGACGCCCATCGGCGCGGGGTTGCACGATCCGGATGCGACCTGCGTGCCATTCGTGAGCGGGAGGTTGACCGTCGCACAGAAGTTGATGAAGTTGTTCGTCGACGTCACGGACGCGATTTCGCCAGGCTCGGGGCTGCTACTGTGAAAGACATCAGGCGACTTGCACTCGTCTCTCGTCAGAAGTGGCGCTTACTCTTCGGTACCGTTTTGCGAGAACCCAGTCTGAACCAGAGAACTGAGCAGCGTGAACGATGATTGCGCATCAGACGCATTGGCAGTCGAGGCGGCAGCAGTGGACGAGGGTGCGATAGCCACAGCCGAAGCCGAAGCTAAAGTCGACATACAGGGTGGTGCAGATGTGGCATTAGAAGGTGAGGCAGATGATGTGGCATTCGAGGCGGATGTGGCTCCCGTAGCGGCAATGCGAGAATTGACTTGTGCTTGTGTCGCGCATGTAATGCTGGTACCCTCAGAGTTGACGAGCGGCAGCGCGGCACAGCTGGAGAAGACACGGGGTTAGTAGAAGCTCCGGCCGACGGTGCCATCAACGCCACACTCACACCTCACCAGTGCCACAAGAGGTCAATACGAATGCACCGTTGACACACTGGGCAAACTCCCCGTTGACGCAAGCGTTCTCGCCCGCTGTGCAGGACGAGTTCACGGTAAGAGACTTGAACTGGTTGCTGCAGGAATGGTCAGAATGAGAGAGACGCGTAGGATCGAAAGACATACTTCAACGCAATCGCCGCCTCGCCGTTCTGCTTCAGGAAGCTACTGTCACGAGGAATGTATCGTGGGAGAGCAAGTGCAGCGGAGAAGAGAGTGGCAACAAAGACAGTAGTGAACTTCATGTTGGGAATCGTGAGTGTGGTCTAGATAGTGACGTCGCTATTCTCAAAATGTCGTGGGGGGAGGACACCAGGTCGTCTAGTACAAGCTGTATGATCACAGACCGAGAATGAAGAGAATGGAATAGGACTAGTCCTGAGGGGAGAGGGAAGCCGAGTTGGATGAGGACAGGTGGACCCGGAAGAGTACTTATACTTCTCGTATGGGCCGAGATGCCAAAGCGACGGCAAACACACAGCCACGGAAGGCGAGCCATTGAGGCAACAACAGTGTGGCGGCGAAGCTTCCGTTAACAAGCCTCCAATTGTCTCGCCCAAGCGCCTCCCTCAGAACAATGAGATGCAACCACGTGATCGTGAACCTCCCTCGGCACCGCGTGCCGTCATTGTCAGTGGCTATTTTTGGAGTAAAGATGGCCACATCGAGTCAAACAGCGGTCGATCGCGATCAAGGAATCCGTGCCTCGGCTGTCACGGGCACTGCCGAGCGTAATTCTTGTCAGGTCGGCCACGATTACTGTGGAGTACGGGGTTTTGCAAAACATTTTGAAGCCTGGGCCTATGTGCTCGAGCGAGCAAAATAGCTACTGTTCTACCAATCAGGCATCATTCCTAATGGTCTTGGCAGTTCGTATACCAAGTTTCAAGGAAATCCATGATGAATTGCGAGCAGTAGAGAGGTACCGGCTGGAAGCAGCTAAAGTGCGGTAGTTCTGCAAACTCTGTCACTCACGGGTCACGGCGGCAAGTTCAAACTCCGCCGTGGCAGAAGCTGCAACAGCGCGACCAAGCGTGTCATCTGCAATCACGTTTGAGGGCGGGGATTGAATCATCACGCATGGTGGCAGGGAATGTCACGTTCATTTTGCAAACCATCCACACAGCGCGATTCATTCTATTGACAGCATATCGGGCTGGAGGATCAAGAAAGGCATGGTTGGAACATACTAAATCGGATGTCCGATTGGGGACAACGGCTCATAATCACTGTACATCTGTCTTATCAAGAATTTGCAGAAAGCCATACAAAGTGTCTTAAGGCTCCCATTCCACAACAAATCTATTTCTCCTCAATCGGCTTCACAAGTAGACTACAATGTATGTCTATAATGTCATACAAGTGTCAGAAGTACAGTCTTTAAGGTAGAAGATGAGATCACGGTGTTTTGCAAAATTGATCGACTTTGCAAAACCCCATACTCCACAGTATGGTATCACCATTAGCTTCATCGAAGAGATAGGCTTACAATCCTTACCTAGTACCTATTGATCAGCGCAGGTCATATGTACACGTTCAGCTGTACTCGTGCCGAACTGTACCTCCACCCATCACATCTCGGCCGGCACGCTTGCAGGCACCTCGGCCGAGTACCAATCCTAGAACGAGCCGCTCTGAAGGACTGACTACAAAGCCGTCATGGCTCGGTATAAAAGGCCCTGCTGCGCAATTCGTGGCACACCACACCCAGGATGTCCGATAACGCAGAACCCTTGCTAGACGGCAAGCACTATGCCCTTGACGGCGAGGAGCTCGCGTTCTTCAAGTCACAGACTGGCATCAACGATGAACATGCACTCAAAGCGCACATCATGAAAGTACAGGCGGAGGCATACAAGGTAGGCGATTACTGCTCGTAACGCAGAATGCGGGACCGAGAAATGCGTGCGGCCAGGTTCATCGATATAGTTGTATATTTCGCTTCAACTTCACCAAGTGCGTTAGTTTCTTCTGTCACAGTTGCCCATGCGTGAGACCCAGGCAATCCTCCTAGACTCAAGATATCGCGCTTGCCTGCCTATGCCCAACTTCTTAAGTTGGGCCAGGAGCGCGACGGTGCCATATTCATGGATGTTGGCTGCTGTTGTCAGTGGTGCATTGTCACAACATAGTCCAGCCACGCTAAAACGTCCCTGCCAGTTAGGAATGACGTACGCAAGGCCGTTGCGGATGGCTTCGCCGTCCAAAACGCCATAGCGTCAGACCTTCACCCAGGTAAGCACAGCCACATCTGACCCAGTGTCTCATAGACTCGTCAACCCGCTCAGAATTCTGGGACCTCGGCCACAAGCTGTTCAACACCACGCCCGCCACCTTCCCCGTGCCGTTCGTCGCGGGTGACGCGCTCTCCGCCACCTTCCTCCCGCCGACGCCGCCTCTCATGGCGTTGCCCACGAGTCCCGCACCTGCGCTCGCCAGCGTCACCACGCTTGGGCAGCTTCTCGGGCACGTCTCAGCCGTGCACGCCTCGTCATTCTTCCATCTCTTCGACGAAGCGCACCAGGCGCAGCTCGCGCGGGCCCTCGCGGGGCTGCTGTCCCCCGCCCCAGGCTCGCTCATCTTTGGCGCTCATGGAGGACGTTCCAGCAAAGGGCTCCGGCGCGTGCGCGAGCGGGTGGGTGAGAAGGGCTGGCGCACAGAGCCTATGTTCTGCCACTCACCGGAAAGCTGGCGTGCGCTGTGGGACGGAGAGGTGTTCCCGCCGGGCACGGTGCGCGTAGAGGCGAGCTTGCAGCAGCGGAGGGACGGGGCGTCCGCAGAGGTAGACGAGGAGGGCGCTTGGGCGGGTATCTTGGTATGGTCTGTTACAAGGGTGTGAACCAAAGTGTACGACATCAAGACTTGATTTTGCACTGGGTGGCGTGTTCACCCAATCAGCATTTCTGTGCCTAATCTGGAAGAATAAAGATTGTAACACACTAAGTTGAGATTTCATGTATCATGTCAAATTGACAATCTAATTTGTCCTTCTTTTCACTGTTCTATTTTCGACCCATCCATTGAAAGTACGATATGTGCGATTGTGCATTCATTTGGACAATGATTGAGATCAAGCAATGAAAAGATCACCGGCATTTACATAGATACACATTGGGCGTATCAAAGCCCGACTCATGTCGACTACTACATAGTCCCAAGCATCTCCGATCTTCACGAGTCCCTCTAGCGAATGCGCCACTCATGCCTTGGGGGCCTCTGCCTCCTCGAGTGGCGGTGGGCCTTCATCGTCAGAATCGTCGGACTCGTGCCCTGCACCTGACAGACCAGGACCGTCGCCACCCAGGCCGGCCGCAGCGTCGCCGCCCATGGACTTCATCATCTGGATTGCATATCAGTATCTCTGCTCTGAAGTAGAGGTGCATGCGGACATACCTGTTCGAAGTCCATGCCGCCCATGCCACCCATTCCACCCATGCCACCCATGCCACCCATTCCAGGCATGCCACCCATACCGCCCATGCCTGGCATACCTCCCATACCGCCCATGCCGCCCATGTCAAAGTCATCCTCGGCTGCGGGCGCCTCACCGTCCTGCTCGTCCTCATCCACCCATTTACTGAAGTCGGTCTTGATGAATGGCGTCCTGATCTTCTCCTTCGTCAGACGCGGCCAGAACTCGGCTTTTTTCTCCTTCTTGCGCAATACAATTGCAAAGGCACGACTGGACAGGCTTTTGCCCGACTCCTGCGAAATGAGGAAATGATCGCGATCACGATGGTTAGCAGACGCGGTATGCTCAGAGTGGCGGACGCACTTCAGGGACGACTTCGGCATAGAGGTCGAAGTTGAACTCGTAGTCCTTCTCCTCAATGCCCTTGTCAGCACTGCGCGATTAACGTCAGCATGAGATACACTACTCAATGTTGCGTCGCCTACTTTCCGGCCCGCGCCTTAAAAGATATCGACGTTGGCGTGAGGTTGTACTCGAGTGTCTCGGGCTTGATATCGGCCAGGTTTATGGTGGCATAGAGCACGTTCTACGCAACCAGGACGCGTCACAGATGATGCGATTGCGCAAGTCAGTAACGTATAGTGTACAGGCGCGGGGCAAGTATCGAGACCACTCACTTTCTTTTCATCGATCTCCGAGCTGCGCTGAGCCCACAAAACTTCTGGATGTACCGGCATATTGGTCGTCGAAGTAAGGATAGGATTAAAAACCGTAAGACGCGCAGATAATAAAGGCAACACTTGGAATCGTCCCGAACCTTGGAGAACGAACTCGCACGCCACAGCGTGCTCAGAATGGCAGGAGCTGCTTCCCTTAGGGTTCGAGAAGCTCTAACCCTACGAAGACCTAACCCCATCCCTGGACCCCATAGGCCCTAACCCTAGCTCTTGCCGTCGGGAACCACAGCATTAGTATGAAGTCGGCTTGCCTCAAGCCTTCAAGTCCGCGCGTCGCATTCCTCGCTGGAGCAGGCTACAGTCGGTCCGTGTTACGCGTTGAGCTATGTGGTAAGCAATTCATTATCATAACAGTGTAGCAAGCTGTTCAACAAGCCAATGCCTAGGTGCACACGGTGGTACCTACCCCTTGTCCTGCTTCCATTTCCTATCGCGCCACCATTCTTCCTCTGGCTGTTCCTCTTCTCATTGACGCTACATGCACGGCCATGGTTAGTGCCATAAATCCATGAAAAATTGTCAAACTGATAATCCATCCTAGCTTTTACTGCATAGTCCTGCTCTCGGCTATGTTCGTGTCCTCCTGCTACTGGCCGCCAGTACCACTCGAAAGCCCGTTGACCGTGCCCTGGTCAGAAAATATCACCACATACGCTGACGCTCTCGCCGCGCTGCTGCCTACCCTCCCGGAGGCTATGAAGCCCGCGAATGTGCCCATGCTCGACCGCTGTTGGTGTGACATCCCGAGCGCGGGTGCCTTCATACCTTTCAATGTCACGCGCTGGGAGCAGCAAAGCGTGCTTCGATTGAAGGGCGAGTTGGAGGAGAAGATGAAATCTCGTGAGAAGGATAGCGAAGACGTGGCGGCCGGTTCGTCACCGCGTTCACAATCGACACAGCCTCCGCCGGATGAAGTCGAAGGTCGATCAAGACTACTGTCCGGAATCTGGGAGTCTGTCTGGCCGTTCGCCCGAGAATCAGCGCAAAATATGACTGCCCCACCCCTCATCCCGCATAACGCATCCCTCGATTTGTTATCACGCCATCCAGAGGATCTACCATCTGTAACGGATGCAAACAACTCAACTAATCCGACAGCGCTCGAGACCCTAAGTCAATCTCTCAGTTTACCGCTCCTACGCCGAGAATACGACCTACGATCATACGGATTCGCCCTTATATTGGACTTCGGATGGTCAACGCCTGCATGACAATCATGGAAGTGTCAACGCTGTCGACATTCCAGCATGTACTTGTGGATGTCTATACCTTACTGTAATACGCCATACCTAAACTGCCGCAAACACTCTATCAACGTTTGCAGAACATAAACCTTGCCTTGGCACGATGACATGCCATTTGTCTGCCAATTTGCGCTGATCAATCCAAACCCAGCACACTTGGATCAACAAACATCTACTAGATCAGATCGGCATGGTATGCTACATTGTTTGCTTCAGACACAGGACCCGGTCCATAAGGGATATGACTATTTTATGCTAATCGCGAATACAAGTAGAGGATCACAGAGCCCAGATCTTCACCGTCGAGTCGCGTGCACCAGAGACAAGATATCGATCCATATAACGTAGTCTCTCCACTGGCTTCATATGGCCGTTCGTCATGAGTGTCGAATGCTGCATGCTGGTGCGGTTGTAGATCTGTTCCAACGTCAGCATGCCATTCTTTCTGCTCAAAGCCCGAGCTCACCTTAACGCCATTCTCCCCAGTTGCGGCCACGATCTTCCGAGTGTCGAACTGCAGTGCGGAAACAGCGTGGTCATACTTGAGGGTCTCGAAAATGCCTCCTGTCCGCAGATCCCATATCTGCATCGCCATCTCAGTCAACACAGTACGAGGATGGCTAGAGCTTCTGACACTGACCCGAATAGACTTGTCTAGACTACCGCTTATGACGTGCAGCTCATCGAATTGTAAGCAGGTGACGGGTCCAGTATGGCCTAGTAGTGTGCGGTGAGGCTGGCCAGTCCGCACTGAGCATGTAAGGTATAAGAGCAGCGAAAACCGAAGTAAATTTGAATGACGCACTGTCCCACATCCGTACCGCACCATCTCCACTTCCACTGACCAGCGCATAGCCCCAGAACTGCACCGCACCGACGAAGTCTTCGTACATGTCCCAGGTGCCGTCAGCATAAGGGGGAGTGGGTACCGCGAAGGTGCCTGCAGCAGCGGCAGCACCGGAGAAGAGATGATTTGGTAAGGCATTGCCTGGAATTGCGGCTGTTGGGTGAGAGATTGCCCAAAGTATGTCCATGGTCATGACACATTGGCCGGTATTGAGGTCCCACTGCCGCATGGTTTTGTCGGACGCGCCTGTAACCTGGGGAATGAATATGTAAGTCGAGCGCAACAGACTTGCAATGGGGAGGAACGACCTACCAGGCATTCGTCCTCAAAGTACAACGTGGAGACGGTCTTCGTATGACCCTCGAGAACTCGGATACAAGGACCATCTCGCTCGGATACACTCGACGGTTTGCTTGAGCCCGAACGAATACCATTGGTCTTTACAACGCCTCCGTCCTGGCTTTCATCCTCCTCGGCGACATCGCTTAGGCTCAGCATTGCGCCCTCCCACTCGTCGTCATCGTCCACCCTCCGCAAATCCCACACGTGCACAGTTCCATCCTCCCCGCCTGTCAGGCAGACCTGGTCTTCCACCTGGACGCACTTTACAGTACCCTGGTGGCCTCGTAGTCGGCCAACCTCCTCGCCCGTGAGCAAGTCCCAGACCCTAGGCTGCGAGTCTTCCTGTGATGCGCTGACTAGCGTGCCGTACGGTTCTGAAAAGTCGAGAGCCGTAATTGGTGTCGAATGACCAGCTAGGGTCTTCAGAGTTGTTAGAAATAGTGTTCAGCAGGGAATTCTATACCTCACCATGAAGGCAACACCTGGTGGCAGCTCGTCATGTTCTGACGGCAAGAAAGCGGGTCCTGGATGGAGCACCCAGAGTCAACAGAACTCCGCCATTTAATGTCGGAACCACGAACCTTTACGTCTCCGAGAGCTTTGAATATGATCTACGTGTACAACACCCCGGGTTCGACTTGTAGACTCCTCAAGCTCTAATCGCTCCTTGACGCCCTCAACTACGCATGTGTTCGTGAGGCAAGCGCGATCGGACTAGGGTTCATGTACTCACGTTCGTCGTCCAACTCCAGCTCATCCTCCTGCAGCTTCAATAGATCGTGCTCCAGCTTGGCACGCATAGCATCAAGCGCTTCGATCTTGTTCGTGATTTCCACAATCTCGCTGTTGATAAGTGTCTACCACGCTGGACTGAGCGCTGTGGAGTAGCACAACGAGACATCAGGAACTTACTCGGCGGACATGGAGATTCTCCTTGTCGCGCTCGATCTCCTGCGTCTGGCGTAGGAGCTCTTCTCGTCCAAATGTCTTTCCGGCACTCAAGCTCTGCCTACCCCTTCGCTTGCCCTTGCTTTTCCTACCTCGCGTCTCCGAGTTGGAGATATACACGACATCTTCCTCACTCGCTACACTCTCACCGTCGTGGTCTTCCTCACCTCCTAGCATTCCTCGCGCGCTCATCCCCAGCCTCTTCAATCCTAGCCGCGGAGCATCCACGTTACGTGTCTGTCTCCGCCGGATACGGCTTTTCTCCGCGCTTGGGATCGTCGCATTAAACCCGCGTAAAAGACTGACGTTCTGCGCGACGCCGTCGGGCTCCGGCACCTCCTCACTCAGCAGCTCATCTGTTGCTTCGACGATCTGCAGGTCACGCGAAGTGATCCGGCGTCTGCCCAGACTCAAATGCATCGGGGCGCGCCCGAGGGTCGCAAAGTCCATGCGTGCACTCGACCCGCCGACCGACGCGCGAGGTCTGCCCGAGACAGTTGCAGCATTTATTACGCGTGGAGTCATGATGACCGGAGCCACTTAGTACGCGTCAGTCTCACAGCCCAGATGCGGGTAAATACTGTCACGTACAGTCTGCTATCATCTTTGTTGAATCATGCTTCCTGTGGGTGAACGGCGCCAGGATGGCCTTGGACACGACGTCAAGCCTGCTCGCGGTGGTGCTGGATGAGGAGCTCTCCGCCAGAGGTGGTGGCCTAATGTCGCGTTTCTTCTCGTGTGTGCGACTCGAGAACGCCATGCTGGAGCAGACAGGTGCCGGCGATGCAGACTGTGCAACGGTGGACGGTTGAAGGGAGGTGCAAAGGAGGATGTCTTTCGGCCGGTAGGCTGGCCAACGCGCCTACAGCCGTCACTCCCATTCGCCGGCAAATTCCGCTCGCCCGCACGTGGCACGCGTCGGCTTTCGCGATCTCCAGCTTCCGTCTGCAGACGGTCCCTCAGCCCGCTGGTTCCTCGGCTTTCTGTCGTTTCACAGCTATTGTTATGTTTAAAACTGGACGCGCTCTGCGCGTTCACTCTGGGCGGCGTGTACTGCGATCTTCCTTCTGCAGCTGCGCTGTTCTTCGTAATGATTTGAGTCAATCTCGGACTATTAACTACGAGGCGAAGTATGCGGACAAACTTCAGAAACGCGCACAAGAGTGAGTTATCATCGTGTTACGGCTACTCTGTGGATTGTAAATCATTATTACGTTGTACCAGGCAAGGTAAAAGTGTTACCGACTTGCTTAACGAACTTAAGGAGCAGGAGAAGGAGAAACGAAGGCAAAGGCTAGCAGCGGAAGCCCGGAGGGCCTCGTCTACCGCTGAATCAGCTCCACAAAGCACATCTACACCGTTAAAATCAGCCTCTTTAACACCTTCTAGTTCTCAATCTACTGGACGGCGGGATAGCTCTCCTGTCAAGGTGAATAGGCATTATCTACGATGATATACTGCTCACACTCACTAGAACATGCATTGTGTTCCTCAGCCACTCAATAGTATATTCAATCTTGACAGATTGTTGAGTAGTCCTCATACTCCCGAGCAATTATCTATGTTATGGCGAGCGTACCATTCCTCACGTTCTGGTGGTACTGGGCGCGGCTTCCTTTCCGCCAGTGTCCCGGTCGACACGTACAGCAAAATGATGGATGTGGCGCTCAAGTACCCGACCTTTGTCGTCCCCGTTCCTCGTCTTAAAACCGAAGCCGCGCAGGGTGATGATATCCCAGCGTACGAGTTCTACTTCATGCAATGGGATTTCCATGGACCGCCCCGAGGACCGTTAACGACCAGGGATATCTTCGAACCGCATCAGCCTTCTCCCAACCCTCAGACATCCACAATCCTGTTTACGCCACTGCAAGAGTACAAGATGCGCAACTCTTTCGCTACTCCATACCTGGTCATGACTCATTACACTGACCTTGCCAAGTCGCATGGGATGGTATTGCTGCGAGGCGAGATCACCCCTTCAACTAGCTCGCCAGGGGCAGGAGCAGCGAAGGGTGACGGGCGATATATGTTAAGCCAGCAGGATGCGCAATTGCTGGCAATCGCAGTGCAGAGATTCTATCTGTGGAGTGATGGGGAGAACGAGCGGACTGCCTTACTGAAGGCATTCCACGAAAAGCCAGACGAGTTCAGCTGGGAGGAGCTGCTGAAGCATATAGATTATTCAATATAGACATAGAAACGATAGTCTCGAACTTCCACATACTATTGTTGCATTTTTTTCTGCTTCGATATGCGCCGCGTTGGTCTCCCGAGAGCACACGTCGCTGCTTCCTTTTCACTTCCACAGGCTCTGGGTACGCTGCACGCGTCAGTCACGATCAGTAACGCCACGTGATCCGTGACTGCACTCGATTCTGTCACGCTTGATCGTCATTGCCACTCAATTCACCAGATCCCTCTGTGAGATGAAGGACATCCATCCTCAGTTCTCGCATCGTGAAAAAATCCTCTAGCTGCCCACAAAATCACTGTCTTCTTACAACAGGCGGACGAGCGCATGAAACAAGCTATCACCAAATCGTCAGGGATCACTCACTCGTGGGCACTGGGGATCGCTGATGGCCGTCGTTTTTTCAAGGATTAGCATGATTCAGTATCCAAGCGTATTATACGAAAATGCGAAGGGAGATAGAGAGAAACCCTACTACACACAGGGCCTCCAATCGCTATGTTTAGATACTTAAATCTGAACCGATGGAACACAGTCTGTACACACTGACTATGAAGCCGAGACAGCCTAATGGTATTACCAAGCCATTTTGGCGACAATTGACTATGCACAAGTCAGCAAAAGATCCCCTCGCCCGAGTAAGAACATTCCTTACCCTAGGATACGCGCGCACGATCGCCTTCCTGATCTCGTCCATTGTGAGAATCCCGAGAGCAAACGCGAACGGAATGCCCCAGAACATGCCGGGGATCGGGGCCGTCCCAAAGACGTCCTGTAGTCCGGGACCATAGAGATTGACAACGGCGATGAGCGCAGTGCCGATCATGCCAAGCGGTACTACGAGGTTGCGGCGGGGACCCCAGAGTGGATTTGACTGCAGGATCGAGACTCGGCGATTGCGCACAGAAAGCAGTCCGCCATACTGCATGAACACCATTGCCACATAGCTGGCCGCGCATCCACCGTGATCAACAAGCAATAGACAAGGACAGTAAATATGCACATACTAGGTGCACTGGCCGACCGAGACGAAATGGGTAAGCTGGGCAATAGAATAGCCCTTGTATCCGTCCGTCCACTTGTCGTATACGAGGATGACATCGCGGAAGCCGAGGCCCTGTTGCTTCATGTATAGGAACCACATGCTCATGGCACACGGCCACATCATCAGCCCGATGAACTGGGAAACATCGTTGAGGACAATACTTGGCGTGCATCGGAGATCGACGTACCAGGTAGATCTGAATGAAGAAGCGCCAGTCGGTCAACCTATCGGTCCTTGCGTTGCGTGGCTTGCGCAACATAAGATCTAAGGGATATGAGTGATAAAATACCGTGAACCCGGAAAGAGCACTGACCAGCCTCGGGCTTCTCATACATGAGGGATATGGACATCACTACATCGTTTGTTATGCAGAAGCAGACTTGCAAATAGGAGCTGAGGGCGATCTGCATTCCCAGGAACACGTTAGCGAAGACGGGTATGAATTCAGTGTAATTTCCGGCCTGTGGAGAGGATCAATCGAAACATCTAGTGCGACCACTACGTCACGCTCACAGGCATCAGATATATCATAACTTTCTTCAAGTTGTCGAACACGAGGCGGCCCATTTCAATGGCGACCACGATAGAAGAGAAATCATTATTGAGCAATACCATCGCCGCTGGCGAAGTTTGTCGGCAATGATCAACTGTGCTGAACAGAGAGACACTCACCCGCTTCCTTTGCAACATCACTGCCACTTCCCATTGCAACGCCTATATCGCTCGCCTTCAATGCGGGCGCATCATTTACCCCGTCGCCAGTAACGGCGACAGTGTTGTCCCCGCGAGCCTTGATCTGCTCGACAATTCTGAGCTTCTGTTCCGGAGTCGTGCGTGCGAAGACGATTTCAGTGTAGTGACCAACAACGACATCCCAGTCGTCAGCCTCCAACGTCTCAATGTCGTCGCCCGTCAAGACGAGTGCTCTGATCGGATCATTCTCGTTCGGTTTGATCTCTGCAGGGGTTGCACCGATAAATCGTGTGGTGCCGTCCGTTGATCGCAGCTGCTCGAGAGTATCGACTTTCTCCTGTGTGACAATTCCAGCCTATAACGAAATTGAGGATGGTACGGAGAAGACAGTGTCCGCAACATACCTGTCTGGCGATGGCGAGTGCCGTCAATTTGAAATCTCCAGTGACCATGAATACTCGCACTCCCGCCCGACGAATTTTCGCTACAGCATTGGGTACGTCTGCGCGAGGGGGATCACGAATACCGACGAGAGAAACCAGCGTCAGGTTCTGCAATTCTGCATACATCAACTCCTCGACATCATTCGCAGACGTTGCGTGAATCATGTTGAGCTTCACGTCGTTCAATGATCGACGGCACAGAGCGAGTACACGTTGTCCTTGGGTGCTCCATTCCTCCTGGAGAGCAAGGAGTCTGCGGCGGGCGTTGTGGTCGAACGGCAGGCACGAGCCGTTGGACTGCATGACCGTCGTACACGCTGGAAAGAGCACATCCGGAGCCCCTTTCACAAGCATCCAGATGGCGGGTTCGGAGTCGTCAGCACTGGGAGCTGTTGAACGAAGTTCGCGGACCGCTGTGAGCATCCACTTATTTCGAGAATTGAAGGGAATCTCGAAGAGCTTCTCGTTTGACGCCAGAAGAGATACAGCATCGAGACCGAGAGATGGAATCTTGAGGGATTCGGCGAAGCGAAGGACTGCGGTGTCCGTCGCATCGCCCTTGACAGAGCGCTCCACCACAGGGACGTTGTCAGAGCCCGACTCAAACTTTGCTCCGTTGCACAGGCGAGCTACCATATGAAGAGCGCTCAACCCTGCGGGCGCTGGAGCCTCTTGTTCATAGGCCATCAGATCGTCAAGACGGTATTGAGCATCGAGGAAGGCGACGTTCTGCACAGACTTCAAAAGAGGATGGTCAGAGCGGAATCACGTTACTGACAGTTTAATTCACCATCTTGCCCATAGTGAGCGTTCCTGTCTTGTCGGAGCACAGGACAGACATACAGCCGAGAGTTTCAATAGTTGCCAGGTTTTTGACAAGCACGTTCCGCTTGGCCATACGCTTCGCAACAATGGTGAGAGACAGCGCCACGGCAACAGGAAGCCCCTGGTAGAGAGCGCGTCAACATACTTTTTACCAGGACCCAACACGAGACTTTACCTGAGGTACGAAGGCAGTCAAACAGCCAATAGAATTGATGATAGCCTCACTCGCCGTTTCGTAGGTCGGATAGCTGGTGCGAAGCCACGTCGCCCACACAATCATTGCGACGCAGAACAGCAAGAGCGCGAGACCAGATATAATCTTGGTGAAAAACCAAACTTCGCGTTGAACGGTTGTGAGTTTGAATTTACTTTCGCCCGACATTCCTATAATGCGACCCATGACGGACTTGTCGCCAATAGCGAACACCACGCCACGGCATGTACCCTGCACGACAAAGGTGGAAGTGAGGGCGAGATTACGGGTCTCAAGGGCGTTCATCGAGGTGTTCTCAAGCGTCCCCGGAATCATATCACTTCGAAGAGGAAGGGGTCAGGTTTCAACACAGTTATGTAGCACAGTACTTACCTTTCGCCCGTCAAAAGTGAGCGGTCGAACCTGACATCGCTGGATATTTCCACGAGCCGTAAGTCTGCAGGAACACGATCACCCATAGAGAGAACGACGATGTCCCCAACAACGATATCCTTGGCAGAAATCGTCTGCTGCTTGCCGTCGCGTATCACGGCGGCTTCTTCAGCGATGAGTGTCTTGATGGAGCTCATAATTCGTGAAGCATGCCAGTCCACGAGGGCGTAGAATGTTGCCGATACGACGATAACCAGCAGCTGATGAATCGAGGTCAGCTTCAAGGATGCAAATTCGTGACAAGGGACATACGAGCAGTATAGCGACACCAAGGTTGAACGCTGCAGGGTCACGGCCACCAAGAGGTTGGTAAGAAAGCTAATACATGCGGATTAAAGCTAAATGCAAGTATGAAGAGACAGTTTGAAGACACACGATGGTGACGATGAACGCGATCCACATCAGGAAATTGAAGCCACCGAAGACATAATTCAGAACTTTCTTCCAGTATTGTGTTTTCGGAGGAGTGATAACATTTTTTCCACCCGACTTGGCTCTCCGTTGAACGGCGACAGTCTCTAGCCCAAGCGTCGGCGAAGTCGAGAAACGGCCGTAGACTTCTTCGCTATCAAGCAGATGCACATCGATCTGCCGAATAGCTGTCGCGGGATCCGTAGTGCCCTGTGGTGGGAGGCGCGACGCCTTCGCGTCCTGTGTAGCATTAACATGGATGGAGAGTGTTCGATATCTAGTTAGTATGACGGTCAAACCATGTCCATATCACAGGCCAGATGAGCAGATTGACCGTATTTGAATCCCATAGTCATTTGGAGTACTTGACACGATGTCGGCGTCCGCCTTTGCACTCTCGACTGGGGATGCCATGTCGGAAGGGACGAGATTCCTAGGGCCGCGAGAGACACGATATATGGGGGCAGCCGTTGGACGACCCTACTTGGCATCCGTTACATTCGAGTTAGGAGCACATCCTCTGACCTCTCAATGACAGAATGCGTGGATTTTGCTATTACTCATGCGGATGTGCTTGATGGTTCATCTTCCGGAAACATGATCTGGCAAGCGGCTAGGTTAAGAACGATGTGTTCGGTGTGGCATAGAAGAAAGACAGACAAATGTTTCTAGTATGAGGTAATGTGTGTTGAAATTGAGAGGAATGTTCCTGATAATTGTATGGTCCGTGATGAATCTAATGTCGATGGCTTGACCCTTCCGTGTTCTGCGCGTTTTTAGCTCATCTGCGCTCTTTTCGCCATTCCGTAGGCATATACGCAGAGACGGTCCGCAGCAATTTCCCCTCAGATGGGCACAGCCCACAAAACAAAAGAGTGCCTGAAGTTGACCTCATGCATGGTTGCGCCATACTCGTCGAAGGTATGATATGACTACACGCACCACATTGGACTTGAATGAGAATTGTATTATTCTCGATGGTTTATGGGACCGGGCATTATCCTGGTTTCTCGTGTGAATTCCTATCCCGCATGTCCTTTGAGCGAACGATAGTGTCGTGGTGGAGTAGACACCACGCTGGCATCGAAGGGCTGAATCGGTTGTATCACAGTGCTGGCTCCACTGACTGAACTTGAGCTTGTAGCTCACATTCCCGAGGAGAAATTTATATTCAAGGGGCGATTTTGAATTGAACGAGACACCATTTCGGATCAAATGGTGAATGGTGACCTGAGACCGCCACGAATTAGCTGCGACACCTGCAAATGACTGTGGCCTGGTAGGCGGCATAGTATGGCAAGGGCATCCACTGACGGAGGCAAAACATATATGCGAGCAAGACTAGCTTGCACGGAAGACTGTACTAAGTCCCAAACGATATGGAGATACTTAGTATCGAGATGTATCTGAACCGCCCGCAGTCCGCGACGCAAACGGCAATACTTACGTAATGGACGGACTTGCCACAGCAGTGATCGGAATCTTCTCAGATCTCTTTCAGTTAGCGAGCTCACCGTCGTCCCCATCCATCCAAACCAAGATAGAGGTTCCTGGAGGTCTGTTCAAGCCCCCTCTAATTTTGAGTCTCCAGCACAACTACCCGACAAGGTGGCCTCGAATTTAGAAGACGCTAGGAGCGGCCGACCTTCGAGGGTTCACTATCCTCTCACTTCTTTACCCGACGACCAGCTCTTCCGGCACGTCCTCAGTAGTTTCCTGATGTCTACAATATCCCCGGAACAGCATATCTATGATGGAAGCCATCAGAGTACTATGGTCACCGAGCCAAGACATTTGCCTGGGCTCAAGAAGATTCCGCCGTACTGGTATCCCTACACAACCATGGCGAAGGGTCGATGGCTAGGCCGAGAAATCCTCGAGGTTGTATCAACCGAATTTCGAGACAGATCCATGGAGTACTATGTACGCCCGGCGTTCTCTCTTTCATGACTACTAGCTTGGATTGATATTGAGCTTACTGGCTGCCAAGATTAGAGGTATGCTCTCGAGTCCGGCGTCACAACTATCAACGGTAAGATCGCGAAGCCTGACACCATAGTCCAAAATGGAGATCGGATCGAGTGAGTCAAGTGCGCCGCTGGCCTAACGAAGCATTTGATTAATCGGACACTCGGTAGAAATGTTGTTCACCGCCATGAGCCTCCGGTGACAGCGACGCCTGTTCGTATTATACATCACGACCGAGAACGTGAGTTCATTATCATAGATAAACCTGGCTCCATCGTAAGTCAGGCATGAAGTCCCTGATGATCGTCTCAAGTGTATTCAATCCCCGTTCCCTAGCCGGTCCATGCCTCCGGGAGGTTCTTCCGAAACAGTCTTGTTGAGATTCTGAAAAATGACTTCGGCTTCAAAAAAGTGTACAGTATGTCTGGTCTTGGGCTCGATACATAATGCGTAATGGCCATTTTAACGCGCTTGACGATCTAGCTATCAACAGACTGGACCGGCTAACCTCGGGCCTTATGATCATCCCTTTGTCTTCCTCGATGGCAAATACTCTCACGCAAGAATTTGCGGCAGGAACCATTAGGAAGGAGTATATCGCCCGTTGTAGAGGTCAATTTCCCGAGTGAGTGTCTCTTGCCCCAATGCACTGTTGTATTCTTACTGATCTACATAACAGAGAGGAGTTAGCCTGCGAAGTTCCTCTGCTGACCATAGATAGACAGATGGGTCTCAACGTCGTACACCCGGAAGGCAAGGTAAGCGCCTTCCGCGCCACAATAGGTGTTCGTAATTCATCCTATCTCAGCCAGCGAAGACGATCTTCAAACGGATGCATTACGACGCAAACACTGATACAAGTGTAGTGCATTGTGAGTAGTTGAACTACTTGCTCAGGAAATGACTACTAACGAAGTCGTAGGTAGACCACTGACCGGTCGTTGTATGTACCACCCCTGGTAGGCTGTACACTCTCATCACTTCATCACTAACACAAAACGCCAGCCCACCAAATACGTGTGCACCTGCAATATCTAGGTCACCCAGTAGCGAATGACCCAATATACTCGGAAACAAAGATCTGGGTAAGTCGGGTGTTGGCTCGCATAAGCTCGAACCTTGTTCAATGATGGTCACGTTGTCCGATAACGATCGTCCTTGCTGACTGTCCTGCCTCAAAACAGGGAGAAAGGCTCGGGGAGGGAGGCATAGACTTGACACCCAGCGAAGAACGTGCTGCGCCGGCTCCTCCAGAACAACTTGGGTTCGACCCCTCACAGAATCCGGAATCGCTCTCTCGATACCATACTCCCAATAATATAAATGGCGAAATTCAAGATCCATCTAGTGAATCCACCCTTCAAACAGATCACCTCGACGCTAATGTCGAGGAATCTGGAGGCAGCCCGAAGGTTGACGGGCAGACAACAACCAAGGTTGCTCGTCCGAAATTATTACCGAGAGAAACAGGGCACGATATTGGAATGGGTTCGCCCGTGCCATTATCTGCAGAGATGGTGGGCATCATAACAAAGCTGCGAAACATGAAGGTATGTCTTGGTAACATGCACAGACATTTTTATTTACCAAATTTGCCGCTACCAGGACGAAGACGAGGACTGGAGCCGCTGGCGCGATGTCGTCTTCAGGGCCAAAGGTACACTGTCGCCATATGGTGTCAAGGTACCTCTCCCACCGCAGAACCAGCGCAAGAGAGGCGGGCCTACTGATCTTTCGAACATGATTGATAAAAATGCCCACACTGATCCCAGCCCAGACGCGGTCGAGCCTCCACAGCTCACGCCTGAAGAAGCACTCGCGAAGCTGGCGGCATTCCGCGTCCCGCCGCCCGGCGCTGTTCTCGTCCCGCAATCGTCGGCCTCGACCGCCTCCGCAACCACGGCTCCACTTGCAACGTCGGCGACTGACTCAGATTCCGCGACACCGTCGCCCGTTAAGGACACGGCGAACGGTGCTCTCTACTGCTCTGAATGCTATTTACCACTGCATCCAGACCCAAAGCCAGAGCGGTTGTATATCTTCCTACACGCTTTGCGATACACGACCAGCCTGGGCTCCTTCGAGACCGGGATACCAGAGTGGGCCGCAGAGGGCTGGACTTGGGAGCGATGATGAGGGGTACGCTGTTGCGAAGTAGAGAAGCACAATGCCTGGCGTTACAAGGGTGTGCTGAGTCTCATACAGATTCTGGAGCTACACGCAGATTTATACCAGTATCAAAGCTGTCATAGCGAGATGCAGATTCAAGACCTTTCTATGCCAATTTGTAACCGGCGACCACCTGCCTGCGGCTTGCTCTCTGAGGCGTCGTCACTGGCCCGGTCCGATTTCGCACGTCCGTGAACAGGTGAGGTCAGTTTACGTGCACAACATCCGTTCCATTTCTGCCACACGATTATGGCACATTTGTGGCTTCCAGTGAACTATGGTTCAGTGTGTAATCAGCGTCACGGGATGTGCGTAGCACTGCATCATGATCCCATCCCTTCTCTCGCAGGGCTCAGTCCGTCGGAATACCGCTCCGGGTGGTTTCCTCCCAGGCTCAAGCCGGTCATACCATTCATTCAAAATCGTTCTTGCACGTAGAATACATGCCGCGTTCATCTCATCTTTAGGCATAGGCGTCTTCTCTTGATAAATCACGGCGAAGCCAGACATTCAGTAATATCGGATGTTGAGTACGGCGCGGAACGTTCGGACATTGGGTCATGGTGCATGGAGATATAATGTCGTGGCATTATATCCGCACCTTCGCTGTCGAGGCGTGGGCCGTCAGCGCGTGATCTATATGACAACTGGCTGCTCGGAAACGGTGTTGAGCTGTTACAGCACGAGCTCAGATGACCGAGCACTTTGATTGAATACAAACGTACCAGTGTCCTCCTCCTATCAGGTGCTTGGATAATCGTGAGTCCGGGAAGGCGGGTGCTGGTAGTGACCGCACGCTGTTCAGCAAAACTGTCACGGTGTCTAGTCGCGCCTTATTGCTAAGCTGAGGGTGTCAGGGTCCAGAAGTCCTGTTGATCTTCGTTCGGTTCCTTTGTCCGCGTCGAACGGCTGAAGAGGCGTCAGTATATAAGAAGTACATGTTCGCCGTCGGCAAGAATCCACACCGCTTTGCCGTCTCCGCCCCCTGTAGCCCTCGCTTTAATTCCCTTCCTGAACGCTCCTCTAACGACGATGAGATCTTTTCTGTCTTCAAAGCACCTCGGCAAATCAAATGTGCGTATTAATGTGTTTGTTGATGTGCCGGAGGATATTGAGCACTCATGTCTCGCATTGTAGACTGCCTCTGCGGAAGAGGAGCGGCAGCACTTGTTGTCTGTTTCGAAAAGCGACTCTGCTTCAGAGTACTTCGTCGACTTGGTGAGTGGCGCTTCAACACGATCTCCACGTGAGTTTGCTTCAACTCTTGGTGTCCAGCCAACCGGAGACTGTAAATCAACGTCAAAGCCTGTGAAGCCTGTTCCAAGGCGACGAGATATTGTGAGCCATCATTCCGCGAGTTGCCCAAGATACGACCATGACATTGTTGTGCAAACAGGCCGAGATGTTGGACGACGACAATACGTCATGGGTCCCAGCACGGAACCCCAGCTGATTTCTGGAGACTTACTGTGCATTACTTGGCATTATTTAATGCGCCTGTATTTTTACTTAGGAACACTGTCGGCCGTGCATGCGCCGCAATACCATTCAGAAAGAGTAGTCATGAGCTTCTCGAAAGTCACACACCAGGATCGTAGACGTGTCAACCCGCAAATGGATGGGTGCTTGGCTGAACGGGTGTGCGCAGCGCCAAGTATTCTGGAAAGAACTGAGTGTGTATACACTGGCTCTCGCGGGCGCATGAGCGGCGAGTACAGGATATAGTAACAAGCTTCTTCCCCACGGTCCATCTAAATCTGATGACGACCAAAGTCCGTAGGTCATGGATGGTGGGCTCTTAGCTGAGCAGTACTTCTCGCTGCACGTGTGCGAGGCACCGTGCCTGAAATTGAGGTCAGTGTTCGCTATTGATATTTTGGGACGATGCTCACCGGTTGTTTACCGGCGCCGCGGGAGTTGGCGCTCCTCCCATTCAATTACAGTTCTCGTGGGGCATTGGAGCCTCTTGCCTGTCCGTTATTCCAAGCCTATGGCTGACGCACCCAAAGGGACGTGCCTTGTGCATAAGCTGTGTCGACACCCACAGGATCGCAAGTGCGTGTCTTAGGCGGTCTCGCTGTGTTTTTTAGGCCACTCTATCCCATGATCCCTTAAACAGTGGTCGTGCCAAAATTAGCTACACGCGCGAGGACAGATAGATGGGATACCGCTACGTTGTGCCAGCTGGTCACTGAGACCTGGTGGTCTATGGGCTTCCGACACACGCTTAACACTAAAGAGAGGATTACTTTCATATGCGTTATCCGGTTCGCGATATACGTCCTTGCACTCGATGCAGGCTTGAACTTGGATTGAGTTTAAGCGTGTCCACGTCCGCAGCACTGCACACGGCGCCCCAAGGATAGTCTTGTCAGGACGTAGAAAGCGTATGGCTGAGATCAGACCGCTATGTCGCATTGGCTGGCACAAGACGGGCTCACCTATCCTGCGGGACTCCGTCTCCCAAGTGTCGAATTGTACCGGGACGTATGCCCTTGCCAGACGGACGGGTTTTGCTTCCGTGAGGTGCTGTGGAAGCACTCAAAGACCCTGTATTTCTCCCGTTGTCTCGACGAGTCGCTGAAGGACCTGGTGCCGCACCTTCACGGCATAAATCACCGGAATCACCGTGATTGTGAGCTATCATCAGCCTGAACCATCGCGTCACTATGCGGCAGAAGTAGAATGCACTTCGACGCCGTCGGACAGACTCGTTCCAAGAGCAGACACGCATCGAAAGCAGGTCTCAACTCAGCTGCCAGCCGAGCGTCGGTATCCTTGCCTCATGGACGTGTCAGTCTGGCAACAGCAACAGTTGCCCACTTGGGCTTCCTGTGCGCATCAATCTGATCGCTTAATGCTCACTATCAGCCTGACGCTCGTCTTGCACCGTCATCGCTTTCGCTCTTCAACATTTCAGACAATTTACATTTACGAAGACGGAGATTGGTATACACGGCTGTGGGTACGTAGGCATTCCGAGCTGTGACATAGGAAATGACTCTTTCGACAGAGATATCACTGGGCGGTGATGAGAGGTGCTTTCTTCACCCATTCATTCTTCTCGAGCTCCTCAACCATGAACGCTGCGAAACCAGCCCTGGATAATGTCGTCTTCGTCACACCGTCTCCCACATAGCCCGCAACCACTTCACGTGTGTCATTGTTCGTGAGGATTGGGACTCTCGCGATCGTCCAGTCCAGTTCTTTACCCTGGCCTCGAATGGTTTCGCCAATGGCCACGATATCCTTGTAAGCGCTGTGCGCGAAGAGGGAGACGCCGGTGATCATCGCCGTGTACGCGAGACTGAACTTGTCACTGCCATCCTTTATACTGGCAGTTCCAAGAGCGATGAGTCGTTTGACACCATGTTGTTTCATGGCGGCGATGAGGAGCTCATACGCGTGAGCGAGAGGCGTATTCCCAGGGTGAGATGCACCTGGTCCCAGAGCGGACAAGATGGCATCAACACCCTCCAGCGCTCTAGTAACATTCTCCACGTCGGTGAGTTGTCCTTCGATGACGGTCACAGCGGCGTTTTGGGATATGGATTCGGGTAGCTTTCCCGGTGATCGCGCGTACACGACGACTGTGTGACCGTGGGCTAGGGCTTCCTCAACGAGTTTGATGCCAGCGGGGCCTGTTCCGCCAAGGATGAGCAGTTTCATCGGTGCTATAGCTGTTGAGCTGAAACGGTGGGCGGTTCAACAATGAAGCTCAGTGAGATGCACCATACCTGGTAGGCGCTGACATCGACATTGCATAGCTACCGAACTGTCCCACGTGGTGACTTACGTAACGGTAATCATGCCAGTACTATGCTTCTGCGATTGGCCAACACATGGTCAGTATTGTACTGCAGGCTTCTGGGCATGAGCCTCAGAGACTGGAGTGTTTCCTGATCGCGTTCATAGGCAACGCGCATCCGAAAGGAGGCGACTCTTGCTGTCCGTGATGCTGCCCGTGTGGTTCGATGATGTCGTGAACGTCACTGCGACGGCTAGAGCCTCTGCAACTGGCTGCTTTACTCACTAACATTTACGCAACGGCCGCGGGAAGGCCGTCCATGTGAAACAACGCCTCGTATGACACAGCTCCACCGCGTGCAATGGTCGAGCGCATCATTTGGACAGCTTCTGTCACCCATGGCAGGTGAGAGTGTCTATGTATAAAAGCCTGAGGATTGACCACTAAGTCTCCATCGAACCCAGTCACCCATTTTAGTTGCCACAATGCTTCTCAATATCCTTGGGCCATTGTCTGTGTTATTTATCGCCGCCCTCCCTGCAGTGGAGGCGGCCAACTCATTCGCTGGTTCCAACCTATACTATGCCGCAGGATTATACGAAGACGACAGGACTACCCTACTCGAGTATGCTGCGCCGCATGCATTGGTCTGTTGGGGTCAGAAATTCACGTAGCAATCTATTTCAGAGGACTGCAGAGCGCCGGAATGAAGATTCTGCGCGTTTGGCTCGACGGCCAGTCCTCCTCTCAGAAGGTAAGGAACGGCATTTCTAGCTTGAAAATTGTCGGTTTATATGCGATGCGCCGTATTGACGATTCCTGCTCTAGGGTACTAATATCAACACGTTCCCTGACTTGGAGCCTTCGAAGATCTGTGACGGTGACGCGTCGTGCTATGACGACACGGTCTTGGAGCGCCTTGACGACTTTATGGTCGCCGCACACTCTTATGGTATCAAGGTATGGGTGTGCGCATTGACCTCCGATTACCTCAACGGCTGATATGATGTCCCAGCTTTTGATCGACATGCATAGCTATAATGCTCTTGCTGCTGGAGATGTCTACGGCCGTGCCTACAACAAAGAAGGCTTCTACACCAACAGTGACGCGCAATCTGCTTTCGATCAGCGATTGATACATGTCGTGAACCATGTGCACACCACTCTTGGGAAGCCGTGGAAAGAGCTTAGCGACTACATCTTTGGCTTTGAGGCAGAGAACGAGGCGATGATCGGCGATGTACGTGCATCATATCAATCCTTGCCGACATCAATACTCACCCATGTATTAAACAGGGTCAGACGTTCATTCAAGACAACCAGCAATGGTACGAAATTGTAATTGTCGTAACTCTCGTTGAGGTGCCGAACAGCTTTCATAAATAGGCAATGTGATCGCGCAGGTACAATCAAGGGCCAGCTCGGTGACAATAGCGGAGTGGGTTTTTTGTTTGACGAGCGATTTTTTCAATCGATCTTCGAAAACTAACATATCGCATGACGTGCAGATTTTGATTCTGACGGGAGGTGAATCTTGGATGGCGGAGTCAGTCCAACCTGACTTCCTCAAATGCGATGCGCTGGACGTGATCTCGATTCACGCTTATTCTCCCGGCGATCTGTCTACCTCAGCTATACAGACCTACGTGAAACAAGCGCAGTCGGCGGGAAAGAAGCTGATCTTGGAAGAATGGTAAGTGCGCTGTCCGATTGAATTTTGCTGTATGATTGCTAAGTCCGTACGACCTTTGTGCCTATGGCGACTATACTACAGGGGCGCATGCTACTATGACACTTCCAACAACGACTGCCCCTCGGGGAGTGTCCTCTCTTCGAGCACGCGTAATGCCAACATCAAGAACTGGGCAGACAATATCTCGGCCGCCGGTCTGCCCTGGCTCTACTGGCAGGTGCTCCCCAACGCAGACCCCCATGTGCGTACTATCTATGCTCTCGCTGCCTACTGGATATCATCTGACCGCGTATCCTGTGACAGTACAGCACCGATTACGAGATTGGTCTTGTCAATGATGCGTCGTGGAGCACCTTGAAGAGTGCCGCGCAGGCTGCACTGCAGGCCGAAGCGGCGTTTGATTTCTCTGCTTATCTCTTGTGACGAGATGTGCGAAGGGGATAGTGTATTCCATGAATGAGCTTGCAATGCGCGACGCTTCTGATAATAGTTCTACGTTCCATGCTAGTCATATTGCCGTTCTTAGTCTTGTCAGCGCGTGCCCGATAGAGCTCAATCAATACATTTTCTCACCCGAATCAGGCCCTGTGCCACGATCTGCTAGCTTAAAGACTCCGAAACTAAGCATTATCAGGCACGTTGCGACCTATCTCGAGAGCCACAAGCAGCGCGGTTGTTCCGGAATTCTCGCCAGCGAAGTGAAAACATGAGTGCGACAATAATACGATAGAAGGGGTGCTGTGTACATCGACGATAATGCTACAGAAGACTTCCACTAAGCACGACACGAGGCAAAAGGAATCGGCACGTATGTGATACAAGATGCTCCGCATGCTTACCCATGCAGAAGCGTGGAATATAGGAAGCCAATTGATTCCCAAACATCGAGAGGATGCAAGTTGCACGAACCAATAGAAAAGTCGTAAGGGGTCATGACGGTTATCAGAAGAAAGAGCCCTGCTTGAGGTACACTTATGTGTACACAATGACACTGGCGACGTCCCAGTAAGCTTCGGAAAATGCACTGGGGTTGTTGTTCACGTAGTCTGGGGTGAATGCAACTGTCAGCAAATGTGGATGCTTGGGGATTAGAACACCCACCGACACAGTCGCCGGGGCATCCCGCAGCACTGTAAACAGAGGAGAGACCGGCCCAGTTACCGCCTGTAGCCCAGAATGTGTCAGCTTAAGTACAAGGATCAGTTCAGCATAATACTGACAGAGGGTCAAATCGAAGATGATGTTATTCGCGCCAAATACAGAGCCAATGTCGCAGTCTGTGTTGGGGAAGTATCCAACGGGTTGACCCTGCGAGCAAGCATCGGAGCGTCGGAGTCAGCTTCGCATGGAATACCATCGATCATTGATATTGACATACCCAGTTGCTAGTGTCAATTGAACTCGCAGCGCTGGATACGTCTGAGGGAACGCCGCCGTTGGTCCTCGTCCAGAACCAGACATTGATAACACTGGATGTTCTCTCCATCGCGTACCATCCTCCACCGGCACTGTTAAAGTCGGGACCATAGCTATTATCGGTGGGGTTTGATACTCCACATCCACTGTTGCCGTCCGTGTTGACATCGCAGTTGTTCGATCCAGGTGTTCTAAGGTTTAGCGATAAGCCCCTTGTGCCCCCGATTGTGCCATCAAATGAACTTACCCGGACTCGTCCCGAGAGCTGGGCATCGAGCAGGTGCTGCCTACATGAACAGATATTGTGTTCGGCGTTTGATCGTTCACACCTTCAATCCTAAAAATAGGCCAGTTCAACTTGGAAGCCGAGCTCTGAGCGGGCCGGCAACTTACTTCGCGTGGCGATATCGTCAGAACACACGGACAGTGGCATGTCAGCGAGATCAGAGTGTCTAAAACAAATGAGCTTACCACATCGACTTCGCCCGCATCTGGCCAATCAGTGTCGTCCGTTTCCCAGGCCGCTGGCCAGGTGGCGCAGCCTTGCGGCATGTGCCTGATATCGAAACTATGCAAAAGAGTAGGTGTAATGCTTGGCAATAAAGAAGGTTTTCGCCCCAAACATACATAGTGACGTGCGTCGTGTACTGCGCATTACTTTTGATACGGACGCTGTTTCTTCCAGGCCCGTCTGCCGAAAGCACGGTCGTATCGTCACATCGCATGATGAGCGTATCACCATTTGCGTATGTGAGGTTATCGGCCAGTGCCGTCGCCTGGTCCACATATGTTCTGGATTGAAATTGTTAAAGCGCGTTTCTTTCGATCGCGGCGAACGTAGCAGAGACGCTAGCATGGCACTAGGGGCTTCCGTCCGCACGTATATAATTGTTACTTACACTCTTCCCCCGGTGGGGTCAAGGAGAGTTTCATGCGTCCAGGAGTTGAGGAAGTCTGTGCCAATGTATGTTGTGTCGATGTTGTATGTGGCAGCCAAACCCTCCAGAGCGAGGGCTGACAGCGCTAGGAACACCGAGGAAGTGGACCGCATGCTGCTGGTGAACATTGGGAGTTAGAAAGAGGAGGGCACGGAGCGGAGACGAGGGGGGATGAGGAATAGCTACGTGAGCCTTCGTGCTATATATAATGTCCAGGAGTCGCGCTCGGTGAGAGTCTTTCAGCCAGATGATATCGTCACAGGTGATCGCACTTCAACCATATGCTCTCGTAGCATATGGACTCGATGCCGCACAACCGGGAAGCGTTCCGTTGTTGGGACGAGGGCATACGATGCTCCGGACGCCCGAGATCAGGCTGTCCCCCACAACACAAGTAGCGCCAAAGACTCCAGGCGCAGAAAGGAAGATGCACGCAGGAAATGCTCACGTCCGTTATGGAGTGGCGCTTTCGGAAACAAACTGTTTCATTTCGTCCGGACTGGTGACCATGCCCTCAGGTGCCGCCGCTCTGAATTGTGCCGGACATGTCATCTTCCGTGCACGACCTGGAAACATTCCGAGATGCACTCACTTTCGCGGAAGGGCGGCACGCTCAATTTGATTTTATCGGTACCCGAAAGGAAAGACTCCCGACTATATTGACCCGAAAGGGCGTTATAGTTACCCGTATCGCGCAACCTCACAATATTGTTGCCATCGATCATACCGTTGGTGACGCAGTGGCGTGAATCCAATGGAGGCGAGGCAGTGGAGTATAAGCTACATGTGACATTCCGACGAGGCGTCATCTCTACGACCTTAACGAAGAGCAGTGAGAGGGCGCGGGGGCAGCATCAGAACCCATGATCTCCTTCGATGTGTCCGGAGAAGAGTAAAGCAATGGGCCGCTTTACACGTGTGAGGTCAGACGTGCAGAGATAACGCCGAGCACACACTCACCGGGATTCCTGCATGTGCGCTGATTTGCAGATCCTACCACGACGAATCGGCCTTGAGAATGCCCAAAACAGGCTGGTTACAGAATCTGCAGTCAACGTGATTCTTGTTCGCCCGGGAAGCGCCAAAGTGAGATGGCTTTAGAGCTTCCGCGAGCTGCGCAGCAGACAGCGTGAGCAACGGCTAGTCTCCGAGGTCCTCAATCGAACATATTGGCGTGGACGATCAACGTGCAAACACTAATCAACCGCCACACTACGGCTGCACGCGGCTCGCTGGATGGCGTGGACGCTGGTACACTGACAGATGCGTAGCTCTCACATACGGTGGCAACTATAGTAGTAGCGCTGCCAGAGTCGCGACGGAGCGCGCATCCATCGCCAGACGCTTGCTCTATGGCCGTGGTAAACAGCGGTTGTGAACAGTTCATAGGCCTCACCTGATGGTGGTAAGTATGTCGTGCCGACTTCAAATGCGTGGTCCCGCATCGCGACTACACAGAAAACATAGCGACTATAAGCTTCGGCACGGCCGCCCTTATCCTGAATCTTGTTGCGGAGCCGCCGTGTACGCGCTACGACCATGCTTGATCGTGATCGTCGGCAACAGATTCACAATCATTCGGAGATAGAGCGATGGCAGTTCGATGCTGCGACCAGGTCGTACGGCCTGCTTTGCGAATTAGTCCTGGAGGCGACCGCATTGGCAAATTCGGAAGCGGACAGTGTTAACTGCTTGCGCCGGTGAAGGGAGCCACTGGGGTATGCGTAGCATTGACCACCCCGGACGGGATGTCACAGCGTCGGAGCTTCCAGCCATTTCCCCGCCAGTCTCGCCTCCTTCTCCACTGCCTGGATTGCAACCGCGATCTCCCCTTCTTCCTCCAAATCCAGCTGCTCCATCTTCCGGTCGTATACTCGTCCGAATCTCGTCACCAGCCCATCGACCTCACCTCCAACAGTGAGATTGTTCCGCGTTGTGCCTCTATTCGCCGCATCAGCAATGCAACCGGCCTTGATGTCGGTCAGACCGCATGCGACGACTTGATCAAACCATGCAAGTGGCTCGCGGGTCACGTTCATCGCAAAGCCATGCGTAGTGAATCGATGCCGTACTTGGACACCAATGCTGGCAACTTTCGTGTGGGCATCCAGGAACACACCTGTGTGGTCGCTCGGGATATGCTCGATGCCATGTGCCTCCGTGAGGTGGGCCTGGAGCACATGTTGCATTTTGCATATGTATGATCGTATGCCGAGGGGCGGCGACCAACGTCCAAGATCCAAAAGCGGATATCCGACAATTTGTCCGGGCCCATGGTAGGTTGTCTGGCCTCCACGCTGCGTCGCGACGAAGTCGGCTCCAATTCCTCTGAGACGATTAGCCTCGGCCTGGACCTCAGGTGACGTGAGTAGCTGCCGCCGTCCTGCGGTATAAACCGGTCGATGTTGCAGCAGCAGAAGTATGTCTCTCTGGGTGCCCGACGCTCGCCGCTGAGCGAGCTGTATTTGATGCAACTGCTCTTGTAGAGCAAGGGTACGCGTGTACGGAAGAGGAAGAGAAAAGTGATGCCAGAATATGGGTGGAAGACCGGTGCTCATTGTCGCTGACAATTCGTATAGAAATCGAGATTTCTGCAGTAAGAACAGGGTATAAGCAAGGTGTAACCGTGCGTCAGTGAGATACGGAGAAACATATATGACTAAGGCCGATTCACATGATTCGACACGGATCAATTTTTCGGAACATCCCTTGACTACCATTTGATGGTTTTCTAATACAGTAACGTTCGTGCCCACACTCATAGCAGTTTGAAATGTAACTTTCCCCATCGTGAAATCCAGTCAACCTCCTTATTATTGTGTCTCAAAAGCACCTTGAGGACTAGCAGATCTTGTTATGCCTCCCACGGTCCCGTCGACGCGAAGGTCATTTATTATTGGGGTAGGATGCACGGCGTTCATCAAGGTAATTGGTCGTGCTGGCTAGCAGAGAACTGTCGCGCTCATGAACAGCAGCCGCGGGGTCTGAGGACCACTGAGGACGTAAGTGCCTTAAGCAGGTATCATGTCTGTTTGCCAAAGCAAACTGCTGCAGATGGGCTTAGAGGCGACGACGAAGGCACTCCTTGACGCAGGTAACGAATCTCCTACTTGTCATTCAGCGTGTGCCTACTACCTACAGGCATTACGTACGATGCCATCGAAACAGCATTTGTTGGGTATTGCTATGGTGATTCAACATCCGGTCAGGTAAGTTGAAGCCTGCTTTAAGTAGACGTCGAAAGCCTGATTTTGCCAGCGAGCATTATACAATCTGGGCATGACTGGAATCCCAATAACCAATGTCAACAACAACTGTTCCACCGGAAGCACCGCTTTATATCATGCCAACAACATGGTGAAGTCTGGAATGATCCAGTGTGGGCTCGCACTTGGATTTGAGAGGATGGCCCCTGGCAGCCTAGCTACCAATTTCAAAGACAGGACACCGCCTGTTGCAACATTTGACGAGGCAACGAAGGACGCGGAGGCATCACTGAGTAGTGGTTCCAACTTCGGGCCAGGCGCTCCTAGGATGTTTGCCAACGCCGCACAGGAATATTTTGATAAGTATGGTGCGAAAATTGAACATCTCGCGAAGATTGGTCGGCATTTCCTCGGATGTTTTATCTTCGATGCGCTAAAGCGAACTTGCAGCTGCAAAGAACCACAAGCATTCCATCAACAACCCATATTCACAATTCCGTGATGGTTGGACAGCCGAACAGGTGCTAGCCGCGCCGAAGATAAATAAGCAGTTGACAAAATATATGTGCAGTCCCACTTCAGTAAGTTCTTTTCTGGCAAGTCAGCGACAGTTTAATTGACATCTTGTTTCACAGGACGGTGCGGCTTGTGCCATAGTCGCATCCGAAAACTTTGTGCGCGCTCATGGTCTCGAGAACCAAGCCATCGAAATTGTCTCCCAGGCACTGTGCACTGATCAACCTGGAACTTTCGAGTCAAAACGTGCCATTGAGGTCGTAGGATTTGGCATGACTAAGAACTGTGCTGATCAGGTCTTCAATGCGGCCGGTTTCAACGAAGGAGATGGAAGAGATGAAGTCGGTGTGATCGAACTCCATGATTGTTTCTCCGCGAACGAGGTGTGTTTCGGGGCCACATCATATACAAGACAGAACTGCACTCTGATCGCCGGGGTCAGCTGATTACATATGATGCGCTGGGGCTGTGTCCTCCAGGTGAAGCCGCCAAAATAGTGGAACGGGGTGATAACACTGTTTGTCCATTAGAACCTCACTTGAGCACCACTAACGCCACTTGTCCAGTATGGCGGTAAGTTTGTGATCAACCCAAGCGGCGGATTGGAGGCGAAAGGTCATCCGTTGGGTGCCACGGGGATAGGCATGCACTTCTATGTTGTTAGTAAGTCGCCGTGTCCGATTACGCAGTCGGAACGCTGACCAGACCGATCACCAGTGCAACTGCGGGATTGTAAGTACTGTCAAATACGACTCGCGTGACGACCCAAGTGACAGGAGCGCCATATATCTCAGGGGCCGGTCCGATGCAGGCGCCTGGACTGTTTGACGGCACTGACAAGCGGGGAAAGTACGGTCTTGTACACAATATAGGCATTGGCGGTGCGGTAGTATGCAGCCTCCTGCGCCGCCCCGAGTTCTTCCAAGCGGGAGGAGAAGATGGTAGAGCACGGTACGTAGTAGCACGATTTTGCACACTTCAATCTGCTAAAGCTCGGTGGCAGAGTTGGCTACAATCATGCCCACGAGTGTCGACCTATCACCATAGCAGACGTCGACAAGGTCAAATCGGAGAAGAACTCTCCTTATATCCTGCAACGGGCCCGACTCTGATCTGAACCCGCCCGTAGCTGCTCGGTGTAGTGTATTTGTATTCAGATGTACGAATATGTATATCTGTCCTGCTACGTGTACAGTCCTCATGAAGTCATCTGCTGTTGAGTGGCATATTATGTTACATCGGTACGTGCTCGTCTCGAGTCCATGTCGTCATGCTCATCGTACAAGTCCGTTTGTGTAGGTGTCTCGTGTCACGTCCCCGTCCTATCGTCATGACCTCGTGCTTGTAGTGTTTCGAGACGATGGCCCCCACGCCGAGTTGTCATCATCCAACATCTCGGCCTGTGACGCTGTCAGCAACGTGCAGCAAATCGTCAGCTTTTGACTTACAATTCCCCCAGCTTGTTGTTGCACCACCTTTCCGGTCTTGTTCGCTGCTTCAAGAGGCTACATGCTGGCATGAGACCCACATGAGCACGACCCGTGGTAAGGAATGACACTCACCAGCAGTACAACATATTTCTCCGCTGACGCGACTTCGATAACCCCCAAAGCAGAGCTCGACGTGGGCGAGCGCTACATGATACGCATTGCTCAGCCAGCAGTCACGGTGGTGCAAGCCTCAGTGAGACAGTACGTACATTGCTACGTCGGAACAAGGTTTTTGGGAATGCCATTCTAAAGGAGACGAGACACGGTCGATGTATGGATGACGGGTTCTGCAATGACGCTCGAGCCGAGACTGGCGGGTTTAGTGGGGTGGTACGAAGCCATTTTGACTACGCCCTTGGCTTTATATGCGGGTTTAAGCGTCTGTCAGTGGACAGACCTAGAGCAGAAGCAGCATGCAAACCCCAAGCCGCTCGAGTGCAGCTGACCCCACTCGCTCGAGAAGATCCGTTTCGAGCGCTGATGCTGAGGTCCCATCGCTCCTTTCGGTATCTGGCCAGTCTTCTTCTGGTCATGGCCGATGATTAGGAGTTGAGAACTGGACACTTAGACTGGTAGGTCCCCAAACTGTGCCTTCTAACACTTTTGAATTGGGATGGACAATTGGGATGGACATTCGGTATACGTTCCACCTTGACCTGGTGAGACGATAGACGTGCCGATAGCGCATAGATTGACCGGCACATTGAGAACGGCGCCATACTCATCGCCAATTATGCTTGGGGAACGCGATAGACGGAAATAGATGGACCCACCTCATAGTGAGGAGCTCTCGTCATCGGTCCCTTTCGGTTATTTTTGGGAACAGAATGGATTCCTGCCGTATACACCGGGAAAGCAAACACAGCTGTATGCGAACTAAAATACGTCCAGGAGAAATTAAGCGCTTAAGTCGTTGGGGATTAAGCATGTTCTCACAATTACACGAGTGTATACACAGCGGTGTTCATCCCCGTCGCCCACGCTATCAACAGTGTCAACACTGGGCGCAGCGTGGACGTAGGCGTATCTCCGCGTACCTGGCTTCTTGACGGAGGAACCGGGATCGTTGAGCCAGGACTGCCACTTCGTTGACCCACGAGAAGCTTTCAACTTCAGATTTATTCACATGTTGTTGTTGAGCATATAAATAATGCAGTCACGTCAGCCGCATATACTAGAAGTAAAATGTGTCAGCTCAGGGGTGATATTCTCGTGACGGCGGGCGATTTCTGATCCTGATCTACTGTGGTGTATGCACATACACTCAGTCGGAGAGTCGGAGAGTATGCACTTATGTGGCGGGTGGCAAGTGCATTGAGAGGACTCGTTTCTGAAAAAGAGAAGCACGATGTAAATAACACTGGTACGGTGGTACCGAGCCGTTGAAAGGGACTGCTAGCTAGTACTTAGGGAGCCCCCCGCAGAAATAGAGAGAACTGGTAAAGAAACTCCTAGGCTATCAATACTGACATCGGTTCTCTATTACCAGTAAGCACGAGAGTTGATCACAGGCCTCGAGTCCGTACCGATCGATCGGTTTCACCAATTTTTAAGCCGGTTCGCTGTGAGAGATCACTGAGAAGATCGGTGTCCACATCTCATCATTGTATTATGTAGTATGCAAAAGGCATACAGGAATGCGAGATAAAGGACGAAGTAATTTGAATCTTATGTTTATCGACAGCGTGAGGGATTGTCCAGATCATGGTGATTCAAAATGGTACATACTCGTGGTTCTGTATGCTAAGTCGTCCTTCAACGAACTGCTCATTCTGACACCTTCTCACCAGCGCTGTGATAAGATGGTGGCCTGTTATCCTCCAGTTGCGGAACGTTCCTGCTCCAGATCGCACGCTCCTTCGCATCTCTCGCGTTGCCGCCGCTGGTAGGGTATTCCCCCACTCCTCCATCTGCGCGCGGCTGGACATATGATGCGCGAGGTACTGGCGGTACGTAGCGTGTGATCGCAGAGGTATTCGACGCAGTACTTCCCCGTGTGGCGATCGTATGGTCGTCGCGTGTGTTGCGCTCGCGGGAACCATCTGCATTCGACTGGAGTTGTTCGCGCAGCTGCAACATAGAGGCGTGACTTCGTAGCCGATCCGTCTTGCTGGGCGGCGGGGGAGCCAACTGCTGCATCGATATGTCAAAAACCGAATTGTGAATCCCGGGTATTTCCATACTCGCGACAAGCTGCTCGCTTGAGATCGAACCCTCGGAAGCAATGTGTGGATACCTCTCGCTGGATGGGGAGGGTACCACTGAAACCCGCGGATGCTTCGATTGAATCTCGTGAAGTGCTGGTGGCGTGTGCATGATCCATTGTTCAGATAAGTCTCTCATCTCATCACGGCGAGCACTGAGGCGCGCGAAATCCAGCAAAGCGGACCATCTGCCATGCAGACAAGCGTGGGGCGTTTGAGCTCCAGAACAGAACTCTTTATCTTCCTCCACAAAGGGGGAGCTCAGCTGCTGGAAGGGTCTTGCAGTGCGCGTATGCGTCTGTCTGGCTGAACGGCGCCTCCATAGAACAAAGAGCGCTGCGATGGCTAGTATGAGAACTGTCCCGAGAACAACCGCCACGAGCACGACGGTACGCGTCTGCGAACTAGAGCTGCTAGTTGCATTGGACCGCAAAGTACCAGTGGATGTATTGCTGGCACTTGGGGTCGTGCTTCCCTGACTGCTCGTAGAACCAGGGACATTAGGCGTGTGAGTCTCCGTGCTGGGGCTGGCTTGTATCGCCATTGATGTCTGGTTGGAAGGTGTTGAGGAAGTCGCCGTGCTCCCATTTAGGGAGCTGGTGGAAGACTTTGCAGACGATGAACCTCCAGACGAATTCTTGCTTTCCGTAACCGTGTCCGTAGCAGCACCCGAAGAGGTATGGGTCATCGTGGTTGTTGATATCGATGACGAGGACGAGGACGAGGACGTGAAGTCCGAATCAGACCCATTTCTGCGTTTCCCAAATTCGATAAGTAAATCCACGAACTATGGACAGGTGAAGGGACCACTACACTCACGTATATACGATGTAATCCAGCAAGATCATTGACCTCGGTCCGCCATCTTGGCCGTTGATCACGGTCAATGTATGTTGGCCCGTGGGGAATTGCCCGCTATAGACCAGATAGTTGTAACTGTAAGTCGACGACCCCGTGGGTGTTATGTTTGCAGAGCCAACGATATCGCCATCGATCATGAACTGCAAATCGGATTCGCCGTCGGGATCGCTTGAGGAATGAGAGATAATGCAGTACACGTAGACAGCAGAGCCTGCCAAAATCATAATTATTCAGTCATTGGGTCGGAAAACGTCTTATCATGTGCGTGAACAGCACACCATTGAATGACACCATGGCATTGAGCGGCGCGGGACTCTGTCCAGGAGCGTAGGATGTGTCGTGCCAGGTACCGTCGTATGCCATAGTAGCGTTAGGTTGGGCTTCACAGGAGGGACAAGGTCCCGGCCGTGCTGTCCATTGATTCGACGGAAAGTATGTGAATCGGTCATCAGCGTCGTCGATGGTGACGTTCTGTAGGGCGGCAGAAATGAGCGGCGTCCACAAGAGAAGGGCAGATAAAAGGATGAGAATGGAGACAGCCATGAGCAAAAAGGACAGGACGTCTTCCTTATACAGACAAGGTAGTTTCTGGGATTGAGTAAGAAGAGAAGGGGGAGAGGGGCGGAGGGGCGGACTCGACGGGGTGAAGAGTCATCCACCGTTAGATGTAGGAATGCAACTTAGAAGTATGCAACATCAGGAAGACCTGTCATTCATGGATACCAACATATTGCTCTATCTCAAACTGTTTGCAAGCTTCTCGACGCCATGGGCGCGGTCATTGTCCTACGTATCATAGCCCCAGTGAGGTTCAAGCGGAAGGGTGCCCCTAAATTGAGGAGTATCATGTTCGTTGCTATGATCTAACGCTAGTCCTGTGCATGAATAGCGAAAACTGAAAGTAGATCATATCATGTGTAGATGCCAACCCGTCAATCAATAGATCCTTTTTTTTCGAATTCACTTACAGTCGGACGAGAATGCTCCTACGGTTAGGGAGCCAGGAGTACCTCGCCCCGATAGTGCGCAAGCTTTCACCATAGCATTGAGGAGCCAGCCTCACGGGAAAGGATTTGAGCGCCATTGAGTAGCTCTGGTATGACAAGTGACCGTTTTAGCAGATAGACATTGATCGTGATGAGTCTTAGGATCCCGACGTTGGATGATCGGGTGTGAGCACGGCTGTTTGTGTATGAGAACGATTCAGGGAGGTACAATCATCAGGTTTGGGCATGTACTTGCCTTTCTTCATCGGGTTTGGGAAACATCTGGTATTCGATATGTCACTTCGGAGATAAGGCAACTCCGAAGCGAACAAGCCCCATGGCAGGTTGCGCGCGAATCGAGGCAACTGCAACTCATATGACGAGGCTGAGCCATGGCGAGTCTTGGTTGTGCAATAGCACCCGCAGTTTGGGTAGCATCGGCACTAGTGAGGCATGTGCACGAGGCGTTGTATCGTGCATCGAGATCCGCAGCTATCACTACACGTACTATCACGGCAAGCAGAGTTGCTCCTTGGGATGTACTCGAACACGATGATGTTGAGCAACTAGCTCGATGGCACACTCATCGATGCTCAGCGCTCATTGAATACCTCTACAGGTAGGCGGTAAATCCAGACATATTCCCAACATGTAGATGTCGCTCATCTTTTCCGAGACTTGTTGTAGTTGCGCACCATTATTTTCTTTGGTGGCACGCCTGTGTGATATCACCGACACTTCTGGCCACACATGAATGTGCACGAACAACGCCGTATACCCTCGGTCGTCGACCGAGGCGCGAAATCCAGCGTGAAATCTGAGTTGAAATTTGCTCAGAATTGGCGTTGAGCTCCGTAAGGTGGAATACCCTATTTATAGATCACCATCGGGGTGTCATTGTAGCGGCAGCGATGTATAACTGAGTGACCTGGGGTGATCGAGTATATACGGCCTCGTGGAACAGATGTGCCCATTGAACAGGTTCTGAGAATCGCACTGCACCTGTCACGGAGAGAAGCTGTCACCATCGAAAGCCCATGTCCATTTCAGCACTCGGAAAGGAGACCCGTTAAGAGCTCAGTGCAGCGATGTTTTGAAGTGGACAGTCCAGTAGTCGAGCTGGCAGCGTAAGACTGCTCGGAGTCAACAACAGTGAGAGACTGCTCCTCATTTTGAGGCCCCGGAACATGGTTGCCAAAGTTGCAGTCTCAAAGATGTGTGGTGTTTCTGAAGTAGTAGATATCGAGAGCGTTGGCTGGTGGACTAGGACGAAGTGTGCAAGGCGCCGAACCGCGCAAACGTGGCTTGATGCGTGCACGTGATCGCGTCGCGTCGCGTCCCTCGATCAAAGTCGCGAGGGCCCATGGCATGATGTCATCACGCCCCTTTAGTTGCCTCAGCCTCCACTCCCGCGACGTCATGCCCGCCACCCCGCCCTACTTAACCAGCAAAGCGACATGTGCACTCGTCACCAACTGACACCCACATCCTCGTCTGTCACGATCCACTTTTTGCAACGACCATCATGTCCATGCTTCGCAACGCATTTGCATCCCCCGCCGTCCGCGGCACCGCCTACGCGACCTCGCGTGCATTCCATGCCTCGCCCATAGCAGGCAAGTCAGCGACGGAGAGGGTCAAGGAGGTTGCAGAGAAGGCGCGTTGACTCGGTTGATGCATAGTAGTAAACCAGTGTGCTGACTCTTGATTGCAGGTGAACAAGTCCGTCGGACAGGGTCTTGCATCAGCCATTGAGAAGGGGGAAGAGGCAACGGAGGCGACCAAGAAGACAATTGGTAAGGGTTCATTCCGCTCATGGCCTCTAAATTGGGAACCGACGCGACACCACACAGCCCCTGCAGTAGACAAGGCGAAAGAGGCTTCTGGGCAAGCAAAGCAGAAGGCCAATCAAGTGAGTGACTATATGCGCATTCCATTCCGCCGTACTTCTTACTAACGTCCAGCACAGACCTCTGCTGGCGTGCAAGAAGGCGCACAAGACTTCAAGCAAGACGTCCAAAAGGAAACCCGCAAGTGAAAATAGCCTTCATGTCCTGCACCTCATGTCGTCATAGTGTATTTTTATCATCGTACAATACTCACTCCCCAATGTTACGCTTCGGACAATCGATGTATCCATTCGAGTAATTACACAGCAATGCGACGAGATTCGTAGGGTAAGGGTATTTTGCCAGACCCCAGTGACGTGAAAAAGATAGGACAGTTCTAATAAAGTGAATAAGTAAGGTAATATGCGTGTCGTCTCTGCGATTATGCGTGCTGACGGGGCGTTATCTTAAGAAGACATCCATCCTGAGGGAACAAGGTCGCGATAATCCTGCCAAAACAACATCAGCGGCAGCAAAAGGAATGCACGAGGTGGGTACTGACTGGACTTTGTCACTCTTTTCTGTGCGAACGTGATCCCAGTTCATGAGGACAGCCGCATCCGCAAGCACAAGACCAATGTTCATCACCGCGTACTCGATCCCGATGCACTTGTGCGGACCGCTGCCGAACACAAGGTAATTCCGCGGGTTTTGGTTCGCACTGCCGTTCGCGTCGAGCCAGCGCTCAGGGGTAAACGCGTCGGGTTCGGGGAAGACCTCGGCATCGTGCAGCGAGTTGTAGAAGGACGGAATGATCATGCTGCCCGCGGGCACCGTGTAGTCGTCCGAGATCGGGAACGCCTTCAACGTCTTATAGGGGACCATCGTGACCGGGGGCTTCACGCGTAAGCTCTCCTTCACCACCGCGCGGAGGTACGGCATCTCGTCCATCATCTCGAGCGTCATCGGCTTCTCGAAGTCACCAGCGCGCACACGTTCCTGTTCTTCTCGCACCTTCGCAAGCACCTCCGGGTGATCGGCAAGGTGCTGGAAGCCGTAGATTAGGCCGCTGCTCATCGCATCCTGGCTCGCGAAGAGGAACGAGAACACGACCATGGCCATCTCGAGGTCACTGAAGTCACGACGGCCCTTGTAGGTGGGGTCCTGGAGGTCGTGCACCCATTGGTCCAGCATGCACTCGGGCTCGCCGCCGGCCGCCATCGACTTCTTGCTCTCGTGCGCAGCATGCTCAAGCCAACGGAGTGCAACCTTGCGTGCCTGGATCGCGCGGTAGACCTTGGTGCCGGGCAGCGGAATCGGGAAGTTGACGAGCTCGAGGGCGACAGTGATCATCCAGTATTTGTCCGTGATCTCTTTGGCGGCGTGGTCAGGAATGTGGGGACCGCAGAACACCCGGAGGGACGTTTCCATGTTGAGGTCGCGCGCAGCCATCATGATAGGCTTCGGCGAAGAATCCTGGGCCGAATCGGCGAGCCACTTCGCGATGTACTTGCGCGTGATCGCATCCTGGATGCCCACGTACACGCTGCATATATGGCAAGTGTCGAGTCAGCGGTGCCTCAATGACGCTTCTATACATGACGTACCCAAGTGCTTTGCGGGTGAAGAGCGTGTTCAAGACTCGGCGGTACTCCACATGCACTCTTCCGGTAAGAAAGACCCTAGAAAGCGGCATGCATGAGTATCACTCTAAATTCCTCGAGGTGGTGAATTGAGACGCTGCTCACCAGTTATCAGGACGAAGGATGTGCTTCGCCGAGTGCACAAGGCAGGGTTCTGCGTGGTTCGGTGAGTTAAGGATCTTGCGCGCGTATTCGTTCGTCGAAGCCATCACAATGAAGCTACATAATGAGCAGTGATGTATGAGCATAGGGTCAAACGGAGGCACTCATTGAAACGCCTACATATTAAACACGCTAATGGCGCTAAGTGCGCCCGAGTTCCACTGCGCCATGTAGCCTTCCATTGTGGGCTTCATGGAGTCCGCGAACTTGCCGATGATTGGAATGGTCCATTTGTCACCCGGCAAGTGGCGCTTCTTGTAGCGATAGACAGATTGCTCCAATGCAAGGAGTGCCAGGGCGACGGCAATAACCGTATACAGCCACGTCGCTGGACCAGAGGACGACGAGAAAAAGGATGACGAGGGCACAAGATGCGAAGGGCCCGGAGTGTAGGACGGCATAGTCGCCTTCATGGAGGAGTGGTCTCTCATTGCGGAGGCCATGGTGGTCGGTCGTGCAGAGACGCGGAGAGCAGCGGGGACAGAGTAAAAACGACGCTTACCGGGCTTGTACTATGCAGTTTGTAGAGACCGGCCATTGTCGAAGCTCGCGCCTTGATTGGCCAGCAATAAAATCGGTCGATTCAAGAGAGGCGCCCACGTGAGCCAGACGTGATGGGCATTACGAGCGCGTTGCCAAGCCTCCGACGACCGACTGCGGTCCGGGCCTCCCGCCTCCCTGGCGCGACCTCTCGCGACCTGCCCCGACGCGTTCCTCCACGCGTCGCTCCGCTCTAGGCTCGTGGTACGTCTATTCAAGTTTGTTCTGCTCGCTGCCGTCGTCCGACGTTGAAGTTTGCACCAACTCATAACGGCGCCAGGTCGTACGATCAGCGTACGACTCTGCACCCGCGATATCATTGTCAACGGCCGTGACAACCAAGAGGACTACAGCGCACCTCTCCGTATCATGCTTCCCGGTAACCTAACAGCCGCCTTGGTATTTGATTGTCTTCTCGAGCCCTGTTACGACTACAATCATCCCATCCGCTGCGCCTCATCGAACAGTCGCCCCTGCGCACCACAGCGTGAGTGCGTAAAATATCGGGGTGCTCGATGTCCTCGAGTACACGGATATTCTTGTCCGAGCTCCATCTCCACAGCCTACTCCCATCTGCACACGAGCTGTCGAGCCCAGGAGTTTGGCCGAAGACGTGGGAGGCTCGCCAATATAGTCCGAGGCGTCGAGAGGGTGAACTGTCAGTGCTTTCACAATCTGCCTCTACATCGTAGTCACTGCACTTTATTCGTGAGCGTTCTCAATCGCATGTACAGGATTGGTGTAGATACCACGGGTGAACTCGTCGCGACCCCATTACACCCGCTATGCTCCCACCCGCATTCAGCGCAGCATGCCCTTTGATCAACTCTCACAGCTTCTGCGTTGTCTATTACGCACACTGGCAGCAGTCGGACTCCCGGAACGTGTATCTTGATGACCGTCGTTCTCCGTGTGCCCCTGGCTTCTCCCGCAACATGGAGGTACCATGAGCAAGCTTCTTTTCTAATTTAGAAACAGGAACTCACCGCTGTGCTGTTTCCGGACACGCAGTAGTGGTAGCCGCAATCATACCGGCTTCTGTTTGTCATCTCGGGCGATAGTATTGTTCCACGGACTGCAACTAGGTGACCGACATGCCTCATCAATTCCCATACTGTTGCGTCCTGGTCAGCGAGGAATGGGACATCAGTCCTTGTCTCGATACCGAGGAGATCACAAGACGCAAGCGCACGAACGACGTTGCAAGACTCCTATGCCTCGGTGTCTTGCTGAGATCCGTACACGTCGTGCTACTCTTCATTGGCCAGTCTCATGCACAGGATCTCTGAGAACACAGTCCGAGTTAACTCCGCGGCCCCAGGTGCGTGCATTAGTCAAGATTACGTCACGGCCCACAGAGGTATCGGAACAGATTTCGATCAGAGAATAACAAGGACAGCGCAATGGTAGGGTGTGGGGTTGTGCAGTACACAGCTCAAAGCAGGAGAGGAATGATAGTAGACGCCGCTGCCATGCTGTCGGTTGCCGTCAACGTCGTTTCGAGGTCAAGCTTCAAGGACTAGTGGAGTTGCCTGGCGTGGGCATATCCAACGCTACAGAGCGAGGCGAAAGGAACGCAGCGCATGGCCGATGACGGGTGTCGCCGTACGAGAAATATCTTGCAAACGGATCTTGACTAGCTCAAAGGGTGTCCTGGGACAGGAAATGTCGAGCAAGCGACGCGTGCCGTTGACGCTAGACGACAGGCACGTCCTCCCAAGCATCCATAACCAACCCTTGGGGCACACGCCGCACAGTGACAACGTGGCCATACTAAAATCACATGCTTTTGTGTATGAAGGAATTGAAATCGACTATCGCGGTGGTAGATATAATGAGTCGGAGGATATCCGACCAGGTGGGTTTGGGCATATCTTCGGAACAAGCAGGGGAGTCCGGATGAGAGCCCCGATAGTTATGTCAAATCCTTGACCATGCCTGACGTGAATCACAAGTGAAGAGTCCAAGTTTTACGAGTGCAAGAGCGAAGGATAAGATTCTTAGTTATTTAGATAAAAGAGGTTGGTGACCGTGTCAACGAATAGACATCGACGAATGTTTTATATTCGCCGCCCGACGTTCAATGCGTGAAGTGAACGACAAGACTTGCCAAATAAGGGTGCCCACCTGTCTAGTAGCCAATCGCTGCTGCGCTGATCTTGGAAATGAACTACGACAGGGCCAAGGCAAACAAATCTGCATACGCTCTTCTGGGACGTCCTATATCGAGTCCAATCTGCGCCGAATAGGTGCAATACTGACACGTTCGCTTACATGTAGCGTCGCGTTCCGTGGGGTCACGAGGTGTAGGATGAAACGGCCTGTAAGTTGTTCGAACGCCAGGAACACGGCCGTCACAGTCCGAAGATACAATGTACGCTGGGGCTGTCGGCCGCGAGTCCTCGCGGTCAAGCCTCATCGCATCCGTGCGTTTGGCTGGTACTCGGGGATTTGAGGGGCGCACGCTCATGCACAAGGAGTGTGCATACTGTAAGCCGCGATGTATGTCCACATCCAGAGCCGATATTGACCGAATATAGGAAAGATAGGTGGAGGCGCGCCGGCAGCTCGAAGCGTGGCGGCTGCCTGTGGCCTGTTATTACTCACCACGTACATATTCCGCGGGACTGTTCACGGAATGTGTTCCGTGTAAAGCAGTCGGCTTGACGGAACGATTTCAGTGGCCGCCATCTCAGGATTGGAGGATGCGGACCGCGCCGATAATCTTCCTGAATAGACGCCTGGCGACGCCTCCCCAATCTCCCGAGCACTCGCCCAGCCCGGGCCTGACCGCACGGGAAGGAGTTGCATGCGTGGATGCCGCGCGTGCAAGTCGGAAGGCGCTCGATCCTTCCAAATTTGGACGCCCGAACCGCCGTACGGAGCATTCCGAGCCCTTCCGGGGATAGGTCTCGTAAGATCCCGGCGTGCCCTGAACGGTCTTCTGACACTGACAGCCACCGCGTACCAAACGATCGGTACGTGCACTAACGGGCTCGGACTTCAACGCTCGGGAGTTCATCGTCTACCTACGGGTACGCGGTATATAAGAGGGGCAAAAAATGAGGCAAAGGCATCACCGCACCCACCTCACTCACCTTAGTCGTGTTCGTGTATTTCTCGACGCAGCTTCCTCAAAGAGTCACCCTCACTCATATATAACGTATTCAGCAGACTCACCAGTGCCTCGCGCCCTTTTGCAACTCGCCCAATCAATCAAAACTTCTCCATCCCTAACCGCACAATGAAGGTGGGATTTTTTTCCAATGCTATCATTCGTTCACAGCCTCACTCCTTCCCCCATCTATAGGTCTTAGCTATTTTGTACCGTGGCCACGAGGCAGCTCAGCAGGAGCCCCGTCTGTTGGGCACCGTCGAGAACGAGGTGGGTAGCCCTTTGACTCATCCACATTCGAAGATGAATTTCTGACACGCGCTGGCATCTATAGCTCGGTCTCCGCCCGTGGCTGGAGTCCCAGGGCCACGAGTTCATTGTAGGTTCACATCTTACAGATGCAAATCCTACAGGGAATCTAAACTATCGTATAGGTCTCCGACAGCAAGGAGGGCCCCGACAGCGACCTCCAAAAGCACATCGTAGACGTAAGTGATCTGCCAGTTTTCATTCAAGGCAGTTGCTCACAGATGCACTCAGGCCGATATTGTGATCACTACTCCTTTCCACCCGGGTTACATCACCCGCGACCTCATCGCTAAGGTGACTACAAACTGTGCTCATTACTACAGCCGTGCTAACACATTCCCAACAGGCTAAGAACCTCAAGGTCTGCGTCACCGCTGGTGTCGGCTCTGACCACGTCGACCTCAATGCCGCCGTCGAGCGCCAGATCCAGGTGCTCGAGGTCACCGGATCCAACGTCACCTCCGTCGCGGAGCACGTCGTCATGAGCATCCTCCTGCTCGTCCGCAACTTCGTCCCCGCGCACGAGATGATCGAGCGTGGCGACTGGATGGTCTCTGACGTTGCCAGGAACGCGTTCGATCTCGAGGGCAAGGTTGTTGGCACCATTGGTGCTGGCCGTATCGGCTACCGCGTCCTCCAGCGTCTGCTGCCCTTCGGCACCAAGGAGCACCTTTACTACGACTACGCCCCGCTTCCGGCTGGTATGTTGCTCATGCTTCAACGTTTCTCCTCATTGTTTCTCATCATTGGCTCCCAGATGCTGAGAAGGCGGTCAACGCTCGCCGTGTTGAGGACCTCAAGGAGATGGTTGCGCAGTGCGACGTTGTCACCGTCAACTGCCCGCTCCACGAGGGTTCCCGCAACTTGATCAACGCCGACCTCCTCAAGCACTTCAAGAAGGTATGCCTTTTCAGCACCCTTTACTTGCCCTTTCGACGCTCATGGTTCCCCCTCTTTCTCCACAGGGTGCTTGGCTCGTCAACACGGCCCGTGGCGCCATCTGTGACAAGGACGCTGTAGCTGCTGCCCTCAAGAGCGGCCAGCTCCGCGGCTACGCCGGTGATGTCTGGAACGTCCAGCCCGCTCCTCGCGACCACGTCTGGCGCACGATGAAGAACCCCCTTGGTGGTGGCAACGGCATGGTGCCCCACTACTCGGGCACGACCCTCGACGCCCAGGCCCGCTACGCCCAGGGCACGCGCGACATCCTCGAGAACTACTTCACCGGCAAGCCCCAGTTGCCCGCCAACATCATCGTCGGTGTCGGCAAGTTTGAGACGAAGGCATACGGCCAGCGGTAAAAATTCTGTGGTCTGGCGAGTCGATGGGTCTCGATCACGCCCTCACATGTAGAACTCTCTGTGTATTTATAACCCTATAATCATGTGCTAGATGCGTACTTGCATTTCATTTTGCGTGGACTCAGTGCACCCCTGACAAGTTCCAAATTGGTGCGACTCGCGAAGTCAACAATAAATTATGTGGACGAGGCGACATAAAATATCAACATCTATACAAATCCTCGCGGACTTGCTATACAGCGGCAGAGACACGACAAATAGAGATCATGTGTGAAAAGTAGGAGAGGGAAATAGTAGCATCACCAAAGACATTTCTGCTTGACGTCGAGCTTGAAGGGTATTCTTGCGCGGGCGCAGTCGTGGCCGTTCTAGAGGGAGTGTTGTTGCCACTCCCGTCGCATGTCCTTGTTCACTAGTTGCGTGCTCCTGATTTCTTGGCGCGTCTGCGCGCACGAGTTCGCGGAAGCGCTTGATCTTGCGGGAGCGCTTGGGCTTGAGTGAGAGCCTGAAAATTGTAGTGAGGCACAGGAGCAGCCGCAATGGCGGCCTCACGCCCGTCGCCAGAGAAATACGGGTGCTTCACAGCATCCGCTGCAGAGATCCGTGCAGCGGGGTCGAATTGCATGAGGTGGTCGATCAGAGACAGTGCTGGAGACTTTATGAGAGAGGGGCACGAAACGGGCAGGCTCAGCACATACCTTGACCGGGCCAACGAGGAAGAGCCACCTCCCACGGAGTCTTGTCCCACCGCTGACCTCGTAGCAGAGCCTTGGTGGCCTCCGTTTCCTGTGCGATTACTAGGCCTTAGCAGGAGTGATGTTCGAAGAGCAGAAGCCGCTTACATAGTCGGGAGCAATCGAATCCAGGACCTGCTGGTTAGGCGTACCGATCACACGCACAATGTACATGAGCTGCTCCGCCTCGGTTTTGCCTCGGAAAGGAGCATCGCCTAGGAACATCTCGACGAAAAGACAACCGCTAGACCACATGTCAATCGATGTGCCATACGTACGGGATCCCATCAGAACATCGGGAGAACGATACCAAAGCGTTGCGACCTGCGCAATAACGTCAGTATGTAACATCTATGGCCAAACGATCGCCACGAACATCATATGCTTGAAGAGGCCCAAGGATGAGCACCTTCGATAGTCCAAAGTCGGCTATCTTAAGCTGGAGATCCTTTTTTATGAGCAAGTTCGGGGATTTCAGGTCGCGATGAAGGATGCTCTTGCTGTGGAGATATTCGAGCCCGCTCAGCAGTTGGGACATGAAAGATTGAGTAGTTTCATGGGTAAGCCGCCCTCCGTGCTGTTTCATGTATTCACGCAGATTCCACTCGCACAATTCCGAGAAAATTAGTAGGTCTTGAGCTGTGGGGATGAAATCCAATAGGCCGAGGACATTTGGGTGGCAAACCTCTTTCATGAGCGCCACCTCACGCATTGAGTTAGCCGGTAATCCGCCGTCTTCGTTTAGCTCGACCGCCTTCATTGCTACGAAGGTATTGGTCTTCATGCATCTCGCCTGAAGGATATATCCGATTTTAAGCCAACATCCTCGTTCCCAACCTGTTGCAACTCACCTTGTAAACTGATGCGTAAGACCCGGAACCTAGACGTTACGTATCGGTGTCATGCCAAGTCTCAGGGCCTTCATGAAGAGGCGACTCACCGAGTTCATCACCCTGTGGAGGACTCTGTTATTTGTCTGTAGTGCGTATGAAAGCTTAACTCAACTCACCACAACGTATGGGATACCCGCGAAGCGCGACGCGCCACCGGGTGCGTTCGTCGGTTGAGTGAAACCAAAAAAGGACATGATAAGCGAAAGTACTGTGGAAGGGGGGTGTTGGGCTGAGGTCGGCGGGGAGCTGTACTTATACGTGAGCAGCTCAGAGAACACGTTTTCCCAACGGTCATCCGGCCACACACGCATTCGAGCCACTCGTGTGTGGTTACCGTATTTTCCATAGTGGTGCACAATGGCATTCTGTGGCTCGTGTTCGTAAAATTAAGACCGAGAGTTTTACACGTGAGTAGAGAGCACACCGCAGACAATGCACTTTGCGGACATTGAATCTGTCGCGAGAGAGAGCGTTCGACCGTAGAGTCTGAGTCCAGACTGCCAGATACATCGTGTTGCCGAGTATCACCGTTGTCGACCTTCTATAGGCAATAACGCCTGCGAGCACAAGGTACCCAGATCCAAGTGCAATACGCACGGCCCATAAACGTCTGACGCTTCCGAATGTCACAGCGGTGGAGGCTAGAGTGCCGCATATAGGCGCCCGCAGGGGCGGTGCTCTCGCCCCTTCATCTCCTCATTGCCGGAGCAGGCGGCTGTTAGCCTTCTTCCGCAGTCGGACAATCGCCACATGAAGGTACCTTGCGAGACCTCGCGGCATTGTCAATCTACGTGCAGAAGCGTAGACTGAGTACCGCTCTGAATACAGGTTCGCCGGTCTTCTTTTGAGGCAGCCAAGTGGTGTCGAAGTTTGCCTGAGACCCAAGACGGCTAGAACGAACAACAAAGAAATCCGCGTTTGTCTGGGCTCTGTCAAACGCGGCAGAAACGTGCACGACTCGGAGAGGCGGGGAGAGGCTCGCGCAGTCTACGAAGTACTACAAACAGTAACAAACATGATGTGTGATGGCGTTTGCGCCACAACCCCCGATTTCAACAAACTCATGGCGGCGGGAGCGGTTGACGTCGACGTCAATGCTCATACTGATGCATCCATGCGAGACGACAGCGGTATGCGCTACGTATCCCAAGGCCCTAGGACGGACTTGGGCGATATCACACTAAAGGTTATTGCGACAGGATGGGTATATTGGATTCTCATGCGTGTGCATAGTACAAACCAAAGGTGGCTACAAATGGTATCGTCCAACAAATCGAAAATCAATGAAGCAACTGAAACCGCAATACACATTAGTAGGCACCGCGACCCCAGGCCCAATGGAATAAGCCGAGGCGCAGCTGTCGGTCGTAGCCCTTCGCCCGCACAATGCGGACACCGCTTCCCCAAGCCGGCCGACCAACTTGAAGAGCAGTATCGTCCACGGTCTCGCCTTTCGCCAGTGAAGTTTCCCCCATAGACCCTCCATTCCCGAGCGACCGCGAAAACGCGGGATGAAGGTGTTGGCCGTCGCAGAGAACCGAGCGCCGAGGCGACCTCCACGCCGCGCGGTGGTTTCGCTGTTCCGCCAGTGGCGTTTCCGCCATAGGCCCCGCAAGCCCGGGCAACCAGTCCGGACCGCAAGTGTTGGCCGTCGCATGTGACCACGTACCAAGCCGACCGACCCAGCATGCAGTAGTCTCGCCGTTTCGCCAAAGAGCTTTCGTTCAAAGGCCCCGCGCACCCGGGCGACTAGTCCGAGCTGCAGGTGTTGGCCGTAGCGTTGTTGCCGGTGAGTCTTCTTTTGGCTCTCCGGCGCCCTAGGGCGACCTCCAAAGGGCGCAGCCACAGACGGCCCATCTCTTGTCCTGTGGTCGCCATCGGTTTCTTGGGGTACTTGATTTTACTTTCTGCCATGCCCGGGGCTTGCGCGCCGGAGGCCCTCCCGGGGGCTTGAAGCTTTGAGTCTTCTCCCCGAGTCCTTCCGCTTACCGAAGTGGTCTCTTATCGAGACACTCGACGGTCGCGGGCACAAACGCAGAGCGCGGGTCACCTCGTCAGGATCGTCGCGCCCCCCACCCGTCCCATGCGCCGCGAGGGAACAGGTGTTGAAGCGCGCGGGATTACTGTCGCTGAAGACTGCGCTCCCGTGTCTTCATGGCCGCACGTCCCCGTCAGTCGGTGCGAGCCATTTTTTATCGCCTGTCGCTGTTTTGTATCGACGGCGTACCGCTCGTTGGGGGCTGGGGAGCCCGTGGTGCCGCAGTCTTCGACGGAGTTGCCACTTGTGACATCAACTACAAATGTCAAGAGTTTTAAAGAAAAGAGCGAGGCTCTGCGCGCAGAAGACTCGATCTCAACCGTGGGGGTGGATGGCGTTCTCCACATCTCGATCACATTTTCTGGAATTCACCTGTCATAGATATAAATAACAGTCACCCCGTCGTCAGCCTCCTCGGGCGCATCTTGTAGCGGGAGGCCGGCTTTCAACATGCACAAGCTGCAGACGGCGGTCGTCGCGGGCATCATCGGTAGAGAGGAGAAGGGCCTTTCCGAGTGTGTGATGTCGAGCGTGTCCCAGACCTCATCTGAGATGGCTAAGAAACCAGCCGTTTGCGTGAGTGGCCGTAGCGTTACTTCCAGCATCCCCAAGGCTCAGAGGCCCATCGAACAAACTGTCGTGTTCTTCCTGTGCAGCATTCGGGTTCTGCTCTTCAAGTGATGCCTGAAACCAACAGAAAGACGCCGGTTCGGAGACCTTGCAGCCAGCATACTATCAGCAGTGGCCGGTCGCCTTAATAACCTGAGTACAGAGTAGATACCTCCTTCAGGTCTTCGCTGGCACCGGATATCCGTATCTGGCCGTCGATGCGATATCTCTCGGTTTGGAGGTTGAAATCTGAGAGCCTGCCTCGTTAAATAGCAATTCTATCACCGCCGGGCCCCAAGTTGCACCAGATAGAAGAGTCCAAGGTCGTACATCTGATGTCGAGACTGCTTGCACGCCCCGTCGAGTCTCGCCTACATCTGCGCTGGTCGGTGCCATGTGATCGTCACTTTATTCAATACAGATAACATTCGTGGGGCAGGTTCATCGCCGCCGTGGCGTTCGAGTACACACATGCATACCAGGTCGAGGACTGCGACGATTACTACATTGTGTGGCCAGTGGCATCACGCCAGACTGTTCCTCTTCTCGCGAAGGCGTGTGCTTCGCCGACAACTAGCACTATCTCTACCTGTAGAGTTAAAATGATTCGTCACATAAGTCATGTACTTAGTCAGCGTGTACTGACCGTGGCAACGCAAACTCTTGGGCACTTCAACTGGAGCATGCGCAACAGCTGACGATGTTTTGCGCCCTATCTTCTTAACCTCGGCCGTGGCCTTGCCCATGGACTTTTTATTGGAATCAGGTTAGCAAGACTCATTGTGTGATTGAGTAATTGAGTGAATGGAGAAGCAAAGGTAGGTGCCACCAGAATCGCGCACCCCCTTATGTAGAATAGACGCCCGCTTAGTCATCCGCCAAAAGTGAATTGAGAGAAATCTAAAATACACAGCCAGACGTTCAGATAGCCTGAGCTCCGCCCCCCTTCGATAGACCTGAATCTAAAAAGAAAATAGTGCCACGCTCCGCCTGTATCTAATCTCAATCTATCTTGAAAATTATGCGTCTCGCTCCGCCTGAGAGGACTTAGCGTCGCAGCGCGAAACGGATCAAACAAGTACAAACAGGGGAGATCTGCGGCCGGCGCCACGTCGATGTTTTTCATTCCTGCATGCTCATGTCCTGTCAGAGCCTGTGATGCGTGTATCATATGTGGATACTAACATTTAACGACAGGTCCAGCAGATGCAGCTAGTGAACGTGCTTGGGACACCTCTGGTGGACGAATCACGCGGGTACGGTTGCCAACCTGTACCAGGTCTACTTTTGGGATTTTGACTTCGGGGTTTGGGCTCCGCCTGGTACTTCTTGGCGCTCCCCGGATAAATTTGATTGATTTGTCATATAGGCGCCCCAGATCGCTGCCACAACTGGCTCTCCAGGTAGTGATGTTTGAAAGTTTCCTCGTTATTTTCTGGATCAGTATGTCCTATTATGAGTGCAGAGAAAGTAATTATTTATTCAAGTGTATGGATATGTTATTTGTTGTAGCCACAGTGTAGTTGCCTTAAACAGCGCTTATCTCGGCAGCCTCCGGAATCTAGTCGGCATTCTCACGCTCTTGCTATTGCTGAGGCCGTTAACCTGACAACTCATGTTAATCCGAGAAAGTAAATGTTAGTATTTGAGAGTATTAAAGTATTCTTCAATTCCGGGTCTAATGACATTTTGTGCGCTGGGCCAATTGCCGGTAGCAGTGTGGAGCCCATTAAGAAGCTACTGAAGCCCCGGTCGTATTCTACATGTACCTACGTTATACGGAGTATGAACCCATTGAATTAAAAATGGGTGACCGATGCCGATTAGTATAATGGTAATACCTCAAATGTTCTTTGGTAGATCATTGAGCGCCCGTGGGACAGCATGCAATTATATATTTATATCCCTAACAATAGTTTGCTTTGTTATTGACTTGTAATGCATATATACTTTAAATAGAGCATGCCGCTCGTCACAAGGGACAGTGAGCGCAGCTCTCAGTGGCCAAAATAAGGCGTGGGAACTTATATATGACGTGCCGATACGCGGCAGGTCTCCGGAGCGCCGGACGCGAGGCCGATCAAAAGGCCTCGGGTCGAAAAGTAGACCTGGTACAGGTCGGCAACCGTACGCGGGCCATTGGGGCTTCAGGTGAGTGCCATCTTATTAATGAGGCGGTTTGGATGTTATTGCTCAGGTTCGATCACGTACAGGTTGGCGAAGGCAGGATGGGCGGGCAGCGGGAGATGGGACTATGGCCATGGGTGCGTGGGGGCGCTGGTAAGTCTCCAGGGGTGTTCGCAAATATGACTGGCTCCTGATGTGCTCATCTCATTGCAGGAGCAGCCACTGGAAACACAGGGTATGAGGCCGGGAAGGGAGCACGTCACCACAGCGCGGGCGGTGGGGATGTGCGGGGGTGGTGCAAGTGCGTTAGGAGGCTGACCCGTGAGCCGTAGGTGCTATGTGCTCGCTGGAAGGTCAGCGCCTGATGCGCCATGCTTCTCCATCTCAATATGCTACTACTAATACATGCATTGCTGAGTGTGCGGGGAGCGCGATTAAATGGACGGGTTTGTTTGTGTACATATACGGCAATGACAAGTGTGAAATGGATGGGTTTTTACGTGGACATAAATGGCAATGATAAGCTCAGAGATAATAATGGAATATGCTATCTGGAAAGCGATGCGGCACATGCTTTGATGAAGTTTTGTGCGTGGGCTAATGTCAAAATAGTGCTGACTCTCTCAATTCCGCCCAGACTCATCGACTATCCACCTGGGGTGGAGCGTCAAACAGTCCGCCCGCGTAGGGTGATCTCGATCTGACGTGATTGCATCATTTGGTCCGTCTTCTTCGTCTTCGCCACGACGAAGAAATTGTCTAGGTAAAAGATCATGTCTGCCTCGTTGGTGGCCCGGGCCGACTACATCAGCTCGGTCGCTTGATCTCCGCCTGTTTCACGCCCATGCCATTCACGAAGCGGTGTCTTTTAGTCACTCGTGTTCTATCATAAGCGCCCTCTGCTGTTCGTGATATGGCGGGATAGGTGAGCCTCATTCAACCGCTCTGAGATTATGCAATGCCTGTCATATAGCCATCACCGAGAACGCCTTCTCGTCCGCGCGCATCATCTCAAGGACGCTCGTCTTTGTCTGAAACCCTTCGTGAGGCTCTTCCATCTATGCGCCTGTAAATTAGAGTTTCTGCAGCACGAGCTACTATTAGCCCAAGTCGCTCATACGAGCTGCGGGTCTAGTCAAAGCGTCAGTCAGATAAGAGGAACACTCAAAGGCGCATTTGGTGTGACGACTCCCTCGCGTCCTTTCCAAGCGCCACAGCCTGCCATGACGGACGCAGAGGGCTTCTCAGGTCTCGCATACGTATCTGGTATCTGTTTCTTGCTCCTGGCCTCCTTGACTTGGCTACGGCAGCAACGTCATCGACTCCCTTACCCACCGGGCCCGTCAGGCCTTCCGGTCCTCGGCAACACGCTGCAGATGCCTCATGAGCGGCAATGGCTACAATACGTCGAATGGGGGAAAAAATACGGTGCGCCATTCCGCGTGTCGTGAATGAACTGAGCGAACTGACGAGAGCCCTGGCATGCCTCAGGGAAGATCATACACCTCTCGGTGCTGGGTCGCTCCATGATTATCCTCAATTCGGCCGACGTCATTGTTGAATTGTTAGAGAAGAGGAGCAAACTCTACTCTGACCGCCCCACCATCCCTCTTGCCGGAGAGATGTACGATTCTTTTAACATCAAGCCTTGACATGTGCACTCACAACCTCTCAGGATTGGCTACGACCAATACATCGCGCTGGAGCACTATGGGAGTCGTCAGACAGAAGGCCGCAAGCTCATCACGGGCGCTCTGAGTGTCCGCAACATGCCCAAGTTGCACCAGATAGAAGAGTCCAAGGTCGTACATCTGATGTCGAGACTGATTGCGCGCCCCGTCGAGTTTCGCCTCCATTTGCGCTGGTCGGTGCCATGTGACCATCCTTTTTTTCAGTACAGATAACATTCGTGGGGCAGGTTCGTCGCCGCCGTGGCGTTCGAGTACACACATGCATACCAGGTCGAAGACTGCGACGATTACTTCGTGAGGCTGGCCGAGCGAGTCAACAACGATTTCAACACAGTAGTGAAGCCAGGAAAGTATCTGGTCGATATTTTCCCCTTCTGTACGTCATCTATAATCTGAGCATGGTCTATGGTCTACTCTACTGACTGCTGATCAGTGAAACACATACCCGGCTGGATGCCCGGGACCAAGTTCAAAGCCGTAGCCAAAGAGGCCCGCGAGCGAGTGCAGCGCCTAGCAGATGAGACGTTTGAAGTCGTGCAGACGCGGGTGGTAAGTAACTTGTTCGAAGATGATGATGGATCGATCATGGATCTCATTATCCTCCTTAAGGCTGATGGGACCGCAAGGGCGTCGTTCACCGCTGACCTGATCGAAGGTAATCCTGAACGCACGCCAGAAGAGGAGGATATCTTCAAGACTACGTCGATGACCTTCTATGCAGGTATGGAACGGATCATCACTCTCATTATCTCTTCAGGTCGCTGACTCGACATCCAAGCCGGAACTGACACTGTAAGACTTGACGTGTAAGCTGCTTCAGACGGACTCTCATCGACCCTCGCAGACCGTGTCTACGCTCGAGTCGTTTTTCTTGATGATGACACTACACCCTGAAATCCAGCGGAATGCTCAGGCAGAAGTCGACCATGTCATAGGCTCCGATCGGCTGCCCAAAGTCAGCGACCGTCCCCGATTGCCCTATGTAGAGGGGCTGATCAAGGAAGCGTTCCGTTGGAATCCCGTGTTCCCACTCGGTATGACAATTACAATAAGATGTGCACCACGAGTATCATAATGATGCTGCTGTGGACTAAGCCCTGCCGCACTATCTAAACCAGGACGACGTGTACGAGGGTTATCATATTCCGGCGAACTCCACAGTCATCGCCAACAGCTGGTATGTGTTAATCTGAGAATTGCAAATGCAATGATCCCCTCATGTAATAAACATCCTTTAGGGCTGTCCTGCATGACCCATCATTATATCCACAACCATTTGAGGTTTTGCCTGAGCGATACCTTCAACAAGAACATGGCCTCAATCCAGATCCAAAGTCATTCGCCTTCGGATACGGTAGACGGTGATTCTTTTCTGAGGCCACTGGTTCTGACGCCCGCACTGAACACACGCACAGCGTGTGCCCTGGTCAACCTCTCGCGGACGATTTAGTCTTCATTGTCGCCGTCACGATCCTCGCAACCCTGAATATCAGTCAACCCATCGGCGCGGATGGCTTGCTTGTCAAACCCAACGTCAGCTGCACAGGAGTGGCTCTCAGGTGAGTTAGTATATATCTGAGCACCCGACTTTATTGAAGATGGCCGAACAGTCATCCTGGCCCGTTTGAATGTGCGATCGCCGCACGCTCCGTCGAGGCAGAGCATCAAATCACACATGCCGCGTCCTGCTAACCATCGAGCTCGGAGAAGATAACCGCCGTGTGATCTTCCGAAGGGTACTAATTGGCGTCCTCGAGTGCCGGCTGGACAGATCTTTGTACAGAAAAGTTGAGCAGCATACAGCCAGATCTGGTATTCATCAGTATTTGCCTTGAGTTCTCCATCATACGATTATGGTGTATCAATTATCATTCGATGAAATGCCTGATCTCATTAGGCAGCGTTCATCCAGACCCGCTATGTCACCGAAGTACGGGTATATACCTCATGATGCACTTGGTTACGACCAAAATGGCGTGCAACATATGATCCTGAAAATGATAGACATCGACAGATGCCAGCTAACGCCCCGCAAACCCTTCCTGCACCTGAATGGGCTGAATCGACATGCGCGACTTGACATGTTGTTGCGAGAGCCTCTTAGAGGACATGTCCACAGAGGGCAGTGGAAGGAGACTAGGAACGAATGGCCTGCTCGAGCCAATGACTGGAGGAGGTTCGTCCTCATCAACCTCCTCCTGCGGCACGAATGGCGTATTCACGTCAGAATGTGCAGACGGTATAGCCGCCCACGGCATGGAATTGATGCGCACACGGGCATTGGACTCGCCTGGTGGCGATCGAAGCATCGACTGGGTCGTCGGAATAAATGATAGCCGGTGTTCTGGCAGCGGAGGAGGCGGGATAGGCGGAGGGGCCCGCTCTAGACGGACGGGGGCCTGCCGGCCTGCCAGCTGGAGAGCGCGAGCGCGCATTAGTGCACGGTTCCGCTCGTACTCGTCTTCCTCGTCTGTCGGGATCTCGTTGCCATCTTGGTCTAGACGTGCTGTAAGATTTCTTCAGTTTATTTTTGGAACGAAATCCAGCAAGAACATACCCCATCCACGCCTTCGCGATCGTGACGAAGATGCAATAGTCGAGGTTCCTTGAGCACGAGTACTACCCTGGCTAGTAGAACTTTGCGGGTCCCGCTCGCGTCTCCGGATGATTTCGGGAGGAGTCCAAATGTCATGTGTCGTGGAGCTATAGCGATCTCGAGGAGGAAGACGTAGCCTACCCCCTCGCCGCGCGTCCGTGAAAAGTTCCTCCCGCGACATCAACCAGTTGTACGGGTCGTCGCGATCGGATTCGCTCGGTGTGACATTATGAACGAACTCCTCGCTGTCTACGTTCAAGTGCTGACGCATGCGGTAGCTCGTCTCGCCAGTTGATGCGTCACTGGCGTTGGCTTCCGATGGAGATATCTGTGATGAGACAATGAGGGTGGTCGAGCCTTCCGCTGGCCTCCTGCTGCGCCGCCGCCATCGTTGTTCTCCAAACGACTGAGGTTGGCTGGGGACCGCCCTCCAGCCTGAGTTGGTTTGCGAAGCCGAGCTGTGAGTATCTGTCTCCCGCTCGGTGCCGCTATCTGTTTCGGTGGTCGATGTTGACGCCACTGACCTGGTTGAACGCGCATCTTGCACGAGCCGACTCAGCCTCGCATTGTGCTCGGCAATAGTTCTGATGCTGCTGTCCCTCTCTGAGTCATTGGCGAGTTCGAGAGCACGCCGTGCAGCATCGGCCGTCAGGGTGGTAAAACGGTTGGATACAGCAGACGATATTGACCGTGAGACGCCCCCCGTGCGGGCCGCAACGAGCCTTCCTATGCTTGTTGACGATTCGGTGGAAGTATTATCGTCCCGCCGTGCGCGAATGTTCGCCTCGAGCATTGCCCGTCGACTTTGTGAAGGTGTTACTGCAGAGCCAGTTCGCCGGATAGGGTCCGCCGGGGGCGCATTAGAAGCGAGGTTATCCTCCATGCGACGACGAGCTTCGCGCACGTCGACAATTGTGCGCATGATCCTTCTCTCCTGCGCTATATACGGTGATTCCGTAGCGCCCCTATCCGCGTCGCGCCAGAGTGAGTATGACGTTCCAGGCTCTTCGGTAGCTTCATCCACGGTGTTCCGGCGTGAAAGCTCTGACCCAGACAAAACAATCGCATTGTGACTCGGGCCCATAGCATTACTCGCGGCCAAGCGCGCTCGCTGCACAGGAGTCGCGTCCGGAGAGTGGTGTGGAGGCATCGGGGATAAGTCCGAGGGAAGGCTGTTGCGTAGGGCGCGGAGGCGATCAAAGGCAGCGTCCACCAAAGCCGTAGCCCGGGCCAAGCTGGCTTGGGTGGTAGCAATTTCTTCACCTATGGACGCGAAAGTCCTACGTGCCTCCAATACCCGTTGTGTGGAAGAAGAGAACGCAGTGAGCTCCAAAGATGAAGCCAAGGGGGGTACGAAGTGGGGAAATATGGACGACCGAGTTGTCTCAGACGAAATAGACGACAAAGACACGTTGGGTATGGGTGGCGACTCGCGATTAGCTTGAACATGCTACATCAGCCAGGTCAGGTAGGAAGCAACTACTGCGGTGCTGACATTCTGTTCTTCCCAAGAGCGGCCTTCCCATTAACACGAATGGGACTTGCCTGATGCGTGTCCAACGTAAAGTCCTTATCTGCGCTGGAGACAATGCAATGTGGTTCGAGTACCTTGGTGAGCACGTCGTAGATGGATTGAGAGTATGCAAGAGAAATTGTCAAATCAAAGCACGGAGGAAAGCTCAGATGAACCAGTTGGCAATGGCGGTCCAGGTTGAATGGCGTCGCGCCACCGATTTTGACGCTCACTATCCTCCAACTTGGTCTGGCTCAGATCGTCTGACAATTGTCCGTACATTCTCCAGATAATGTGATCCAACAATGAGCAGATAGGAGCGGATGTACAGAAAAGGCTTGCAGGCATGCAACCAACACCACTATAAGATACTTCAGATAATAAAGTACTTCATTCGCTCTCATCGTCGTCTTCCTCCTCGCTGTACTCTTCCGCCTCATCATCGATGAAACCATTTAACTTCGAGGACTCAAAGCCATCCTCATCCTCGTCGTCTTCTTCATCATCATCCTCGTCGTCCTCTTCATCCTCCTCCTCATCACTTCCCTCCTCGTCTTCGTCCGCACCCAGCTCGACATCCTCAACGCTGCCCCCATCGTCCCCACTCTCCACCCCAACCTCAATGTCCATCTGGTCCTCCTGTGCTCTTGCGGGCTCCTCAGCGTCACTCTCGCCCTCTACATACCGCTTCGCCTGCCGCCTCTTCGCCTTCTTACCCTTCGGCAGAGGCAGCGGTGCAGGCGGTCCAGATGCGCGCATATCGATCTGTGACATCACCATGTCCAGACGACCGCTCAGCGCAAGTAAACTATCTTGCAGCGTGAGTCGCGTCGCGAGCGTGGTGTGCAAGCCCGACAAGCGCGCGACAAGGTCAGGCATCTAGTAGTGCGCCAGACTCATGAGCGAGAGACGGGACGAGGCAGATCCAAATTACGCACAGTCATCAGATGTCCGCTATGTGCCGCGAGCACGGCGCGTACCCAGTTGATCATCGCAGTACCCCGCTGCGAACTCGCGCCGCCACCTCCGCCCTTCATGTTCCCTCCGCGTGCCCCACGACCTAACCGCTCCACACATGCTGTGATCAACGGAACTGCGAGCTGAGGCGGGAGCCTGCGCACGGTATTGCGTATCAAGGTTACGTCGGAATGTGCAAGACATGTCTCCAACAGACGCGCGTCCGACGAATGCAACGCCTGAATGAGCGTGCGAGTAAGAGAGGTGGCAGGCACCGCCTCGATCGTCTCATCGGCCTTGCGCCGCTCATCGCGTGTCCCTGGACGAGCCTCCTCATCGCTAGAGTCAGACGCACGCTGAACGGTGTCCCTTCCGCCGTTAAGGGCTGTGAGCCGCTGTCCGAGACTGAGCTCCGCCAGGTCTACGTCCAGATCGCCGTCGACATCTCGCATGGCAATATCGTCCATTGATGCATCCTGGCCCAGCTCGTTACCCGACCGCACTGCAAGAGACGAGGATTCATTGTAGCGTTTGGTGGGTGCACCCTATCAGAATTACCAACAAGCTTTGAGATTGAGGACGTGAATGCAGATCGCGGGAACACATAAAACTTACAGCCACGCCGTCCACACCATTCACCAAATCTGCCGCCGAGGAGGTGATAGTAATGTCCTCCAAAAAAGCTCCTGTTTCGTCAAGATATGACTGCACAGCAGGATTGGCACGATATATGTACATGACTGATTCGAGTACTCACCACGACATCAAATACAGGCTGCACTCCATTGACTAGTCGTGCGACGTGAATGTGACCTTGCTCGCCCGCCGCAAATGACGCAGCGACGACAGCAGTGGCATCCGCATCCTTCTTGCTCGAGACGGGGATAGTCGACTTGGGTGACAGATTGGGGATTTTCTGCTTCGAGCCTGCCTCTGCAGTCAGGTCCTGGGGAAAGGCGAAAACAGAGATCTTCCCCGAGGCGGATAAAGTAAGCAACGATGATGATGAGAGGGCAAAATGCCGTGCGTCCGAATCCAACGGAATAGACGCTACAACTCTGCCCTCCGCAGACCCTTCTGGCACATCCCAGACGTACACAAACCGATCTGCTTCGGCGAGTGAGAGGAACTGGGAAGAGCTGTGCCATTGCAAATTTCGTATTGATGAAGCATGGCCGGTGAATCTTGCCAATTCTTTCGGCTGAGCGTTCTCGGAAAGCTGCATTTCCGAAGAGCTGGTGGACATTGACAGGAGACGAATGGCATGGTGCGCGACAAGCACGTCCGTCCGACCCTCCTCGTCGGCCCTGGGTCGGGTGGCGAGCGCAGAGTATGGTATTCGGTCGTCGCTGGTCCAGCTCCCTACCACAGCGTTTTTATTGGCATCCCATAGCCGTATTGTGCCGTCCGCGCTAGACGTCCAGATGGCTGACGTATGGTCGCTCGGTTGACCATCCGCAGCGACGGCGAGAATGTCAGCGGTACTGGAGGTGTGTGAGAGCGTCCGTACTATACGCCCATGGCTAGGAGAGAAGAGCGATACAGTGCCGTCCGACAGTCCCAGAACCACCACTTGCGGTGCAGGGGCGTCCTCAACATCTGGGGCAGCCGCCTGGCTATTCCGCTTTTTGCGTTTCCGCTTCGGCTGGTGGGATGCCTCTGCATCCTCTGCAGCATGTTTTTGCGAGTCTGAAGGGTCGAGGCGGGCCCAACAGAGAGAGGTCACTCGAGCATTATCGACGACATGTTCCGCGACGGACTGCCGCGTAGCAGTGTCGTATATGCGTAGGCGATGTTTGTCGACAGCAAGTGACAGGAAAGCAAAGAGGTCCCCTCGAGGTGAAAATGTAGACAAATAAGTTAGCGTCGAATGGTCTGCTACCGCGGGCTGCGAGATTGTCGAGGTCGCGGCAGGTCTCCCCTTGGGTGGTTTTGTGCGAGACTTGCGGGATTTTGAGGGGGTCGAGGCCATAGCAGCGACCAGAAGCTCGGCGGAGTGTTCAGGTAGGTGGAAATGGACCTGTTACCGGAGAAAGCAGAAAAATCTTGGGCCGCGTTCTCATTGGACGGACGCGTTAGATCACGTGCCTCCATGTACCTCCACGCACGTTCGAATCCATGGCCCCGGGCAACCCAAAGTTCCGTACTGAGAGTAATCAAGCACGTAATAATCAATCTAGTCGAATGAATAGCGCTAGCTTCTTTCCAAGCAGTCAAAATAAGAGTCGATTGAAGAGACACGCTACATTCCGAACTGACTACGCCGCAACATACAACAACCTGTTACAATAATACAGTACTGAAATCTATTCCTATGTTTGTATGGAGTACAAATATGGCGGAGAGAAACGAACACGAGTTTGGTAGTAATTCCCAAAGGCGCAGAGAAGGTAGGACACGTCGAAAGAGGCGGAGATAAACTCATCGGGGCGCAGGTAAAGCGTCTATGGAAAGTAAGTAACCGGAAAGGGAAATCAGGAGATATCGAGGGCATGAAAGGTGTCATCGTTGCCCGCCGTTAGGTGGCACGTATCCCGGGGCATAGACAGCTTGATAGCGTTGTATCCCGTTGTGCGGTGGGCCAGCGGGCGTGTAGGTCACCATCGATGGGTTGGTCCCCTCGGGCAGACGTGGGTACGCAGCCACAATCTGCTGCTGCTGTCCCTGTTGTTCTTGTTGCGGCTGTTGCTGCGGCTGCGGGGGGAAGGTATACCCAGGTGGACCCATCATGCCAGGAATGGGCTGTCCAACAGCATATGGAATGTTGCCGATGAAATAGGGGTGCTGGAGCGCCTCAGCAGCTGTAATGCGTTTAGAAGGATCGAACTGAAGAAGGCGTTCCAGAAGATCCAATGCTTCGAGCAATGTTGTCAGTCAATATCTGGGACGCCATGTAAGAAACGTACCTGGAGGCGATGCCTTGGGAAGGACTTGCGAAAACGGGATCTTCGGATAGCGCGGGTACTGCTTCAGTTGGGCGTTTTCTGTTTGCTGCAACGGAAGTTAGTCAATGGTATCGCGACAAGCGTGTGGCACGCACCCCTTCCGTTGCGATCTTGCGTAGGAGGCGCTCATCTGGCGTGCCAATAATGCGCATAATGTGTAATAGCTGATCCTGGTTGTCCCTTCCACGGAAGAGAGGCACTCCGGATATCATCTCCGCGAAGATGCAGCCGCAGGACCAAACATCAATCGAGGTGCTGTACGTCCGCGAGCCCATCAAGACATCCGGCGCGCGATACCATAATGTCACCACCTGCGGTAACATGTGTTAAATGCAGACAACGTAGGCGGCGCGATCTACTCACTTCGTTCGAGAAGGTGTTTACTGGCACTCCGAATGCCCTCGCCAAGCCGAAGTCACCCAGTTTCAGCTCGCCCTTCCTATTGATCAGCAAGTTCTGCGGCTTGAGATCCCGATGGAGGACTCGGTTCTCGTGGCAGAACGCGGTACCTTTGAGCAGCTGGTACATGAAGCTTCGCACTATGTGGGGGTCGAGTGCGCCGCGTTCCCCCTGGGCGTCCATGTACTTTTTGAGGTCACGATCGCAGTACTCGAAAATAAGGACGAGTTTCGTTTCGGTATGTATGACATCGTATAGCCGCACGATGTTGTTGTGCTTGAGCTCTTTCATGAGCGATATCTCTCGGATCGCAGTGGACGGAGTGCCCTCTTCCGCATCGAGGTGAATCTCCTTTAATGCAACAATCTCATTTGTCGTCCTGGATCTTCCCTATAGGACGTTGAGCGATGGCTATGAAGTCGCTCTGGAGTTGCCACTTACCTTGTAAACCGTGGCATAGGTACCCTCGCCTGTACATATGTGAGTCTAAGGTCTCTGTTCAAGCAATGAGACGAAGTCACCGAGTTTCTCTAGCTGCAGAGTCGTCAGTGGGAAAATCTACAATAATGTAGCAAGCACTCACCTGAACATAATTCATAGTCACGTTAATAGATGTGTCAGAGTCCTAATATTGAGCGTATTATGATACGGGGAAAGCGGGATTTGGCTTGCAGCAGAAGGCAGGTAGGGTAGCGGCTGCAGGAACAATGTTCTATGTATGCGGAACTGAGTGAAAGAGTTGAAAGACGAGTTCAAGATGCGCGCGAGCGTCTAGAGGAACAGATCACGTAAGCAGATCTCGATTGCTCGATTGCTTGATCTATGGTTCCAGCTAATTCCGTATCGATAAGTAAACCTACCCGAGGATATTTGGGCGCAAGCGGGGTTGATGCGGGAATGCTCGGGACCATGGTCCCGGCCTGTTTGGACCCGGCAAAGTATCGTCACAGCCTCAATTCACAAAAGTAGGCCGTTGGTTCCAGGGCCCGCCTATTTCCACCCGAAGTCCGCTGACGCATACATTGAATTCAACAGGTCTAACGGTATGAAATCAACTGTCATAAACTCGAAAATGCCCTCACTAGTCTCAAGTATTTATGAGTTATATGTCATGAAAATGAAGTCTTGGCTGTTTCAATGTTTGATCCATCACGGCCCCTCTGCTGATAGCAGTCTTACATGCCATAAAAATGTCAAAAAAATTACAGTTGAGGCACATGCAAATTGGTGCTAGACCGTGCGGTGATCCCCGGTGAATAGGTGGTTGAAGCTTGTCGCTTCTCCACTTCCTGCACTAGACGATCCATTTCTCCTTGAAAATGCTACGCGTACAAAAATGACTGTGCTTGATTGTACAGCGTCCCGCCGCCTGTCGCTCTTTTCACTGACAAATGATAGGTGCGCGGCATTCTTGGTCATCTTCGGGTATTTGGGAACCATTCTCAGCTGTATCCGCAATACATCCTGGCGCCGCCAAACCACTCAATACAACAGACAAGTGCCCAAACTTCTTGCTCTAGCAGAGTCTAGACGTTTTCATTTGAACTAGAAGTGACACGTTGGTGCGCCTTCTAAGCGTAAGCGCAGCGCCACGGGGACATGTGACGCTCACGCGAGAGTATAAAACCACGCCTCATGCGAGGAGGTGTAGACAGCAATAGCCTCTGTAGGCGACGTTTCTCATCGGTCGCGATACCGTCAAGATGGGCTTTACGGGAATCATATACGCGATTTGTGTCTGTATCTTGATCTTTACCGCTGCGTCTTGGCTACGAAAGCAGCGTGCTCGCTGGCCATATCCACCTGGTCCTTCAGGACTCCCCATTGTCGGAAACACCTTCCAGGTACCTTTGACGGAACAATGGCTGAAATACGCCGAATGGGCCAAGACCTATGGTACGTTTCCGTATGTTTGCGCAGATTTGATTTGACAGGCGGTCCCCGCACTATCGCAGGGGATGTTATGCACCTCTCAGTGCTCGGTCGTTCTATCATCGTCCTCAGTTCAGCTAGTGCTATATCAGACTTACTGGACAAAAGGAGTGTTCACTATTCAGACAGACCCGTCGTTCCCATGGCAGGCGAGATGTAGTATCTGTAGCACTGCTGATCTGAAGATACCCGCGCTGATAGCACGCTAGGGTCGGGTTCTCCCGATACATCGCATTGGAGCACTATGGAGGTCGCCTGAAGGAAGGACGTAAGCTCATAACGAATAGCCTAAGTACCCGCAATATGCCAGAGGTACAGCGAATGCAAGAAATGAAGGTCATCCATTTAGTCTCACGGCTGATGAGCAGTCCGGCCGATTTCCGCCTGAACCTGCGATGGTCTGTAATCTTTATGATGTCTCTGGTTTTTGAATTCATAATGCCTAAAATGCAGGTTCATGGCTTCCGTGGTCTTCCAATATTCCCATGGATACGAGGTGGAAACCTTCGAGGATTACTACGTGAAGTTAGCCGAACAGGTCGCCGAGGATTTCTCGCGAGCTGTACAGCCTGGAAAATTCCTGGTTGACAGCCTGCCTTTTCGTGAGTTGTACACAGCATACAGTCCTCAGGGGCTGATCTCGGCTACTTGTGCCAGTGATGCATGTTCCCGACTGGATGCCAGGTACAGGATTCAAGGCAACCGCGGGTGCCATGGCTGAGCGACTACAGCGCCTGGCAGACGAGTCGTACCATCATGTGCAGACGCAAGTCGTGAGTAGTGCTCTACAAAACGAGGTGTCGTTGCGTCTATCTAATTCTCTATCCTGCATTCAAAGGCTCGTGGTACTGCGCCGCCTTCGTTTACTGCGAACCTGATTGAGAACAATCCTCATCCAACGCCAGACGAAGAGGATATGTACAAGACTACAGCAATGGTGTTCTACGTGGGTGAGTCCATGATGTTGCTAGCCCATTCGTCATCTGATTCTTCTTACAAGCCGGTGCTGATACTGTGAGATATTGTGTGTCCATTGTGAATTTATACCACCTCTGAAACGCCTATAGACGACGTCCGTTCTCGAAGCGTTGTTCCTCGCGATGACGCTCTACCCAGATATTCAACAAAAAGCCCAGGCCGAAGTCGACCGTGTCGTGGGATTTGACCGACTGCCCAATTTCAGCGATCGTCTTCAGCTACCCTATGTGGAGGGGCTAATCAAGGAAATATACCGCCTCAATCAAGTGTTTCCGCTAGGTATGCCAGCCACTAGCACCCTGCTATGACCCTGCTGAAGCCTCTGTTTAAGCGTTGCCGCACTGTGCCACCCAGGATGGTGTATACGCGGGGTATCACATTCCGGAGAAGTCAATAGTCATTGCCAACAGCTGGTCTGTTGTCGACTAAGTCTTCCTTCTTGGTCTGCTAACACAACATAGGGCTGTTGTGCACGACCCGGCGCTATACCCACAGCCGTTCGACATACTACCTGAGCGATATCTCAAGCAAGAAGATGGCCTCAACCCTGATCCGCGATGTTTTACTTTTGGTTATGGAAGGAGGTACTTTCTGAATCTTAATGATGCTTCACACGGGAATCAAGGTCAACATCTCATGATTACAGGGTATGCCCCGGACAGCGTCTTGCGGATGATTCAGTGTTCATCGTGACAGCTACAGTTCTGGCGACATTAGACATTTGTCAGACCCTTGGTCCGGATGGACTGCCAATAAAACCTAAGGCGACCTTTGGAGGAGGAGCCGTCTGGTAAGCTTGCATGTACGCTCAAAGTGTGATCACAAAGGCTGAAGCCAAATGCCTAGTCACCCTGGGCCCTTTGAATGCACAATCACACCGCGGTCTATCGATGCAGAACGTTTAGTCATCCATGCCGCATCTGCTCTTGTCGGATGAGGTGTGATACAACGTATGCGTAGTATTTTCAACTACATTGGCTTCGGCGCGATAGAATCGTGAATATTCACCCCTAAGTATTGGTATATGCATCTCATAGATGGCAGCTAGGGTATCGCACAATATCTTTCGTCTAATAGGAGTCCACATTATATATAATGTCACAAGATGTCAATTTGGTTTCGTCTTTTGCCTGACTGACCGCCGCGGAAAGAATTTTGAGCTCTTCTTGAGATGCTTCATGTCAGCAATGATCACTGGGGCCATTTATCCGGACAGACCTTACGCTTGCCTATAGCATTCTTCCCAGCTTTCTCGTCTTCCGAATCTGATAACGGTGTCAGGTCGCTCTCGCTCCCATCGTTGTCGTATTGCAATTGCGGCAACGCCTCCGGCTCGCCAAGTCTGCTTTGGAATGAGAGACACTGCAGTTCGGCAACGTATGCCGAGGTGCGCCCGCCAACGTTTATCCATTTGATTGTAGCTGGTTCCCCAGTGGGCTGATAGACATTGAGGATGTGAACGGAGCTCTCGACATGCGTTGGACCAGAGAAACACACCAGAGTCATTGTATGTTTTTGCTTCTTGCCTTTTCCCTGATATTCCGTTTCACAAAGGCTCAGCCATCAGTATACGAAGGTAAGTTGGACGACACTCACCCAGCGATGCTTGAACAACCAGTCGTCGGGAAACTTGGTGTCATCTGCATTAACTTCAACGGCTATCCGACAAACCTCTGACGTCTGAGTATGCAGAGCTTGTAGCTGAGAGTCTGCTAATGTATTGCATCTCTGTTCGGGATGCACTCGCGCGTGATATAGAATCTCATCTATTATCGGAGCAACATGTAAGATCAAATTGCATTGTACACTTAATAGAACATACCAGCAACCCAGTTTCCAACGCCTGCGCTGAATGACTGGTCGAGAAACAGGGCCTTGATGGGGCACGAACGCTTCAGCACGCCTTTCTTGAATTCTCCAAGAGAGGGCATGGATAGTATAGGATCAAATCCCATGGAAGATATAGGAGGTTCCGTGAGTGGTGAAGTACACAGTCTGATTCGGCCAAGTCGTCGCGCATCCAGGAACGCGACTTCGGTGATGGCTTTAGTTGTTGAGTGTTGCAAATGTAGAATGAACTACACGATCCAGTCTACTACATTGACTCGCGCGTTAGAAAGTGGACATACCTTCATGAATCTTGGTGGCCAGTCCGTAGACGCTTTCCGCGGTGTTTCCCTATAATATGTGGCCATTTGACCTTTGACCTAAATTAAGAGGCGTGAACGATGTACCGAATACATCTGACGCGAGGCACACCTGAAGCATTCCAGTCATTCCAAAGTGCAGAACCGGTACCTTACCTTCTCCATCTAGTTGAATATAGAATACCTTGCCTAGGATTCCTCATCCGTTAGCTCTAGAGCCATGTGGACACTCAAGAAGACGCGCCATATCTTCCTACACTTGTGACAGTACGGTCAACGATAGTTGTTGCCTTGCAAAACAGTCAATTCGATTTGGTACTGATTCCATGATTCAGCTTACGAAGATTTCATGACTCAAGCCAGAGAAAACGATGCTGTCTTCAACGGTCTCCACTCTGATGATCTTGTGGCCAATGGCCGTGTCTCGGATAAGTTTCGCGGCTCTCTCCACCTCTGAAATCAAACAGCTATATAACATGCTACTTGTGATCTAAGAAAGTAAAGCACTGACCTGGCAATTCAGGCATGTCTGACTGGGACCAGTGAACTTCACGACGTTGAACCGGAGTGTGGCTGGTAATGTAAATAAACGCCCGCGTCGATCACGATCGACGCGATGGCCTCGGCAGAGGATCGGCAGTTCTTGAAAAGGAAATCTGGATCGTGTGGTGCGACCGCCTCTGTGCGAGTCACGATTTCCCCGTCGACTGCTATGAGCCGCTTTGCTCTCCACGGCTCCAAGAAATCAAGTAGATGTCCTCACGTGTTATTCATGACGCCGGGATAGGCGGCAATGCTCGTAGACCCTGGGGGCTACAGTGGAGGAGCTCTGTCTGGTATGTCACACTCGGTACGTTATTTGCGAACTTGCAGAGCATAAATCCAGGCTTATAATATGGAACTACGTCTAGTGGTGGCTCTAGGTACCCTCCAAAAATCTAAGTAAAATCAACTTAAGTAATTCTTTCACAGGCGTTACCACCGATCTGCTTGTGTACTCGCTCATTGTACCTGTAGTCCCATTTCGACTGGAAGCTCTTGGATATAGCGGCGTCTCGGGTCTAGTCGGATGGCTGCTTTTCGCATATGTAAGATTTAATCTCTGCCATCTCACCATGCACTCAACCGCTTGCATTGTGGCAGTCAGCCGGATTGGTAGCATGTAGGTACACCTGTCTATATGACATGATCTACCCTAAAATCGCCCAATCTCCTCAGTCACTCCCCCTATTGCTCAGCTGTCTGAACGATTCAACGCACGGAAGATCCCCCTGCTGATTGGACAAGTCGCTCTCATCGGAGCGCAGATCATGCTCATGTTAGCACCGTCGTATTGGCTCATGGTCCTAGCTCGTGTTTTCCAGGGGTTGAGCTCATCCGTCATCTGGGTTGTTGGTCTTGCGCTACTGTAAGTTAAGCTGCGAATTTCCGATTTCATTCAGATCGTCTCATACCGCTTCATGGACATCGTGCAGTTGTGACACAGTACCAGAGAAAACGGTCGCGCGTAAGTACGCGAAGTTGATGTTCCCAACATACTTTCTCAATACGCACACCTTAAGGACAACTCGGCATTGCCATGAGCGGCCTCTCAATAGGGTACACTGCCTCTCTAATGTACATGTGATCTAGTTCATTTATGTGCGGCAGATTTCTTGTAGGGCCGCCCGTCGCGGGCGCGCTTTACAATTCCTTCGGCTTCCACGGACCATTCATCTTCGGCATCACTGTAACAGCCTTTGACCTCATTGCCCGGTTGATCTTAGTTGAGCGCCATCACGCTTTACGCTGGGGTGTCGACCCCGCAGCATCCACCAAGGACGAGGCCGACACCGAGAAGTTAGGCGGCGTTTCAGAGAATACTAGCCACGAACCTCAAAAACAGCTGGATGGGGAAGAAGATCCCGAACGTCACGCTACCCCAGCACCCGAGTGCGGTGATTTGTCGGACCCGCCATCAACAGCCCCGGTAACGAATACAACAAATCACGACGAAACACATGAAGACACGACAGCGAGACAGTCAAATGAGCCATCTCACCTATCGCTACTAGCAGTGCTCGGGAAGCTTCTGCGATCCTCTCGCGCGCTGGCGACGTGCTTTAGCACTCTAATCTATGGGTAATTGTGTTGATCGGCCTACATCAGAGCAAATTCATGGAATCGCGAATTTCAGGATGATCTTGACGAGCCAGGAGCCGGCGCTCCCTCTATATCTGCAAGCATCATGGCGACTGAACTCGTCGAAAGTTGGTCTCGTCTACATTGCCGCCGTAGTTCCCACTCTATTCTGTGAGCGGATGTATCGTGTCAACTTGTATGCTATACTCATGCATCGTGGTAAAGCGTCAACGATCGCAGGCTGGTGGGTCGACAGGATAGGCACAGGGCTCATAACCGTCGTCTCCCTCCTCTTTGCGCTGCCCTGGCTCGGGCTGCTCATCGTCCAAAAGTCTCTCGCATTCTTCATCGTCATGTTTGCTTTATCCAGTGAGCTGCATGTCGTCACACACGTAAGCCATGTGCTCACTCCTAGATTGTAGACTTTGCAGTTTCGGGTACTGTATCCGCTCTCACAGCAGAACTAGCGACAATATCACGGCGACTCGATGGTGTCGGTTGTGAGTTTCCTGGACATTCCGCATGTCTTTGCATGTTGATTCAATCTAACTTAGATGCGCATGTCTATGGTGCATTCAATCTCTCGTACGGCATTGGGTCAGGGTGTAAGAGAACTCATGTATTTACGGAGCAGCCACTGATCTAAATATTCCCGCTACAGTAGGGCCCGTAATCGGCGGTCAGGTAAGCTGATACTTCACCAATCTCAACGCATATTGTCTAAGCAGTGCAGCTGTACGATCACCTCGAAAGAGGTTGGATGGCCATCTGCCTTTTTGGCATTGGGCTGTCTGTCATAGCAATTTTCCTCGCCCTTGTGTTCTATGGCGACGAGACTCTCTTCACCCAGCTTACACGCAATTTTAAGAGAAGTCGAGAGAACTGACTCAATCGGAGTGGTCAAAGTACCTGTATCGATCGTTTGCTACATTACGGGTGTGAATTACAGTCCGCGTACTTTACATCGACAGTTGAGCAGGTGTACAAGGGTATTGATATGCTATGGCGTACAAGGATGTGGATAGGGCTGTGGATATATGCGAGTGATGTGTAGAATAAATTGGTACATGTTAGCTGTAAGGCAGGCGAAACATAATAGATAATTGTAATGCAAACATGAATAGATGATGAATATATAGGCTATGGGGGCGGAGATGGAGTCTCGGGGTCCGGATTCGTTCTCGCGAGGGACTCGCCAAATGAAGAAAGTAGCGTCAACAAGTCGCCTGTGTCTCTGCGTGAGGACAATCTTCGTGAGACGAGAAGAGTAGGGTGTACCTTTTTTGAGGGGCTTGCTGAAGAAAGCGTTCATACCTGCGCTTAGGCACAGCTGCTTTGTCGATTCCTGACAGTCAGCACTGAGTGCTATGACTGATAACCTGCATTAAGCATCTATGCGTGCGAAACCGAAAGTACGTGACTTACTTGGTAATACCATCGGGACTCTGCGCTTGTTCTCCATGATTCGCAGTCGCTTAGATGCTTCGACGCCGTCGCATATTGGCATATCTGTGAAGTCAAGGTTGACAATATGGTCGAATCTATACTGAGGTGACGTACGATGATCGAAGAGTGCGACACTGAAATAGCCTGGTTCATGCTTCTCCCATTCTATTGCCGATTAAGATTGAGGTCGCCACACAAGCAGTGATCGAGCTTACCAGCTATTGCCTCTTCCCCATTGGATGTAGCAACAACGTTGATCTGGTAACGTTGTAACTGTGCTATCAGGAGCTTCTGAGCGACTGGGTTATCTGAAGAAGCTATTGAGAGGGGGCTTATGGTCTGGGGAATATACAACAGACCTTCCGCCACGAGCACGTTTCCATACAAGCTTCGACGTGCTAATGCCTCTTCCTCCTTGATCGCCGATAGACTCATAAGCGGCGCAAGTGGGGGCTGAGATGGAAGATTTTTCAGATTCGCTAGTGTGTGCAGGAGGCGAGCTTGTCTTGGCGGTTTCGTTATGCGAACGATCCCAGCTACGGCGTCGTTCCTGAGCATTGGGGTACCAGCAAGGTTGTCCGTAGTCGGCGTGAACAAATGGATCACTTTAGTGTCTTTGTGCACCTCATTCGAAAGGGAATGGAGAACATGAGTCAACTCGTCAACGCAAGCCTCGGATTGATCGTCGAGAATGACAAAATCCAATGGCGTATCCGAAGGTTTTGTACTTCGCAAACACGCTTCGGCCTCTTGAACCGACGAGGTCGTAGTGACGTGGAAGCCGCTTAACATTGTACTCATGAGGGCTTGCGTGGCGCTCGACGCGGAACTCACGAGCAGTCGAGGGGGATGAGGGTTTGTTAACAGTGCCTTCAAACGACTGATCTCCTCGAGGGCCTGGATTCACCATTAGCAAAGGCTGATGCCTGATTGAGCTAGCTTAGACTTGCCTGTCTAGATTCCTCATATTCATATATTTTCACAGGGAGCGTAAACCAGAATACGGATCCGACACCGAGCTCCGACTGCACGCCGATTGCGCCACCCATGAGCTTGACTAATTGACGAGAAATAGATAGACCCAGTCCTGTTCCGCCGAAACGTCTGGTAGACGAGTTGTCCGCCTGTTGAAAAGGTACAAACAGAAGATCGACATCGCTAAAGATCAAGTTCAGTTGGCATGGCTGCGTGAGCTTGACTCATACACACCTAGAGCTCAAACCGATACCCGTATCCCTGCGGAAAAAAAATTTAGTGAAAGAACCAAGGAGAAGAACGCAAACTAACTGAATAACAAATTTCAAGTTGGCTTCTCCGGGAGGAGTAGGAGTTGACTTGTCGACCGAGCAAATGACACGAACCGACCCGTATGCGGTGAACTTGACAGCATTGCCAATGAGATTCATCAGGACTGTTCGTATGCCATCAACGACACATCCCTTTAGACGTGAAGAGATCTCACCCTGCCGGATTCTTGCATAGTCCGCTTTGACCCCTAATCAACCCACACAATTAGTGCCAGTATTCGACATAGGTCCGAGGGAATGAAACGCACAAGGCGGAACGTCTGGCTCAATATTGTATGACAAATCTAGCTTCTTGGCAGCCATCGGCAATAAAAGTTCCATGCAATCCTAGATACAAGCTTTTAAGCATTGCCTGCCTGCGCACATATAATGAACGTACTGCAATCATGTTCTCCATCGCAAAACCTGAATATTCAAGTTTCAAGGCTGGAGCGCAAAGATCAGCTAGACGGCAAAACATCGCGTAAAGATCATACCGGACGCCTCCAACTTGCTGTAGTCCAGAATGGAGTCGATTATCTGTCCCATGTTGAGAGAATTGATCTACAGTGAGACTAAGGCAACACACCTTGAGCAGAAGCTCGCACGATTGCTTCGCAGTTTGCACTGCCAGCCGTTAGTGCGGCGTAATGTTGAATTCGAACCTAACACACCTATCTCGCTTTGGCCAGGATTGAGTTCCGTTCCACTTAGAATATCGAGGAGCCCATAAAACGAACTGCGTACCAAAGTTGCGTGAATGAATCGTTGATACTGTAAGATACAAGCTTACCTAAAGGGTGTTCGAAGCTCATGACTCATAGAGGCGAGAAAGTTGCTCTTGATCTGAACAAAATTTAGTCTGTGAGATCGAAGTCATGACTGTGATGTCACCTTCGTTGCCTTCAGAGCATCCTCTCTACTCTTCCGAGCAGCCTCTAGGGCGTCCCTCTGAGCAGCGATCATCTTCAAATTCTCACGCGTTCCCGCTTGAACGGAACGAAAAAGAAGCGCATTTGCAATTCCAATACTGGCTTGCTGGCAGAGTAAAGTAAGGATAGCGACTGTATTCGGCGAGAACGCATATTTGGACGCCAAATAGACGGCCCCAAAGGTCTGGCCGCGGTTGCTGAAGATAGGTAAGCAAATGACCGACCGGTAGGCACTTTGCTGCGCTTCTGACGAGAATCGAGGCTCTGTAGAAACATCTTCATAGTAGATTCGTTCCTTAGTATTCAGAGCTGTCACAACATGAGTGTCAAACACTTGACAAGTACCAGAATGCCCACCGTGGTGAATGATCGCCCTCTGTAATGGATCTGAAATTGCCCTGATAGGTATCGGATTCCTATTGGGGCGCAGGGCTCAGAAACGCTCCATGACATTTGCTACTATCAACTTACTCATGCATCTGACAAGCCTCAGGCGGAGCCTTGCTGGTTGCGACTGTATAATCGCCAGCCTCTCGGGCAATAACAACGCATGTGTACTGGCTGCCCGAGTTTTCTGAATGTAAGGTGAGCATGTTGACCTTGACATCCAGATATTCAGGTCTACCTGTGGCAATCTCCGTCAATCGTTGCAAGGCCATCGGGAGGTTGATATCGCTCGAGATCTCCTTGCTCCATTTGAGTATTGATGCGAGGTCCGGTGCAGTTAAAGACGAGATTTCATCCTCTTCGGTCTGCTCGGCTTTGCGCTCATATACGCCAGGCGAGCGCGGGCTGGATGAAGTCATGACCACACCATCCGTTTGCACCGCAACATCTGCAGAAAAAATATGCCTTTTCAAAGCAAAATGTGCCCGCGTGTCCAGACGGGAAGATAGATAATTCCTACAGGCGAAACTGTCAGCGGACTTCGCAAGCGTGTGTAAAATCGTACTGACACTATACCCTTCGCCCCCCACTGAGCCTGGCGTGCAATACCCCTGCGCTGAAGTTCGCTTCCCAGCCCTTCGACTCCGCACCGCACAAAGTGACTCCCTTGCTACAGTGTAATAATGTGGCACATAAGCACTTGCTAATGATGTAAATTTAATGGTGATGATACGCACCAAGAACATCGCCCAGCCGCTTTCCAGCAACCAGTCATTATTGACAGCGAGTCTTGGGGACCGTTAAACGAGGAATGCAAAACGTTCATTCAAAAACTCACTTGACAGCAACATCGTAGAGCTTGAATGCCTCTGTGCCATTGAGAAGAGATGCCATCTCTGCGTCCTATTGATGTTGAGCTGGCTGACGCTCGCTCTATGATATGCAAAACGTACCACGAGAGCAACCCAGGCACTTGTGTTTACAGGACTAGGGGACAACCACCTACCGCCAATATTAGATCAAGAGGAAGAAAATGGAGGAGAAGAGCTTACTTTCGGACGTATGCTTGGTTAAGTTCAACTTGTCTCAAATATTGGTTGCGAGTTTGTGCGTCTATAATCCCTTCACGGATACATTGAATGAGGGCTAGATTGTGAAAGAATAGAGCATAACGCGTATGCCTGTGGCTAAATAAATATGTGAGCAGAACCCACGCATCCCAAAAAATAAGTGCTTACTTTGGATGCTTATCTCGCGACTCATATATTGAGAAGCCAAGTGAAGCAGCCTCTCTTGCAAATCCCAGACAAAAAAAGCTCACAACCTGACAAACCACCGTCGGCAATCAGGTAGGATTGACTCTCAGGCGACATACCTTATAGGAGTCGTACCTAAGACATAGAAATCAGCACAATGAACAACATCGGACAACTTACACCCACCAAGTTATCGTCACTTCGGGATTACCCGAGCTTTCCGATGCACGTGCCAAATACTCAGCCTCTTTGAATGTGTCAGTGTCGAACACGGTCTCGGCAGAATCTGCATAGGTGTAACCGCCAATAGCTCGGACACAGTTCAGAACTCCTGGAATTCGATCAGTCATGTGGGATGTCAGAGAGGGAAGAAGCTAGTACCTTGCGCGATAAGTCCGAGGTCTCCACTTGGAGCCCATTGAGAGACATCGGTCAAGGACTGTGTGATGGTCAGTATTTGGAGGGATAGACTGATATAAATGGGCACACCTCCTCGGCTGCAATGACAAGTTCGCTGACTGATTGCCATCTATTAATACATCTCTACTGTAAAGGACCCGTCCTCACCATGGTCGCAAATCCACAAACGGGTCTGCATCAGATGGACGCTGGCAAAACTCGTAAAGATTCTAACAATGAACTAGTCAGAATCCGCAGCATAAGGGTAAATTTGGTTTACCCACTTGTCTCCCGCGCTTTGCCCGTACTTCATTGCTTCCTCTAGTCGTGCTAGATTGGCACGGATGTGCACGTTGTCAAAACCAGATACCATCGAGGAGAATAAGACCAGTGCGCGACTACGACAAGCTGAGTACACTGTGACGTCACGACCTATCCGAACTCACCATTTCTCGTAACTGGTGCCAAATTCGTCGGCTATACGCAACGCGAGTCTCCCCAAGTCTGCAGAGAATCGATACAACTCCCTTCGTTCGGCTGCCGCTGAGAAGCCTAGATCAGTGCTGCAAGAATGAGTCGACCGAGTAACCACACACCTCCGAGCGCCCAGAAGAATCCGAGGGCAGTCCCAGGACACATTCCCGAGCTACCACGAAGGTTAGCTTCGATATGTGTGATGTGCACGTAACATGTACCGTAAGGCCAATTGCACCGTCTATCGCAATTGTCAGTGACCAGAATGTCGCATTAGAATAAGTCTCTTACAGTAAGCCCGATGACATCTGAGAACCCTTCGCCAGTGCTCCAATATGCATTGTGACCTGTTATCGCAGTTTTAAGCGACGTCGCAGAATATGAGATAGAGCCATACCGGCGTCATTCAGCAACGCGATAGCAAGATCAGTTCGAGAGTCTCGCGCGCGAGGGATGGACAGTATCTCGTCGAAGCCAACAGCGAGGATCTCGTTCTTGACTTGCTCGAACATAACATCTGCCTCACGTCTGCTCGGTGCAGAGTTCACGTCTACACCGAGGAGGTGCAGTCCAGTAAGAGTGTCACTGAGAGCGGCCTTGTAATTGCCGCGCATCCAGTGATTCTTTGACCGAAGACGTAACATCCTGACCTTGCTCTCGATGTCATCTGCATGCTCCAGGCACTGTAACACCAGCTCGTCGGATTGCGCGAATGCACCTATGTAACCAGTTAACAAAGCCTTGTTGGTATGGGTGTTGCCAGTCATACCTTTCCATGTGTACAGCCTTTCGATATCGCGTCAGCCTGCAGGTAACTATTATTACGATTACGAACAATGATACTCACTCAGCGAGCTTCAGATAGAGCGAGCAAGTCCTCTGAGGATCGTTCACCCAGGATTGGTTATCAAGTAATGATTGGGCGTTGATGTACGATTGCAGAGCCAACTAGGCAGATGGGAAAGTTCTCAACGCATGAAGACGTGGTCGCCAGTCTTGTGCACGTACCTCATGCGCGCCACGTGCTCTAGCAGAGTCACCGGCATCTATTGACAGCTCTAGGAGCTCGTCGCGTTTTGCATGCTCCCGCAGGAGAGGCAGACACCTGAAAGAGATAAGCCAGGAGAAGAGGTAAGTAACCTTCCATGTCATACCTCTTCGCATGCTCTGCTATACGATACACATCAGGCGTAGCCTCGTGAAACATCATCAGAATAATCTAGGGGGCGCATGCTCAGTAGATATGTCTATATCGTCACGGATCTGGCTTACTCTGAAAGACATCTTAGATACTGCGTCCTCTGGGATGTCTTCCAGCTCTGCCTGAGCTGCTTGACGATAGCGATCGTGGGCGAAGCTGCACATATCTCGAGCGCGCTGAACAAGCCAGCCCTCTGCGATCGCATTCTGAAGGCCGCGAATGGACCGCCTGCTGGTCGAGGAATGCACGTTGTCACTGATGGTCGACACCGCCTTCGAAACGTCCCACATATCGTCATGCTCCTCTTCGCTGCTACTGCTACTACTCAGGCTTGTGTCTTCCCAATCCATCATGAGAGCAACCTCCGCGATCTTGAAGCTACGAGACCGATAAGCACCACAGAGACGTGGGTTCGAAAGCGGAGACACGTACGTTGGTCCAAAAAACGACGCCCAGATGAGGTACTTCCTGGCGTCTTCCGGCAGCTCTCGGAAATGGTTGATCAGGTAGGACAGATCACTCGGGTCCGCAATGATCTTCTTGTCGTGAAAGCTCGGTTCGATGGTGGATATATCGTACCTTTGACATCAATCAGTACATGCAACAGCCGTGAAAGACGGCCCACATACTCCCAATGGTTTTTGTCCCAGTTGAACGTGATCTGGATCAGCAATAAGCTACAGCTACAGCAAACGGCACTCTTGGATGCTATGACGTACATGATGCTGTCTTTGTAGGGTCATAAGGATGTTTCTCGCAGAGAATGCGTTGCCGAGAGACGCTACAAGGACTAGTCGCGACAAGCTCGCGCACTCCTCCTTTGGTCGACGGAGGGTTCGCGCGACCAACGTGGATATTGCGGAGTACGTCAGTGGCTCTAGATTGACCCATGTGGTGGAGCGGCTTGTGAACGTCGCGCGGATCTTGTCAACCATCTCACTGGAATGTCTGATCGAGCAGCGATGGGGGGAAGATAACAATTGAACGCACGGCTTGTCTGAACGCACAGTGGCAAAGACGAGCTGCAAGAGCATGTCAGCACGAAGAACGCGACAAACGGCCACATATAACCTGAACGCACGATGCGAGTTCGGGAGTTGACAAGCGCGTTGATCAGATCCAATGACCTATCGCACGGCATGAGTCTTTGTTCGAAGCCCTACACATTGAACTCACGAGTCGCTCGCATCGTGCAGATCGTCCAAGAGCAACGCGAACAAACGTGTCTCAGATAACACTTGAAACACGCTTTTGAAGAGACTCTGGAAACGCGCGCGTAGCTCGTGAGTCTCCAGCACCTCCTGGGGCGCCTCGATAAAGATGTCGAAGAGGCTCAAGATGTCGCGCAGCTCAGGTGCACCTTCGTAGAGCAGTGGCACGTTCCGCAGCTGAGGACCCAGCTGCCGCTGCAATGCAATCACAAAGTTGTGCAGATCAGTGTGAAACACGATTAACTGCCGCAGGACGGAAGATAGACACGCCAGCTGCAAAGCGTTAAGTGCGACAAATTCCTGAAGGATAGCTCCACGGATTGCATACCAATGATGCGAAAGGTGCCGCCTCTACGTCGGAAAATCTCGCCTGGCCCCACAACCCGTGCGCTGTGACGCTCAATTGAGTTGCTGTGATATCTGTGTATGACAAACTTACATCTCCACTTCGCTTGATTCGCAAGGATGAGAGAACTCTTGCCAGCTCTACGGGTTGAAGTCGGGTTAACCAAACATTGGCGTACACAGGACGAAAAGCCTACCCTGGCGGCCCGAGTACGATGACTGCATGCGTCCTAGCCCGACCCGACGATGGCGCCAACGCCACTCTTCTAAGCCCATCGCTGCCGGACACTCCAGGGCTCATGCTCATCGTCGTCACCGATGCCTCTGATGCTTTCAATGAAGATAGTCGTGGACTGAAGCCATCACCTGTCGTCGACATCGGCGTCTGCATGGAAGCGTCGCTTGAGGAGCGCGAGTCGCTTGGATCATCGTTCGTTGCGCCTGCGCTATCCGAAGAGCTAACGACGATCGAGCCGTGCGGGGAGCCAATGTGACGCGAGTACGATGTGGACGTATGACGGATGATGTTTCGTATTGTTTCGAGCTCCTTCTCACGTCCGAACTACGCCACGGCGTACTCCTGTCAGTACTGATAACGGCTGATTGACACGCAGCAACATACCAATGGGCTGGGAATCGTGAATTCCTGTTTTCCGTGGTCAGCAAGGACAGTACAAAAATAATCCATGCACTCTACCATATATCTATCCTCACAAGCAATCTCGAAATATGGGATGAGCTAGGAGATGCTTCAAATCTCAGTTCTCAGTCATTCATCTTGCTTCGATATCCTACGTACTTCCGTCGATTGATCCGAAGATATTGTCACTGCTCTCAGAAGCAGTCTCTGACATTGAAGAAGATCTGCCTTTAGCCCGTATGCACTCTGATATCGAGCGTCAGGATTCTTCATTAAGAGCTATATGTGATAATGTTCTGACATCAGGCACAGCATGATAAGTTACTATTTTACATACCTTGTCGATTATGAGGGCTAGTACTTGTGGTATGTCCCTGCGGACTTCATGCACGGGCATCGGACGCTTCTGCACGATAGCGTGCAGTAGCTCCAAAGGTCCGCCTTCAAACGGCATGGTCCCTCGGCCAACAAGTAACGTCCAGAACATAATTCCGAGCGAATATAGATCTGTTCTGTGGTCCTCGTTCAACGCCTCCATGCCTCCGGTCTGTTCAGGCGCTGCATCATACTTGTCTGTTAGTCCTCTCGGCACCCCCGATGCCGAATAATTGCACGCGCACCAAGATAACAGAGCGCCTCTTTAACCTTGAGCTTCTTGACCTCCTCGAAGGCGTCTGCACGGAGAACAAATGCGGACGGCACGCCAAATTGCTCTAACGAGACCGCGCGATTGCCGAAATGCACTATGCGCACGAGGCCGCTGTGGGCATTGAGATGGAACGCATTAGCGCGTACTGCATGCGCATTCGTCAAGACCTGGCTCTGGGATGTGGTGGATACACAACTCGCCTTCACGATGTATCAACCCGATTCTGCAGTATGTAAGTATCAGCACGGGAAACATTCGAATGCGGGCATACCTGTGCATCATCTCGAGACAATGTGTTGCTTGGATAGCAAATCTAGTCCGAAGTCACTCAGCACACGCGCGCACGATGAGCAGGAGGGGAACATACTCAAGGAACGACGCCAAATCCATAATTTCTATGGCTTCCATTTCCTCCACGGTATACGGCTCCTCCGTACCCATCATAAGTATATCTGTGTGCGATGGTGCTGGTCGCACGCGCGAGATGTCGCCGAGCAGTAGGTCATTGACTTTGTGGGATGGAAAATAACGTCCTAGAACGTTGAGACCTGGGTGATTCAGAAGAAGCACGACACAATCGCCATTGACGCGCGGGATGGAGAAAAAATCAATCATCCGTAACGTTGTACTTGACGACTCGGGGGTTGTCGCCATGCGCTCAAGACTAGCGAGCAGGTGAGCATCAGAAGCCGGCCTCGATGATCGAAGCAGCTCACATATGAGCCTCGCGCTCGAGGAGCATGGATGCATTGGAATGGGCGGGGACGATCTTGGCCAAGACACTAGCTCCGTCCTTCAAGCTTGTGCCCTCCACGAGCATGGTCATGCTGCCAGTATCATCCCACAGGACCGCCTGGCTTGACAGGTTACGACGGGCAGCGCGGGGGCTCGGGAGGCTGACATACCTTCTCAAAAGTATACCCCGGAATCGAGAGGTTTCCATCCTTGAAATACAGGGTAGGCAGGACGGGCTGCGCGTATTTCCTGCGCATGGCGTGGGCGAAATGAAGATGCACGCCGTACAGGAAATGGAGGGGAGAAACAAGACTCGGCCTGCGAGGGAGGTATGGACGGGACTGTTGCTTGAGCGGCAGGAACCTTATCCTGGGACCAGATGGCTAAGGGGAAAAGTAATCACAGCTGAAAGCATGTCACGGTGCCTGTCTGTTCCAGCAATCCCTTGCGTCCGAGTCTAGCCTCGCCCCTCGGTCACGCTTGACGTCACTCTGATCGATTCTCATCTCGGGTCATCGTCGCTCCTCCCCACGGTCCACGCTCAACCCGCCGGCACCGTCCCTGCCCTCTGGGGTCCCCACTTTGCTACTACGCCAGTCAATGTATTCGCTACAAGACGATATGAAGAAGCCTTGTGCACCGCTCGTCAGTATGTCGCCATAGCCACGGTCAAAAGGTGAAGACATTCGCACCATGATGGAGCAGTTCGCCGTGCAATGGAGCGTTCGAACTCGTCACACCATCACCTCGATCCTAGCCAGACGCCTGACAAACAGGCAACTATAAACATGACGAGCGTGAGCTGCGTATCCTTTCGTCGCTCTTGGCAGCTGCGATTTCCAAGCCAGGAAGATGCTCTGCCATTCACAGTCATCGCAGCATTTATCAAAAGACATTCACATAAATACTGCCACTTTGCGTCAAGAAACTCGACTGCACTGGTCGGATGCCTACGTACTTGTTGATGTTACAGTAAAATACAACTGTTGTACTACCAGACGAGCCGGACCCCAGAACTTCGTTTACCCCACGCTCGTGCGCCTCCCTCAGCTCCTCAAGCCGTTACCATGTGTGACCACCACGAGATCACGGCTAGTTGAATTGACTGCCGACATCGCGCCTGCTATAGTAGCACGATCCCGCGCCTCCTCCGTAACCTCCATCGCTAGCATTGCTTCACAGCCCAAGATCCTGCAGACTAGCTGATCTCTAAGTATGCCGAGCCATCTTCCATTAATAATTAATAATGTCCCAAGATTCGCATCTGTCAACTAGACATAAGATGATAAGTGTGTCTAGTGCGGCATATGGCACTGGAGCCTTTCAGGGAGCAGTGCGCCCACACTACGCCCGATTGGCCGCCTTCTAACTTCTTCGTCATCGTGACGAAAGGTCACGGAGGCAAAGCGTGGACTCAAGATGGCTGTAATACTGGCGGCATATCGCCGGTACCTTCATTGAGCAGGTCATCCAGGCCAGGTTCACAAGTTGCGAGTTGCGAGGCTTTCCAGTCGTTCGTCTGCATTCCTCAGTCGAAGGACGTCATATTATTCAAACCAGACGGTGAGTTACACATCCCGGAGCATTGGCCTCCATGCATTATGCATCTGACGTCGAATCTACTGGCTTACCTGCTACTTAATGACGGCGCTAATGTTTCACGTCCTCGAATGACACCCATTACGTAGTACGGTTAATGCTTGTTCATGTCACTGCTGCAGCTTCGATGCATTCGTACGACGACAGCATCCATTGGAGAAGGGGAGCGGGAACAGAATATGGTTACATTCACACAAAATGTACTGTAAGCGTAAAACGGAAACAGAGCGACAGCGAGGACACAGGTACAATTAAGAGGTCACTGTAGCGACGTTCATTAGTTCAATATGTCAACGCAGTACATCAATAAAGACGTACTGTAGGTGGCGGGATCGATATGGTCGGGTAGCTCCGGTACTGCTACCTCGAACCTTGACTGAATGGCCGCCATGACCTGCTGGTCACTCTCAGAAAATACGAAGGTGATAGCTAGACCTTTTGTGCCGAAACGTCCAGCACGACTGTATGAAATTATAGTGGGTTGTGTGAATACCATACTAATACTTGATCAGAATTAAGGAACACGCACCCGACTCTATGCAGGTAAGAGTCTGCATCGGGAGGGCAATCATAATTGACGACAATGTTCACTCGCTCGACATCAATGCCACGACCAAAAATATCAGTCGCCACTAGGATGCGCTTCTCGAACGCTTTGAAAGCAGTGTAACGGGCAATACTGTATTCCGCGCGTAAGCAAGACGTCAAGGAACGCTCAGTAAGGCTTACCGCTCCTCCTGAGCCAACCCGGAGTGAATAGCGATACTGGGAAAATTGCAAGACACGAGGAGCTTGTCCAATTCGATAGCACGAGCAACGGACTTCACGAAGATGACGACCTAGACCATATCCAAAGAATCAACCGCCGACCTCTCGGTTCAAAAATCCATTCTCCATACTTGATTGAACTCAAGCGTGTCAAGCAATTCATTGAGTTTCCTGTTCTTGCCCGCTTCGTCAAGCTTCACGTAGTGTTGTTGGAGACCGTGAAGTGTGAGTTTTGTCTCGTCATCGACGAAGATTTCTAGAGGCTATAGGCGACTGTTAGCCAATGCTTGAGAAGATACTGTTATAACATACGTTGGCCATAAACTTCTTGCATGTCACCCGAATCTCCTTCGCGAGCGTGGCACTGAACATCATGACTTGCTTGTGGTGGGGTGTAGCACGGAAGATCTCTTGAACATCTCGGCGCATGTCTAATGAGCGACGTCGCAAGTGGTAAGAATCGATGGCACGGAAGGTAGCAATCAAAACAAAGAAGGGAACCGTCGCAACCGTGAGCAAAAAGACAAGAATGAAGAAAGGCTCTCCACGCTCTAGTGCTTGACGCTAGTTGACGACCGGTGCGATGCCTGCAATCGCTCCCTTGCACGTTGGATTCGTCGAAGCATTCATCGACCTCAACCCTCCCGAACTCTCCACATCCACATTCAGACGCCGTAGCAGATCCCGCCAACCGGTGCCGAAGTCGAGCGAAGAGAGCGCAGAGCGGTGCGCCGCTGCGCGGGATGCAGACGGGTGCGAATCAACTTGGCAAACCCCACACGGCCGGGGGCACGACGGAAACAAGAGGGCACGGAGTAGGTGGAGGGCCGAAATTCGCATGACTGACCAAGCTGTTCCAGCATTTTGTCGCACTCGTCGAGGATGAAGTGCTTGACTTTCGACGCATCCAAAACTTTGTCCCTCACGAGTGCATTAAGTCGACCAGGTGTTGCGACCACAATATGTGGGCATTTGCTCTTGTCGCGCAGGAGTTCAGCGTCTTTTGTGACTGGTGTACCACCATAGAATGTGTTGACGCGGACGTCTGGCATGTACTTCGCAAATCGAGTGTACTCGTTCTTGATTTGGAAGGCCAGTTCGCGCGTATGACACAGAACTAGGACCGACACCGCGCCATCGACGGACTCCAGCTGTTGTAAGGTCGCCAAAACGAATACCGCGGTTTTTCCGTGACCGGACTTGGCCTGACAAAGCACATCCATACCCAGGACTGCCTGAGGGATACATTCTTGTTGGACTGTAGTAAAGATGTGTTTGCATGAGGCACCTTTTGCTATGGAATAACCATATGTTTACCTTCAGAAGGATGCTCGAAACCAAGGTCACTAATGGCGCGCAGCAACTCGGGCTTTAACAAGAAATCTCTGTGGCGTGAAATGAGTCACCATATGTGGCACGCAGGTTGTCACATACCTGAAACCAGTCGAGTGAATGCCGGAAAAGTTCTTCTTGTCTTTTTCGCCCTCGCCCTCAGCCACGGGTGCTGTGATAGCGACACCGTTCGCTGCTGGCGGTGCTGCGGCACCATTGGCGACAACGTCGTGCTCATCCTCGTAGTCGATAAGTTCCTCGTTGTCGTGAGCACTCATAATTGTGTCGGCAGAAAGGATAAGTGGAAGCTAGTTGGGGTGAGGAGCAAGGACAAAGGACCAGGAGTGCGCTGGAGGTGGCGGTAAGGGAGAAAAAGGCGACGCCCGACGCGTGCGTTGTGCCGAATTGACCTCAGTGTGACAGGCCAGCGGCAACCCCCGAGACCTAACCTTATTTACGCACGGACCCCTTCCCGAATTGAATTGATGATGTCCTCGCACCCTGTCAACGACTTATTATATGATACATGCGCTCCCATTTATTGACGCAACGGTGGCTGCCAGCAGTCTCTAATGGTCGCCCGCCCGGGCGTGTACTGAACAGGTCTCGTATGGGCTGTAAACATCGTATCAGCTATCGCTGGCCTTGCCTTCGGGAATCGGAATGTAGTAAGACTAGGGTCCCTCATTCCTAATACTTGCTGCCGTTGTGGGCCAGAGTTTGGTATCTCTGTCACGAGAGCTGTACAACCACCCATAATCTCAGTGTTTCACAGTGGTGGGTCTGATCTGTCATCGTGGTGTTTTTGTATAGCTATGGAATTCTTCACTGAGCAGGCCTTGACCATTGCTTTTCAATGTACTAATAGAGGCCTACCATTCCTATCTCGAAGGCATTTTTTTGAGAGCAAATGATTTTAGCCAAAGGATCTCAATCGTGTCCTTCGGCGATGAGATACGCCAATTTATACATACCTCTCCCGCTCCCAGTACTATATCCTTTGACTTGAGTGAAGATCATTAACAAGCATTCAACCGACAAAGGGTTTCTTTCCCACTGCAAGGCTTAGAAGGTGCTCGTGGACTCTATTCAAGGAGGAGGCAAGTAAGGATCACGATCGCGTTACGACATCGGCCTCCCTTTTCTTCCGCATGTTCTAGAGGTTCTGCCAGCATCCCCACGGAGAAGATCCAACACCAAAAGTACTCGGCAGTGAGCTTGACGATTCCGAGAATGCCAGAAGTCAAATATCATACGCTAAGAATGTATGTGCATGTCCGCAGTCAGCGAACCAGCTTTATGGATTTTGTATGCCCGTCCGACATACTTGTCGAGCTCAGAGCGGGACGTGCGCGGAGTCGTCACGGCGACAAAACCGGTTCGAGATGCCGGCGCTTGCACAACGGCGTTCCGCGCACTCGGCCGAATTGATTATTTCACGCCGGTCCGTGAGTACAACATAAGACGCGGCGCCCAGTTACATGAAAACCGCACCTGTGTAAGCCACCTCGAGTGAGCCTCAGATGCGCGAGAGCAGCACGCCGGTACACCCTACGCACGACCATGACTGAGGGCAAGAAACAGACTTATCCATTTTGGTGAGTCCGCCGCGAACAGTCCGCGCAACGGTTTGCTGACCTCTCCAGGCTCGGAGGTCGGTTCTCTATGACATCAGACCGTGTACGGTGTAGCGGTTTGCTAACTATTGAGTTGTTGGGCTGTAGGAGTCGCTGGTTCAAGTGCGTCCATCTCACATACTTTTCTTCGCTCAAATAAACGCTAATGTCGTCTGCAGTGGCTGCGAGCTGCACGCATCCGTTGGACCTCACAAAAGTGTGAGCACTTGGGCGCACGTCAAAAGAATCTTCTACTTCTCTTATTGAATTGAGTCTTCTGGGGGCACTTGATCAGTCGCATGCAAACCTTGCCTTCGCTCCCTGGTGCAAAGCGACCATCAACGTTTTCTGTCATCCGTGCGACAGTGGCCGAGTCCGGAGTGAGAAGTCTCTACACCGGCCTTACAGCTTCTCTCCTGCGGCAGATGTCCTATTCGCTTGTTCGTCTAGGGTCGTATGAGTCCATGAAGGAGCATCTCTCCAAAGATGGTCGACCATCTTCCGGAAAGTTGTTGCTGGCTGCAATGGCTGCAGGTGGCATGGGCGGCATTGCGGGGAACCCCGCAGGTAAGTGATGTCAGTCAATATACTACGGTTCTATATTTGAAAGCGGCCGTGCACAGACATTCTTTTAGTCCGTATGACTAGCGATTCCATCCGCCCACCGGAGAAGCGATATAACTATTCCAACGCCATCACTGGCTTGGTAACTCTGGTCAAGAGCGAGGACGTCAGAGGGCTTTTTAGAGGACTAGGAACGAACACTGTGAGTGACGCAGTGTTGACACTAACTGCTGCTGAGTCCGGAACCTCGCAGACTAGAGCAGTACTCATGAACGTGAGTGCGAGTATGTGAACAAGGGCCTGAGACACTAACGATGCTGTAGGGTTCACAAGTTTGGTCGTAAGCAGGTCTTGCCATGCCTACCATGCATCCATAACAGCAGGAGTCCAGATACGATCTCTTCAAGACCATGCTTCTACAACATCGCGTCCCCGTATTGGATTACCAATTCCGTGATAATCTAGCTCTACATATGGCCGCGAGTACACTAGCCGGCACGGTCGCCACCAGTACGTTCTGTCTCTGAATGCTCAAGTACCCATTTTCCATGCTCGTTCTCTAGCTGTTTGCTCTCCGGCGGATGTGATGCGATCCCGTCTGATGTCGGCCGTATGTACCAAAGTTATACTTTGTATGCATGGGTTGACATGAGGCTGTCTCCTAGTCCGGCAAGTCTAATCCCGTGGAGGTACTCAAGACATCTCTCAGCACAGAGGGCCCTAGATTCCTGTTCAAAGGGTGGACACCAGCGTTCATTCGTCTGGGTCCGAACACCATTTTCATGTTTGTTTTCCTAGAGGTACGCAGTTGTACTGCCATGTAGACTTCGATGGAGCTAATATAATACGATCAATCAGCAACTGAAGAACGGTTGGCGCAGCATTTTCCCAACGTAGTTCACTGGAAAACGCATTTATCTTGCTCCTATGTGCTGCTTTCATTGTACGACATGTCTGTGGACCATGCGCGCCAAGGTTTGGAACATATTTAGAATATTTAGACCTGCTGCGGCATAGAGACATGTATCCATTCATATTGCAAATTCCACTGCAGGATAACTTAATTCCCTTGAGGGTTCGCGGTTGTTTCAACAAGGTCTATACCGAGAGTCGTGTGATATCCGCTGCGCTTCTTTACTGTTCATAATTACGCGAGAGGAGGAAATGCGTCCGGACGCGCAAGTGGCGCGACGCGTCGCAGTATCGGAGATCGGTCACGTGGAGAGCATGTTCTCCCGAATCGGGCGGGTGATCTCGATCAAGCAGCGCGCCAAAATCATTTGTTTTGCATCCAAACGCTGTTACGGTCGCAGGCTCAAGCTCGTCTGCGTTCATTATAATCTTGGACTCCAACAATACTACGTCGAGATTTGGACTGCTATCAAAATCTGTTTTGACTGTTCTGATATGGAGGCTTTCCAACTGCTATCTCGCGGAGGGATCAGATTCGACAAGAGCAGGTTCAGGAAGGATGTGCAACTCTTTGATGTACGTGTTCCGCGCGCAAAATAGTCGTCACGACATACTGAAATAATCACATAGAAAACCAAGGCATCTTCTCACAAGGGAAAGAGTGTAGCAAAAGCTGCGGATGAGGAAATACCGCCAGAGTTAGACTTCTTCAAGTATGCGCAAGGCGGTTCCTCGAAGCGCAAGGCCTCAGAAGGCGAAGGCGATACTCCAACGATGAAAAAATCGAAGAAGCAGAGAACAGATGATGAAGACTCCGGCGGCCAGACTCAGGACGAGGAAGACCCACCCATGCCCAGGCATCGTGTTACGACGAAAGGGACCAATGTGCCCGAACACGCAGAAACCTTCCAAGCGTTTCAGGAACAATATAACATGTCGCCTGTACTGCTGTCGAACCTCAAGCAGAGTGGTTATAAGCATCCGACTGGTATTCAGTCATACGGCATTCCGATCCTAATGGAGGTATGTCGTAGCTATTCAACAATGCAATGTATTCCTGCTCATCAACAGCTGACAGTCCAGAGACCTCGCTGCCATTTCGCCAACTGGAACAGGAAAGACGCTGTCATATCTGCTACCCGTCATGTCGCTGTTGGGCTCTCCTTCCTCTCGCGCGAAGGATGAACATGGGACAGGTGTTCGCGCTCTCATTCTCGCGCCGACACGTGAATTAGCGCATCAAATTCACAACGAATGCCTCAAGTTAGCGCAAGGCCGCAAATGGAGGATTACTCTTTTCAGCAAAGCTACTGCTAGTACATTAGCAGACAAAAGCGTGCGGGATAAAGTAGGCAAGTTGAACAACTAAGGACATTATGCCGAAATAGGTCCTCATGTCATGTTCCATTCTTAGACATCGTAATTAGCACACCATTGCGGTTGGTCTCGGCTCTACAAGCCGGCCATCTAGAGCTTCATAAGTCGGTTTCATCATTCGGTCCCCTCCGCTGACACTCACCATTCCCTAGTGTTAGACATGTTGTCCTCGACGAAGCGGACCGGATGCTTGACACCGAGTTCCTCCCGCAAGTCCAAGAAATCATATCCGCGTGCACATACCCTCGGGTACAAAAAGCTGTCTTTAGTGCGACTCTGCCTGCAGGCGTCGAGAAGGTCGCAATGAGCATGCTCAAGGACCCTATTCGAGTGGTCGTCGGTCTCAAGTGAGTGACTCATAACGCGAATTTGGATAACATCCACTCACTCGTGATCTCAGAGACACGCCCTTACCCCTCATCGCACAATCGCTCGTCTACGTAGCGGACGACCCGTCAAAGCTACCTACATTGTTGCAGTACCTATCACAACCGTACAATCCACCAGTGCTTGTATTCGTTTCTTCACAGCCACGTGCTACGTCACTAGCGGAGGAACTAGTCCTCAACAGCGTGCCAAACGTCGATTGCCTGCACGCGGGTATGAGCAGGAAGGAGCGAGAGGAGGCCGTCTCGCGCATGCGGCGTGGTGAAAGCTGGGTAATGGTGAGCACAGAGGTGATGGCCCGAGGCATGGACTTCAAGGGGGTCAGGGAAGTCATCAACTATGACTTTCCTCAGAGTGTGCAGAGCTATGTTCATCGCATCGGTGAGTGGCACATCGCCCGCGCACCGGTACAGATCTCGGGGCGATTCTCACGTGGTCATATTAGGTCGCACGGGTCGCGCCGGGAGGGAAGGCAAGGCGATAACGTACTTCACCGATGAAGACGCGCCATTTCTGAAAACGTAGGTGTACCTGAATGTCACTGGTCACCGGTCTTGAAGCTCATCGGGGCCCTCACTTTGCCTCCACAGCATTGCGAACGTACTGCTTCAGTCTGGGTCCCCTGTACCCGAGTGGATACTCAAGCTGCCCAAGCCGTCGAAGGTGAAGCGGCGTCAGATGGGAAAGACGAGGCGCACGGATGCAGTGAATAATGCGAGTAAAACTGGTCGAAATGATGCAATCAAGAAGAGGTGAGAGCGCTCGTCGTGCTTCCGCAGGCCCCATGGCCTGCAGTGGCCCTCAATTTACTGATCGATGATGACTACAGGGATATGATTGCTGGCTCGAAAAGACGGAAGGAGAAGGTTGAGCGCAGAGCAGTGTCGGCGGCGACTGCAGACAATGCCGACGACAATGACAAGCCTTGACGATGTACAAATTGCATAGTGTTGCATGCCACTCATTTCACCGATCGGGATATCGACGTCGAGGTCAACGCGTAAGCTCCTCGTTGCTGGACCTCCGACGACGTGAAGAGAGCGGTGGGGCCGAAGTCGGCGCATAGCAGTGGCATGCCAGATCCACGGTCGCAGAGGAGGACAACGCACCAGAAGACAGAGCTAGCACGACCCCCGTTAGGCCGCGTGTTTCACCATACTGGGCCTCATAATCGTCCTCAGGAGCCATTGTGTAGAGGATGTACTGATCTGCAGAAATGAAAGGGCGTGCCCGGCACCACGTTGGGGACCATTCGTTTGTAAATCGAGAATCCATCGGGTCGGTACCCTAAAGAAAAACTGATGGCCACGTTCCACAGTGGGGGGCCGTCTATGCCAAGTACGGATCGGTGAATTCGGTTATCACCAGCGTCGGGCGTGACGGCAGAGTCAATTTGAACCAGTAGTGACAAGGCTTGCGGGTCGTGTAGGTCACATAGTTGGCCACAGCGCAGACAAAATATTGACGACCTGAACCACTATGAGGGACGCACATGGGCAAGGATGATGGTCAATTGGACGTTCATTACATAGCCTTTTTTCTGTACTGTCCCTCCACGGGGTGGCGGTTCGAAAAGATCGGGAATGAGAGCATTTAATGTCGCAGTGACCCCTTGTTTTCTGTGACATGCTATCAGTAATTGGAATGTATTGCTAGTGTCAGGGTCAGGGACTCGCCGGCGTTTGGAGCGACGAGTGATCGGCCAAATATAGGGCAGTGGCAACGGGCTCGAAAGTGTCATCCCAGTTTGTGCTCTTGTAAGTGAAGCCGCTTGCAATACACGCAGTGGTACTGCACAGGGACTCTCCGGGGCTCTGCCAGTGCATGAACTCTTTGGAGGTCTACAGTCTCTTGTGACCCGTGAATGTAGGGCTGCCGAAAATTGGTTCCGCGAGAATTTAGTCGAGAGCGATATCGGGCGACCGGCGAATGGAGATCTCGATAAATCGTCCGACCGTTCTTCAGAAACCTCGAGGACCCCATGAGGTGATTACAGGGTGACAGGGCGATGCGTTCGCTGTCGAGCTTGCGTAAATAAAATCTGTCCGCCGTCATTGAAAAGGGGAGGGGTCCAAGGGAAGACGTCCGTCCGTCCGTCGCCCCTCGAGCCTCTCCTCACAACATCTCAAGCCCCCTCCGCACTCACTCACCCCTCCTCACTGTCAAGATATGGCACCTTACCTCATTCGCAAGTCATCTCAACGTGCGCGGAAGACGCCACTGAAGGCTGGTGCGTACTCTCCCTTATTTACCCATTATTTGCCTCTGTGGGTCCACACTACGTTCGTTCGTACTCACTTGCTTGAATTGGACTGTAGGGATCAAGGAATTTGATCATTGCGATCTACAAGATCTGCATCCGTCGTCGCCGTTCGCGAGTGGCACACAGTCGCTGTCAAGCTCTTCCGACACCGTCCCCTCCTCTCCTCCATCGAGCGCCGGTAGTCCGGACTATTGCCCACCCTCGCCCTCCCTATCTTCTTGCTCGTCGGACTACGAGCCTTCAGCGCCTCCGCGGCGCTCGCGGAAGACGGCGTCTGCGCGCAACAGACAGGACTCGCACAAGAATCCCGCGTCTGGGAGGGTTCGCCGACCACCGAATGCGTTCATCATTTTCCGCTCTAATGTATGCAAGAAGACTAAGGTCAAGGGCCCAGCTACAAAAAACAACCAGACCACGACCAGCTGTGCGGCAGCTATACTATGGAACAGCTTGTCCGATGCGGAAAAAGCGCCGTGGGCAACACGGGCCGCGGAGGCCAAAGCGCAGCATAAGCTGCAACACCCAGACTACAAATATACGCCCGGAAAGTCCCACAAGGCTAGGTCGGGGAAACGGGGGCCGCGGCCAACCAAGCTAGAGATTAGTCGCTCCGAAACGATGGCAAAGCTACTTGGACAAGGTTTCGAGGGCGCCGAGCTCAACAGGCGTTTGGAGCTCATCTATGGCGACGCGAACAGCCCCCTTCCTAGCTCGCCTCGTACGCGAGGGCCCCACGTTTCCCAGTCAACCTCAAAGCGCGCGACGAAGTCGCGGACCACTAAAGTCTCAGATTTCGAGGGCGACTTCCAGCCCGAGGTCGCTTTTGAAAACATGCATATCTCGGACATGGCGACCCCTGAGCTCGTCGCGTCGTCGCCGGATTCGGACGACGGGCAGCTGCTCCAAGAAGTCTCGACTCCGAGCTCCTCTGTCTCTAATGAGATACAGGTACGTTGACTCGCAGCGATATATATATCAAGCGCGCCTTAACCTGCTCGATTCTATTCAGGGTCAAACGGTAAAAGAGGTGGGAGGCTCGCTTGTCGACGCTGCCGAAGAATCCATGCTCGTCGACGGCCAATCGCTTATCTTCTTTGACGGCTTCGCGCAAGGGTCCCCGTTATTGACGTCTCTTTCAATATCCATCGCACCGATTGACTTCGAGAACATGAATAGCCAGTCCGACTTATTCAGCATGGAATCGGCATTCTACGATGATGGTCACTTGGAGAAGCTCGTTCACCCTCTCATCGACGAGCACGCAGCGAACGCTGTAACGGACATTGACTTCAGTGAATGGATCAATGACCCCGCTATCTAACCATTCAGTGAGTCTCGCACACGATCCGCCTTCGTTTTCGCCCTCTTTCTATTGTGCCGCATTCTTTCATTGCCTTTGCTCTGGTCACGTTTTCGACTTTCGTTGCGCTTCATACGAATCGCCCCGTTATACCACGTTTCGTCTACTCACATGCCCTTCTGACTTTGCACCGACCTGATCGTCGAGTTTACCTATCGTACCGGCTGGAATCTGTATACATAGCACGTCTTAGGCATATTGCTCACCGTTATACACCAGATTATCTCAGTGTCCAGAACAGTCTGCTGGCATATTAGCATTCTACCGCCTAAATTCACCGAGGTGATCTCTTGGCTCTCTTCGTATCGCCTTCTCCCGTGCTCGGGTCCTTGGCCCGTTTGCTCGGAGGGCTGCCCGCGCGTGCATCAGAGCTCGTATTGATACGACCCGCGGCGTTCTCGGCGCGTAGCCACTCCTCGCACTGCTCTTTTGTCCCGTCCGGGTGCTGTAGCTGCCACTCGAGAACGCGAGCGAGCACAACGCCGGTCCATTTGCCGGGTGGCACACCCAGCACGCGGACGGTGTCGCGTCCCTGGGAAAATGAACACATGACGGTGTTAGGGCTGTAGCAGCGTGCCAAGATAACGAGAACAACTGACGTCCAGAATCGGTCTCGCATCTAAAGCCGCAGGTAGCCGGAGCTCATCGATGCGGGCCACGAATGAATTGTACTGTTCGATTCGTGACGTCGCTGCCTTCTCTGGAAGTCCATGGCGTCTGTCAGCCTGCCACTGGAGAAGAATAGAACGGAGCGCCCACCGTCAAATTTGTCTTGAGTGGCATCCCAGCAAGCGAGCAAATCCTGTGCCAGTGAGAAAAGCATAGAGGTTGACCACTGAACGCCCATCTGAGACTGATGGACAGCCTTCTCCCGCAACAGTAGACCTTATGACCGCCAACGACGTCAGATTCGCACTTCGAGTGGCATCGCTCCATGGCGCGTACCTATTCGCACCCTATCCTCCGCGCCGCCGTGCTCATCCGGCGTGTACGTATCTATCTCTTTGCGAAGGAGATCCCACGCGTCAAACAGAAGGGGTATACCGTCAAGATAGCGGTTCTGGGTCCCCAATTTGAGACCCTCGCGCACGACTACTTCCGCAGCAGTCTGTGTTTTTTTCTTGGTGTCGGTGCACTTCAGGCCACGGTACGGCGTCAACGCACAAGCTAGCCATACACGAGGGAATGGTGAGTTTTGCGGCGGGTTGGTATGTTCGGCGAGGAGGAGCGGATGCAGTGGGGGAAGAGAGACAGATGATAGGGGCGAAGAGGATGTTGTCGGGGACCACTGCCCAAGGAGACGGTCCAGAATAGATGCAGCGATGAGCGAGGTGTGTGCAGGGCCGGGGGTCCCCGAGAGTGTCGATGCAAAGGAAGGAGGAAGATAGAACACGCAGGAATGGAGTGAGAGGTCGTTGATGAGTTTGATGGAACGGAAAGGGTCGCGTCCTGGACAACCTCGTTAGTATGTGCGCACGCAGACTATTACTTCACGGTGAGCACCTTTCATCATTTTGTCGATTTCCTCGCCGATTCTCTCTCGACTTATTTTTGACACAAGTGCTTTCTACAGTAGAAAGTTAGCTCTCACACGATAATACGGTCCTATAGAGAACTACCTTGATCTTCGGATCCCGAACAGATGCTTCGAGCTCAGGGACTATGTCAAAGCCTAGCCTGCTTGCAAATCTGACGCATCGTACAACTCGAAGAGGATCATCAAGAAACGTTTCTCTTGGTGGTAATGGGGTACGAATGATGCCGTTTCGCAGATCATCCAAGCCCTACTTCGTCAATGGGAGAACACATGCGCAGGTGAGGATTCAGTCAGTACCTTGCCTGTGTGATCTTCAACAGAACGACTGTGGACGTTATAGAATAAGGTGTTGATGGTAATATCTCTTCTTAGCGCATCTTGTAGTGGTGTGCCGAAGGTCTGATAACGACCCTCAGTATCTGAAATTTCGCGAGACTAAAGTAAATTACCACTTGGGTCGGAATGCGACTGTCCTCAGCATATTTCTCACTTCTAAGGTTGACAAAGTCGATCTCGGATCCTAAGACTGTTGTCCTGGCGGTCTCGAGGTGTTTTGACTGCTCAGGGTTGCTCTCGATCTTCGTGACGCCCTTGACGGGAACGTCCTTGATTTCGGAGCAATATTTAACAAACCGTTGGGCGAAATCCACTCCCATCATCTCGCTTAGTGCAATGTCTATGTCATGGCATTGATGTCCTAGCAGCTATCAAGGTTATACGGAGTACCTTCTCAGCCACATGCTAGTATGGGCTGCAAACAACCGACCTTGTCACGAACCCAGCCTCCTGCTATTCGGCATGTTGTTTCTATTCCCTCTGTCTCCTTCATATACTGTGTACACTCGTCCAGCAGCGTGCAGAGCTGACTCTCCTGTTCGGTGAGGTGGATCTCCATGTTTGCTACAATGTGGGCGCGGTTGGAGGCAGGTCGAATAAGAATCAAACGTGTGTGTCGCAGAAAGCAAGCTCGTCTAAAAGCTTGACGAATGGTCAAGAGCATAGCATGTGTTGGTCCTAACGGTGCGACTCTTACAGACGCGAGTCAAAACGCGTCGACGTCACGGGTCACGGGTCAATCACATTCTCATAGGGTACGTATGGCATGAAAGTGTGCGTATTCCCGACTGCTCGCTGAATTGCTGGGTCGTCTCAACGAGGTATGTGTACAGTATAGGAGCACGTTTAACGTGTATGCAACGAGGAATCATTCACCTTGAGTGGTGGCCGGTGAAGAGCACGTGCCGCATGTAGAGGGGTCGGGCACAAGGCGGGCATGAACGGCTGTGATTGGCTGGAAGTGGAGCCAAACGACAACCAAACAGCGGAGGAGAAGCAGTTGCAGGCGCACGCCGTTACAAGTCCATCTATCTCTCCTTCCTCTCTCTCGCTCAGCCCCCCCCCACGCTCCCTATCCGCCATGGGTGTCGTCTCCAGCTGCTGCGAGTCATGCTGTCAGTATCTCTTCTGCCAAATTGCGCCATCTTTACCGGCGCATCGTAGCCGTGACGATCATGGGTCGCTGACTTCTTTCGGCACGCAGTCCATTCACGCAAATCGCAGTCATATGAGCCCCTGCTCCTCGAGAACGAACGGGAGGCTGTAGCAGACCTTTTGCAATACCTAGAGAGTAGGTATCCGCGAGGACGTGCTCGCAGTCGCTCCCCGACTGCCCCATTCTCACATCCTTCAACTGCAGACCGCACGACGACCAACTTCTTCTCGGGATCACCACTTTCCGCGTTGACCACACTTTCTTTCTCTGACAATGTCGACCTCCAGCGGAGTGCGGCTCTGGCGTTTGCTGAGATTACGGAGAAGGAGGTGCGACCGGTCGGGCGGGATACGCTCGACCCCATCCTCTTTCTGCTCAGCAGCCACGATACGGAGGTACAGCGGGCGGCCAGTGCCGCATTGGGCAACCTCGCCGTCAACAGTGCGTCTCCATTTGATGATGTTCATTGCTGTCAATCTGGCTCATGTTCCGTTGCATAGCCGATAACAAGCTCCTTATCGTGAAGCTAGGCGGTCTTGAGCCTCTAATCCGGCAGATGCTCAGCCCGAATGTTGAGGTGCAGTGCAATGCTGTCGGGTGTGTAACGAACCTGGCGACGCATGGTACGTCTCAGTACGACTGTACATCGTACACCCTTTTGACAGCTGCGTGTGTAGATGACAACAAGACGAAGATTGCGAAATCAGGTGCACTTGTTCCGCTCACCCGCCTTGCACGTTCCAAGGACATGCGCGTACAGCGAAATGCGACGGGTGCACTTCTCAACATGACCCATTCTGGTATGTCGCTTTTATCAAGTGTGATAACTCATAGGGTTCATTTCACAATCGATAGATGAGAATCGGCAACAGCTTGTCAATGCGGGCGCAATTCCGGTTCTGGTCAGTCTTTTGAACTCGCCCGATACTGATGTCCAATACTACTGCACCACCGCGTTGAGTAACATCGCCGTCGATGGTATGCGTTGCTGTTTATATTGTCTGTGTTCTGCATTGACGTGAATGTCTAGCTACGAATCGTAAGAAGCTGGCGCAGAGTGAGCCCAAGCTGGTCGCCAGCTTGGTGCAGCTCATGGACAGTCCTAGCCTTAAAGTCCAATGTCAAGCAGCGCTTGCTCTACGGAACTTGGCTAGTGATGGTGTGTGGTGTCGTTTCATACGGCTATAGACTCGCCTGAATCGGTCTGTAGAGAAATACCAACTGGAGATTGTCAAGGCGGATGGCCTCCAGCACCTCTTACGCCTGCTCCAGTCCACGTACCTTCCTCTTATCCTCTCTTCCGCTGCTTGCGTTCGGAATGTGTCGATTCACCCTCAGAACGAGTCGCCGATCATCGAGTCGGGCTTCCTGCAGCCTCTGATTAACCTCCTATCGTTCAAGGACAATGAGGAGGTGCAGTGCCATGCTATCTCGACGCTGCGAAACCTTGCGGCTAGCTCGGAGAAGAACAAGCAGGCGATTGTGAAGGCGGGTGCGGTGCAGAGCATCAAGGAGCTTGTTCTCGAGGTTCCCATGAACGTGCAGAGCGAGATGACCGCCTGTGTAGCGGTTTTGGCGCTGAGTGGTACGTCTTGACGTTTGATTGATTGACGTGAGGCTAACCATGATCGATGTAGACGAGCTGAAAGGCCAATTGCTTGAGATGGGCATTTGTGAAGTACTTATCCCTTTGACGAATTCGCCTAGCTCGGAGGTACAAGGCAACAGCGCTGCTGCGCTGGGTAACCTGTCTTCGAAGGGTAAGTGCTAGCCCTCCTTTTGCAGTCTCGTGTTGGTGAATTACTTCTATAGATGGCCGCACGGCCAATGATGATTATTCTGCATTTAACGACGTCTGGGAGAAGCCGGACGGTGGCATGCACCGATACTTGTACCGCTTCCTCACCAGCCCGGACGCGACCTTCCAACACATCGCTGTATGGACTATTGTACAGCTCCTAGAATCCGAAGGTATGTTGCGATGCATCTAGCGAGTAGCCCAACATATTGACTCGGTTGGACGACCAGACCCGCAGCTCATCAACAACATCCGCGGTTCAAATCTGCTTATTCCTAACATCCGCCAGCTTGCCGAGACGCGCACGTCGACTCCCACATCCTCAATCGGAGGCACGCCGCACTCGCACCACTCGCATAGCCACTCGTACGCGGACACTGAGACCGGCGAGGGGCAGGGCGAGATCCAGCTGCTCGCGCGGCGGATCCTCGAGATCACCGAAGGCGACGATGACGGCGCGATGACGCCTAGTGCCGCCGCATCGCAGCTGCAGTCTACATCGCTGCGCGAGCACGAGGGCAGCGTAGGGCGCGAGCATGAGGAGCTGCGCAAGAGCGTGCGGGAGGCGTTCTCAGGAGGCTCTCTCGGACATTGAGGTATTTATGATCGTGCTCCCGTGCTCTTATGCCGAGGACAACTTATGTTGTAGCGCCACTGCGCTGCGCGAACAATGACCTCGGGGCGGCCGGGGACGCCCCTCCCGGCTTCACTGCTCGTAGATTTCCGTCGACCACCACCCTGCCTACTTTCCCGTATGCACGCCTGTCTCCGCATGTCTTTATTTCCCTGTTCGTTCCCAACTCTTCCGTACCGTCTCGGAGGTCGTCGTGGCTGTTGCATTTGGCTCGTTTTTGTTCCATAGGAGTTACTCGATGCACTGCATGTTTTCGCTTGCCGCCTGCTGGTGTGTGCCGCAGGGTGGTGCCCTGATCGTGACGACGTTGACGACTATATATATATGCTAGTATGACATGGCTTTGTGACCTATTAAACGAGCACTGTGCGGTACTCGCCGTTGGTGTTCCGGACTGGGTCTAATGTCAAGTCCCAAGTTCGTTCTGTACTCCATATGCAACTCGGTTCGAAGTTCTTCAGTCAATGCGGCACCGTGGCTCAATATATCACACATGAATATGAAGGCGTTTTGTGACTTTATTTGTGAGCGGTATGTGTACGAAGTGCGACCAGTCATGAATAGTACAATCGTCCATGGCGAGAGATGGGTATAGTAAGATCGTCCATGGCGATGAAACGGGTATAACGTCCATTGCGTATGCAGAAAAGTAACGTCCATGTGGCGTAATGTATAGTACATGATGTCGATATTCTCTCTTTTTATCTTTTTATCTTTTTATGACGGTTTGTGGTGTTATGGTGATGAATGCGGTTATTTATATTATTTGTCTTTGGGGTACTTAGTTTGATGTGATGAGGTGCGGAAATGATGAAGATGAGGCGGGTAAAGTAGAGGGTATTTACACCGTTACGGTGATCATCCGGCGACGGGAGAAGGGGGTAAGGGCGAGAGGAAGAATCGTCGCGAAAATGATGCGGATGTATGTGATGGATGTGCGCCAGTTGTTTGAATGGGAATAAGAGGGCGTGGTCGGGGGGGGGGGGGGGTATAGTGGATGACGGGTACTTGGAGTACCTGATATTATAATAGATAATTGTTTTTGGTTTGTTTTGGTTTTAAAGAAGGAAGTGGTCGTATGTGTAGGGAGATTGGGGCACCGGCGACACCGCCACGGGTAGATTTATGCCGAGGCCAAGGCCAAGGCCAATTTGGGCCAATGGCGGGCGGGGCGGGGGTCTGGGCCGCTGGATGGGATGCGGCGAAGGCCGCATCATCCGGGCGGGCGCCGTTTGGGGAGAAGGGATATATCGCACATGAGTGCGGTGAGGTGGGAACGGCGTCGGCAGCATGGATGGCGACGGCGCGACAGAAAAGGGGATGGTAGTGGTGGGCGCCTCAGGGAAGGCGATGTCGGAGAAGTGCGGCGCGGGGAGAATGGAGGGGGACGGGGCCACAGGCCACGCCCCTCGCTCCAGGTTTGGCCGAGTGAACTCGGCGCGCTGAGGGGTGGGGCGGGTGGATGGGTTGCGCGCATCAGTGGACGGCTCGGTACTGGCAATACATATGTAAATAATCGAAGCGCAATAAAAAAAGGAGGGAAGACACACCTCTGCATACCGGCGGTCGAGCGCTGCAGGCGGGCCTTGGCGCTCGAAGGGAGCCCAAGGCCAAGCCCCGCGTACGCAATGGCACGCTTGTGTTTCGGGATGGAGACAGTGTACGCAGTGCGCCTCGTCGCCTTCGCGGGAACTCCACTGGGGAGCCCGCGGCCAAGTCCGCTCGCAGCGTACGCCCGCGCACGCTTGTATGACGAGCTGGACGGCGCCACTCCCGCGACCAGCGCGGCACGCTGGCACCTGCCAGTACGTGCGCGTTTGGCCAGCAGCTTTTGCGCGAAGGCGCTTTTTACGCCCTCGCTACTGCCTTCATAGCCATCCCCCGTCTCCTGCTCTGGCCCGGTATGGGTGGATGGGTGGGCGGCAGGGAGACTGTCGTGCGCGGGACTGGTCTCCGAGGCCAGCTCGGCGCCAGTGTATTTCCCGGGCACGACGTGGGGGAGACGCGGGTAGAGGATGTGCTCCGCCGAAGGGGAGGGGAAAGGTGTGGGCTCGGGCGCGCTAAACGCGTCAGAGTCGGACACCCACTCCCGGCAGGTATTATACTCATTGAGAGAGTTTGTGGATAGGAGTAGAGGATATGCGAACCCTAGGCCAGCTAGGGCGGCAGAGTAGCTCTGGTTAGCAGAGAAAGGCATGCTGAGTTGTATGCGTTGGTGGACTTTGGCGGCGAGAGGCGGGCCTATTTATGCATTTTTCGACCCCCATTGCTCTACCATACATGTCCCTGCCTGCTATACCGACGGGTATGGCCATGAATCGCCGTGTATCCGTACATCCGTATGATATGCCTCGAGCGCGGTTGTGATTGTAATGGAAGATGTGCGCTTCCATTACAATCACGACCGTATCCAAGATGGGTGGAATAATGCGTGCGAGGTTCCAGGCTTCAGGAGCAACTGACTTACTCGACAGATGGCATTGCTCTCGCGCCTCTTCATCCCTCTTCATCCCTATATGGCGAGTAGATTTTCTACATAAAGCCGATGATATCGTCCTTATGTCATCAGCCATTATAGGACACCATAATTCAAGCCTTACAACATTCCATTCATAGATTGGCGGCCATATGGATTGAAAGAACAAATGCAAAACTCAGATACTTTGTATGGTCGCTACTTTTGTGGCAAGTTTGTGGACTTGGAGAGTCAACCAGTCAGAATTGAAATGGCCCGTGTTCTATGACTTCCTGGCTGTGGTTGTCCGCATGTCCATCCAAGTCATGACCAACTGAACCCGGATGTAAATTTTGAGGCGCCCACGAGCTCGAAGCAGAGTCGACGCCGGAATGAACGGATATGAGGGGACGGATGAGCGGCTTGGACGGATCGAGGTCGGCGATCAAAGCTCTTCGATCGATGGCGGGCGGCTGTGGCTGGCCGCCAGTGCCCCCTGCGCGCGTCCAAGTGTGGCTCCTCGATGAGGCGCATCCGTGCTGCGATGGAGCCATGGACCATCGCTCCACGCGAACGACTGCGGCCTCACCGCCACGACAGGACCTGCTGACTCATGCTGGCCCCCAGATATCCACAGCGCTTTGTTAGTAACCGCCTGAGCAGCCACGCCTGTTCCCCGCTTTGTCTAGCCACGTTCAGCCACATTTAGCGACTTTATCAACCCAGCGCGGTTACGTGGCTACCCGCTTCAACTCTTTCTCCACTGTCCACCTCGACCATCGTCGCACTGCCGCTCTTTTAGCCATGTATCTCCACGTCCCTCTCCTCCTCTTCCTGCTCGCCAACGTCGTCCCATCCAATGCTAACGTCTTCACTCGCGGGTCCGAGTCCATCACACGCGCTGCGAAACGCGCTCGCCACAACACGATCAAGCGGAGCTCTGGCTTGATCCGCGACCTGCGCCTCGCCTACTCTGGCACACTTGTCGATCAGCAGGCCGACAGTCCAGGTAAATACTACTGCGTCAAGGTCGACACGGACGAGACGAGCTCGACGAATGGTACTAGAAGCGGGTCTTCGTCGGTTGCATCCCTGGGCGCAAAGCCGTCCGCCACAGCGACATCATCGAGCGCTCCGGCGGCGTCTTCCAGCGCCGTGGCCTCTTCGCCCTGGAAACTCAAGCAAAGCTACGTACGTGCCCACGGAAATAGCACTGTCGGTAGATTCACGTATCTTACTTGTATGTCAGGAGGGAAATTCGTTCTTTGCCGGATGGTCCTTCTTTACCGACACGGATCCGACCGGAGGGACGGTGGACTATATAGACGGGAGCGCAGCAGTACGTTTGCTGGTTCATCTTTCCGGTGCCTATTTGACCCAATGTAAATGTCAGGAATCCGCCAACCTGACCGGCATCAACAGCGCGGGCAACGCATACCTGAAAGTTGACACTACCCCGGTGATTACCTCAGGGTACCGTCGCAGTGTTCGCATCACGACCGACTTCACGTACACCGGCGCGCTCATTGTCCTCGACGCCGTCCACATGCCCACTGGCTGTGGCACCTGGCCCGCGTTCTGGTCGAATGGTAAGTCTACTGCTATGTGCCACAGTCCGTACTGAGAGCCACCACGCATCCGCGAACAGGTCCGAACTGGCCCGACGGTGGTGAGATCGACATCGTCGAGGGCGTGAACGACTACACGAACGACCAGGTCACGCTGCACACGAACACGGGATGCTCGCTCCCCACATCCAACGCAACCGTGCTCGCCATCGCGGGCGACATTGTTGGGTCGACGGACTGCTCCGTCTCGGGCACGGGCGACGCGGGCTGCGGCATCCGCGCGTCCCAGACGAACTCGTTCGGCGCGGCGTTCAACGATATCGGCGGTGGCGTCTACACGAGTGCGTGCCATCCCTTGCATTCTGGTGTTTGCTTGCCTGGCCTGACATCTCTTCTTTCCGAATGAAGTGCAATGGGATGACACCGGCGTATCGGTGTGGTACTTCACGCGCAGCACGATCCCCGCCGACATTTCTGCAGGCGCACCCCAGCCTTCCGGCTGGGGCATGCCGATCGCCAACTTCCCCGCGTCGTCGTGTAACCCGTCTCAGTTTTTCTATGACCATTCAGCGATCTTCGACACGACGCTCTGGTGAGTCGCACATGTAGTTTCTGCGGTACGTTTTCTCGTGCTGATGAATGAGACAGCGGCGCGTGGGCGGGCGACGGCTGGACGGCGTCAGGAATACCTGGCCAGGAGCAGAGTTGTGCCCAGCGGACGAACACTGCGACCTGTGCGGAGTTTGTTGCGAACAACGGTGCCGCATTCGAGCAGGCTTGTGAGTCATGTCTACTGGCGCAATTGTCTGTCATCTGTGTATGACTCACCTTCGTTCTGCAGATTGGGAGGTAAAGAGCGTGAAGATCTACCAGACGAGCTAACCAATTAAGCCTATCTGTGTAAGTGTTGCTTTAGGTTATATGCGAGTCTGGACTCGTAGAGGAGGGCATGCTACTCCTGTGTATCATCTCGTGCACATGTATCGCTAGTATCTCTCTTCAAAGCATCTAGGTTATGTATCAAGGACTTTGCAAATGAGTCGAGGTGCAACGCTCAACTCGCGAGCCGTGGCCGCTGAGTGACGCGTGGCACGTGACAAACGCGTACTGATCGAGATCGCGCGGGTTGAACCAAGTTTGATGGGTAAAATCTGCTTCCGCCTACGCGGTCGCGTTGCACGAGCGCTCGTGGACCCACAATTGCAAGCGACAAGGGTACGCGTCAGACTTGTCTCCAGGTTTGCTGCGCTTGGACCGCTGCGGTGCAGCATGTCGCATCGCGCGCGCCCTCTGCTCAAGGCGTCTTCGCTCGTGCTCAATGTTGTGTCCGCTGACGCCAGTGCGGCCCGCCCTGAATGCGGTGCGGATTCGAAGGCTGAGGACGCCGTTGTGCATGTGGACGAGGGCGAGATCGTACCAGACAGCGAGGAAGAGCGCATGAGGTACGCCTCCCTTACTGTCCTTGCTAAATGTTATACTCACTTAGGGGAAGATTGTCAAAGGCGGGCACCATGTCGTTGACTCGGGAGGTTATTGAGATTTCATCTGACGAGGATAGCATGGATACTACGTATGTACTGTATACTCGCTTGGTAATTACTTAATCTACGATAGCTCACTACATGCGCGCAGTAGTTTGAAGCACAGTAAGCCTGTACCCTGCACACCGAAGCAAGTAGTCGCAACCCTGCGTGCACGGCGAATCATTCAGAGCTCGGACTCTGGGGACTCTGAAGACGGTGCACGAACGCCGTTACAGAAACTGCCCCGGCTTGTCGCTGCGCCGCGTATCCAGACTACAAAGCTTGCTGGGCCTGTAATCGACCTCACGACAGACTCTTCGGGTGATGAGGACGATGCGCAACCCGACAAAGCGGTCCCCATACATAGCGCTCCAAAGCTGCCACCAGTGGTGTTAGAGAAGGACGAGCGGCCCATGCCATTATTTGCGGACGACAGCAGCGGCGAAGAGGCGGATCCGGTGCATAGCGATGACGACGGAGCGATACTGACACTGTAAAGACGTTCTTGTGTCTTCATCGCCACGGGCTGACATGGACATCTACGATCTGACGCAGGGACGAGCCGCGCAGTGCGCGCAAACCTATCCACCGTATTACACCCTCGACGCCTGGGCAGCGGGCTAGTCGACCGAGCCCTGCACATGGGTCTGACAATGAATCTGACCCCGAGGCGAAGTCACGCGTGGCCAAGCGCACACCAGCCGCGACACCACGCAAGGCGGGCAAGGCACCGCGTCTAACGAAAAAGGCGCTCGAGGCGGCGGAACAGAAGCGACGAGAGGGTTATGCACAGGAGCTATTTGACGAGCTCAATAAGGTGGTGTTTGGTGGCGGTCTTCCAGCGGAGACACAGCTCAAATGGAGCAAAAGGTTGTTGACCACAGCGGGAAGAGCGAGGTGGCATAAGTGAGTTGTATGTCTCAGTCCGACGTTTGAAAATTTTCTCGCTCATTAAATGATGGCTGATATTGAGCTGATTCGTAGGAGTAGACACGGCGTGCAAACAAGCGAAATCGAGCTAGCCGTCAAGATACTTGACTCAGATGGTCGGCTAAACCTTGGCGGTGCTCGCGTGAGGTCCGGTGTATAATGATGTTCATTTTATAGAGCGCATCCGAAACACGCTTGCGCACGAAATGTGCCACCTTGCTTGTTGGATAATCAACGAAGACCCCAAGGAAGCGCACGGGCCGAAGTTTCGGAGCTGGTGAGTCTTCGTTCATGTGCTCCCTCCATTGGACGTAAAGTGGACGGGAAAACTTACATTCCAGTGCAGGGCAAGAAAAGTGATGCGTGTGCGTCCCGACATGGAAATCACGGTATGCTCGCACGCTGTCCAACTAGATTGCAAACACTCATGGTAACATAGACCAGGCATGATTACGAGATCGCCTACAAGTACGAATGGAGTAAGTCTGAGTACCATTATTGGCTATTGTATAGGACATGACGCTGTGTTCAGAATGCCAGCAGTGCGATAAAATGTCTGTGACAGATGCATTGCCCACACTTATCCATACTCACGCTTTATCGTAGTTATGGGCGACACAGCAAGTCAATCCGGCCTGATGAATGTGGTATGTGGAGGCGTGCAGAATAAACGCCCAGGCTCATCAGGTGTCTTCATAGTATGTGGCGCGTGCAAAGTGGGCCAATTGATTCCCCTATTTAATACACGGGTACCCAAGACGCCCAGGAGCAAGATAAGTAGCCGCCTGGCCGCAGAGCGAGGGCTTGGTCAGTCTTGTTTACCGTCACTCCTCTCAATGTGCGCTAACTACTTGATCTGAATATTGTAGCGTCTCCCCTCGTTGTGTCGTCGCCGGTCAGTGCGAGCATAAGTGTTTCAGTGTGTGAGACCCCTCACATATCGACACCCACGCGCGGGGGAGGCGCCAAATTGAAGGCCATAATGTTGACGGGGAGCTCGGACGAAGATGCTTCGGATGTGGAAGTGCTCGCACACGTCCTCGGTGATGTCAGCATCACGGGCACAAGGGCTGCATAGGTTTCTGGACCTGTGGATAGGGCGTGGACCTACATGGCCACCTATCGCGCAATCCTATTGAGGCCGCCAGGTTCTATCTTTACAGGAGACTTGACAACTGACGGTTGTTTGGTGGCCGTACTTACCTCTCACTTATGTATGACTCGCAGCTGCTGCGATCTGAGGAAAGCCCATTGACCTGTCTCGCAGGGTAAATAAATGGCTGATAAAACCAAAGCCTTGAGAACACAGAGCACTTGCGAACAAGATATGCTTACGTAGCTTGACTCGCTTCCCTAACAGAATGCTGTACAACGACATGATGTTGCCTACCTCCATGCGCGCGGCTGTACTGCTCCCGAGTGGAGGTTGAGCCAATCTAGCTCATTGATATTGCTTATGGCGATTCCTCAACTGTTTCTGAGCTGACAGGCATTTGTTGAAGACGGGCAAGTACCCGTAACGAATTTAGATCGTCGCTTACCACTATACAGCATAACTGTACTGAATGAGTTGAGCCGCGATAGAGGAGCGCTACTAGTAGCAGGAGATCTACTTACTCGATCGCGTTGTGGCTACTTCATCCTGTACTACCGTTTATAGGTTGTAAATGGCACTGTTTCAGCAATCTCTGTATGTATGGGCTGGTGCAACACTGACCTCGTCTAGAAGTAGTCTGCAGTAACCTGCAGTACATCAAGCACAATCAACCGCGGGTATAATGGAATAAAAGGGCCCTGGAACAATGGCCTCGTGGTTTGCCGAGCGGCCGTCTGATTGAGGTGGATACCGTGCGCAGACTGCCTCACCTCTTCTGCCTTGCTTAAGGACCCCTCTCACCCTGGGACTCATAGATAAGCCTCGAGCTTGCTAACTTCCTTCAATTTCCGCCACGTCGTCCGGACCAACCCTCCGGCCTTTGTGAGTTCTGTCCATCTGCTACCACCAGGCTGCGCCTCGGTTTCTCTCGGCACCTTTTCTACAAGTTTCTGGCTGGACTATCGGTCTTTACTCTTCTGCAAGCAACCACGATGTATCTCCAACTCCCGCTGCTGCTGTACTTGCTCGCCAGCGTCGCCCCCTCCGATGCGGGCCTCTTCACCCGCAGCTCAGAGCATGTCCTCCGAGGAGTCAACGCTGCCCACCACCATGCCGTCAAACGAAGCTCCGGGCTTGCCAAGGACTTGCGGCGCGCGCTCTCCGGGATCCTGGTCGCTGAGGGAGACAGTGGCGCGCAACACGTCTACTGCATAAGCGGCACAAGTCTGACAAATCCTGATACAAGCCCTGGAGGAGGGGGCAGCAGCGGCTCATCGCCCAAGGCGTCCGGCACTGCGACTGCGTCGGCCTCTAGTCCCAGTGGCACAGTCGCATCCTCCCCTTGGAAGGTCAAGCAGTCATACGTATGTGCCATTCTCACTCGGCTTGACTGGGCACGCAACTTGAACGACCACAGGAAGGGGATTCGTTTTTCGACGGCTGGTCGTTCTTCACCGCTTCGGATCCTACGGACGGAACTGTACAATATGTCGACCAGAGTACTGCGGTACGTGTTCATCTTCTTTGATTAAAATTAAACCTTCCATCTCATGAACTGCTTTAGCAATCGGCGAACCTCACCTCTATCAATAGCGCGGGAAACGCCATTATGCGTGTAGACACCACCGCCAAGATTTCGGGTAACCGCCAAAGTGTGCGGATTACCACGAACTACAACTACACTGGCGCCTTGGTGATTTTGGACTCGGTACACATGCCGACTGGGTGCGGCACTTGGCCTGCATTTTGGAGCAATGGTGCGCCTTCTATTCTCCCACATTCATTACCGTTTTAGACTTATATGAGCTCTGTGCGTACAGGCCCTAACTGGCCTGCTGGTGGCGAGATTGACATTGTCGAGGGCGTGAACACGTACACGAACAACCAGGCAACGATCCATACGAATCCCGGCTGCACGATTCCGTCGTCGAATAGCACGGTACTTGGCATCACCGGCGATGTGACCGGTGGCACGAACTGTGCTGCAGCGGAGACGGGTAACGCGGGGTGCGGTATCAGGTCGACGTCAAACACGTCGTATGGTGCTGGATTCAACGAGATTGGCGGAGGGGTGTACGCAAGTGCGTTTTCCATCCTGTATAGGACCGTGCCAGTGCTGATGCCATTGATCCAGTGGAATGGGTCGACAGCGGCATTTCCGTGTGGTTCTTTCCTCGTAGCTCCATCCCTTCAGATATCACCGCAGGGGCGCCTCAACCCTCTGGATGGGGGACACCCATGGCGAACTGGCCGTCAACCGACTGCAACCCGTCGACGTTCTTCTACCAGCATTCGGCTATTTTCGACACCACCCTCTGGTAAGCGTTCCGGTGGCGTTTGCATAAGGGTCCTGTGTCTGACAAGATCGCGCCTAACAGCGGGCAATGGGCGGGTAATGTGTGGTCCGACACCGGGTCACCAGGCCAGTCCCAGAGTTGTGCGCAGATAACGGGGACTTCGACTTGCGCCGAGTACGTCCAGAACAACGGTGCGGCATTTGCTGATGCCTGTGAGTATTGCTTTGATGCACATGTCAGAAGCATCCATCATTCATCTCGAACATTGCAGATTGGGAGGTCAAGAGTGTCAAGATATACCAGACGAGCTGAGCCCTCTCAAGCTACTCACTTTGAACTATCATCGCGCATACACACGCACACACGAGGATACCGCGCATACCACTTGGGATCTATTGTTGGAACATACATGATGGACGTGTCTGCTAACCATGCTGTATCTTATGCTCACTCAGGATGTAGTTCTAGAGCCTGTTGTAATACTGGGTGGTCTTATAGAAGGTTGTTTGACAGTGAACAGTTGACACCACGTCATGAGTGCGAGTCATTTCATGCTGTGTTGCTGACGTTGTCACGAATACTGGCTAAGATTCGAGGGATGCTGAGAATTCAGACATCGATAATTCCTCATGAGAAGATGGCCATGTTGAGCATATCATAGTCATGCATACAAGCGAGAGGTATTTTGAATGCGGGATAAGAGCGGAATGCAGCGATAATGCGAGACGGACAAGAGACAACAGGGTGCAAGACAATCATCGCGTCTAAGAGATGGGCCTTAGTGTTGCTGGTCTCAGAGTACAGCAAGTAGGTGCGCACCTTGTGGAACCCGATGGCAGCCGACTTCTCGCGGAAGCACTGACGGCAGAGGTCAAGGCCGTACTTGCGGATAAGACCAGCCTGGTGCGCGCAGAGGCGGCTGCACGACTGATTAGACGAACATGTTCTACACGATGTTATGGAATGACACTCACCACTGACGGCTCCCCTTTCCGTACTTGCGGGGGCGAGAGAACCAAACGGCGTCGTGGGTCATTTTGGCGGGATCTTGAGGAGGGTGCTATAGAGGCCGATGTTAGGTGCAGTGTCCAGGCTGGAATATCGCAGCTTTGCTCACCTGGCCTGGACGTGCAAGTGGGCTTGGCTGTTGTGAAGGTTGATCGCGACGAAGAGTGTTGTTCTGTACAGTGGCTGCAGTAATAAGGTTTTGGGCGCTACACGGATAGTGCCGTCGGCTTTCCAGAGTAAAAATAATGTGGCATCTGTATGTCTTACAAAAATAATTTTCAATGCCCGCCTAGCTCAATCGGATAGAGCGTCAGACTCTTACTTAGGCGGGTGCATCTGAAGGCTGCGAGTTCGACCCTCGCGGTGGGCTAGTGTTTTTGCTTAGCGTGGTCACTCACAAGTAATGGCTGAAGAGTCGGAGCTCGTTTCCATTTGAAAACCGCAGATACCGTACCTTTCAAATTACGTCTCTTGTGTGTGAAGATAGACGAGGATATGGTCAAAGCCAATAACACATACGTGGTATGTGAACATTTCCCTTGCGGTAGTATTCTGGTAGCACAGTCTGAGTCAAACAGTGCAGGCAGACTTATTAAGAACAACTGTGGCAACAACGAAACCAATCTGCGGACAGTCCATGGCCACTACCAAGTTTGCGCTTGTAATGTAAGGACGAGACGTTGTTCAGCCCGAATAAGAGTTGAGAGGGAGCGTAGCCCAAATGTAACTTGGGATTCACGAGGCCTGTGGCATAGAGGCATTGCGGGTCTTGTGGCAGGTCGGCCCTATCGCATCAGTCACTGGCATTGTATGAGTACTGTAAACTTGACAGGATGTCCACTCAGATGTCAAAATATCGGCGATGGTCCGCCGCATCGATCTCCACTTGCCGCCCGATGGTGACGCGCCTGCTCCTTACCACCGTCCCCGTTCTTAGATGGACGAGCCTTGGAGGCGCCCGTTATTGTAGTATGAATATTCTGGGAGTGTCCCAATGGACACACCATACATTGCCGCTGGTAACAGCAGCGTCAAGACACACAATCGCCATGCACGCTAGGTTTGCTTTCAAATTCCGCGTCACCTGCATCGTTTTCGCCAGGCTTGTGCGTGCGGCAGCGACCGACCCATCTCGCTATGTTGCAGCGGCTTTAGCCCAGTATCCGGCTTCGCCTACGTTTTGCAGGACGTATGTGATATCCCTGTCCCTGACCAGAGCGTCGATATGGGTGGTGGCTGTGGGACCGGTTTGCCATGGTGTGTTTGGACGCTGCAGCTGCCACTTTTCTGCTTATGCAATCTGTTCGTGCACAGCGAGGGAAGTGAGTACGAGGGGCTGTATAATGCGTGCTGCGCTGAGATCCTCAGTGAGTGATCATCACAATCCCAACACTGAGGGCTCACCTCTTATATAGACTGTCCGGCTGCAAGTGTAGATGGGGATTACGGTTGTAACTGCACGGGAACACTGGTGGAAGGCTGAGAAAATGAGAGAATGAACGTGATTCCGTAGGACTGGAAAGATCCTCGGACTATGTTTGCGAGTCAGGCATGGCAAAGACTGTGGACGGCATCCTCTCGAGAGCAGGTCTGATACTTCTCTCAAACCTCCGCAAGCTCCGTGTGTCCGTTTATGGCATGTTCCGGCAGATAGACCCAACGATCCATCTGCGCACAAGGAGACTACTGAAAGCGATCTGAAGGCCGCATACGTACTGCAGACTTGTCAGACTGATACCACTGGGGAACAACTCGACTCCTGCTGGCAAATCAATGGAATATTGATCGGACATATGGTGTAGGCACATTCGAAGACTGAGACACAACCAAGCGCCTCTACTTGAATGGACTGAGCCTCCGCATATGTGAGGCGCCCACTTCGAGTCTCCGCTGCGCTCGTGGCGACATGTCATAGCGAGCGGTATAGACCTTGCAAGCCAGCCAGAACCCCAGGCGCCAGGGCCTACCGCCTGTCTCGCACCGGAGCGCGTATTACAGGAAAGAGACTGCGCGCCTTGCCTTGACACACAAGTCCGATCCGCCGAGTCAGTGCGGACACCCATGTTCCAGCTTCGCGGACGTGCGAGAGCGAGCCGGACACCGCTTAGGCCCCACTTGGACTTGGCACTTGCAGGATTCTCAAGCAGCCGCCGTCCGACCAGACATTTCGGTCGGGATGCGCGTCTGCGCCCGGACAGAGGTATATAGCGCACCCCCTGTCGTCGGTGCGGCGTGCAACCACACAAGCACACGACCACGCAAACGCACAGCCGCCATGCACGCCAGCATCGCCTTCAAATCCGCCCTCGCGCTCATCGCCCTCGCCAGGGCCGTGGCCGGCGCGTGCGCCAACAGCGGCCAGCCCGTCGCGCTGTGCTGCACCAGCTTCGGGCCGGCGTCCGACTTCGCCTACGTGCTCGAGAACGTCTGCGGGGTGACCGTCCCCGACCAGAGCCTGGACACCGGTGCCGGGTGCGAATCGGGCGTCCCGTGGTATGTCCCCGTGTCGATGTGCGGGTGTATCGCCTTGACGGAGCGTGCGCGCCCCCAGCGCAGGCAGCGAGTACCAGGGCGACTACAGCGTCTGCTGCGCCGAGACCATCAGTGCGTAGATCCTGCGGTGCCCTCCTGTCATGCTCTCAGCACCGGGGACTCACCTCTCTCGGACAGGTTGCCAGGGAAACGAAGACGGCGTATACGGGTACAACTGCACCGGGTCGGTCGTCGAAGGTTGAACCAGCACGGTCGGAGGTCTCCGTCGAGTATGATGTATTTGAGCCTGCAGAATGATCTCATGTCAGATACGGCAAAGGAGTGTCTCGTTCGTGTGTCGGGCATAATGCTCGCAAGAGCAACAAAGCGAGGTCGCCGCCAACGCGACTTCGAGTAAGCGACAAAGTGCCCGTCCGTCTCGACTATGTGTGAGAGGGCTGGAGGCTGCAGCTGCGAATCGCGGAGGGAGATGCGGGAGGGTTACTCACCTTCTGGCCGGTGGCAAAAGCGTGTGCCTGCTTGCACCGGGGTATGCTCGATTGTTGGAGCAGGATTCTATACACGACCAGCTCAGCGAAGCTTGTCCAGCATCACCGGGACATCCTGCCAATCCTAGACGCTAGTACGTGCCCCGTATATCGGTGCGCGCCAGGTACAGAGAACGGAAAGCTATGCGCCTCTGCTTGGCATCTGGGTCCGACGATCCGCGATGACAGGTGTGCCAAATGTTCTCTTGCGGCGGATTCTGCCTCCGACGGCAGGCAGACTATATGGAGTTGTCCTTCGTCCCTGAGTGAGGAGCTTTGACCTATAAATATGGCGCATACCGTCGAGCGATCTGTGAATAGGCGTAGTACCTACCATGCACGTCTCTAATGCTTTACTTGCACATCTCGTCCTGGCTACACTCGTCGTAGCCGCCTGTGACAGCGACCGCCCCGTCTCGCTGTGCTGCCGCGGATTTGGACCCGCCTCCAGTTTTTCCTACGTTCTGCAGGACATCTGCGACACCACCGTGCCAGACCAGAGCCTGGACGTCGGCGCTGGCTGCGAGTCCGGGGTGCCGTGGTAAGTGCAGTCTCGGCTAGACTGTACATTCTCTTGTTGAGTTCCGCTTCAGCGAGGGAAGCCAATATGAAGGACTGTACAGCGTATGCTGCGCAGAGACACTCTGTGAGTTGCGTCGAGCGGTCTCCACAGTCCGTGTCTTATCTCGCGCGCAGACTGTCCATCTGCAAGCACAGACGGCAGCTACGGGTACAACTGCACAGGGACGTGGGTGGAGGGCTGAGCATGTCGCTCTGGTAGCGCATTAGCCAATGGAAACGTGCGCATGTTTCGAAGATGTACAGTCAGATGTGGCTGAATTCGCCCTGCGTCTCGTTGTCCATAATGTGCGGACCGCGTGCTCGGGATGGTGACATCACGCGACCCATATCTCGGAACCGGTCGATCAGTCACCCGTCATTTCATGGTATGACACGGCCCCCCGAAGGTGTCTACTGACGCGTCCACGGCGAGAGTAGATTATAATGCATATGAGAAGCCGCAGAGTTGATTGCGCGCGGTGATAAGCTCAAGATGCATGTACTTCACTAGCCTTCGTCAGCAAGAGACGGGACGCCGGTCTGCTCGCGCCTGAAGCCATGCTGGTGTCTATCGGGCTTCCATTCACCAGCAGACGGACGGACGGCATGCTTACCTTGAGGTGCCTCTGCACGCAGCTGGGACACAGAGGAGGGTGCCTCGGGGCACCACCGGTTCGCCTTCTATTCCACCTGTCAACCAAAGTTCCGGGAAAGGGAAGGGGATAAACCGAGAGCGTATGCATGAATCCATGGTGGGCGAATTTACGGCGGTAGGCGTGTGCAGGATTAATGACCAACGCTCAATGTTCAACGTTCCACATCGACCGTCGAGACAAAGAGTAAACGACGATGCCAAGTCCTTGGGTCTTCGTATCGGAGATCTCTCCAGCTCATTGATCGAGCTTCTCTAGAATGTGCCTCGCGGGACCCCGGGCACGGCTCCTGCAGCTCCACCCTTGGCAGAGATCACCACCACCTCAGTTTCGACGCTCCTTCTCCTCCTTTCTCACTTGTCTCTGCTTTCCGTGCTTGTCTCTGCTTTCCGTGCTTGTCTCCCTTACTTGCCTTTGGATACCCCCAGCGCGGCCTGGACAGCCCGTCGCGTTACATATTCCGTTACACCTGATCATCACGACTTTGTCTGTATCACAACTTGCGCACTTAATCCCGGACTGGCACCGAATTGCACAGCCCCAGAATTCAGAATTGATCTAGCGTTGCAGAGGACCACACTGTGTCTGACTGACATATTCTTTCTTATAGAGTCAAAGTCGACGACCCGCCGCCCACATCCCACTCCCCACTACCATGCCCGCCCTCTCGATAGCCGACTCGCTCCTCCCGCAGCCCCCGTCGTTTCAGAAAAAGAAGGCGTATGAGATTCACAAGGTCCTTGGCGAAGGGACTTTCGGCAAGGTCGTGGTACGTCTGCACGACTTTCTCCACGTCGGGTCTGAGCTCACCCACCCCATGTCAACACCCACGCCATCCCGACGCATTCCACTGACGTGCCCGCATCATTGCTTTCTCTATTCCCATCCAGCGCGCAACATGGCACGTCCCGCCCAACCAGGTCGACGTCGCCAAGCACGGGGCGGCCGCTACGTCGACTTCGTCCACCGCGCCCTCCGAATTCCCCCAGGCACAGCATTCCTCCCGCTCGCGCTCCCCAACAGGCCCGCCGCTCGACCGCCCGAAGCCCGCGCGCTCGAACAGCACAGCGAGCCCGGGCTCGTCATATAATTCCGCGAAGGGGCACGCGTCCAACTTCCTGTCGCGGATGCACACGAACGGGCACAGCAACGGGAACGGGCAGGCGCGGGGGAAGCACGAGGGCGCGATGACGGTGGAGGTCGCGCTGAAGGTGATCCCGAAGAAGAAGGTGAAGGGGAACGAGAGCAGCGTGTGGAGCGAGATGGAGGTCCTCAAGGGGCTCAACCACCCGAACATCGTGAGTCGCCGTTCGCCATGGATCACACCCACTCATCCCCGTCCGTCTGCCTCTGTTCTTGTCGCCTACTCCCTGTCTCACGCGCCCGCACGATAGGTCAAATTCTACGAGTGGTTCGAGAGCCGCACCAAGTACTACCTCTCGTTCGAGCTTGCCGTCGGCGGCGAGCTGTTCGAGCGCATCACCCAGCGCGGCAAGTTCACCGAGTCGGACGCCGTCGCCGTGCTCAGGTGGGTCTTCTCCCTCCTCTGCTTCTCGTGCCCGTCGTCCGCGGGGATCCGCGCTCGGACGAGAATCAACCGATCAGCGGCCCGATCGCGGACGGCGCGTCGGTCCCGCGATCGACATCGAGATGGGCAATGTAGGACCCGCCGTTGACACGACTCTGCAGGTCCGTCCTCTCTGGCGTCAAGTATCTCCACGAGCACGACATCGTCCATCGCGACCTCAAGTGAGTGCTACACCGAGTGCTCCGTCCAATTTACTTATGGGCCGCTAGGCCCGAAAACATCCTGTACCGCACCAAGGACCCACACTCTGACATCGTGATTGTCGATTTCGGCATGTGGGTTTCATCTGCCCCAGCATCCATCGGCGGCCTGCTGAAATGTGCACGCCTCCTTCCTGCAGCGCGAAGCACCTCCACACACCCGGGGAACAGCTGACGTCTCTCGCGGGCAGCTTTGGCTACGTCGCCCCCGAGGTCCTCAACAAGACCGGCCACGGCAAGGCCGTCGACATCTGGTCCACAGGGTACGCGCGCACACCGCCTCTTTCTCTCTGTCGCTCGCACTGAAGGCGCCCCCCGCAGGATCATCACATACGTCCTGCTGTGCGGGTACTCGCCGTTCCGCTCGGACGACACCGCAGAGCTCATCCGCGAGACCACAGAGGCGCAGGTCGAGTTCCACGAGCGCTACTGGAGCAACGTCTCCCCAGAAGGCACGTCTCTGCGCGCGTCCTGCCTGCCCCGGCCGCTGACCGCCGCACAGCCAAGGGCTTTGTGCGTACCCTCCTCAACCCAGACCCTGCCAAGCGCCCCACCGCCGCCCAGGCGCTGAAGCACCACGTACGTCCCATCTCCCCGTCTCCCCGTCCCACGCGCACACCCCGCTCACCGTCCATCCCCTCTCTCACCCCCGCACAGTGGCTCACCGAGCACACGCCCTCCACCGAGCACGACCTCTCCGGCCTGCGCGAGCAGTTCAGCCCCCGCGCCCGCTGGAAGGCCGCCATCAACGGCACCATCGCCCTCCACCGCCTCGGCACGCGCGCCAGCGGCGCCTCCGCCGCCACCACCAGCACAAGCTCCGGCGGCTGGAAGACCGCCCTCGACAGCGACGAGGACGACGAGGACGAGCTTGCCGGCGCCGGCGACGGCGACGGCGTGCGCCCCCACGTGCCCCCGGGTCCCGGCGCGAACGCGCATGTCCTGGTCACGCCGCCGTCGCTCGAGCGCCGCGCGAGCACGGGCGCGCCGGCGTCTCCACGCACGGCGGACGCGGAGACCAGCAGGGCGGACGGCGACGCGTCGGCACCAGGACCAGTGCCAGTGCCAGTGCTACGCCCGAGCTCGGCGCACGCGCTCCGCCACGAGCAGCAGTCGCGGGCGCCCGAGCCGCTGCACGAGCACGTCCCGGCGGCGCTGCGCGAGCACCACGCCGCGCGCGCACAGGACGGTGCTCCGGCGCCCGGCAGCGCGCCGTCCTCGTCCTCGTCCTCGCAGCGGCGTCCCGCGCCCGCCGAGCCTGCAGCCCCGCCGCGGCCCTCGCTCGAGGAGGAGGACGACCATGTGGAGATGCCCGGCTCGTTCATCGGCTCGGCGCACGCGCGGCGGCATCGTGCGCACTCGTCGGCCTTGCACGAGCACCACCCGGAGCACCACGGCCACCACCCGCATTTCGAGGGCGCACTGGCGGGGCTGTTGCGCAAGATGCACGTACGATAGCCCATGCACACCCTCTGGAAGGCACACAGTATCTATACTATCTAGTCTATGTATCGACAGTGCACTCAGCGACGGCAGGCATCATATTTTGTTGTTGATAAGGACGTTTGCGCCGACTCTCGATCTCAATTCTTGGATACAATAAGCATAATACAGCTGTTGTGTCTGTACTGACGTCATTTACAAATGCTCGCAGATGAATGGCCACGCGATTATTGATTCCCATTACTCGACCAACCTGACCACCAATGTACCCGACCAAAGGACTCTGATATTGCGGAATAACTACAATGAGACAGACAAATAGTGCTTCAATGATATACTATAAGGACAAATTACGCGCCTAGGAATGGTGGGTGGATGGGATGGATGCAAAGGTACAAATGGGAAGAAGGTTAAGTACGCAGTACAAAAGGTGTGTGCACGTAGAACCAAGCAAGGAAGGGTCTGTATATGCTGGGGGGGAAGGGGAGCACGGGAAAGCAGGAAGAGCGATATGATGCGGCGGGGGACATGCGGTTGCAGCAAAATACAAATGCGTTGCGGTGGTAGTATACTTGAGTGCCCAGCGACGAAGCCCACTAAAAGAGTGTATATAGGAGAGAGAATGGATGCGAGTCCGAGCAGCTGGAGGCGCAGGGGCCGGACATAGACAGACGAGCAGCATAGGTATAGTTCCGCCGGGGCAGAATGCGACTTGGCATTACTTGATGCGAATGCGTGCATGTGGGGCGACTGGAAAAGAGCGACTGGAGCTGTCCATGTAGAATTCTGCACTTTTTGCGGGCTGGGACGGCGTCGTTCACATTCCATACGCATACGAACGCTGGTACGGGTCCGCAACGCTGACCGCGGGGAAGGAGCTCATGCCGCCGTACGACGAGAACGCACCCGCTTGTGTGTGTGGAGGCGTCAGACCGGGGCTATGGTTGCTTGTGTTCTGCATCACGTAGCTGTCGATCGTGTGCGGCTGCAGATTGTGCAGCTGAGCGGCGTGGAGCCCCTGTCCCTGCAGGCCGTGCGCGCCGTAGAGGCCGCTGGGCGCGGTGTATGCATCCGCGAGTGCGCCGGGGGAGTGCAAAGCCTGATGCGTCATGTGACGGCCACCGTGACCCTGACCCATACCCATACCCTGGTTACCGAGAGGGTGGTGGTAGCTGGCGCCGCCACCGCCACCGCCATATCCGTCCATATGTTCTCGCTGCAGCTTGTTTTGAATGCGCTTGCCATACGGCGTGTTCCGAATAAGAGGCAAAACAGGCCGGATGCCCTCGACGAGCAGGGCCCGCTGGCCCGGCTCGGCGTAATCCAAGGCAGTCTGAGCGGCAAACTCAGTCGGTACAAATTAGGAGCATGAGGGAGCCACTCCACGTACCTGCACGCAGTAGTTGCCATAAGAGTCACGCAAGAGCTTCTCCAGCCGCGTGCGGTTGAGCAGTTCCCCGATCAACATCTTACGGGTGTTGTGTTCTGCAACGCGAACGCACTAAAAGGCGATAAAGTTCGGGGTCAGAACGCGGTCACCTGAGCGTTAGAAGACGGCGACTCCACCTTCTCAATGACGTTCGAACTGAATTTCTGCACCGACAGCGCGCAGACATTGCCGGTGAATTGTCGGATGACGGCATCGCTGAAGCGGTTATCGTTCAGGTCCAGAATATATTGCACAACCTTGATATGTGAATCAGGGCACGTTGCAGATCAGAACCGCGCGGCACTCACATAGTTGCCATAAGGATCCTGCACCAGCGTCAGCGCGTTGTAGGTGATCTCATTGACAAGCTGGACGCGTTGCGCTTCTGATGCGTGATCGACGCAACGCTGCAGGACACAGCAGCCATGGCGATGGGTCGCGACTTCGACGCAGTTCGCGGCGACGGCATTGTAAATGAACTGCCGTTATAAAGTCTACGCATCAGCCCTGCGCGTTACATCTCGGCAACGCGAAAAAAACCTGCCTGATTATCCTCCGGCGCCAGCTTGTTGAGACACTTTTGGATGACGTGATTTCCGTTGAGATCCTTGATAAGCACCACCACATGCAGGCTGAGTGCAAGGATGATCGAGTGTATCTGGATGTTGTATTTCGGGTCAGTCTGCACTCGTCCTGTAAGTGATATAGAGAAATCCAATCTGGATTTTACTTGCCTGTCGTCTGGTAGACAAAAAGTCGATCATCTTCTGCACCGCACGTGTGCCGTGCATGTTGAGCGAGATGTTCACCAAGTCCTGAGCGACAGACTCGCAGATTACGTTGCGCTGGTCATCCGTCGAGAACTCGAGCAGCTTCTGGCAGAGGTAGTTCCCGAATGGATCTGCGGCCCATACACGTTGCATAAGCGTCCGGACTAATATCGACCACAAAGGCCCAACGCACCAGTCATCAAGTCCGCGAAGTGCCCGAACGTCTCGCGGAAGATCATATCGCGGTGTTCAGGGACGCCCTCCTCGAGCTTCTTCTGCAGGTAGCGGCACCCATGCTGGTCTTTGCACAGCGAGGGGATCTCGCCCTGAAGGTCTTCCAGACGTACACCCGCGAACCTGTTGACTGCAGAACAATGCGCATGTCGTCAGCCTGGTGAAACACCGGCGATGAGGAACACACGAACACTCGCGGTCAACGTCGCCGCGCTTGTGCTTAGGCCCGTGCAAACCACCCATCTTGCCGTCCGCACCAGTTGGCCGGCCGTTCATGCCCAGCCCGTACCGCGAGCCGTTATGGTGGTAGAGCGCTGTCGAGCCCGTTCCGTTGTGCGCGCGTCCGTTCGCCTCAAACCCATACGAGTTGTAATGTCCGTCCTCAATCCCGTTCCCGTTCATCCCATACACCGAGTCGACACCATACTGCTGCTACGGTGATTCACACGCCGTATCAGCATACTGACGACGCCCGTACCATGCAACGTCACAAACCTGCAGCGATTCGTCCACTCCCGACTGTATCGTGTTGAACGTCAACGGAGCGCCCTCATACGGCCCTGACGACGACATCCTCGAAAGCGACGGGTTCAGCTCTGTCTGAGGCGAGTTCTGCCTCGTCAAGATCCCATTGACACCACCGGGGGCGTCACCCGTCAGCGGCGTGCCCGGCGCCTTCGACAGGTGCGAGGCGGAGCTGGGCATTCCCGGCAATGGCGTTGCAGGCACCGAGCGCGCTATGGGCAGCGACCCAAAACCGTCGCCAAGGCTCAGCGGCGAGCCGCGGCGCGACGAGAGCCCGGGCGTGAGGCCCTGCGAAACCTGCTGCAATAGCGGCGTAGCCGAGCCGGACATACTGCCCTTAACGGACATATCCGCGGTGGCAGGCGAGAGGCTCATCGTCGGATTCGTCACCGTGCGGCGATCGCCGCGCCCGTAACCCTCGGGTACGCGCCCGTTACCGTTGTACTGGCCAACGAAGGAGGTACGCGGCGCCTGTGAGAGTGGCGCGAGGTCCAGAGCCGCCGACGAGGTCGAGAGCTGCGTTATGCGTGCGAGCGCGTTATCAACACACCGAGCCGAGGGCGTCCAGTCACACTAATGACGCACCTTTCTGGGATACCCGTTTGCAAACTTATCCTCGTCCGAGGTCGGCAAGTTTCGCATCGCGTCTACGGCCTGATCAACAGGGATCGCGTCACGACGAAAATGATGGTGTACACACTGTGCATTTCCTGATCCAGCTGCTCATCAAGCATCATGCCCGCATTGTAGGCGTTCCCATACTGCTGTCCGTTGACGCCGAAGCGCTCGCTCCCGGTGCGCAGAATAGATTGAGGGATCGCCCCTGACTGGAGCGAGATGCGCTCACGATCCGCCCTTTCGCCAGCGAGCGAGAGCCCCTGCAGGTGGCCGGCGAGCTCATCATCATGCTCGCTAGCCGAAGTACGCCGGCTGGCTGGCATGCTCTTGGCGCCGCCCGGGCGAGCGAAACTCTGGTTACCCGAAGGCATCTCCGGCGAGTGGTTGACCGACGGGGCGTACGTGACAGACTTGCGTTTGTCCGACACAGACCCTACGGCCCTCGAGAGACTCTCTACATCTACCGACGGATGAGACATCGCCGAGGCAAGACCGGAGGCTGCCTCGTCGTTGAGAACAGCATTGATGCGCGGAGGCGTGGTGGGAGCGGAAACCGCAAGATGCTGCAGAGCGGCGGCAGATTCAATGGGGATGCCCAGGAGCTCGCGCGCCTGCTGTACCTCGAGGGCACGCATCTGGTCCTCGAACAATTTGCGCTGCAAAGCGCGCTGGCGTTCGTGTTCCATGCGCTTCATAGTACGCTACGTGAGCGGGAGGATCAGATCAAAGGACACGTATGATACGCAGACAGCCATGCGGGACCCACCACCGAGATGTCCGGAATATTACTGCCGTAGCGAGCAGCCTGTTGGCGAAGGTCAGGATGTGGACGTAAGAGACGCGACATACGAGCGACTCGCCGAGTCCGCAAGATCCAAAAAGGCAGGAGGGCTCTGCTTCCTGTCGTCGGGGGACTGGCGACTATCGGCAGGGATAGTAGACGATTCCAAAGTAGTACTCATAGTGGGAGGGAGGTAGTGGGCGAATACTTTTGATCCGAGAGGGAGGTCAAGGACAGAAACAGATTGAGCAAGTACGGTTAGAATAGGGAACGAGTAAGCCTAATTGCACAAGGGAATCCTGGAGACGGGTGGGTCGGGAAGGGCGAGTGAGGAGAGAGGAGAGGCGGGAAGAGAGAAAGACAGACCTGCCAGCTGATTTTATGCCCGTCTATAAGGATTGGTAATACAGGATGGGTCAACAGCTGGGGACGAGGATGAGGCGGGGAGAGGGAAGAGGCAAGGAGTGCTGGCAGACCTGTGGCAATTTTGCGACGAGCGAGGGCTTTGACGGTGGGGATATTAGCGGTAGTACACGGCCGGGGATGCCTCGACGCTCAACAACTCTAATAAATCATCACAATGGCCTGCGGACACCCTCTTTTTTTACGCTCCGACTCCCTTTCTCGGCGCTGCCCACGCGCGCCCCCTTGAAACCCCTCGCCTCGTCCAACGTGGCTATAGGTTGTAGCCCCACCCGAGTCGCTCAGCGCGCCTTCTCGCCATATCAGAACACTGTAAGATTTACGGATGCACCGCTGCCGCTGTCTCTGCAGCGCACCCGACCTCGCGCACGTCGCCACTGCGGGCGGCGACACGGGGCGGGTGGCTGAGGAAAGAGTCTGGTGCCTTCCTTTTTGGGCAGCATACGAACCGATCGGTGCGTGGGTAAAGAATTGGGCTGCGACCACTGGCCTCGCCCGTCTTCGCTTTCTCTTTCGAACAGAACACGGCGGGCGGCTGAGACCAGTCTTCTTCGGCTGCTATCAGCCTCCCTGCCACTGTCTCCTATCGCTCGGGCCCTGCCGCGGCCACCCCGCCCCGCCCCACCCCGCCCCGCCGCTGCCCGCCGCCTCGCGTCTGATCGCAGCAAGTAGTCTCCGCCAAGCACCGCGACCCAGCCCCGCCCTCGTGCTAGCAAACGGCCCGCCGACCACGGGCGGACGTCCGGTCAATTAATCTCTGCCGCCGTACCTGACTACCGGCTGTCAACACGCGCCTCCGGCCCTGGAGGCTGCCTCCTTCCAGATCCACGTCGACGATGCATCCCGTCACCGTGACTTGCAATTGTCGTCCCCGTCCGCGCAGATTACCCGCCAACTGTTTTGCCTCCGTGAACCTTGGTCAGCCGCAACGCAACGCCAGCCACGCTTCCCTGGCCTCCACCCCGGGCTTCTCCAGCCCCTGCAGCGACGCGACCCACTCCAGTTGACAACCCAGCGTATGCAGAACCGCTAGCCATCTGCTGCGGCGCCTCGGTCGCTGCAACGCACGCATCACCCGAAGCCCGGATAGCAGGCATCATATCAGCAAAACCGTTGAAAACTCTCATTGTCAATCGCCCATGCGATCTTCGTCGTCGTCCTGAGTAATAGAACCCCGGTTTACGCGGATTGGCGACGTTCCGCCCCGCGCTCTGGAGACACCGGTCGCGAGCACATACACAACGCAGATCTCCTCATCCGCACCGGCCCGCGTCGCCAGAAGATATAATGGGTTGGCGTGATTGAGGACTACACATCGGGCTCGCCCTTCACCGCCGCCGAGCGGCAGTTGTTTGCAAGATTGTTTTCATGACAGAATGCAGTGTCTTGTCTTTGCCAACATTCCCACGCCACCCTCAGCCCACTATGGTCATCCAAAGTCCTCCTAGGAATGCCTCAAGATAGTTGACTGTGTACTTGCATACATCTATGTCTGATCTAGACTGCCTTAAATATCTCCACTGCAATGGGCTCTACAGAATTGCCCAAAATATTGTTTCCATAGGAGCCTCACTTGTGCTTGATAATGACACTGGTGAGATCACCGCTCAATATACTTCTTAGCTTGTGCACAAGTGAGCTAAAAGCATTTTACATCAGCTTGTGACACCACAAGTTAACACTGCTAACAAACAAAAAATGAGGTTCTTCTGATGCCCTATGCTTAATGCCACAACTTGTGATAGACAAGAGTTCACCCTCAAAACCTCATACACATGGTTGCAGATTGTACCCACATCAAGTCTGTCATAGATGAGAAATCTACATAATGACCACTGCATGCAGGAATCGATTTTCTTGCACAAAATATTGAATTACAATTGAATAGCACCTATTGAATCTTACTGATGTAGAAATTGATTGGAAACTGAAGGAAAATCGAAGGAAAATTGAAAGAGACAATGGAAAATGGATTACATAATCGATTTTCCTTCGATTTCACTTTCATATTAGGCGCCAGAATACTGATTAGGTAAATTAACTTTTCTTTCAATTTCTATTTGATTTCTTGTACCAGAAAACTGAATACTGCATGCAGTGGACTCGCAGAGCACTGCTTGCGCCGTTTCGCACTGGGTCACCGAGTCTGCCAGAGGCATAAAAAGTTTTTGTCAAGGACAAACACACTGCGGATTCCGAGCAAGAAACCAATTCTGCAAACGACCGTAACGGTTCAATCTCCCACGTACGCCACCGAAGGCGTGCACGGGTTCCAGGAAGCGCGTGTACATACAAATGTGAAGCAGCCGCGGAGTAGTCGACGGAATAAAATTAGTTCCAGAACATCAGTTCACCCCGCCCACAAACACGCCCGGCGGCGGCGCGTCGTGCTCGCGCCCGTCCTCCGCGGAGAGCTTCTCGGCAGCGCCATTGCCGTGGGCGGCATGCACATTGCCATCCCCGTTCGCGTTCGCATTCACATCCGCGTCCACGCCCACCTTCCCCTCCTCCTCCGGCGCTCCCAGCAGCGTGTCCGATCGCCCGCGAAGCGTGTCGGACCGCCCGCGGATCGTCCGCCGGTCCTCCTCGTCTTCGCCTGCGTCCCCGCCGGACGTGCTCTGGACCGCGTCCCCGTTCGCGCCTGCCGCGCCGGCATCCCGCGCGGCCGCGTTCTCTGGCACCTCCGGTACCGAGCGAACCGACGGGCGCGAGCTTGATGGATAGCGGACGCGCAGGAAGCCCGCTAGCGGTGACAGGTCCAGGAACGCACGGGCCTTGCGCGCCGCCGGATCGGGCGTAGACGCTGTGGGCGTCGTCGCGCCGCTGCGAGGAGGCGAGTCGCTCTCGTGTGCGTCGCTGCCGGTGGCAGGCAGGCCATCCGGCTGCAGCGCGGTTGACGTCTTGACGTTGGAGGATGAGCCGGCAGTATCGGGGATGGGTGTGGGGAGTGAAGACGCGGTGAGGATCGGTGATCGCAACGACGAGATTGACACGGACGATGCCATGGAGAAGCGCTGTGGGCTATTGATGCACCGGCAGCGAACACGTCAGACAAAAATGTTGTATACTCAGTAGAGAGACGAGACTCACGGTCGTTTGCCCTCGCTGTCGGTAAGAGTCAGCAGCAGGTTCTTGAGGTTGGGTAGGGTATGTCGAATGTCCAGCGCGCGCAAATTGCGGTCAGACATCAACTAGCGGTTCAAATCGTGTCAGATTTTGGCGCCAAGTGAGCAGTTAGGCTCACAGACTACCCACTATTTCAATGTCCTTGTTCAACAGGAAGACGCCGTATTCAAACCGGTACGTGTCCACGCCCCGTGTGAATAGCGGAAACCTGGCAATACATCAGCAAGGCCGCAAACATCTACAGCAGCATACATACATCCTCGGTCCAACCATGGCCGAGATACCATCCTTGATCAGGCTCCTACTGCCCACGCATGTTACCGGATACACGAGCCCCTTGCCCATGTATGCTGCGAGTAGCTGCACAACCTGTGCCGCGTACCCCAGCGCGGTTGCCACCGCATCCTCTGTCACTTCCTTGTGCGCGGGCAGTGATAGTGGGGGGGCAGGATCCGTCTGCGCGAGCGGAATCGGCAACGGCACATCCAGGACGGTGAAGAGCAGATCAGGCGGGGACACAAGCTCGATCGGGAAGATGAACGAGAGCGTCGTGATAAGCACGCTGCGCATTGGCCCGATCTGGCTTCTGAGAAGATCGAGACGCTGCCTGAATATAACATGAGCCTATGAACACTCATTGATTAGTGGAAAATTGTCGAGCTTACCGCTCTTCTACCAGGTCCTCTTCTCGCTCAGCTTCGGCTCGGCAGTCGCTCTCATTTGCATCGCGGGCTAATGCGAGCAGTTCCCGCCGCCGTCGTAGGTCTTCCTTTCGCGCAGATATCTGGGCGCGTACTGCCCGCAAAGCGTCAGTAAGAGCTTTATAACAGCAATCCGGACACCCACACGTCTCAGATTCAGCGAGCACAGAACTCGTCTCATCGTGCAATTGTCCTACCCAAGCGGCGCGCTCCGAGACTTCACGGTGCTTCAGCAAATAACTTCAGACTGACATATATCATACGGAGAGGAAAAGCAGGGAAGACGGCCAGAACTGCATGAGGAAGCGGAGACTTACCAGAGTGCCTGCTCCAGGGTGCGTTACTGTCTTGTCAATTTCGCGCACGACCTCCGAGAGGGACTGCTGGGTGTCGATTATACATGTTTGTAGGTTAATGAGTCTGTTTGCGGTCAGCAAGCGTTCGTTGGTAGCGAAACGTAAATAGTGTACATACCTAAGAAGATCCTGCCACGAGGCAGTGCGTCTCTTGCCCTTCCGCATAGACGAGGCATACTCTTCTGCCTCATCTAGTTCCTCGGCATCCGCCTTGTCCTCTAGGCGTTCTGACGCCTGTCTGGTGTTCTCCCCAGGAATGACCTCTCCAGAGACCTTCGCCTTCCTGGGTCCCGATTCAGGATCTGAGCTATAACCCGAGTTGAAACTTGGCGGCAACGGGGAATGAAGGTGAGACGCAGGCACAGGCAGATAGTATGTCTTGCCCGGAGGCGAAAGTGAGATCAGCAGGGTGTTCGAGGGCAAGTGTGACGGGTGAGAGGCAAGCTAAGGGAATGCAATTATGTGTGAGGAGAAATCGACGCATGTCAAAGCAAACACTCACATCTGCTGGTAATGGTACCAGGTCTCCCAGATCTACATCCCACCCCTCCAGCACCCTCCACTCGAGCTCACGAGGTTCATTCAGCTCTCGCTGCTTCCCCTTACCCTTTGCGTCTGTCTCCCTTACGGACGCCCACCCCAGACCTCGTTTAACATGCCCCCATACCTCCAAGCGCATTCTGGACCCAGAAAGGTCGGCATTGGGCACAAACTCTCCGCCAAAGCGTGCGTCAATACGGAAAGTAGGATTTGTCGACGGTCTGTGTATTGGTGAGATATGGTCTGGTACATGTAGCTGTTCGTCTGTGCTGGTAGATGGTAGATCCACCGTCGATGACAGTCTTGGTGATAAACTACCAGATGCTGTCAGCTGTTCTGACTTGAGGCTGGACGGAGAAAGGGGTGGCGAATTCATAGAGGATGGTATGGGAAGCCGTTGTTTGTGGGCCGGTGGCGTAGACGGCGATTTTAGCGTCCTCCCATTTGTGAAGGACGGTGATTTAGACAGTGATTTGTTGTGCATGGTAGAGTGCTCGCTTCGTGATGGTGTAGGATTCGAGGTCAATCGGGAAGGAGTTGTAGGCCGCGGGGAAGCTGGTTTGGCGGACGAAGTAACAGTGGACCGCCTGGGAGTTGTATTTACTGTGGAGTCTGGCTTGCGCACTGCTGTCAAGGCTCTCTCCCTGGGCAAGGATTTCATGTTTGCTTGTGAAGTCGATGCTCGTGGGGGTTGGATAGCGGAGCCCTCCTGCTGGGCGTTATGGGAGGTATCTAGATTGCTCCCAGGAGATGCAGTGTCCGGAAGAGTGATGGTTAAGAAAGCCTCCACTAGACGGCTCTGTAGCACTTTCTCCAGACCTGTCTGTGAAGTATCCACCAGAAGATCGGGGACCGGAGCACGTCCTGGAGCGCTCACTTCCCGTAGATCGCCGTCATACGAAAAGGATGACGATGCGACAGAAATTGTACGCTGACGATATGGCGGACGCACGGTGGACGTTCGTCTTGCAGATGTAGGACTAGACGAGACAGCGGATTGGGAAGTGTTCGACGCGCTCACCCTCGATGAATCCCTCCTTCTGAAATCCCCGGGGCTACCGTTCTCGTGAGGAGGATCATCAGCAATCTTGGACCCACTCAATGCTAAACTAGACGTCGAAGACATCTTTCGGGCACGCTTTCTGCCTATGGTGACATCGACATCGTCTGAAAAGTGGCCCTGAGGCGTGAACTGTGGTTGCTCTGAAGGTTGCTTGAGAGCGGAGGCAAAGGCATCTCGGATAGGGAACGGAGTTAGGTTGCGGACTTGAATGGACGTGATGTGACGAATGCGTCGCTACGGGTCAGTAATGGACATTGCGGTAAGGTTAGCACAGCATAAGGAGACGTCCGCCATGACTCAACTGGATTCGGGACATCAAGACCGCCCTCCGGGGGATTCATAGACATAGAGCCACGCATGGTCTACGTATCCCGATGGATGTACTTGACACCGAGTTTGTGGCAATGCGGGGTATTCACAAGACCAGCGTTTAAAGGAGCGTGCATCAAGTTGGTCCTGGCCGTCTAAAGCAATATAGGAGTTCAGACAGCAAGCAGCTCAACCGAGAAGAACAGCGGCCTTGGGTGTTCCCAGGATACTGCAAGCGTAAGTACGTCGTTGCCGCCGTCGCCGTCGCCGGTCATCCAGAGTCGACTAGCCACATCAAACTCCCGCGGCTCTCGATCATCTTCGCTTGCAGTCGAAGTCTCCGCATTTACAACTCAATTACCGCTGCCTCTAACTGCGCATCACCTTCAGCTTCGCTATGCCTCCAAAACCCATCCGCAGACCATCATTCTCGGCCAAGGACACTCCCATGATTGCTCCTGGCAATGGCAGTAGACCTACCTTGAATGCGGCTATGCTACCCCCGCCAGACCCCGCGCCACCGCAGGCAATTCTAGAGCCAGAGATGACTGCTCTCACCACATGTTTGCGAGTGAGTACGTCGTGTTGCCCTGGCCGAAACATCTGACAAGAATTAACGAGCGTAGAACGCTGCCGTGAAGACAGGACAGGTATATCAGTTCTACGCGGATCTGCATAAGCTGTACGTTCTCTTCAACCACCTTCAGCCGCATACTTACCATGTGTACGCTTTCCCTAGCAAGATGGATAAGGTCGGAGTGCATCCGCCGCGTTCGTTGACCTCAGCACTCGGTCGCGAAGTCGAGAAGTACGATCAGTTATGCGACGCGATGGAAACCCATATTGCGAGTCTATGTCCCTATGTGACATATTTGACACTGACCACACGCTCCCCAGAATCGCGCGATAGCTGTTCTACAACGCGACCTACGTCGTGAGGAAGAGCGTCTGAAGGCAGAAGCAGCTGCAGCAGCTGCTGCCGCTGCCGCCAAACTCCCAACACCTATTCTAGATCCCTCGGGGCCCCTCACATCGTCTCCGCCCGCCTCTCCCACCCAGTCCATCGGAGCATCTACTGACCTCTCCGCACCCGACACGCAGAAACCGCCGCTGCCTACGCCAGCCCGACGCCAATCGACTGTGTCCCTCTCGTCGCTCCAACGGCAGCCCTTCCCGCACAAGCTTGACCTCTCGCCTACCAGCCTCCATGCTCACCCGGACGATGTCCTCCAGAGCGGGCTCTCTTCCCCTGTGACGCTCGCGCCGCGTTCCTCCCACCGCAGTTTCCCCCAAGAGCTCGGCATGGTCGCGTTGTCAGATGCCGCGAACCGGTCTGTCGACATCGACCTGACCGTAGGAGACACGGAGATGGACATGAGCCTCAACATCCCTGATCTGCAGCAAGCGCAGGCTGCCGTCGCTGGCGGTTCGGTCGATCCGAGCATCGGCAGCTCTGCGGACAAGCCGATAGAACTCGACCTAGACATGGACATGGACATGTTCAAGGCGAGCGCCAACGCCGCGATGGGCGAGCATTCCAATCCGTTCTTCGACGGGTCCGCAGCGTCCGTAGCCACGAACAATCAGGTGTCAAATGGGAAGACGAAGCAGGAGGAAACATTCTTCAATCATATGGGTGCACCGTCGGGCCACAGCGGCGATCTCTTTGGGCCTTTTGGGTCATCCTTACAGGCTTCACCCTTAGGCAGTCATGCCGGGCCACAGCATCTGCATCCTCCACTATTAGACGCGGCTCATACTGCACCATCTCCCGGGTCGATCCTGGCTAGCTTCAGCGATCCGCAACATGGGAATGTCGATATGAGTTCAATTGACTTTTCTTCCTTGGGGTCAGGATTTTTTGATGAGCACGGAGGTGGCTCCAGTATCAGCGCTGAAGTTGACCGTTTCCTCAACCTGACTGGCGGTGATGGAGCAAAGGATGGCAAAACGTAGAACGCACTGCTGCCTACCTTTACGTACATACTGCCTTCTAGATGCTGGAATACATGATCTGGTCTGGTGGCCTTGTTCAATGCAGAGCGAGATCGTGACAGTATTTTCACAACAATACAGGCGCGACGAGATGAACTATAGATCGTACTAATAGCGTGTGCTTTATAGTGTAGACAGACGACTGTCACCGGAGTCCTAAACGATAATTATGCGCTCAGCGCTGCACATCTCATGTGCGTCCACCTTTCTTCTTCTTGTTCACTACCTTGAAGCCACCCCATTCCGACTGCGCCGGCTTGGGTTGCGTCTTCACGACTTCCGCAATCGAGAGGGGCTTTGTAGAGGCACCCACCGGTGCGCCGTTCTTGGACCGTGCCGCTGCGTCTGCCTTGCGCCTGCTGACGAACTCGGATGCGAAGCGGCGGCCGTCAAGCGTAGTACTACTTGCGTAAATGAGGTCGGAGATGATCTCAACGGTAGAGGGGTCAGGATCCAATGGGAATGAGAGCAGCATAGAAGAGATATCTTCCACTAGAATTTAGTCGCGTCAGACAGATACATTGTGTTAAGCGTGTGCGAACGTACGGTTGATGGAGTTATTTAGCCCCTTCAGAGAATCACCCAGCCACTTCACGAACTCGTGCGAAGGAGGGGCAGGGAACTCGTCCGCTTTCGACGACGTAGCTTTCGCCGGCATGGCTGGTCGGGTTGGAGCGGCAGGAGTCACGCGAACAGCCACTGTTGGCGTTGTTATCGTAGAGGACGACGCGCTAGCCACTACCTTCGCCGCTGAATTGGAGGTAGCAATCGCGGGGCGAGTCGCAGTAACAGCTGCTCCTGGGACCTTACCTCCCGTGCCAACAGTTGTCCACGCGCCTCCAGACGATGCAGCCGGCGGGGCTGGACTCTGATGGGATTTATATGAGATCGACGAAGAGCCAACACATAGCCCTCCTTACCTTGGTGGTTGTTTCCGCATATCCGCGCTTAGCGGCGGCAGCTACAGTCTCCTTCTCCTTAGCAGCCAGCTTCTTGCGCCTCTCTTCCTCCTCTTGGATCTCTTTCATACTCTTCTTCACGACCTGAGGTTTAGCGGTATTAGTCCAAACTGGAGTAGTAGGCGTAGTCGCCGTAGCCGCCGTCGAGGTCGAATCCTTGCTGCCTGTCGAGACAGGAGCCCTCCCAGCCTGCGATGTTGGCAAACCCCACGACGCTGTGAAGGGTTGGAAGTCCTCCTGTGGAGAAGCAGCACCATTTGCAGCCCTTGCAGCCCTCTCTCGGTCTCGTTCGGCAGCCTTGCGCGCCTCCAATTTCTTCATCTCCGCTTCTTGAATCTCGCGCAAGCTGAGGGTAGCACCGGCAGGCTTCGCTGTCTTGCTGTCGTCATCCTTCGCCCAAGGGGTCTTCGGCTCAACTGGAGTAGGGGACGGGGGCTCAGGAGCGGCAGCATGGACAGGCGCGACTTTGCTGGGTGCAGGCTGTGTGGTCGCAGGTGATGGTTGTGTACTTGACTTGCGGCGCGTTTTCTGCGCAGCGCGCGACGGTTCCGCAGACTCCAAGGTAGCAGTAGTGTGTGACAAGCCAGTAGCAGCGGAAGACACTTGCCCATCTGGGGGAGTTGCGGCGGCTTGCGGCACCTGAGGAACGTCCGCTGAAACATTCGTCGGCCGCGGTTTATTTTCTGTTTGCTGCCGTTCATTATGTTGGCCAAGATTCTCGACTGTGAGACTGCTAGACTCTGTGGTCCACGTGTCGCTAGTCGAGACTGGCACAGGTGCAGTTTGCCACGGCGAGCGGTCTTTGGAGGACACACTCTGAGACGAACGGCCATGTACAATGTTGGGTGTCGTAGATGGTCCGGTAATAATAGTATTATTGGCGTTAGGGTAGTCAGCGTCGAACGGGCCTGGACGCCGCAAAGCAGGTGAGCCCTGCGAAGGCCACAGTGACTGAGAAGTAGTAAAACTAGGGGCTGACGGAAACGAGGGACGCTGTTGTTGAGTAGGGATAGGCTGGGACGACATGCTAGCTTGGCGTTCCGATATAGGCGTGAGAGGAGTTAAGGAGCGACCATCTGAAGGCTGGTACTGAAGTGATTGATTTTGAGGAAAATGTTGGCCATTAAGAGGGAAGGAGGCAGAACTATTTGCAAATGTACCGCCTAGCGCATAAGGCGATTGTACCTCATTCGCCACAGGTCCACCAAAGAGGTCTCTGGTCACAAGACGGGACATGTTGCCTTGGCCATTCAGCGCACCTATGGAGCTAACATCGACCGGTGCGTAGTTCGAGGGCCCAGCAAGACCGTTGCCCAAAGACAAATCATGTGGAGCACGCACACCTGTGAAAGACATCAATCGAACGATGCTACTTACCATCCTTGAGACATACCACTGAACGACGTCGACTGCTCTAGGGAGTGCACAGGCGTGCCGTCCATCCCTGAGGGAAAGCATCAGTAGTGAACTCCCCGGGCATTCAACAGACCTACCACCGAATCCGAGCCCGTCTATGCCTCGGCCGTTGACCATACCGTTGAATGAGGGCCGCAGATTACTGCTCGAGTCAAACGGTTCACCAAAGCCTGGCCGCCTTTGCGGACCTGTCGTCAACGGTGAATTCGCCATAGAAGGGAACCCTCCCAGTCGAGGGCCAACCGGAGAATCCGGGAACAAGTGGTTGGTTGTTCTGGCTTCGAAGACACTCCGGTCGGGAGATCCATTGACAAACCTGGCGGCACCAAATGACGAGGAGGGGGATGCCGATGCACTAGACCCATTTTGAAGGTAGGAATCCAATGCCGACGTACGAAGTGTCGATACAGGAACGGGCTGGAAGGGCACGTTTCTGTCTCCGTCAAGAGCTGGTCCCTCTTGCAAAAGATCAGGACGGCGAGCCAAGCCAGGCGGTGTAACAGAAGTCAATCCAGGCGTCAGAAATATCGGTCGACTGCCAGCACGCTGACGCATCTCGCCAATAGATGTCCACACTGTATCAAGATGCGTGCGCTTCATCAGCAATTCAGGAGAGAAGTACCCATCGTCGTGCCAGCGTTGCATGATATCTGCCCGGAAAGGACCTACAAATGCTTCTCCATTGAGGAACCAGCTTCTGACTCGGCGTATAACACTCGCCTTGAATCTGTCCCTGAGGGTCGAGATATGACCACTCGATGTCTGTTGGAACTGGCAGACCTGGCGGCTTGTTCGCGCCCATATCTGCGGTCCTGTCGACACCAGGCGTTCCAACGTCCATGTTCGCCATGCCATTTCTTAAGGAAAGACCGGCCATACCTCCATTGACGCTGTTCATATAGGCTTGAGGACCACCACTAGCTGTGCCATTCAATATGCCATTCACTGCAGAAGGCTGGTCCGATTGAGACATGGCTTCGTTAGCTGTGGCGGACTGTCCCTGGGGATCAGCCTGTTGGTCTGAAATACTAACGTGCGCCTCGTCTTCCTCCTTGATATCTAAGCCTTTATACTCGTTCCCAGATTCACTGGTCTCCCGCCGTATGAGCCCACCGGCAGTCACTTTCGACGTGCTTTCTGAAGTGCGCCGTCTGGAAGACCACGACTCGCTCAACACACCATCGAAGCCTGGTGCATGACCAATGCGTGTACGAGGTGACTGGAGGGCGGCATCGCGGGGCGAAGTAAGAGGGCTCTGCATAGAAGACAGGGATAACTTTCGCGGGATCGCAAGAGGCGCCTGATCTTACCAAAAGTCAACACCGAGCGAAGTGGCCCAAGGGTGTAACTGCACTCACCTGTACTATCCCGCCTACGCCCCATCAATGTCCCCATTCGCTCGCGCATTGGACTTGCTCCTGCCGTGGCCGCATGTCCAAGCTTAGGCCTTTCTCCATGCGTAGTTGTCAGGGGTGAGAGGACATCCACAGATTGCCGGCGGCGAATCTCAGAGTTGAGCGAGCCGGCGAAGAGCTGCAAATTATTTAAGTTTGACCGCGCATACCATATACGCCTATCGTCACCTTTTTCTCCGCCTCGCTCATTTCTTTCATGGCGACTGGGTCATAACCCACTTCACGGACGATACCCTCCCACCTCTCCACTTCTAGACCCAGACCCCCTCGCCCACCGCCTTCCTTATAGATTCGCAGCAACTCCTCTCGGGAATAGCGGAAAGGATTTGACGTGTCACGCCTTTCAGGAGCAGGATTAGACACGGGTGTTACTAGCGCAGAATATGACGAGGCCCCCGCAGGTGCTGCAGAAGTATTGAGAGGTGGAGATGGTGCAGGACGAGCGGAGCCCTTAGTACGCATCCATTCAGGACCAAAGTGCATAGTGGTGGTAGTCATTTTGCTAGTCAAGAGCGTACAGGAGACTGAGCGATACAGCACAAGTTCTGATTGCTTTGTTGGCTCGAGCAAAGCGGTAAGGCGGCGTAGCGGATATGTGAAAAGTCGCAAAGCGTGGCTAGTGCACACCTTGACCAGCGTGACCCACCTCAGGGCCGGTCCGAGAAACCCTATTATAGGGTTGACGCCTACCGGCTCTCGACACAAGATGCTAAGCGGCGGTCGCGAAGCTACATAATTACTTTGCATGCTGTATTAGCTCGTCCCCTGTGCATTGCACGACGTGACAACAATAGTAACAACAATGATTACAACCCCAATTACGCGAAAACTCTCCACTTGCTTGGCGGAATGGCTGCGGGAATCGTTAGGCGATGCTCAGACGATGCACAACATGTCACATACCTTGCAGCTTCCGAGCAGTGGGTATCATATAGAATAGCACTGACAGCACGCCCAGTACCAAGCAGATACCGGAGACAATGTAGTAGCCATCACTTTCTGTAACACACTTCCCTCCCAACTCGGAGCAGGACGTTTTACCATGATCAGAGACACACTCAGCGGCTGCCAAAGACTTATCAGATTAAATGATGTAGGCAAGGTATATGGCGTACCTTGTACTGAGAGATCGTTTCCAATCTGGCACTTGGCGACGCTGAACAAATCAACTCCTGTAGAACGCATGCTGATGAGCGGTCGCTGTGTTATTAGATTCCACAGACCAGACCTTTGAGCACGAAGAATCTGGGCCATGTGCCACCAAGATTCGAGAATGTCGCAAAGAGCTAGACCGAGTCAGTTCCCAGAGAATCCCTGCCTACAACGAATGACGCACAGTCATGTATGTCCCTCCCACAACTGGATCGGATATACGGCTGTGGAACGCTGCCATGCCTCCGAATTGGATTGTCCTATTGGGTCGCTTAAATCAGTGACCATCACATACCAGCTCATGATAAGCACGCACGAAGCAAAAGAGGATGTTACTGTCTGTATCACGATCAGCACGAAGAACCAAGTCGCGATTGGCGGTTTGGGGAACCAGTATACGGTCAAGGTCGCGGCCAGGGTAAGTGCCAAGCGCGGCCAATATGCATGAATCCATGGACGTAAAGGCTTGTCGCCGCGGGACCATCTCCCCGCTAGCCAACCACTGAAGATTTGGAACGGGAAGTCAATGAGGACAATCATGGCCAAATCCTCTCGACCAAGACCCTTCTCGACCATTTTGAGCGACGTAACAGCATCATGCGCCTGGAAGCCGATTTTTGCGAAGAGGTGTACGATGAGAAGTGTCTGTACATCTAAGGCGCTGAATCAGTGAATGTCTCATTGGCTTCGCGATCACGCGTACGCTTTAATTTGCAGATAGTCCACATGGTCATGTATACCGACTTGATGCTGATGTCGTGTTCTGTAGTCTCTTTATCCTGCAAAACATGAGTCGAAGAGATATGCATCACTGCAACTATAGTCTACCTCTTTTTTGAAGATGATCCAGACCGTTACGCCATACGAGAGGATCGCACAAAACAAGAGGTACATATTCAAGCTCAGGCGAGGGAAGCCCCATTTTTGGCTAAGCAAACGTGAGTAACGACGACAAGGGTGGAAGCGTGGTTGGTACGCACGCAAATGCTTCGCTGTTCAATGCCAGGAAGACGGTATATGACATGAGGTAGCCTGTGTTGAGGCCAATGGTTTGTGAGGTCGATGCATAGGGCAAATTTTCTTCTGACAAAAGAGTGAGTGCCCAACCTAGAACACACAACATGAGGGGTCAGCTGTCGCATTCTCTCAATTCGTCCCTTGAGAGACCATGTCTCACCATCAACGGCAATATCTGAGAGTTGACGGTCAGTGTGAAGAACCAATTGTATGTTGGACGAATTGCACACCTTGTGTCGCCGACAAGAAGACAAGACCAGTAAACGCGGCAGTCAGAATGTGGATATACTCCGCTGGCTAGTGCTTGTCAGACTGATGGTATGGTCACTGGTCGAGACACTCACATCCTTCATCATTTTGTCTGCGTAAAATGACATCACGAGCATAATGGTACCAACCAATATTTGCATTGGGATGATCCAGGATTTCCGTCTACCGACAGAAGGAATAAACACGGAGTCTACTATAGGCGACCAGAGCAACTTGAGAGAATAAGGATAACTCGACAACGAGAAAATAGCTAGTTGCGAGTAGGACAAATGTTCTCGTAGAAGGAATGGTAGGGACCCTACGGAGACAAAATCAGTAGTTGACCCATATAAGACATCACTGGCCAACCGTACCTAAAGCCAGTCCTAACTGCGACCGCACTGTCAGGTCACCATGGACGATCGATCAATTGAAGACTCACAGGAAATCCTTGACAGAGGTCTACCAAATTAAAAACGCAATCAGTGCATATAGGTTTACAGTTGACCATCACGACACTCACAAAGAACGATGAGCAGGACAATCGCTCTCTTGTCCCGCGACGACATAGGACGCTTTGCGTCTGGTCGCGGTGCGTCCTCGTCCGTCAATCCCTGCGCGGCCTGGCGACGCTCATCCTCTTCCAGGAGGCTGAGCTCTACCTCGTCTACACCTTCGACGTCGGCGGAATCCCATCGCTGGTGGGCATTCCGTGGTGTCTTGGGCGTCCGCGGCTGGATCTGGATGCTTTCCAGTGAGGTAGCCAGGGCTCTGGGGGGCATGTCCTGGTCGTCTGTAGGAGGGGAGTCGTTCTGAGGCCTCTGCCGCCGTCGTGGCTGTTGTTGGGCAGAGTCTGTTTGATGATGGGCGTCGGACATGGTAAAGTGCACTGGTTCTCGGTACGCGATCATACGGGTCCACGACGCGTGATGGCGACCACGTCAGCGCGCTTGACACTGGTCTAAATTGAAGCTCAGGTCGAGCAATATTTAAAGCCTTCTGGTTCATTCCAGCGACTTGCACTACTATCATCACACTTGCGATACTCTCGTAGCGGACGCTGCAGTCGCAACACGTATTTCTAGGACTGATTACAGACAGACGAGAACAGTACTCATAAACATAACAGATGGTGGGCGTAGCACTAGAGCAACGAAAGCGATATGAAGAGCGAAGGCAACAACAGCGGTGATGATAGCGATTCACATAACGAAAGCGAAGATAGCATCGAAGACATTGAGAGCGACGTAGGACGAAGACAGTATCTAGACAGCCGATGCAAGTGAGTTATGGGCGAAGGGGTATGTAGGTATGACATGGTTAGTATCGTACAAGTATGACGTTGTTGCAAACCAGACTTGTTATATCACTCATCTATGGGGCAAGCCGGAACTTGATCGTGATGATTTTGCCTCGAATCCGGTCCAGTACTTGTGAGCATCCTTGCACAACTCTGGTACTGGCATGTACGGCACTTCATCTAGCGCGAGGTCCCTGTATTCCACAGAGCCAAACAGCGAGTCCGCGTCCGTGCGGTACAGCCTCGTCTGCTTATAGCCGGGCATATACCCGATAAGGACGCGCTTGAATGGGACATAATCGTGTCTCTGGGCGAGCTTCACGAGCATCGCGGCTACCCATGCTTCATCGTGATGAAGAATCGTGCCCGTACACACAATGTGCAGAGTGAAAAGCGCCGGACAACTGACGCAGAACTCCTCCGAGTCCGGGAGCTCGGCGATCGCCGCGGCGCAGCCATCTGAGACTGTCAAGACCTCGAGTGCGGGGAACGCCCGCAAGACGTCGCGCATGGTGTGTGACTCGCAACCGGCACAATCCTCAATGCTCTTGGGAGCGTCTGCATCTAGTAACCAGAGTTCTCTGACTTTGTTCATCGGCAGGAACCTAGGCAGAGCGAGGCTGACCATCTCCTGCCCATGCCTGTACCTCTCGCCTTCAATGACTTCGAAGCTGATGCCTGAAGATCCCCCGACTGCTACCACGGTCGGGCTGTCAGCCCAGTTATAGATGGACAGCCGCGTGATGTCTTGAACTGTCGGAATGCCCGCGAGCCGCGAGAAGAAAGCGTCTGTGTTCTCTTCAGGGATCTCGGGGCAAACGATTCGTAGCGCGGTGTCGGAATTGATCGACCACTCAGTCAATACTGTTGTTACCACCTCGCAATGGACGCCGACAAATGCCAGTCTTCGCAAATTCGGTAATGTCACGGGACCTGGCATGTCAGAACTGTCCATGCGGACGAAGTCCTGGTGTGTAATGACCACATTCTCCAGCCGCGAGCACCACGCGGGGAAGTTGAGCAGGTCTAAAAGTGCGTGCCGTCCGTAAAGGCGCGAAATGTAGATATTCGTGACGGCGGGAAGCGGCACACCGGGCACCCAGTCCATATCGCTAATGGAGAGATTGCGCAGCTGCGGCGCGGTGTTCCGCAAGATCGTAACCATGCGGAAATAGGACGGCAGCGGGATGCCCGACAGCGCTAGCGTGCGCAGAACGGGCGCATTGAAGTTGAGTGTGCGGAGGCTGCTCGCTAGTTTGATGTCGCACTGGTCCCAGAGCAGCTCGATGACCCGCTGGCCGTGGGCACGCAAGATCCTCTGCATGCCCGGGCTCGCCTGGTCGCGCATGCTGATCTTCAGTGGGCACGTCCCGGAGCGTGCGGCGATTGCGTCGACCGCGCCTGCGGTCCTGATGTCGGGAAGACTCGTCCAGAGCTCGGGGATGTGGATGGCAACCTCGCGCCAGTGGCTGCAGATGTGCGTCAAGACGAGGACGTCTTTGATGTCAGCGAACTGTGACTCCCATATGCTGAACTCCAGGTCTGATGTATTGCCTTCGTTTGCACGGAATAGCTCCGGCACAAGCTTGAAAATACCCTCGAGAATTTCTAGGGGAAGCTGGTTAATTGGCAGCGTGGCATTACGCTTGCGCCGTAAGCACACGGATGGGTCGGCATGGAAGAACGCCTGCGTCTAGTTTTTGAAGTGATGAGTATCAGGAAGACTGTATGCAACTCCCATAACGCACCCGGGACGCGTCACTTCTGCTGTCGACCCTTATATGAGATTGAGGACCTTATGTGCATTCAAATCGAGACATACCTCAGGCTCTTGATCGACGGTCGACCCCGACGCAACCTCTGAGGCGGCGACACTGGTGAGCTCATCCAAGGCATGGCTCAGGCCAGACGTCGTTTCAACAGCCTCAGGGCAGGGGAGGAATGCGTGGGTGGGTGTTGGAGGAGCGCAGGGAACCACAAATCCACTAACACCTACCCTCACGGTGCATGGCATCATTTATCCCGATCATTGATCAGGCCAATCGAACCACCAGAATGTGATGTCAGAAGTTCAACCTAGTCTTCGCTAAAAGCCTTTCACTTGCTTTCTACTTGTAATAAATGCAGAAGTATCATTGCCCTGTCGACGAGAACCTGATGATTATCTCACAAGCACCCTTAAGAAACCTATCCCTTTCGAAAAAGTTTTCGTGGAGAACTTGGCCTGCCAACCGCAGCGGTAATTCGCCCGACCTGAACAAATCGGGAACTTACAACGCGGCTTAGACACGGTCAGGTGACACTGCTTCGGACGACACGCTCAGAGTTATACTACCTGTTGCTGTCTATCTAATCCCGATTCACGAGCCTACCTCATCGATCAAAACTTTCGAGGTCCCTCTAAATGGATCATCCAATATGGGAAGCATCATCACCGCCACCAGAGGATTGGCAAACCGAAGACGTCGATCGCGAGTGGCAGCATAACGGTATCGTGAGCGAAGAAGTCGATGCGTTTGGCATAAAGCAGTATGTAACATCGTTGAATTTGTGCTCTCACGGGCCGATAAGTGATCCTGTGCGGCAGTTATGAGGTATTTATTCACGCCATGAAACATTGCACCGGTCGTCTACAAGCGTTTCAGGTCAAATGGGCCGACTGGCATCGGCCAGACAACACGAACACAACCTGGGATCAAGGGCTCAATGACATGGACGCCGAACTGGAGGCATGGAATGATATGCAGACCGAGAAGCGTGTCAGAGAGGCCAAGGATAGCTTGAGCATCAAGATACCCCTCGATCTCGGCCAGCTTTGGCACGAAGATGCCACTGTGGAGCTTTCGCGTGGTTACGAGGAGAAACGGCGCGAGAGCGCTCGCACTGGTCTTCAGCGATATGCTAATTGGGATAACGTTCCAAAGCTGACTGACAACGACTCTGAGTCCTCGGAGGACCAACATGATGAGCGCCGGTCCTCTGACGATAGCGACACGGCTTCATCCACAGGGCATGCACGAATTTCACACAATCGGACCCGATTGATAAGGTCATCTACCATTGGCACACAAGTGAGCGGCCTATGTTTGGACCCGTTGTACTGTGTAAATCAATAAAACCGAAAGGCCTTTAACAAGGAAGAGGATTTGCAGACAACGGACCGTTCCATCGGGTCTCAATGGCAGCAGTCGCGATTGAATACGTCGCAGTCCAGGCCATTACCCCGACGGAAGCCGTCATCGCGCCAAGTAGTTTCGGAATCGTCGTCTCCAGACACGTCGCCATCAGAGGACAACACGCAACCTCGCAGGCCCATCAAACCTCTCCCTCGCCGCCGCCAAATGGTGCGGTCGGCAATTGTGGAATCGCCTGAAGCATCCCCTGCACCGCTATCTCGACCCTCTAGCTTGAAGGACGCTTGGAATTTGGTCGCGAGAGGTGCCGGCGCGGCGCCTATTTCTTTTGTAAACGAAGTCAATTCTGAGCCTTACCCATTGGGCCTGAACGGATTTGAATACTGTGAGTGCCACTATATTTGGTATGTTTCTGTAATATTTGCGTGTGTCGCAGACAACTTATATATCTTCAGTGCACAGGGAGTGCAGCGTCCAGAGTTGACATCTGAATATATTGTCAGCTGCGACTGCGTGTCTCGTTGTGAAGATGCGACAAGTTGCCATTGCCAAGGGCCATCGGAACTATTGAATGACTTCGGGGAAAGGGAATTTGCGTACACACATGAGGTTTGCACCTTGTTGTCTCATGCATTACCTCAACGCTGAACCGCCTAAATAGGGCTTATTCAAGTTCAATGTTTCGGGGGGAGTGGAAGTGATCGAGTGCAATAAAGTACCCATCGTGCATTGGCCTGTCATCTTGTATCTGACTGTTGCTACCAGAATTGCTCATGTACCGTGTGCTCTAATCGGGTAGCACAGCGGCCAAGAGATGTTCCCATCGAGATATTTCGCACAGAAAATTGCGGCTGGGGTGTGCGGGCAACTGTGGACCTCGCGCGCGGGAAAGTACTCGGTATATTCACAGGGTAAGAGTGGCCTCTGATTGTGGGATGGAAATGCTCACACTGAAGAAACACTGACAGAGAACTTATGTATGTCTCAGGTTATAAGGCCCCAATATATTTTCTCATAGTGAGTAGCACCCGCGAAGATGCTCATAGACGCACCGGGGACCGCAAAGCATATGTATTCGATCTTGACGTCCATGAGACGGGCAGCGACGATGAGGACGATGGCCGCAGGTACTCAGTTGATTCATACAGGGCTGGTGAGTGTCGCATATCAGTCCATGAAAATGACAGTCATGAAATGCCCCCAGGAAACTGGTCACGTTTCATCAAGTACGTACGGCTCGCTTTCGAAGTATCACTGATATAAAAGTTTGTGTCCATCCTCAGCCACTCATGCGAACCGAATCTGCAAATATTCCCTGTGATTTGGGACACCATACCCGAGGTATTGTGCATTAGCACGTCCTTTCCTTCTCTGCTCATGCTCGGTTGCGTTGAGCTCAATCAACCATACCTCGCGTTCGTCGCAACAGGCGCCATCCTCGCACGCAGCGAGCTCACCATCGACTACGAACCGGGTGCGGCGTTGGAATTCAAACGGAGCAAAGGTAAGGGTAAGGCGAGAGTACCTGATGGCGCGAAACCATGCATGTGTGGCGCCGAAAGCTGCAGAGGTTGGGTAAGGGTCTGAAGTGGTGGAATCAGCGGTTTTGCTTTCTTTTGTTATCAGTGTTGCTACCGTCTCACGAGCTTGTAAACTTTCGAATAACAATGATGAAGCCGCTGTGTCTTCCTTTCAGGTGCTCAGCCCCCGGAAAGTCATGAACACGCAAGCATTCCAGAGCATTCCATATAGCGAGGTAATCACACCATGACCTAGCAGATCGCGACAGAATGCGGACAGCGATACATAGCAATCATTAAATCATGACCCTTCCTTAGGAGGGATGTACTTGTCGAGTTTCTTGCGTAGAGGATGATCCATTTTGACACCACACGTTTTGAGAACCATTGCCAATTCGCCCGCCAATTTCTTCCTCTCTTCGTCGTCTCCGCCGTCGGACTCTAGCAGCTCTTTAACTGCACGCGCCAGACGGCCGCGCGGCATTGGTGGTTTGTCGCCATTAGCAGGTGGTTTCTTCCTCTTCCCTTTCCCTTTCATCTTAGGCACCATAAGCAGCGGTTCAAGCACCTCGATGCGAAAGCGGCGGTACGCCATGGACGCAAGGGGAACGACGCGATCGGGCGGGCTCGCAGCCTCCGCATACGCCTCCGCTTGCGAGAGCACCGCGGTAGCCGCGCCCTCCGTGTAGCCCCACTGCTTGAGCTCCTCCGTCCGGCGCTCGCGCAGACGCTTCTGGATTTTTTCTCGCGTGTCGTCCTCCTGGATGGTGCGCGCGACAGCGTCGAGTACGTCCGCGAGACGCAGCCAGCCGCGGTCCTCGTCGACCGCGCGCTTCACGTAGTGCCTATTCACGTAGTTAAGAAGGCGGCTGACGGACTGTGCGCCAGCGGCGTAGCGGTTAAAACAGGGGACGAGGTAATGCACGAGCGTGGTATCGTCTGTGGGTGCACCAAGAAAGAGGTCGCGGGCAGCGTCTGCATAGAAGCGGTCGATCTGCTCATAGAGGTCTGTGCCGCTCGCCTTGGCCTTCTCTGAGGCATCTGGACGTAGACCAGTGGGAGGTCCCGGGGCGGCTTGTTCGGACTGGGAGGTGAAGTAGTTGTACACCGCTGTGTGCACGCCCATGTGATAGCTGACGTCTATGGCGGGAGGTTTGCTGGTGTTGTTGGTTGGAGATCGTACGATATGGTTCAGAGCGGGCTGGAGATATCCCCAGAGGGCGGGCAGCGATGCAGCGGGATTTGCACTGCCTGTAGATGGGTTAGGCAGAGGCGGCGGCGGAGGGGTGGGGTCCGGTGCAGTCTCCTGCTTGGGAGCTGCTGTGATGGACATGTTGAGCAGGCGAACGAAAGCGTGGGCAGACGGGAAAAGCAGCCAGGGCGGAAGCGAATTGTATACAACAGTGCCGTAAGTGGCAACAGCTTTCGTGACTTCCATTTCTGTCATTCAACGCCAGCGCCTTCAATTGCAAATCACTGCGGACAATCATCATTGATATTGCTAGCACGCATATTGGCCAAAGTGTGTGAAACATTTGGATAATATTTCAGAGCTCCCAGTGCTTACCGGGACCCTTTCAATTGCGGCATTCAACTCACGTAGCCCCTAGGCAGCCTTTCTGAGCGAGGAGAGCACGCTCGCTCTGTAGTCGCTCAGCGTGACCGGTTGACCTCTGGATTCAAAAACAAAACATTTCAATCTGCCTCTAGTGACAACCCTGAGACAAAGTCTGCACGGTGCGTGCATATGTAAAATTTCTGTTTTATTCCTTCTTACTGTTGCCACCCGGAGGCAATAATCTCGGTGGAAGCGCCTCCGGTAAATTGGTGACTAGGTCACTTCTCCCGCTTGGTATGCACTACGGCCTTTGGTTGCACAACACGTACACTTGAACGTCGCGCAGGTAAATCCTGGTTCTATAACAATGGCAGCGGGACAGGACAGACCGGGCTAGGCATCTTCAACCAACCCTCATTGCCTAACCATGCGGGCTTCCGCGTTCAAACTTTTGGGACACTCTCTTTGTTCATACCGTCTTTTGGTATCGCTATTGCTCTAGCAGCACCGTCACGTTTAGAGCGACATCAAGGTACCATTCGGCAGACGACAATGCGAAAGCGCTATTTCACTGTGAGTGTCGTCCCCGCTTTGGCCTTTCGAATCACAATTACCCAGCGTCCGGATGCCATCCAAGCCAGAGGCGTGGCCCGTCTATCGGTTGTACATTCAGCCTTGCTTTGCGCCGTGCCTATAAAAACCCCTCTACAAACGAAGGCTACAGTCCACCCCCGTTCGTTCCCCCTGCGTCTCTACCGCCTGCTTTCAAGCTACTCCCGTTATATTCAAGTCAGGCCTATCCTCTGTCAGTCATTACATCCCCATTGGCCAATACTGGTCATACGACGAACCGTCACGGTCACCGGAGCCCCCTATGTCGCCAAATGACTCTTTCGAGCCCAAATACTTTCGTCTGAATGGAGACACAGACCTCCCGCGTCCCGCCGCCATGCAGACACGCGCCGCATACAAGCCGCGCACATCGGAAAGACGTCGCGGGCGCACCGGCTGTTGCTCCGAGCCCATAGTACTTGCTCTCGGCTTCGCAGGAGCCTTACTCGCTGTGGTAATTGTGGGTTTGTCCTGCATCGGAGCCTTCTTTGCGTTTCTGTGTTCGGGTACTGGCCTCCTGATCCTGCGGCACGCAGAGGGCTACGCGCACGCCCATATCAAGACGATCTTCATCGCGAGCGCCACAGGCGGCGCTGTTTTGATTCTCGTCGTGGGCTTCCTCGTCGGGGTCGTCATTCTGATCGTACACTGGTTGCGGGAGGGGGTCTCTGGAGCGGCTGCCCTGGGTGTCCGATGACAGCGACGCCGGCGACAATGTCTTGACCAATATCTTGGCACCCATAGATTGGACAATCGTCGGCCTAGTCAAATCCGCACTCGTCGGGGTCTGCGGACAAGTGGTTGGAAACTACGTCCTGCAGGGAAGATTGCCAGGAGAGCTGGACCTGCACCTCACGCTCAAACTGGATGGTGTCGGTTACTTACTGGTTATGCTCGGCGCGGCGGCACGTGGCGGCGTGGCGCGGTGGGGATACGTCCAATGCTGTGCGTCTGACGGCAATTCGAGCGACTGCTAGGTGGATGCACACCGCAAACATCGAGGTATGTACCATCGGTACCCATTGCTCATTTGTGGAGATAAAACTCAACATTACACAGGATTCTTGTGGCAGACATGGCTCGCTTCCTGTTCGGTAACCGAGGCTGGCTCCCCTATGCGGACTTGGAGGTCGTATGTATGTACCGGGTGATTTCGTGGTCTTGCGCGGGATTATATCATATCATTTGGAATGTGGTTTCGGCCACTCGAAACGCGTCGTGCTCCCGATACTTTGATCAAAGCCAACATCCTCTTGACGAAACTCTGTGGGATCAACCGCTATGCCTGATGCAATATCAACCTCGACGACTCGCTTCACAACACATACTGGGCAGGCGGTTTTGCGGTTTCAGCTAAACCGAGCCCGCTGCCGGCAACGCTGGCGGAAGCATGAGCCAGCGGCAATAGGCCACACTCACTTACTTCAGTGCCATATAGCGGTTGCATTCTGCAACTCTGATCGCTAAATGAGAAGTACTCCCCTTTGCCTGTATTGAAATTATTTTTCTGCCGTGTCCCACAGAGTCATGCAGCCACCAGAACCCAAATTGTGGCTCCGAGGCGTGTGTATAACATAAGCTCATTCGCTATGCCTGTCATGGGAGAGAACGTTGGCAGTGTGCTCAATTCAGGTGCATTGCCTTTTGTGGATCGATAGAGAAGTGGTCGTTATTAGCGATCTATCCGCTGGTGCCACACTACTTACCTTAGCGAGTTACAAATTACATGAGCGTTCGATAAGAAGACGCATCCATACTGGCATCTGCACATTGTTGATGGACGAAACTTTGATTGTTAATATTAACATGTCCGTGGTATTGTCTCGGGCATACACGACATGGCTTACACTAACCCAAGTCTCGGCCGTTGCAGACTGACAAGTCGCACTTGGACCAAATACACGAGAGCCTATAATTATAGGTCTTTTACATATAGATGTCGAAATCGCTGTGAGTGGGGGAAGATCCAGGGATCCAGAAATACGGTCCTAGCTACATGACATACTAAGGTAAATGCGAAAGCAAAGAAAGCGCGAGCAGGAATAAATCACAACACCACATGAAATTCCAGATCCTCACCGTACCGTACTCGGGGTTGACCCGCGGCCTAGCCACAACAGAACTCGTCCCCTCCTCATCTTTATCACGAACGACTGCCACTGCAGAATTACACCACCCCCAGAACAACCGTGGCCCTCAGGCTCACCTCGCGCCCCGCTGGCGCCCCTCGCCCCTCGCGCGGCTGCCCGTCCGGCCCGACTTCGATGTACTCCTCCGTCCTGAGCGAGCTCGACTTCCAGCCCCAGCTCTGGCTCACCGAAAACACGTCCGGCGCGCTCGTGAAGCGCGTCAGGCTCGCGCCCGTCGCGCTCGCACACGCGATCGCGAAGTACGCCGACACCGACGCGCGCTGGTCGCGGTACGGCTGCTGCGGCGACACTGCGGGCGCCGTCGCCGGGAGCGTGTTGCCCGCGCCGAGCGTCGTGCTGCTGCTGCTGCTGCCGCTGCCGCTCGACGTGGATGCGAGTCCGCTCGGCAGCGACGACGCGAGCGCCGGAGAGTTGGGCGTGGATATGGGCGTGGTGCTCCGCGAGAGTGGGAGTATCGGCAGGCCGGAGAACGAGTAGCCCTGAGACGGCGAGTGGAGCGATGGCGGGCGCGGGGTCGAGACACTCGCAGAGGGCGGCCTGTTCTGCACCTGCAGCCCCTGCCCCTGAGTCTGCCCTGGCGCACGCGCCGCGGGGGCTGATGGTGCCGACGACGCCGGAAGCGGATCGACTGAGGATTGGCGGTGGAGATAAACCCCGAGCTGCACGCCCTTCTTCCGCACGACCTGCACGTACACGTTGTACAGGCTCCCGGCATACCACACGGTATGGCTGTGCAGACGGCTCTTCTCCTTGAGCGAGTCGACGTCCCAGAACTCCACAGAGAACCGATACGGCGGATGCGGTGACCACTTGCTCGTCCCCGGTGTGACGGGGGACACGGGGGAGCCCGAGAAAGAGGCGATCGTCGACGCGGGAAAGCGCTGCTGCTGCAGGCCAAAGAAGTTCGCTTCGGACGTCGGCACCGTCTTCTTGGGTGCATCCATCTTTGAAGGCGAGCCCAAATCGAAGAGCTGATCCATGGACGCGCCATCGATGCCAGCGGTGTCTCCGATGCGAATCGAAGAGTCGCCCGGCACAGGGTACAACGACGTGTCCCTCTCCTGTGCCACGAGCGAGGCGACATCGGAAGCGGACAGCGCGATCCCCAGCTCCTTGTCGCGCTGTGATGGCGAAAGCGGCGGCGAAAGAGGTCCCGATGCCGGCCTCGCAGTGATGCGATGTCGCAGCACGTCCTGCGCCCAGTGGGACGCCTGCAGCACCGACAGCGGCACAAAGTGCTGCCCCGTCGACGGCGACGCGTCCCGCGAAATCGCAATCACGTCGTCCAGAATCTGGCGAGCATCCGCATGGTCAGCACCCCCGCACCTCCAAGCGCGACGGAACCCACCATGTTCTCGTAGTATATGCCCGTCCGGAACAGCGCCTCCCACTCCTTCTCCTCCTCCTCGTCGATGCCCTCCTTCCGCCGCATCTCCACCACCGTCTTCGCCATCTCGTACCGCTCGCGCTCACCTCTGACGAACAGCGCGTCGCTCGACAGCAGCCCGCGCACCCACCGCGCGTCCAGCCCGCCACACCGCCACACCACAGGCACCGCCATCTCGCGCGTGTCTGCGCCGCCCACCGCGCTGCCGTTCCGCGCGCGCTCCGCGAAGCGCGACGGCGCCGTCGACGTGCGCTTGCGCCCGCCGCCCTGGTCCTCGCTCTTGCTCTGCGCGTGCCCCTGCGCGTGCAACTCCCTGCCCTTGTCGCTGCCACGCACGCGCGTCACGTCCTCTTCGCAGTGCAGGATGTCCGCGCCCCAGCGCGCAAGCCAGCACGCCGCCGCCTCCCCGATCTTGTTCGACACCGCGCCGTAGACGTACGCGGGCTCGGGCGCGCGCCGCGACTCCGCCTCGTAGTCGTCCGTGCCCACGTCCATGTCCGAGCCCGAGTCGTCGGACGTGGCCGACGCGGGGCCCTCCTTGCAGAGCTCGTCCTCCTGCGAGGACCCGCTGTCCGGTTCGGCGCGCATCGCGAGCGCCTGCATCTTGTCTGTTATGGCAGCGTCGCGGGCTCGTGCTGTGCCTTTGACCCTGCCCTTTTCCCGCGCCTGCTCAGCCTCCTCCTCCTCTTCGGACACCAGCTCGGCGACACTCTCCAGGCCCACCGCTGGCTCGTGTCCGTCACCAGGCTCGTCGTTGTCGGGTGGCCCGATCCCGTGTCCCAGCGCGAAATGGAGGTAACGCACCGCCGTATACGGCCCGACGGTGCTCAGGATCATCTGGAGCGCCTCGGACGCGACGGCGGGCATGGACAGGAATAGTGAAGTGGCGAGGAGGGAGAGGAGGAAACGTGGAGTTGCTCGGTGGTGGCCAGCCGGCGTTGACGATGATCGCGCAGACGAGGGATAAGGGAAGGCGGGCGTGAGCGGCTGCGAGGGCGTAGGTATTAAGGAGGACGCGACGTGCAGTGGTGGACCGCCGCCGTACAATCGAGCAATGCATACTCTAGTGTTGTCTCAGAATGAGTATAGTGATACACGCTTGCGAGGACTTACTCGAATGCTGTGAGCAGAAGGGAGTGTCAGCAAGATTCCACCAAGACAGCAATGTGAGTATTGGTGATTGCGCTCATGTATGCATTACAGGAGGGGACAGAGATATGTACATGGATGAGTCCTCGGCAGCCACAGTGGCTGTTAGCAGACTCACCCCCCAGTCTCCCATGTACCCTCCATGAGCGACATCAGGCCACATTGGTGACTTGACATTTCATTCGGCCGCGAGCGCTGTTGTGGATCGCTGTCACCACAACGCTGACGTCGAGGACCACCAGAAACGGGTCACACGAGCGTTTATATGCCACAAGCGCCTTCTCCTGCAGAAGCCGGGCGCACCGCGAAGAGAAGCACTCACCGGCACGGGTGATGTTGGGGTCGTCGAATACAATCATATCGATGACATCGGGCTCTGCTCGCCTGCTGCTCGCGAGCTTCGCCTTGGACTCGACGAAGCCCGACGTGAATAGCGATTGGAAGAATCCCTGCGCGCGGAACGTCAGAGGCGAGCGCGAACACGGTACGGGCCACATACGGCTTGGATGAGGATGACGCGATGGAGCTTGTAGATCGCATGCCACGAGCCGCGGACGCGCAGCGCGACGTCGGCGGTCTTGCGGGTGAGGAAGGACTGGTAGAGATGCGATTGCAGATCTGCCGGTGTGGGACCGCGCGCGGGCGAGGCAGCGTGCGGGGTGGCCATGTCCTGTGCCTGTTTGCGGAGAGAGGGGAGGGAGGTGGAATACGGGATCGCGAGGCGGGCGAGGTACGGGTTGTGGGTATACGGCGGGGGAGTCGAGGCGGGCGGGTAGGAGGTAGATGCGGGGAAGGGGACTATATGGTCCATGCTGACGAATGGGGTCTAACGAAGACGGAATAATATTATGTTGCTGATCCTGGGAGTTGGACGGAGGCTGCTGCTGGATCGAGCCCAGGGCGAGAGCGCACGACGATGCCGGTGAGAGGAGTCTGCGATCAGGTGCAGACTTGCCTAAGCCGTCCTCTCCTCTTGACGCCGTCGTCTCCTCTTTCGACTCCTGCCCCACGCGCACGCTGACGCCCGTGCCTCGTGGCTCGCGCGTCCGCTCTCGATTGACGATCTCCCGCCTCGGCCCGTCCTCCGGCGCTGTCCTCCTCCTCCCGCCCATGTCGTACGCACAGCCACATCCCCGCTTCTCCGTGCTCTCCTCCTCGTCCCTCGCCTCCGCCGAGCACCTCTCCACCGCGTCGTCCACCCGCTTTTCCCTCTCGTCCGCACCTTCCATCAACACCGCGACCGGCGCGCCCGCAAAGTCCCCCGCACAGCGCCCCAGCATCTATGACCGTCCGCTGAACAAAGCCCGCGCCGCGGAGGTGTCCGCGAGCGCGTTCGCGTTCCTCTTCTCCGAGGTCGTCCAGTACACGCAGAAGCGCGTCAGCGGGATCAACGATCTCGAGCGCCGGTGCGTGTGCTGCGCTCCTTCCGCCCTTCACCACTGATCGTCCCCCGCCCTCCGATCACAGGCTCAACACGCTCGGGTACCGCGTCGGCACCCGCGTCCTCGAGCTCATGACCTGGCGCAACGAGGCCTCCTCCAAGGCCCCCAAGCGCGAGATCCGCTTCCTCCCCGCCCTCATGTCCATCCACACCCAGCTCTGGCGCGCCGTCTTCGGCCGCCCCGCCGACGCTATCGAGAAGAGCGTCGAGAACGCAGACGAATGTGCGTCTGCCCTCCTCCAGCGTGCGCAGCCCATGATACTGCCCGCTGACCCCGCGCCAGACATGATCATCGACAACGACCCGCCCATCACGCGCCACATCTCCGTCCCGCGCGACATGAGCCAGCTCAGCTGCTCGTCCTTCACCGCGGGGGTCGTGGAGGCCGTGCTCGACGGCCTCGGCTTTGTGCGTCCCTTTCCATGTCCCTGCGCGCGTGACCGCTTCGCTGACGAGACTTTCCCAAACCCACACGGCTCCTTGTGTCTCTCACCGTCCACGCGTGCGGCCGCCGTCTCCCACCGCCGCTTCTACTCATCCCGGTCCTGCACGCATGCACCACATGACGCGCACGGCTTTGTAGCCCGCACGGGTGACCGCGCACAACACGCCGACAGACCAATATCCCGCACGGACGACCATTCTCATCAAGCTCGAAAAGTCCGTGCTCGACAGAGAAGAGGCACTCAAGATGTAGACTGCGCGTCTTGCGGGCATGTGTGTATTAGTACGACATGGACTCTTGTTCTGTTGGTCGTCATTCTATGGGCGGTAGAAATACCATTACAGTGAAGACTGACATTGTTGACGGGCGCGACATTTACGGCCTTCCATCATTGGTATAACTCGCTCAGTATCTTTTCGTTCTCCTTCGAAGCACGCGTGCGCAAGAAACGACGACGCCTATGCACCTCCCTGTATGCTCCACAAATGCCCATGTTGGGTCATTTGGCTCACACGGGTACGGGTACGGTTACAGCAGAACCAACAACGATAGACCTCCCTCGCAAAATGTACAGATAGACGACACGGGGCATAGCGGCGCTCGGCACCTCGGGGTGACGTGCCATCATCCCTTAGAGGTTGCTCGCGGCAGCCACATACTGTGATCCACACCAATGTCTCAATAGTCGTCCGTTCGTCGAGGTCTACCCCGTCGCGCTATGCTTTCACTAGCAATGGTGGACAGCGACGAATTGTACACCCCATGACGCGAGGCCAGTAGCTTCCTCAATCTGAGCGTTAGTCATGCAGCCAGATGCGCATATAACGGGTTCCTTGAACTTTCAGATGTCAGATATATCGTCCATTACTAACCATGAAGGACGAGAGGATGGGGAATCACGTCAGCCTCTCGGTAGCCTATCTCTGACTCTCGGCCACCCACCGCCGTCTCTGCACCACTGCCGACACCTGCCGCGAGCTTCTGCCCCACCTTGCCCCCGAGTATAATCTGCGAGGGGACGTCTGTCGTTGTTGGTTTTGCTGTGACGCTATGCACGTGAAGTTGAGACTTTACTTGAACTACTTACATGAGCGCATAATCTCTGAGGCCAGCTTTCTTTTGTGCAGAGATGACGAAAGCCATCTCGCAACATGTACTGCCCCCTACATGTATTTGCTTGTCCCACCACCACTGGAAGGTCATGGAAGTCGTATGCATACAAGCAATACCTCTCAGCATAATACTACTGATGCCCTCGAAGGCCGACATGGAATACCTTGACGTGGCTGACGCCACATTCCCGATCAATCACACGCATTTCGCTCAAGAAAATGGGAACGACCCAGGATACATACACACAATGCCTCCGCTTCGAAATACACGTACAGGTGCGAGACTTCGCGAACAAGAAACAAGCCACATCTATTGCCACAAACGGCTGGCGAACAGTTGAGGCTCGTCTCCACAGAGGAACATTGGACAGCGGTAATGCATACCTCGTCGATTCCGATGAGCATCCGCCTTAGTTGCCCCAACTATTGTATGCACAGCACCCTCCCGTGCCGCCAATGAGTGCCAGAAGGGCCAGCGGGTAGCCGACACCATCCAATTTGAACGCGAGGTGCAGGTCCAGCCCTCCCGACAGTCTTCCCTGCAATATGTAGTATCCCACCGCTTGCCCGCAGACCCCGACAGGCACAGAGGCGAGCATGGTCACGATCGCCCAGAATACGATGGACGACCCGTCGTCGTCGTCACTCCAGGGCACCAGGCTCAGAGATCCCTCCAAGAGCGACTTTATCGTGGCGCAGACAACCCAGGCCACGAAGACCACCGCGACAGCCAGGACAGCACCGCCTGTGGCGCTCGCGATGTAGATCGCCTTGGTATCGGCGTCCACGTACTCCTCTTTGTGCCGCAGAAAATAGAGGCCAATGTACGAACAGAAGGGTGAGAAGCCGGCGCCGACGAGAGATGCGGCCACAGCGACGAGAAGGGAGATGCCTCCGATGAAGATGAACCAGAGCCCTGCGTCCTCTGCGAAGTCGACGCAACAGGCAGCGCACCGTCGGAGCCTTCTACGTTTGCGCGGCTTGTCTGTGGCGAGCGGGGGGATGGTGGCGGGATAAGGAAGCAGAGTGTCCCCGCTCATACTACTGATACGAGAAGAGCTGGACTTGGAAAAGACATCCTTCTCCGTGGGTAGATCCGAGAACAGCGGCGGCTGGTCTTCTAGGTCCAGATCGATCTTCGACAACGTTGAATCGAGGGGCATGTAACAAGTGTCGGAGGAGGAAGCTGACCTGGGCATATGGGAGTGGCTTGAAAGCGGACGGGGACGAAGGGTGGATCGAATGTGAGTGCTTCGTTCGTGCAGGCTTTAAATAGATGTGCGCCGGCTTATCTGAGTTCGTGTGGCGACATCTGATGTGGTTGTGGTGGTTGAGTTGGTATAGAACATAGCCAATTGAAGTAGGCGCTTCCAGTGAACTTTAATTGACAGTGCTAGTGACTAGTCAAGCGCCGCCTAGTAAGAAGAGTTCTCAAGCAAGACACCCACGGTCAGTTTAGATATCTGGCTTTGTCCCACTACGGACCCTGTTGCGGCTGTGCATACCGCCACCACCCAGATATCACTCGTCGACGCGACACCTGAGCTGTGTGTGCTGTGTATAGCACGGGTCCTAGTATCTACTGATGGGCAATTCTGACTCCGTCGAGACAACTGCGCCCCGTTGGCGACAGTACCTAGGGATAGATAAAGCTATGCTGCGTTATTATAGTGACATTCGAGGCGCGAAAAGGCACGGTTTGAGGCGAGAGCGAGAGCGACTACCTGCCAGACTTGCCGGGCGTCTCCTTCACGGTCAACATGCGAACAAACAAATGACACATCTATGTCTTGCGTTCGCACGCACCAATGCCGTGATCAACAGTGATGTATTAACGGCATGGGTCAGATGTTGGGAAGTAGTCCATAAGGATCGATGAGTCAGGGAGTGACAGTATTAGCGAGTGGGAAAGCGAGAGGCCATCTACATGATGATGAATTACGAGAGACTACCGAAAGCAAACATGAACCGATAGGAAGTGGGCGAAGCCCCCCGCCCCCCTCCCCCTTCGTGGGAAACAATGGGGCAAGGTTCCCGGCGCAGAACACAGGACCATGACCTGTCGGAATCCCGAGTAAGCAGCGATGGGCGGGTGGGCCACCCGGAGCAACCGGGCAGACACCCAGACCAGCCGAAGGCCAGAATGACGGAGAGGGACTCAGACGTGGAGATGGTGCAAGGGTTCTGTCACCCAATGAGGAGGACACGGACTGAAGGCGAGGAGGACAAATGACGAGAAGCGGCCAGTGAAAAGGCGGCAGGTGGAGTGGGAGAGGAAGGGAAGCT